TTGAATAAACTTTATAAATATAATAAAAGAATGTTCTTATTAAAAACCTGAATTATTAAATTTCAGAAGCAATAATATATTTTGTAAAGTGCAAATTCAGTGTTGATCAATAATTCAAATATTTTTTTACAATTTATAAGTTATTATGTATTTAAACCTGTCCAAACAACCATTGCATTGAGAAGACTTTTTGTCGGTATTATTTATTTCTTATTCTAAGGCTAATGTAAATAATTAGTTAGAATTTGTGAAGTTTAATAATATTAAATTACAGAAAACNTAAATAATACATGCGGTCCCACGAACATAGCATGTAAGGGACAATTAAAGAGAATTGGATCAAAATTTCGAATAAAAATTACGAGAAAATTCAAATTTTGAAGTCTGATGTATTAACATTCAGAAGCTGAACATATGTTTAATAGTTAAATTATCTAGAGTTTTCACTGAATTGTATGTTAAGTGTATTTGAAGAATGATTATGAAAAGGATATTAAAAATAGAAATTGAGTATAAATAAGTACATAAATTTAGACTATGCTCTAATAATAACAATAGTCTTATTAAATTCTTTTTTGAAGGAGTCATATTCAACCAATCCTTCATAGAATTTTCATTAAAATGAGACTTCTTTATGTTGTCATAATTTATTAATTACCCAATTATCCAATCTATAGAAATTTTATAGAATATGTGAAGATTAACTGTATTAATTTATAAAAAAATTGTGTTTGAATAAAACATCAAATAACAATTTCACAATCAAAAAGAAATATTAAATAGTGAAATAATTCTAAGTTTTTTTTGAATAAGGTACAATTATATTTCTTGGTTTCTTAAAAATTCAAACTTCTAGTTTAAAATTGTTTAAAATATTTATTATAAACTTATCTGTATTTAATAGGTCATTGAATATAAATAAAAATGTGTAAGTATAGTTAATTGATTATTTATGTGCATATATAAAAAAAAGAATGGAGTATGTTGAATAAACTTTATAAATATAATAAAAGAATGTTCATATTAAAAACTTGAATTATTAAATTTCAGAAGCAATAATATATTTTGTAAAGTGACAAATTCAGTGTTGATCAATAATTCAAATATTGTTAAACAATTTATAAGTTATTTTATATTTTAACCTGTCCAAACAACCATTGCATTGAGAAGACTTTTTGTCGGTATTATTTATTTCTTATTCTAAGGCTAATGTAAATAATTAGTTAGAATTTGTGAAGTTTAATAATATTAAATTACAGAAAATAATCAAGTATAAAACTTTAAATATTAATTACAAAATCAAAACTTATTTTAGTTATGAAACTAACATTAATATTCTCTGAAATTTATATTTGGTGGTTTATTTGATTGCTTAAGTAGGGAATAACTAATATGGAGATTGAGATTTAAATAAATACAATCATTTTAAATTGGCTATTGATATTTAAATAATCATATTATATGTATTTGTGAAGTAGTTATGTTTATTGAATATATCCTAGAATTTTCTCCATAATGATAAATATTTATGTGGGCATTATAATTTATTATTTTTGTGCTATCATAAAAAAAGGATTTAAGAAAAAAGGTACCAAAAAACTAAATATATATTCCGAAAAAATTTAAATTTTGAAGTCTGATGTATTAACATTCAGAAGCTGAACATATGTTTAATAGTTAAATTATCTAGAGTTTTCACTGAATTGTATGTTAAGTGTATTTGAAGAATGATTATGAAAAGGATATTAAAAATAGAAATTGAGTATAAATAAGTACATAAATTTAGACTATGCTCTAATAATAACAATAGTCTTATTAAATTCTTTTTTGAAGGAGTCATATTCAACCAATCCTTCATAGAATTTTCATTAAAATGAGACTTCTTTATGTTGTCATAATTTATTAATTAACAAAATATCCAATCTATAGAAATTTTATAGAATATGTGAAGATTAACTGTATTAATTTATAAAAAAATTGTGTTTGAATAAAACATCAAATAACAAATACACAATCAAAAAGAAATATTAAATAGTGAAATAATTCTAAGTTTTTTTTTAATAAGGTACAATTATATTTCTTGGTTTCTTAAAAATTCAAACTTCTAGTTTAAAATTGTTTAAAATATTTATTATAAACCTATCTGTATTTAAATAGTCATTAGATATAAATAAAAATGTGTAAGTATATTTAATTGATTATTTATGTGCATATATAAAAAAAAGAATGGAGTATGTTGAATAAACTTTATAAATATAATAAAAGAATGTTCTTATTAAAAACCTGAATTATTAAATTTCAGAAGCAATAATATATTTTGTAAAGTGCAAATTCAGTGTTGATCAATAATTCAAATATTTTTTTACAATTTATAAGTTATTATGTATTTAAACCTGTCCAAACAACCATTGCATTGAGAAGACTTTTTGTCGGTATTATTTATTTCTTATTCTAAGGCTAATGTAAATAATTAGTTAGAATTTGTGAAGTTTAATAATATTAAATTACAGAAAACAATCATGTATACAACTTTAAATATTAATTACAAAATCAAAACTTATTTTAGTTATGAAACTAACATTAATATTCTCTGAAATTTATAATTGGTGGTTTATTTGATTGCTTAAGTAGGGAATAACTAATATGGAGATTGAGATTTAAATAAATAGAATCATTTTAAATTGGCTATTGATATTTAAATAATCATATAATATGTATTTGTGAAGTAGTTATGTTTATTGAATATATCCTAGAATTTTCTCCATAATGATAAATATTTATGTGGGCATTATAATTTATTATTTTTGTGCTATCATAAAAAAAGAATTTAAGAAAAAAGGTACCAAAAAACTAAATATATATTCCGAAAAAATTTAAATTTTGAAGTCTGATGTATTAACATTCAGAAGCTGAACATATGTTTAATAGTTAAATTATCTAGAGTTTTCACTGAATTGTATGTTAAGTGTATTTGAAGAATGATTATGAAAAGGATATTAAAAATAGAAATTGAGTATAAATAAGTACATAAATTTAGACTATGCTCTAATAATAACAATAGTCTTATTAAATTCTTTTTTGAAGGAGTCATATTCAACCAATCCTTCATAGAATTTTCATTAAAATGAGACTTCTTTATGTTGTCATAATTTATTAATTAACAAAATATCCAATCTATAGAAATTTTATAGAATATGTGAAGATTAACTGTATTAATTTATAAAAAAATTGTGTTTGAATAAAACATCAAATAACAATTTCACAATCAAAAAGAAATATTAAATAGTGAAATAATTCTAAGTTTTTTTTGAATAAGGTACAATTATATTTCTTGGTTTCTTAAAAATTCAAACTTCTAGTTTAAAATTGTTTAAAATATTTATTATAAACCTATCTGTATTTAAATAGTCATTAGATATAAATAAAAATGTGTAAGTATATTTAATTGATTATTTATGTGCATATATAAAAAAAAGAATGGAGTATGTTGAATAAACTTTATAAATATAATAAAAGAATGTTCTTATTAAAAACCTGAATTATTAAATTTCAGAAGCAATAATATATTTTGTAAAGTGCAAATTCAGTGTTGATCAATAATTCAAATATTTTTTTACAATTTATAAGTTATTATGTATTTAAACCTGTCCAAACAACCATTGCATTGAGAAGACTTTTTGTCGGTATTATTTATTTCTTATTCTAAGGCTAATGTAAATAATTAGTTAGAATTTGTGAAGTTTAATAATATTAAATTACAGAAAACAATCATGTATACAACTTTAAATATTACAAAATCAAAACTTATTTTAGTTATGAAACTAACATTAATATTCTCTGAAATTTATATTTGGTGGTTTATTTGATTGCTTAAGTAGGGAATAACTAATATGGAGATTGAGATTTAAATAAATAGAATCATTTTAAATTGGCTATTGATATTTAAATAATCATATTATATGTATTTGTGAAGTAGTTATGTTTATTGAATATATCCTATATTGAATATATATATTATATATATATATAATAATTTAATAGAATTTGTTAATGTCTCCTTTGGAATTTATGTGAAATGGCATGTAGTCAAGCTTATGAAGGATATGTTATTTTTGGCATATGTGTTATAATTAATACTAGCAATTTAATCTAGGCCTAAAGAAAAACAAAAATTTTTTTACTTATTGAATTTGTACAATTTTGTTATTAATCAATCTGCACAAGAATTCTCATTTTTATGAGACAACTTTATGTTGGTATTTCTAATTTATTATTTTTTTCTATCCTAAAATAATTTAAATGGAATACGTTTGGTTTAACTGTATTAATTTCAAAAGCAAAACATATTTTTAATTATTAGTTTAACAATGGTTATCTCTGCATTCTTCCTACATTAGTTTTAGCATTGCTTAAAAAGGAAATATTAAATATTGAATTAGAGAGATGATAGTTAGTAGTAGTTATATTAGATCAATATGACTTAGATTTTTTATGGAACGAGACAAATTAATATTTTTATTACCAATTAAATGCTAATTTAATGATGACAAATGAATTGAATACGTTTAGTTTAATCGCATGAATTTACAAAAAAATTTGCCTTTATAATAATTAAAATAATAATTGTTACAAGCACAACATATTTCATATAGTGAAATTAACGTGAGTTTTTTTTATGAATTTTATGGTAAGTAGGTTGTTTAATGAATGAGATGTTAAATTAGAAAGTTGTGTGTTAATATTTTTAAAGGATAAAAAAAAAACCTTTATTTATACATTTTTAAATTTATTATTATAATTCTGTCTGGTTTAAACTTACAATTGGAATAAAATAACTTTGTTGATTATTTAATTGTCTACTATTTCCTTATATTCAATGTGTTTATATGTAAATTAAATATAATAGATGGAGGGAAACTGTATTTTCATATCGATATTAAAAGAATAAAATAATAAAGTATACAAGGAAAAATTTATTATAAATAATGAATCTACTTAAATTATTGTTTATAAAGAGTCTTTTTCAATCCGTTCATTATACGAGCTATATTATCCATAGGTTTTTTCAGTGTTTCTTGGGAGTTTACATTTAATTCTGGAACCTGTTTAGTGAGATTAACTATGGTTTCCAAGGTATGTAAAAGACAATCGAAACGTACTGATAAATCACTGTTCACATCTATTTGGTCCTTAACACACAAAATAAACATTTAAAATTTAGATATTCAAAACTAAACGTACACGTGTAAAATTAATATCTCACTTGGTGGTTTATTAATCTTTCTCTCATATTGCTTAATGTTTCGTCGAGCAATGCTAAATTATCTGGTACATCAATAGGTTGGATGATTCCTAATGGTTCTGGTTTAGAAAATATCAAAACAATACAGTAGAATATTACGTTAAAATAGTAATACAAAACTTTTAAACGATAAATGGTAAATTGCAGAATTTTACTTTATAATATCATTAGTGTCCATCAAATTATTAATAACTTCTGTTCCCGGTTTTTCGGCTGTATCTTCGATGACTTTCGAGTTTCTACCTTCTACGCCATCGTGGTCTAATATTGGTTTGGTTCTCTGTTCCAATCGCTATAAAAATAATAATCGTTTATTCGAAGTTTAAATTCATTATTATGAAACAAACAAACACTCTTATCTTCATTAGACTCATCTTCAGATTTCCACATGTTTCTGAATTGTTGCTAATGTATTACTCTCAGCGACAAATCTAAAGGGAAGAGATTGCCCAGAGTGTAGTGAAAAACCTTGTTTCTATAAATTATATAATATATAAACATGGATAGGACATATTCACCGTACTGCATTTATTCGGTTACTGTTCCAGACGAGGATCGTAATTTCTACGGTTATGGTTTATTGTGGTAAGTTGTGGTTCATGATAAGGAAACAAATTTTATCAATCAGCTATCTATGCAATTTGCAAACTTAACAAATTTCGATAATGTTAAATTTTCGAATTTAAATTTTTCATTATTCTTACATTGAACTGAAAATTTACGAATGTTGTTTAATGATTTGTAATTATTTTATACTATGGTTTGTGCGAATAGATATTAAAAAAATACTTTATCTCTTATCGACACGGAGGTTTCCACAATAATATCATATAAACTCTTTGATAACAAATGAACTCTTGGAGCCAGGGGAACTAAAATCTCTGTTAAAACACATTGAAAACCACGGTCTAATGTTTTATCCAAGTNATATTATCATTAAATGAGGTTTGATTGTTTTTTGTTGAGTGGGCGTTCTAAATAATACACGCGGTTCCACGAACATAGCACGTAAGGGGCAATTAAAGAGAATTGGATCAAAATTTCGAATAAATATTAAGAGAAAATTCAAACTTTGAAGTCTGATTTATTAACATTTGGGAACTGGACAGATTTTTAATTGATAAGACTTTTGTATTGAGAAGAATTTTTCTCGGTATTATTTATTTTCTATTGTAAGGTTAATGTAAATAATTTATTTTTTCTAATGGTTCTGATTTAGTTTGACATCTAAAATACCAAAACTATATATTATCCCTTATGAATATCTTCGAAGAATACAAATATTTGCGATTTTTTTTTTTTTTTTTCAAATTACGTCTCTGTGTTCGTCACTTAATTAAAGAATATTAAATAAATAGTTAAAGGAAAAATTGTTTACCTTGCTCACATAATATTTTCTCGTTTTGTAAATTTCTAAAAAAATATGTTATATGTGCTATGAATTTTTTTTATTAATTATAGTTATGAGTGAATCTTACATGTTGAATTTTATTTTGATTTGTTATAATATAAATGATGTTAACTGGTATAAATTTTTTTCAATTTTCAATTTACAAATTTATATTTTACAAATTATATTAAAAATGGAATAAAATGTTTTCTTATTGCTTTTCTATTGAAACAATATTTTTGGTACAAAACATAAAGCGTAAAAAATTTAAATAATAAAATTATAACTCCACACTGCCATTTTACAATTTTTACATACTGATAATGAAATTATTATTTTGTTGGGATAAGAGTAAATCGATCAACAGGACATCCCCATGGTTCTTTCCGTTACCATTCAGAGCCACAAACAGAGCGGCAAAAACACTGCCGCCACCACCACCACCACCACCACCACCACAACTACCACCCTCATAACAACCACTACCCTTATCCACGCTACCATCATATTTCAGTATCACTTTTTGATTAGAATATGTCTCCCTCTTTAAGCCGAGCAGTTTTCCAGTAACTATCGCATCATCGTTTTTATCTATCGCTTCTTGCCACTGTTTTTACCTGTTTTGTGTATTATCGTTCTTATTACCTAATTTGCTTTAAAAATGTCATCTGCTTTGTCACTCGAAAGCCTTCCAATCGTACAGGCCATGTCCCACCGCGGTAGCAATTCAACAACAGGTAATACAAATATAATGTACTCATATTATAGTATTGGGTAGATACCTAATTCATTATTGTAAAATATTTTAGTACTTTTATGGCTGATTTCACCATCAAGAGTTAAAGTGTGAGTTACCGATAACCCGTATTAATACTAAGTTAATGGAAACTCTCATATTTAACCCCCAGTATTTCTGAGTGTAAACGACTTAACTCCTTGATAAGACCATGATATCTTTTTTCTACTTTTGTGTTACCATTTAATATAATTTTTCGTCTGCATTTCCGAGGCCACGCTATTTCATTTCAAGTAATTCAGTACCTATACATTTTGGTAATAATGGCTTGGAAAATAATATTTTATCATTTGGACGAAGTCGATGAAAAAGTTATCGCAATGCAATAACGCCTGAGAATCTTCAATGAAAGAACCAATTGTTTTGAAATTTATGACGACCAGAATTTCAGGAAACGATTTTGAATATCAAAATCAAAATTTTTGCTTACCTTTCCATAATATAGTATTTGTTTTTATTTTCAAAAATATGATTATTTTTCGTTACCAATTCAATGAAGTAATTATTAAAGTTAACGTTTCTTTTTCGTTATTGAAAACATCCGTTTAAAAAATAAAAAGACGTCCTAGGATAACTACATATAAATCCAAACCCGAATGATAATATAAAATATTGATAAATGTTGTTGTACCTAGTTCAAGATTTATCAATATTACCTTATGTAGTTTGAATCGTAATAATAATAATTATAATAGTTTTATTTTCCGTAACACTAAAGTAACCCTTAAATAAAAAAGTAATTAGATGTTCGTACCAAACATACCTAAAACCCCTATTTTATCCCATTAGGGGTTGGATTTTAAAAAATCCTTTCTTAGCGGATACCTACGTCGTAATAGTTATCTGTGTGTCAAATTTCAGCCAAATCCGTTCAGTAGGTTGGGCTAAGCGATAATGGATCAGTCAGTCAGGACGTGTTATTTATATATAAAAAATTTTCATTTACACATTTATTTAAACACACACTTACACAGATTAGGACGGTCTTCGGACACAATACACAATGATATCCCATATAATACGTTGTGATTTTATTATATAACGTAATATACATATATTGTACACTGTATTGAGTCATAGTATCAGATTTGGTCGTCCGCTTATAGTGGCAACGTAAAGTCCGCGTTAGGTCAAAATTGTCGACCATCACACACACCTCCTTACCGCTCACCCTTGGGTTCGAAAGATTATTTCACTCTTAGTGTTGTTTGTAAAGTAGTGGATCCACGTACGATAATATAATATTTACACCGATACTTACATTACCCCGTCCCATCACTAATTTCCCTCTTCCCTGTCTCTTTCTTTTTATTTCTATTCTATTCTATCCTATTCGTGGCGTAGCGATCAACTCGCCACCCTAGCTAATTCATATGATTTCGATACATTTATATACTCGGGTAAAAATACAAACGGTTTCGTTTATTGCCTAGAGTCGAGTCATAGTACTATATAACTTAGATAACGGCACGAATTGGTACTATGGTACACTAATAAAAAGTAATACAATTAAATGGTCAAACAAAATTCCGACGACAACATTAAATAATACACACGCCAAATTGTAAATATATTTAGTGTATTAATACCATTTTTACAAACATTATATTATTACACTTAATATATATTTATCCCAAACCATATATATTACATTATACCGAAAGCAACAAACACAAAAATATTAACGTTGTGAATTTAGAATTAATATTTACAAATTCAAACATTTCTTCTTTTATCTTTGTCATAGATTTTAGATTTCAATATATAATCCTTAATTTTCCATTTAATAAGAAAAAGAAAAGTACCTACCTAACGTCTTTATCCACAAGAATGCAATATTATTAAATACCCATGACACGATTTCAAATCATTCCTTTAATAAATACGATCAACATCCAAATCGTCATTTTAACTTATCCTTCAAGATAGTTAAATTATATCAACAACGTAATAACTATAATTATATATAGTAAACTTCCCATAAGAATCAAAAATCCATCATGTTATTATGATATACTAAAATATTATATTAATTTTAATTTTTTGATTTATTTAAAGCATACAACTGCATTGTAATAGTATATATAAAAAAGAAATTGAAAAATAAACCTAATATAACCTCCGTATAACCCTATACTATTTCCTATACCCCTCTCCTTCTATTCCTTTTCTCTGTTCCCTCTTTTCTCTACCATTTAAATTTTTTTTTCTACTACAATGTAAAACGCGACTGAATATAAATAATGAAATTAATAAATACATATAAAAAAAGTATACAAATTAGTATTTTACATAAAAATAATTTATTTCAATAGGAGAGATTATTTAAAAATAGGTTATTATAAGACATAGATATGTTAAGAAATATAAATTCTTTGTTTATTATTATTTATCTAAAATGTATTGATATAAGATGTAATTTTTAAAATCGGTTTGTACTTTTAAAATATTATTAAAATTATTTTTCTTTGTTTCATTGTATATGTAATTATTCTAAAACTGAATTAATGTAAATGTTATTTTGGGCATTTAATATCTCTAAGTCTATATTAATATCAAAACTTATATTATGGTTATTTTCTAAAACAGGTTTGGCGAATTTGAATTAAGGGCAATATTTTTTAATTTTATTTCCGAAATGTGTTCTTTATCATTAATGTGTATCTTATTTTAAAATTTCTATTTTTCTTACTTATCCAAAATGTATTACAGTTATATTTGAGTTTATATATGCCAGTGTTCTCAGAAGAAGAGAGCATTTTTATAATGTTTTTAGTTTTATTGTTTACATGTTTGATAAAATTATTATTAGTATTAAAAGCGATTTTTACATTTTATGTATTAATTTTAGCAAATTCGATAGACATATTATTTTAATACTTCATACTACAATGGTTATCAACATTAGTTGTGTATTTTTTTTTCTTTAATACGTTTATGAATTGTTTTAATAATATTTAAATTTAATGTATTATTTGTATATGCTTTATTATAGATAATATTGAGCTCATGTTGATAATTATGTTTATTCAATGGAATACGTTAAAGCCTATAGAATATTGAATTAAAAATGATATTTTTTGAGAATAAGGGTGATCAGAATCATGTGGTATTATAGCATCGATTTGTGTAGGTTTCCTGTAAATACTAAAATTAAATTTATTATCTTGCTTTTATATATGAACTTTATATTTTGTTGTTAATAATTGTATTGGTTTCATAATTTTGCATGTAAATTTCAGATAAAAGAGCACTTAAGGACCACCCATAACTAACCCATCTTTTTGATAATATAATTTATTATTATATTGGAAATAGTTATGATTAGTAATTACATTTATTGGTTGAATGATTTCTTGTACTTCGTCTGTATAAATTTATTACTATGTATAAGTTTATTTTTAAAATTTTACTGTTTCGTGTTTAGGAATGGAAGAATATGAATTTTTGACGTCAACAGAAATAATTTTGTAACCTAGCTGAATATTAATTTTATTAATTTTATCAAAAAAATCATAGGTGGTTTTTTATAGAAGTATCAGTATTCATGTTTAATTTTTATTTTACAAGAGAGTCTAAATATTTAGTATTTAATATTTATCTTGTGTAGTAATACAAAAAATAGGAAAAATAAAAAGGGGGGAATAAAAAGGTGTTAGGGGGGAAAAATATAAAGTCGTGGTTAGGGGGTGAGACAGTAGTAGAATAAAAACACTAAATATAGTAATAGAAGACAAATATATTTGAAATGATAGGATATTACGTAGAAGTATCTACAAAGAACAAAATATAAAGGAGTACGTATAAATATATATATTATTATAAAGTATAAAATAATTGATCTAGGTTTTGGTACTACAAAGAATGATTTATCTTTAATTATAATAAAAGTTCAGCCTACTAGTTATATTACTACCTTCCTTCCGATGTTTGAAAGGGATTCGGAATCGTAAATCCGAGAATGGTGACGAAATCGATAAATAAAGAAAAATATAATTATTACCTGCCCACGGTGTTGGAACGCTAGGGTATATACTTATGGATAACTTCACGTGAAACTGGAGTCATTGGACGGAAATCACAATTTAATTAGGATAAACTAATTTAATTAATTAACACTTAGCACCTGTGTGCACTCAGATAAAAAATGATAATATTTAAATTAGGAAAGTAAAAGGTTGAATTACAAAGTAAATTAATAAATAAATCGATCATGAGTGATTATAGCTGCTAAAAGTCGGAGCTAGCTATTCGAGAGAGAACCTTGAAAGAAGTTGGTGGAGCGTAGTTGTTGCTGTGTGCAGAATTCTCGACAGAGTGATCATCTTGGGATTTTTCGATGGATCAATACGCTTCATTTTCAATTGAAAAAACCGTCAAATTTGATGTGTTTAAATAAGCCAAAAAAAGGTCAACCATAAAAAAAAATAGCGTTATGTGTTGATTTGAAATTTGTATAGAAATAATTATAATGGTATATAGTGCGAGAGAATGATGACAAGGCGGTATCATCAAAGGGTCGATTGAAGTTGTATACCTATTGCTTAATTTTATTTGAATTATATTTAAATTTTCTAAATGAAGGTAATGGATCGGATATAGATTGATTTCAAATAATAGAAAACTACTGGAATTTGTGTGCTTAAAAAGACGGAACAGATGGCATTCGCGTCGATGCCGATATAAAATAATTAATAATCGAATTGTGAAAATAAGATAATATAAATAGTATGACTGAGGCGGCAGTGTCCTCAAAGGACCGCAGCAGATGGCATGGAATTCTGTTATATTTTACACATTTTAAATTATTTTGCTTGTAGATAAGCTTGTATCCCTCTCGAATAGCGATCGATCCGTTATATTTATTTAATTATTTACTTTTTGTAAAATACCAAGTATTCGGCCATATTTGAGTCTTTTAGTTACATTTTTAATAATGATATAAATAATAAATAACTATACAGTTATAATATTGGAATGTTATGCTCACATAACATAATATTATGGCCTTTTAAAATATGTATAACCGAAATCTGCTGAGAAACTTTTTTCGTTAGTAATGATTAATCGTTGCATACCAAAATACATTAAATTCTTCTCTATTCCTTCTTCCCGAATTTCCACCTACTTTAGTAGCACACCTGTCTCCATTATCAGCTTTTTTTTTTTTAAATTTATTTTCAATGTTGAATATAAAAGATTTATTTTTAATTTTAAATTCTGTTTTTTTTTTTACAGATCATCTGCACACAAAGGAAAAAACATTAACTTTCAAACAAGTCATCTGCACAACATATATTGACCTAACAAAATTCTTAAACTTCAATGATATTATAAACTTGATAACTGCACTGAATTTACAACTTATAAAATTTGACTATGGCAGCCTAACACTCGATAACTTAAACCAAGTTAACTACTTATTAAAATGTAAAAAACATTTCAACTATATAGGACTAACTATAACTGGAGTTAACTTGGAATATAAAAGACTGGTATTTAACGGATCCACTAAACATTTAACTCTCAACCAAATCCAAATAAGTCACATACCTAACCTAAAATACTTGTTTAATTTAAAAACTTTGGAAGTAACAAATAACACCATAAAAACCATAAATAAAAATTTACCTTTTAACTTAGAACACCTTGACCTATCTTTCAATACATTAACTCGCATAAAAAACATTGACCATTTAGTGAGACTCACAACTCTAGATCTTTCATGTAACTCTTACATAACTAAAATAGAAAACCTGGACAACTTGACTGAGCTAACAGAACTCAACTTGTCTAATAACGAAATACAAACCATAGGAGGATTGGATAAACTAGTTAACCTCAGAAAACTAGATTTATCTAATAATAATATTAGTGTAATACAAAACTTGGACAAACTTATTAATCTCAAAACACTAATTCTTATAAACAACAAAATAGAAGAAATCAAAAACTTAAAAAAACTCACCGAAATAACACATTTGAACTTATCTTGCAATAATTTAACTAGGATACAAAATTTATACGACTGTAGAAAACTTGTAATCTTAGACCTGAGAAATAATAACATTGATTTAATAGAAAACTTGGACTATAACGAACATTTGAAAGTTCTTCTTTTAGGGGGCAATAATATATCTGAACTTACTAATGTATCCCACTTAAAAAGTATAACGACTTTAGATTTAGGGGAAAATCCAATTTATAATATAGAAATTGAGAGACTAAATCAAAATTTTCTTTATCTCAACGAACTATATTTACCATAATCAAACGACCCAAAATAATACTAGACAATAGTACTGTGACAGTACACTATTTCTCCCCAACGGAGGACCGCACTGTCTAGACATTGGCCACGCCTCACATTGTCACCATCACTCTCATCATCGTTCGAGCTCCCGTCATTCCGGTCTTAGTTGTTTGTTCTTTTGATCGTTTCTCAAGCACATGCTCACTAGCACATTCCGTTTGTTCGTTTTATGTTGTCGTTATACAGTGAAACCTCTCTATAACGGACCCTCTATTAAACGGAATCCTCTTTATAATGGAAAAATGTTTTGTCCCAAACGATTCCGTTATAGTGAGGTTTTACTGTACATACTTTGTTCGAATAAAATATTATTAATTTAATTTAATTATAACATTTGTTAACAGTACTTACGCGTCTTTACTTACTACATTGGCAAATCTCGCCAAAGTACTGTTAAATTTTCTTCAAAAAAATAAATAAATGATGTAAATCTATGAGTTAGTTTACTTATATTATATTTACAATGATTAATTTTTGTACATGCATCAAAATGTCAACTTATATTATATTTATGAATTTTTTATTGTACATTGTATAGTGATTTTTTTTATTTTTTAAAATTCTACATTTAAATACCTTTTTTATTATAGTAATACCATTACATTTTAAAATGTATATGTTTTTCTATATTTTTTTTTTTTAGTTGTCAACATTCTTTTTGTATATTTAACCGAAATTCTATTAATTGTGTACATCCTAAATATCATAAATAGGGTAAATTAAAATTTTTAAAATGAAAAATATATTCTTAATGTCAATTAACACTTGTAAATTGCCTCAGGTGGTTTTTTTTTTAAATCTCTCAGCTTATCAAATACCCTGGTATTCAATTCAATTTTCTATCTATGATTNAATCTCATAAAGCTTTTAACATCTTGTTTACATTTTATTATAATATCTTATATATTTTATAAAAAATTAAATGATTTGATCATTGTAATCTTGTAAACGTATTCAAATAAGTTAAAGGAAAATATACAATGAAAACTCTTTATAACGAATCGTAATGTTCGAAGAGATCTATTTTGTTATACAGAATTTTCACAATAAAGAAAGTGGAATAACTGATGCATATGTTATAACGCAAACCAATTATTATTAAGTAATGGTGACTTACGTCCGCGTGGTCTGCGTTCGATGTTATGGTTTTGGACACTTCCAATGAATGCTGCAAGGGCCCCGACCTCACCGGCTCGTGCTGCAGATGTGGAGATGCTGAACACAAAGAGGCTGACTGCCTCTTTCTCTTACAGAAATGTATGGCTTGCGATCGTACTGGTCTCAAGACTAAACCACACAAACTGGGTTCCACTGGTAAAAGACCAGCCATCGTCGATTTGGTTAAGGTGTCCAATCGATGACGATTTGTTGTCATCAGGTTAACCTCTACACCGCTTAGACAGTCCAACAGTTTCTCGCTTAGCATTAAACAGATTGGATTTCGTAGAGGTTATTCAACCGATGATGCTATAGACAAGGTCCTGGGCCAATTAGAAAACCCATTAAACTAAATTATTTTTCTTTTGATCACTAAGTATAACTTCAATGAACATCCATCAAATTTCAAGCATTTTAATTTGATCTAACAAGTTTATCCCCGGGGTACCTAACTATATGTGCAATTAATATTTATTATATTTATGATGAGTAAATTGTATTAGAATTGGATGTATTTTTTCGTTTATTCCTTTTCCAGGCGTATAGACAAACTGTTGCAATCAATTGAAAATTTGTCGAAGGTTAACGACATAGAGCGTGTTGGTTAGCGCTCTAAAATGCACTCATATAATTTATTACAAATTGCGTATAGCCCTTCGGCGAGACACTATAGAAAGTTAGCACGTCTAAATGTGTGACGAGACAAAGTAGCATACGCAACAGATAGGTATATAGGAGTTGTGGATTATCAGATACAGTGATCTGCCTTCAGTTCTGCAAACACTGCACAGATATAGACAGGTATACCAAATACAAAAATTTGCCTTAGGTTCTGCAACCACTATATTTGGGGGATAGAATTTAAAATGATTGTATAGGTGTGAGAAAGGGATGAGGATAAGGATAAGGATAAGGACGAGGAAAAATAACGCGTACGGCGCTTTAACATAGGCATTCTGGGTTCCCCACTCTATTAACGCCACTTACCAGGGTGCAGCTTATCAAAGTGGTGTTATAGTTAAATAATATACAGAAGTTTAGTACAGCCTAGTGGTAAGTGTAAATATTTGTTGATTGTTACAGAGGTTGGTCGTTGTATAGTGAAACACTTGATTGTTTATTTCAAATACTAGATATTTAATATATTGCAGTATGCATATTGCATGTACATATATTATTTTTATTGTTTATTATGTCCAAATCTTTTACTATTTTAAAGTTCATATTTTATTAATTCACTGACATTTTGCAAAGTTAAATATTTGATTGGATTCAATTTTTATCTATTTCTATCTAAAGTTAAAGTTTTTATAAGTTCAACTTATGTACAATTTATTACTACTACCCTTGAGTATGTATGCCTACAAAATATTTTAAATATTTGCATTAAATGTATAATTTCCTTAGATTCTGAGTGTAGCGAAGAATGTATTTGGTTTACTAAGATGTTTATTTATTTTTTTTTATCCTGTGTACAAAAATTCTACCAGAAATATTGCTCTGATATGTACGTGTGGTACCATTTCTGAAAGAAAATATTGTCCGGATAATACTTTTGGAATGTTATTTTTTGATTTTCCAAACCGTTTTCATAATATCTGGAAAAAACCAGGATGTACGTAATAAATTATTACGTATTACGTATTAGAAACGTAATAAAACTGGAAATTTACGAATAAATGATTTTATTATTATTTCAATTGAAATATTTGTTGTGTCAGTTAAAAATATTCGTAAAGATTTGAAACTTGAGCAGAAATCTTATATTTACCTTTTCTAGACATGCTAAAATTTTTGAAACATTTAAGCTATTGATAAGCTTTTTACAAAACTTTTAATATTTTTGTTAAAATTTAGTTAAAAATGTTTTTATCAACTCTATGGACTTAAAATTTAAATCGAACATTTATATATGCCCTTTCTAGACGTCGTTGAATTTTTAAAACAAAGCTATTTTTGAACTATTTATAGATATTTTAATTTTGAGAGTTTTGTACGTAGTTTTTATTCGGTAGGTACTTTGTAGTAAAATTTTTAGACTTAACCGAAATGCTTGAAATTATAACAAGGGATTCATTAAAAGTTTTACTTTGTGGTAACAAAAAAAAAAAAATTGAGTTTAATGTAGTATTTTTTTTATAAAGGAATTTTAATTTAAAAATTTGACGAAAAGCGTTAGTGTAAGGTAACCATACGTCCTGTTTTATACAGGATTGTTCTTTATTTCGGTTTTGTGTACTGTTGTCCTGACAAACTTCTCTCAGGACGTTTTTTGTCCTGTAATCTTAAGTCTATCCCATATTAATCCCGTTTTTTGCCTTACTGTTAATTTATAACTTTTGAAATTTTTGAAATGACATTATTGAATAGAATAATATAAGAATCTATACTTTTCAATTATATTTTTGGATTTTTGTTTTTACCATTATTATTGTTGCGTCACATTGTTGTCGGCGACGTAAACCAGATCGTTATTAAATGTGAGCGTATTGTAATATAAAAATATATTAATAATAACCTAATAGATAGCTCCATGTCGTGGACAAGCGTTATCTTATCGCAATCAACCATATTTTTAAATGTTTTTATTTTATTAGTAATGTTACAACAATCGTTGAGTCTCGAGTATCGTCGACTTGTTAATTGTAATATATAATATTGTACATTTTTATGAAAGTAATCAATTAAAATGTCTAAGCGAAGGTGTGCATTTACTTGTAAGTTAAAAAATGAATTTCCATTTTTAAGAGATGGTAATGAAATGGAAAGGTTTTATGTACTGTATGTAAATTGATTTTTTTAATAGAAAACGGTGGTCGTTCAAATATTACGCAATATGTTAAACAGAAGAAATATTTATTGGCCGTATTAAGCAGTTCTTCAGATAAGGTAACGAATTTTTTCATTAGTAATCTACAGTCAACAAATGAAAGCAAACGTATTATGGCAGAAGAGGATCTTTTTGCATATCATACTATAAAACTTAACCATTCATTCGGTCTATGGATTGCACAACATCAATTATAAAAAAAATTCACGAAAAAAAATTTTCCTGTGTTCGTACAAAATGTGAATCTATAATTGTAGATGTAATAGCTCCTTTTGCCATTCAACAAATGTTAGATGAACTAAAATCGATTGAATTCTTGACAATTATGGTGGATACATCAAAACACAAAAATAAAAACTGTTTCCAATTCTAGTTCGTTAACTTAACCCATTAGAAGGAATTAAAATAAAAGTGATAGAATTTATGAATTTAAAAGGAGAAACAGCAAATATTTTAACAAACTACATAATGAATGTTTTAAAAAAATATAATTTATCAAGTAAAATAGTCACATTTTCGGGGGACAACTGCAATACAAATATTGGTGGTGTTTTGAAATAAGACACAAATAATGTTTTTGCAATTCTTAATGACAAATTAAAAAGAAATTTTTCTGGTATTGGTTGTGCTGAACATATTTTACACAATGCTATGTATAGTAGTGCTGATATTTTTGAGTACAAACATATTTTAAGATCTGTAAAAACGCATTAGTTATCCTTACAGCCAGCCGTTTCTAGAATAATAGATTTATATTTTGCATTGAAGTCATATTTTATGTCGCAAAAAAAGTGTCCTACAGTTTTAAGAACTTTCTTTAATGATCCTGTATCCATTGGATGGTTGTATTTTATACAAAGTCAGTTGAAGGTGATATGTGATACAATAAAAAAGATTGAAAGTAATCATATATCGGCATGTAAGGTGTATGAAGAACTAGAAATGTTAAGAGGTAAAATAAATTAAAATAAATAAAAGAGGTCAACATTTTTTTACATCAGAACTGGCACAACTTATTTCAGATCTTGATTAGAATAAACTGTTCAGTGAAAAACAATTTATTGAGGTAACTGATGAGTTTTTATCGTACTCGGAATAATGGGGATGTTACTTTGAACCATTAAACGTTTTTCGTTGGATTCAAATACTAGATTTTCCAATTTTGTTGTGATGTTCAAGAAAGTATTAAATATATTATTTTATTATAAAAAATCATTTTCGTTTGAAGACTATTTTAATAGGATCTAATAATTGTTACAAGATCAAAGCATATGTCAAATTTTCTTATATTTCTTTACCACACAATAAAATGAAATATTTTTAGTTCAGCCATGATCTTAACTCAGAATATTTAATACTGTCATTTTTACCTTGGTGTTCTAGATGCTTCATATATAATAGTGAAATTATCCAGATTCCTCTCAAAAAAATGTTTGCTGCTATTTAGGATTGTTAATAAAGAAGCTATTCAATTTGGAAATTGTTTCTAAATTTAGTAAAATAATTTTACCTAAGCTAGAAAAATATCAATATTATAATAATTCAATTTGACATAAAAATAAAATTTTAATAAGATAACAGTATATTGGTATAATTAATGAATTATGTATAGGCTTAAATAAAAAATTAAATATAAATAGGTTTAATTAAACTCTATATTTATACTAAAAAAGTAAATAACTAGGAAAATATATTATTTATAGTAAAATAATCCATAATTTCCTTTTTATTTTATGTAAAGTGGTATTTAGAAATGTAAATGAAGAAAATATTGAATTTGGAAATTGTGTGTTAAGACCACCAGTTTTCTCTAGTCTTGAAAACTTCGATATTTCTATTTAACATATTTGAAAGTTTAAATATTAATTAAATATGATACAGAATTATCATTGTGATATGTTAGTATTTTATACTTATTAAAAATGTACCAATAAAAAAATTAATAGAATAGAAGAAGACAAACTGTACTTATTCAACATCAATTAAAGTATACAATTTAAAATTGATCAAGTAAAATATAATTTTAACAGTGCAATAGTCCAGACATTTCTTTAAATATTATCTAATACGTTATTGAGGATTGCAAAAATAGAAAATATTATAAATATATAATATTATTAACTGTACTAAATTTAGTACAGTTATTTTACTCAGTGTAAAAAAATTATAAATCTATTTCTATAATAAAATTATCAATAAATATCAATTTCAGTTGTTGAAGTAAATTTGAACGTCTTGAGATTATATAAAGATATAAATTAAGTCCAATTCATTCAGTTTTAAATTTATCTTTGGATTTATATTACTACACATAGGAATAATTTATTTATTATTTCTTTATGAAATATGAAAATACATAAATAATTAATGGAGAATGGGTTTATTTATACTATTAAAGTATACCAGATGAAAAAATGGATATTATCATGAGGAAAGCAAATAATAATAGCGAAATCATCTAGAGTTTCTCCTGAATCTAATGTTTAATGTTATTGAGGATTGCTAATAAAGAAGATATTAAAAATAAAATGTCTGTCTACATTTAGTACTGTTATGTTACCTAGGCCAAAAAATATCAATATTATAATTTATGTAATTTTGAAGTTATTATTAGAGTTCAATCAGTCTTGAAATAATTATTTAAAGAAAAAAATACTGGGTTAAAACATGGGTATTGTTTATGAATTATGAAAAGAAATATGTGAGAAATTGTGTGGAAAAAGTATATTTAAACTGCATTTTTTACAAAAAAATTGATTATTGAAGTACTAAAATATTAATTTTTATAAGCAAAATGTATTTTGAATAGTTGAAATTTTAGTTACCATTGAGTTTTTTGTGAAATCTTATTGTAGGAGATATGATATTTTAAAATTGTTTGTTAATTAAGACCAGCAGTTTTGTCTATGCTTATATATATTAGTATATTAATTTTTTAAATTTATTAAATTTGAAAGATTTTATTTCTTCAATGTGATTCGGAACTATCGTCTGAATATTTTATATTAATTATAAATGATCTAATAAAAAAATTAACAGAATGGAAGTAAACAAACTATACTTATACAACAATAATTAAAGTGTACAATTTTAATTTGATCAAGTAAAATATAATTTTAACAGTGCAATAATCCAGACATTTCTTTGAATTTTATGTGAAATACTATTAAGGATTGAAAAAATATAAAATATAATATATATTTAATATTATTGACTGTACTAAATTTAGTACAGTTATTTTACTTGGTGTAAAAAAATTCTAAATTAATTTGTATAATTTTGAATTAATTATTATTATTCAATCTGTCTTGAAATTATCATTGAAATAATAAAACATTATGCTGATATTGTATATTTATTATTGATGTAGTAACATAAAATATTAATTGAAATAGGTTTAGTTAAACTGCAATTATATAGGTATATAATGTGCATATTCTTTATTCGAAATATTACTTTTCACAAACAAAATCATATTTTTCTTTGTAAAATTTTCCAGAGTTTTCAATGGATTTTATGTCAAGTGTTATTTAGTACTGCTAATGAAGGAGATGTCAAATTAGGGAACTGTGTCTTAATACTGTACAATGATTTTATCTAGACTAAAAATAAAACAATGTTTAGATTCATATATTTTTAAAGTAATTATACAAATTAAATGTGTCTTAAAATTATGATTGGAATAAATCATTTTGTATAGGTATTATTTTTTTATTACTACTTTATTAATGAGTTAATATAACATATTCCTTCATACTATACCTTTTATTTAATAACATAAGAAAATTAATAGAATTGGTTTTGTGCATTTAGATAAAATCAATAAATTATATACTTATGTTTTGGTTATTGTGATTTGTTAAAATCAATTTAGGTCACATCAAATTTTGAATTTATGTATTAACAAAGAGTAAGTATAATTTTGAATTTAAAATATAGGTTGTCATATAAAAGAATTTGAAAAACCCAAATATGAGCTATATCCCCTTATTCTTCTACTGAATGTGTCATTGTTTAGTATTTCAAAAATAGAAAATAGTTAATTAAAAAAATGTATATTTGGTACCGACTTTAATGGTCTAATAAACCAAATAAATTAAATTACATGTGAGTGTGCTCAACAAAATTTATGAAAACTTTGGAAATTGAAGATGGGTNGGGCCTTTTTTATTTAGTTTTATTTTATGTGTATTGTATCTTGATAAATTAATGTTTGTATATCGATCTGAAAAAAAAATGCTGCTTGAATTTTTATTCATAAATTATTAGAAAATTAGGTACTTTATCAATTTAGTTACCCAGGTAAATTTGGACGTCTTGAGCTTCTACAATATTTGATTTCCTATGTTTAGAAAATGAGCAAGCTCCTTTGATTATTTCTTCAATAAAATCATCTGATAATTGCATCATTAGATCTTCAACCTCCAAATCCAACTGCTCATTTGGATCTACTTCATTTATCAGCTCTCGTAGTCTTGTTCTTGTTAATACCTGAAGGGATTAAAAATACATTATTCTTTCTTTTGATAATTAGATGAGGACTTTATTATTAAAGGTGTATAAAATGAAGAATGAAAATAAATTCTATAGAATTACTTACTGCTCCACTACTTGAATTATCTGCGTTATCTAAAATAATATGTTTTTCCTGTTTTTGTAGTAGTTCTTGCTAGTGTACTGGATCCTGCTGTAGTATATTCTGCTCCTGAAGTAGTTCCTGCTGCTGTTGTATACCATACTGCTGTATTGGTTCCTCTTGTTGTAGTATACAATATTGCTGTTGTGGTTCCCCCTGTTGTAGTATACCATGCTTTTTAAATATCTCCGGCTTCTGTTGTAGTAGATCATGCTGGTTTTGTAGACCTTGCTGTTCAGAACATTTCTCCTGTTTTAGTGGCGCCTGAGGTTTTAGCAATCCCAGTTGTTTAAGTGAGTTGTTTAAGTAAAATATATATTTTGATATAATCTAGACATTTCTTTGAATTTAATGTGAAATTGTATTAAGAGTTGCTAATAAACACGATATTAAATATGAAATTACTGTCTGAATTTAGTAAAACAATTTTACCAAAGTTAAAAAAGATCAATTTATTTATATAATTTTTAAGGTATTTTTACTATTCAATTATTCATGAAATTTTCATTGAAATAATACAACAGTATTTTGTTATTGTTTATAAATTATGAATAGGAAAATGTGAGGAATTATATAGAAAAAGCTTTGTTACTCTGTTTTTTTATACAAACAAATTGTTCATTGAAGTATTAAAATATTGCAAAATATATTTTAAATAGTAAAATAGTCCAGTTTCCTTTGAATTTTTAGTGAATTGATTTTACAGGAGACATATTATTAAAATTGTTTATTTATTAAGATTGCCAGATTTGTCTAGGCTTAAAAGAACAACAATATTGATATCCATTTGATTAGAAAAATTATATTTATTTTATCTGATTTAGAATTATGGTCTCAATATTTTTTTTTTTATATTTATAATGAGTGTGCCAACATATAAATAAATAGAATGAAAGTAGACAAACTGACTTATACAACAACAATAAATGTATACAATATTAATTTGATCAAGTAAACTATTATTTTTACCTTGAGATTATCCAGACACTCATTTGAATTTTATGTCAAACGGAATTGAGGTGCAATATTACCTGAGTTAAAAAAGATCAATTTTTTTGTATAATTTCTAAGTTATTATTACAATTCCATCTGTCTTTAAATTGTCATTGAAATAATATAACAGTATATTGTTATTGTTTATAAACTATGAATAGGCATTTGTCAGAAATTGAATGGAAAATTTATAGTTAAACTGTATTTTTATACAACAAATTGTTTACTGAAGTATTAAAATATTGTAAAATATATTTTAAATAGTAAAATAATCCAGTTTCCTTTGAGTTTTTTGGTTAATGATTTTGCAGGAGACATATTATTATAAAAAAGTTCAATTTATTTTAATAATTCATAAGTTATTTTTGTAATTCAATCTGCTTTGAAATTATTAATTAAGGAAGTTAAGACTAAATGAGTATTGTTTATGAATTATTAATAGGCTTATATGATATATAGCAAAAAAGGGCATAAAAAGGGTTTTTTTAACTGCATTTTACACAATCAAATTTAGTATTGAATTATTAAAATATTAGTTATTACATGCAAAATGTATTTTAAATAGTTAAACTACTTGTTTTCTTTGAGTTATTTGTGAAGTTGTCTTGCAGGAGACACATTATTTAAAATTGTGTGTTTATTAATAGCACCCGTTATTTATAGATTAGAATAACATAAATATTTATAAAATATAAAATTTATTTTTGTATATATATATAATATATTTAAGAAGTATATATGATTATTTAATTTTTTTTTTACTTTCATTGGATTAAATATAAATTATGGAGATATTGTATTTTTATTATTGATGTTGTAAAGTAATGTATTGAATGAAATAGGTGTAGTTAACTTGTAATTATATACCTATATAATTTTGCATATAATTTTTTCAAAATCATTATTTTCACAAACAAAAGTCTATGTTTCTGAGTTAAATTTTCAAGTTTTCACTGGATCATATGTTAAGTGGTATTTAGTATTGCTAGTGAAGGAGATATCAAATTAGGAAATTGTGTTTTAGTTAAGTACAAATAATTTTATGTAGGTATTATTTTTTTACTACTACTTTATTACTGAGTTAATACAACATATTCCTTCATACTATACCTTTTATTTAATAACATAAGAAAATTAATAGAATTGGTTTTGTGCATTTAAATTAAATCAATAAATTTTATACTTATGTTTTGGTTATTGTGATTTGTTAAAATAAATTCAGGTCACATCAAATTTTGAATTTGTGTATTAACAAAGAGTAAGTATAATTTTGAATTTAAAATATAGGTTGTCATATAAAAGAATTTGAAAAACCCAAATATGAGCTATATCCCCTTATTCTTCTACTGAATGTGTCACTGTTTAGTATTTCAAAAATAGAAAATAGTTAATTAAAAAAATGTATATTTGGTACCGACTTTAATGGTCTAATAAACCAAATAAATTAAATTACATGTGAGTGTGCTTAACAAACTTTATGAAAACTTTGGAAATTGAAGATGGGTATCATGAACTCAAACATTTTTATGTTGACATTTTATTTAATTCTAACTTAGTGTATTATATATTTTACTGTAAGTTGCATAANATTTTTTTGTTACTATAGTTTTCTTGATCAATGCCATACGTTGTCTATGAGCCTCAGTTTTTGGCGCTTTTTTGTTTGGTTTTAATTCATGTGTATTGTAACTTGGTATTTGAATGTTTGTATATCGATCTAAAAAACAATGTTTCTTGTGTTTTTATTCATTCAAGTTATTAGAAAATTAGGTACTTTATCAATTTAGTTACCCAGGTAAATTTGGACGTCTTGAGCTTCTACAATATTTGATTTCCTATGTTTAGAAAATGAGCAAGCTCCTTTGATTATTTCTTCAATAAAATCATCTGATAATTGCATCATTAGATCTTCAACCTCCAAATCCAACTGCTCATTTGGATCTACTTCATTTATCAGCTCTCGTAGTCTTGTTCTTGTTAATACCTAAAGGGATTAAAAATGCATTATTCTTTCTTTTATTAATTAGATGAGGACTTTTTTTATTAAAGGTGTATAAAATGAAGATTGAAAATAAATGCTCTAGAATTACTTACTGTTCCAATATTTGAATTAACTGCGTTTTCTAAAACAATATGTTTTTCTTGTTGTAGTAGTTCTTGCTTTTGTACTGGATCCTGCTGTTGTATATTTTGCTCTTGTAGTGGTTCCTGCTCCTGTTTTATATCATACTGTTGTATTGTTGCCTCTTGTTGTAGTATACCATGCTGCTGTTGTGGTTCCTCCTGCTGTAGTATACAGTGTCTTTTAAATGTCTCTGACTGCTGTAGTGTCTCCGGCTTCTGTTGTAGTATATCTTGCATTTGTACTAGATTATGCTGTTCAGAAGTATTCTGCCGTTTTAGTGTCGCCTGAGGTTTTAGAGAGCCCTGTTGTAGTAGTTGTTTTTGTTGTATTGGTTGTTGCAGTAGTTGTTGATATTGTACTGGATATTTTGGGTGAAAAAGTTGCAATTTTGGTTTTGGTAGTAGCATTTGGTGTTGTCCCTGTTGTAGTGGTTGTTGCTGTTTTAGTAATTGTTGGTGTTGTAATAGTTGTTCGCTCTGCAGCGGTTTTTGCAGCTGTTGTTGCAGCAGTGGTTGTTTCATAAGTTGTAGTAATTGCTGCTGTTGCTGTTGTTGCTGTAGCTGTTGCTGTTGCTGCTGCTGTTGTTGCATACTATTGTTTTGTTCAATATTTGTTGTTAATAATTGTTTGTTGAATATTACAAATCCCGAATTAGGACTTTTATTGGAATTTTCAGATATTATGGTTGGTGCATTCATTGTTACGTTTTTAACTATTTGTTTCTAGAGTTAACAGTTTATGGTCTTATGGATAGGTTACCGAAGTAAAGAGTACCTACTTAAAACAATTTTCTTTTTTTAAGCAAAGGTTAGATTTGTAATTTGAATTAATCCCTTTGAATTAAGTTATACCTCCGCTGTTCTTTCACCATATCTATTATCAATGATATAGCTTATACACAGGTGTAGAAACATAAACACCTAGTGAGCAAGTTATGCCACTTTTAAAAACAAACTCAAAATTGAGACTAGATATAAATTAGGTCCAATTCATTTAGTCTTAAATTTATCTTTGGATTCTTATTACTACATGAAGGATTAATTGATTTCTTAGTAGTTTTGAAATATGCGCATATATAAATAATTAACTGGTTTTCTTTGAGTTTTTTGAGAAGTCGTTTTGCAGGAGATATGAAATTTGAAATTAGTGGTTGATTATGATCACTAATGATATCTATTCTAATATAAACATCAATATTTTTATTTATAAAATTAGAAAGATTTTATTTCTTCAATCTGATTCAGAATTATCATTGCAATATTTTGTTATCTTATTTTTTTTTATAACAGTCCGAATATAAATTTAATAGAATGGAAGTAGACAAACTGTACTTCAACTACAATATTCAATGCATATAATTTTAATTTGATCAAGTAAAATATAACTTTAACAGTGAGATAATCCAGAGATTCCTCTGAATTTTTTGTAAAATGGTATTGAGGATTGCAAATAAAGAAAATATTAATTATGGAATTTCTATCTAAATTAAGTACAGGTATATTACAAAGGATAAACAATTTATCAACTTATTTTTATAATTTTTAAGTTATTGATATGATTTAATCTGTATTGAAATTATTATTTAAAGAAAGTAATAGTATATTGATATTGTTTATGAGTTATGAATATGCATACATGAGATACAGTAAAAAAAGGTATTGTTAAACTGCATTTTATACAAAAAAATTGAATATTGAAATTAAATGTATTTTAAATAGTAAATTTTTTTAGTTTTCTTTGAGTTTTTTGTGAATTAGTTTTGCAGAAGATATGATATTTTAAAATTGTGTGTTAATTAAGACCACCAGTTTGTCAAGGCTAAAAATACATCAAAATTTATATTTATTTAATTTGAAATTTTTTATTTAGTCAATCTGATTCAGAATTACCATCTCAATATTTTGTTTTTTTAATTTTTGTTATAATTGTACTAATATAAAAACAACTTAAAGAGGTCATTTTTCGATTTTCTCAAGATTTTTTCCACCGAATTTGAAAAACCTGGAAGAATGAGGAAATCAACCGGAAAAAAGTAAGAAAAACGGGAAAATTGGTACAATATTAAATCAATATTAAATAAAATATATATTCTCCCTATTTAATTATCTTACTATTATATGACATATGTATTGTGGAAAAATCATCTCTATAAACTGAACTGCTCTCAGAATCGTTTATTTTCGTTAACATTGGTTTATCATTGCTTACAGATATACATAATATATTAATACATCAAATTACCTATAACAATGAATGCACCTGACCCCATTATCTTAAGATATCTTTTGTATGTATACATTTTAGGGTGGGGAACTGAAACGGCCGATTTTAAAAATAGATTTTTTCAGTAGTTATTAAGATAAGAATTCTCACTAAATATTATTAGTTCAAAGACAACATTTAATAAATATGGAACAGTGGAGCGGTGAACAACGTGCTTATGCGATAAAATAATTTTACAAAAATAATTACATTTACGTAGCTGCACAGCGTTCATTTCGTCTTCATTTTAATCTTAAACGCCATGATTTGGTACCACCGACTAAGATTATTAAAATATGGGTAACCAACTTTGAAGAAACGGATTCAGCATTAAAAAAGAAGCCTTTACAAAAAAAAACCACTTGCACACCTGAAAAAGTCGCTGCTGTTATGGCTACTCTCATAAAAAGTCAAAAACGTTTTGTACGAAAACATGCGTTATCGTTAAATTTAATCAGTAGAAGTCTACGTCGGATTTTACACAGCGACCTAAACTTTCACCCGTATAAGATGCAGGTGATTCAAATCTTTATAGCCGCACAACTTTTTTTCGAGAAATGCTAACCCAGATAGATGAAAACGAAAACTTTATTCAAAATATTTCTGAAAATGGTGATATTCATTGGCCGCTTCGATCACATTATTTATTAGTATGTGATTTCTTTTTTTGGGGGTATTTAAAAAGTAAAGTCTATGCACAAAAACCTCGAAATATTGATGAATTAAAAACCAAAATTAAAGAAGAAATCGCCAGTACACCTTTGGAATTGATACACTGTGTAGTGAAAAATGTACGAAGTAGGCTAGAAAAATGCTTGCTAAGGATGACCATCATCTTGAGGACATAATTTTTAAAAAATAAATGGCAAGTTATGCACTTCAATATAAAAAAATAATAATTAATTTTTATTCGTTTGTTTATTTTATAATTTACCTTTGAAAATCATTTCAGTGCCCCACCCTGTATTTATTTACAAGTATTAACCATTTTAATAATTATGTTTTTAATTTATTATTTTATATTATATGTCATATTATGGTAAAATAATTACATAATATGCATTGTATATTTTCTTTAATAATATTTGATTAGTACTGTCCTTATTTTCTTGTTTTTTCCAATTATTGGGAAAACTCAAAAAATGACCTCTCCTTTCCAGTTCAACAGTTTAAACAGGGAACTGTTTGAATTATCAAAGGCACAACTATCTTCCTGTTAAAAATCTATTATAAGAAAAAAGTATGATATATATTTATTTGTCAGTTTAGTGTTCACTGATAAATAGTTAATATCTCGGATTGATATATCCTTATATCTCCCAAATAAATTGAACATAACTAATAAAAGAACATTTATTCAGAGCCCTATTTTAATACAATATATTATTTATTTATTTGTATTATAATAAATTGACAACTATACTTAACATAATACTAAAACTGAATAGTAAAACATAAATGTCTAATATTATCGGTTCTTTGAATATCAATTTAAAAATATTCTATTGCATATAGGTCAAATCTAAAAACATGTTTTTTTTTTTAAATAACTTATTTATTTATTAAGTGATTGGTATACAACTATGCGATTAGTAAAAAATGTTTATCAATCATTTATTTCTATCTAAAAAATCTACATTGATAAAAAAAAAAACAATTATACAAAATTAAATAAGTTAAAAATAATAATTATACAATCAATAATATATCATCAAACTTTCTATTACTAAAGAAAAATTTAATAATAATAATAAAAAAAAAATACTTAATAAATTACAAATTAAAAGTTAGTACCTAATGTATAAAATATAAATACATATTGTTAGACATAGATATGAAGACAGAGCAGTGATAAATTGAAAAATTAGTAATTAAAGACAGTTGGCCGCATAATTATTTTGATTGCACATTATAAATAGTCTTATTTTCTCCAAAAACTTTTGAAAAAGCCACGTTTAGTGGATTGATTAGTCACACATTCTTCACTTATATCACCTATGATAAATTTCAACAGTAATACAGTAATTAAATAACTCATAAAATTAAAAATTTGAATTCAAATAAATAAATAACAACTAATATATTATTTAATTATAATATTTCATTGTGAGCAAGATTATTTAGTATTAAAATATATATTAAAGATACATAAATTAAGACTGAACATAAAATATGTACATGTTTATTATAATTAGGGTTCAACATAGTATAAATAGCTCAAAAATATTTTAAAAATTGTATCATTCTAGAAAAGACTAATATAATTTTTCTATAGTAAATAAAAATATACATGTTTTATTTATATTTTTATTTGCAAGTATTAACCATTTAAATAATTTTCTTTTTAATTTATTTTATTATAATTTTTATGTCAAAATCAAATCTTTATAAATAATTTTAACTAAATTACAAAAATAAAAATAAGGAAAAAGACAGAAATACTTTGCACAATGGGTGGGGAATGTAGGATATATTGTCGATTTTAATGTATATCTGTAAGCAAAGATTAAACGGGTGCAAAGTTCTTAGGATAATGGGCTCAACTCCATTTTGAATATATGCAAAATGTAACCAAAAAAATGTAATGAGCACACTTAATAAATAACCCTATATATGTATAATATATATGTTACAATTTAAGTATGAAACATGGATTAAGTGCACATAGATAAAGATATAAAATTTAATTCTAAGATAATGTGGATGGGTGCAGCTACTGTTATAAGTAATTTAATATAAACCTGTAAGTAAGGATAAACCATTGCTAACAAAAAACGATTCTGAGTGGAATTCGGTTGATAGTGTAGCTTTGTCAACAATATATATGTCACATTATGGTAAAATAATTATTTATGCATTATATTTTTTTATATAATGTAATAATTGTACAATATAATTTATTTAATATTTGTTTAATATTGTTTTCCTATTTTATTTTGCCATTAGGAAAACTTCTTAGAAAATCAAAAAGTGGTCTTAAAGTCTCCAGGCAGATTTCATTTTAGAAAAATGCTATCATTGTAAATTGGAGTAAAATTGTTGGTAGAAAAGTTGTCCATGGAAAAAAAAATTAACTTCTTTGTAAGTCCATATGATTTTTATAAGAAATTCAAAATAGAATTTTACAAAATTGTTGTTTTTTATACTCTTGTTCAGGTCGTTTTTACAATATTTTTAAGTTTTTGCATATTTGAATTGTTATTGTGGTTTATAATATTTAATCATTATTCAGAAGTATTATTGTATAATATAAAATGGAAAACGTTTGTCATGTTATGTGTTTTATTTACTAGTTAAATATTATAATAGATTATAAACCACAAACATATTTACATTTACAAAATATCAACAAATTATAGAAAATGAAAAACTTCACCTAAACTTAAGTTTTAACCACCAACATTTTTTTTTTTTAAAAAAAATCTCTATTAAAAAATAGTTATTTTTAAATTTTTAAAATTCATCCAACTGAAGAAAAAAAATGTACATATTCAGTATAGTACAGAGGCATACTAATTACTTCAATTAATATATATTAAAAATATTGAATAAAGCAACTTATTTAGTGTCTGATCATTGTGGACATAGTTTATAATTATTAAATATTTTGAATTCTCCTTTGTATTTTTAATATTTAAAAAATAATATTTAGGATTTTATAAATCAAACAAATGTATATGAAAATAAAATTAAAAATTGCATTTACCATGTGGACCAATCACTGACGAAGAAAACACAGCTTTAGATTTGTTACCTTTGTTTGTATTACCTAAAATTTAGAATAACCATTTACATAAATAATACATAGGGTGTCCCATTGTAATATCTCTAGAGATAATAAACATAATCAAATTCTTTTTTATTTTTATTTTACTCATGGGGATAAGCAATATAAATTTTTAAGTTGTGTTAATTGACTGTACACTTTTTTCTCTGAACTATAAAAAAATTGATAAATACAAATTTGTAGAAGAATAAACTCAATAATATGGCTATCTTAAAATTTATCAAAAGTATTAAAATATAATTTTTTTAAAGTTTTAATTAAAATAAAAAATATATTGAAATATAAATATTTGTAGTCATTATTTTTATTATCTCCGGAAATATTACATTGGGTATATTTTTGTGGGACACTTTTATATAAACAACTCATTTGTTAAAAAAAAAATATTAACCTTTTCTAATAAGTAGACTAGTGACACGCCGAAGGGCTTCTCTGGGGGATCTATGGAAGAACTTTGGTGTAAGGTTTGGGGGTAATGTAACAGGTTTATGGCCTTCCCTTGTGTCCCACTGTGAGTGACCCACAGGACTTTTGCTTGCCAATTTATCCAGTTGTTCAACTGAAACAGGACGAAATTGCCGTTGTCTAGGGTACCAACCCCTGCCAGGTCCGTTCAAGTGTAACAGTTCAGCACCAGCCATTGCTTGACCCAAACCAATATTAGATCCATGACCAGCACTTCTCATGTTGATGCTTAAACTATCTATGAAAGTAATAGCAAACAATAATTAGTTTGACATTTATGTTCTGGTATACAAGTACTATTTCAACTTACTTGACATCTGAGTCATTGTTTTAGTACTGGTAGCTGAATATTGCCTAGGAAAATCACACCTTCCTAAAAGTGGGGTATCTGGTAATGAACTTGATATATCTGATAACTTTTCAATTGTACTCGGATGAATATTGGTTTTAAGTATTAAAGGTTTGGGATATCCATCAGAAACTGGTACTTCAGATGGATAAGTTCTTCTTTCAGACTGAACCTACAATTCCCAATAAAACAATACATATTCAAATGGTATATAGATTAATTAATTTTAATTTTAATTTGTTATTTAAATAATTAATGTACTACTGATTTTCAGAATACAAAAAACTCTATTTTTACTTTGTTTTAATACTACAATTTAGATTAAAACTAATTACTATTAAAGTTTTTTTTTGCTATTTGTCTAATAATATAATATAATTTAATTTTCTAGCTTTTTTAATTTTCATATTTTTTAAACTATGACAATTGCTAAAAACTTTAGCAACTTTGTGTCTCTATCTTTTACCAGCTCTTATATTTACTGTCCATTCTATCTTATTCTGTGATTATTATTTATATAAAATATTATTATTTTGGAGCATATTCACAAGTGAAAACGTTTCAAATGCTTGTTAATTAATTTTTAAAATATATATATGATAGAAATTCAGCAGCATCTTATTATTCAGCAATAATCTTTGTAATAGTGGCATTATAATATGCTCTTAACAGGATATAATCAGTTGTCAGAAAATTGATATGGGATTTTTTCTGATTCAGTTTGAAATATAGCAAATATTGAACAAGATGTTTGTATAGACATTTTTATTATCAAAAAAAAAAAAAAAAAAAAATGAATCAATAATGTATTTATTTTTTAGTGTGTCAATTTTCTTTTTAAAAATAATTTATATATATAAATAATATTAATTTTTGTACAATAGAGTATTTGATTGATCATGATAACATGTTTCTAGGTTAAGATATATAAAGCGAAAAATTATCTAGAAATGTTTTTCTCATCTATCCAAGCAATTACAAAGACATTAATTTACAATAATTTAAGAATAGTAATCAATTTACATTTTTATAGCAAGTAGTTAAAGATATTATTGAACATATTGCTGGCTTCACTTAATTAATTTGTGATGAACACTAAAGTTTCTGGATCTGAATCATTAATAACCATAAATAACCGAGGTAGATTAACTATTCACTAGTGAATACTTAATTTATTATTTAAATAAAGTTTTAGAGCATTAAGGGTTAAATTATTGCATAGGCAAATTATTTATTTTTACGTTGGTAACACCCCTAATACAATCTGATTGGTCTGATTTAAATTTTAAAAGTAAATATGAATTGGTCACAAAATATTTAGGATTTTTAATTCCAAAATTAAGATATTATTTTTGAAATTTATGTGGAAAAACTACATGACCACAAATAATACCTAAATAACCTAGAAAATTTGTCAACAAATATCCTAACCTAACAATATCTAAACATAATATAAAAATTTAAACCTGGCAATGATAAGATGTCTTATTTTTAACTGTTTATTGGACTAAAACATATTTGTTTGTAAAACAGCAGTACCTCAATCACATAAATGAGTAATGGGCAGGTAGTAGATTAGTTGACATAACTTATAATTAAGGTGTAAAGAGTAAAATATAACTTTCAAACTTTACAGAAGTTAGAGAAAATTAAATTTGGAAAACTGATCCAACTTCTAATTGGTGACATAGATAACAGTTGAGTATTGTTACTTTATGAATATTAGAAAAAATACATTTTATAATTAATCAGAAAATCAAAATATCATTAGCATATGTTAACTGGTTTAAAATTAGGTTTATTTTTATAACTTTTTTTTAATTTTCCATATGTCTGTTTTAATGATAAATGGAAAAACTCGGGAGAGGGGGTATCAAAGAAAAACAAAATATATAGTTGACAGACCTAACAGAGCAACACTTAAAGTTCCCTCCCACTTTCCCAACTTCTTACTTACAACATGTCTTTTAGCATTTTCTTACTTATATTTATTGAAATATGTATATTTTCAGTTTGTTGGTATTTACTGAAAAGATGATATACACCAAAAATGATTTTATCAAAATAAAAGTATACTTAACAAATATTTTCAAATAAAGTAAATAAATAAATAAAAAATGTATACATAAAACTAAAACAAATAAATGAATCAATGCATAATGTGTAGTCAAAAAATACATTTATCATAATACTCTAGACGTACTGATTCATTTATTCATTTTATTTTTATAAATAAATTTTTTATTTATATATTTTATTAAATATTTCCATATTGTTATTTTAAAATACCAATATCAGTATATAAATAGAATAATGAGAATAATGTTATTATAAATTATAGATAGAGCATATTAATTTGACTTGGTAAAACAATTTAATATTGACTTATTTATAAGTTTATAAATAAAAAAATTGCTTCATTTCATTTTTTTTTTCCCATCAATAGTCCATCAACTTATTTAAAATTATAAAAATAATGTTAAAACAATTTTAGCATAAATAGATTACATTCAAATCATTTTTAGTAAAATTAAGTGTAAATGTAAACAAGAATTTATTAATTATAACATAAATATTAATAATTGTATGTTATCATTATTTGAAGTAATGTAATGGTGAGTATCAACATAAGCCTATATAGTATATAAGAAGAATATATGTAATATCAGAATCAATTTTTTTTCAAAACTGAAAAAAAAAAACATTAAAAAACTAGTTTTCATTTGATAAATCAGTTAATTTTAGCATAAGGTCATAGTTTTCAATTTGAAATATTAGATAAGATATTAGGTTTTTAAAGGCTGAAAATATCAGAATATCAGGTATTTAAAAAAAGAATATTGTCTCACCATTAATTAATTATTTGTGGTTAGTAGTTACAACATTTATTATTTATTATCTTGTATTAAAAAATTGAAAATTTCATTGAAAATGATTTTATACATTTTTTTTTTTTTAAATTGGGTACCTAACTGATTCAAAGTTTAAAGTACAATAAATTAGGAAAACTTTCAAACCACAGAATATTACATTCTAAAATAATAAATATCCAAAACAAATTACTTACAGATCGTGTTCCAATTTTTTGATGTTGTTGAAAGTTGTGAGAAAATTCAGCATCTATTGATCGTGATTTGATAATAGAAGTACTTGGCTCATTTTTGTGAATATCAAACATAAAAGGTACAGGTGCTGAGTTTTCTCTTTTTGTTTCAACACTATTTAATACAGATAACTCTGAAACTATAAATAATTGTTTCAAAATAAATTTAATTATATAAAATAGATAAAAGTATCAGGTGTTTTATGTGATAAGAGGATTCTAATGAGACTTCAAGGTAAGATCTACAAGATTGTGGTGAGATAGGCTAATTTTTGTATAGTTTGAAATGTTGGGGGGGGCAGGAAAATAGAACAGAGAATGAGTGTACCAAACATGAGAATACTTAGATGGATAAGTAGAGTATTGAGAGAAGATAGGATAAATAATGAGTACATAAGAGGTACTAGGTGTAGTTTCGCTAGTCAACAAAATGGGAAAAATAGATAAAGATGGTTTGGGCATGTTGTGAGGAGAGATAAATCAAAAGCTGTAAGAATTTTGATGAAAATATAAAAAGAGGAGAGAGGGAGAGGTAGACAAAAAAGGTGATTGAATGCAATTGAGAATGATATGAATGTTGAGTATATGTGAGGACATGAGGAAAGTTTAGGACAATAGTGACTGACTACAAATAGTTGGGATGAATACAAAAGAAAAGAAATTTAATTAAAAAATAATATTTGTTAAATATTTTACCAATTTCTTCAATAGGTGAAGGGGGCAATGGGCCAAACAAAAATGAATCAAAATCTCCATCAACATTGTTAATGCTTAATTGTTCATTGACAAACTCCTTTAAAATGTTTGCGTTTACATAATTTTCACATTCATCATTAGAATCAACTTCAAGATCTTTGTCATATAAACTGAAATTTGTGTAACCAACATCAACACAGTCCTCTTCATTCATTTTGGCTTCAACTTCCTTGTCAAATATGTTTATATTTGTATAACCAATTTTGGAACAACCTTCTTCATGAACACAAACTTCATTTCCACTGGCAATTGAATTAATGTTTGTATAATCAATTTGGGGACAGTCTTCACTGGATTTCATTTTGTAAACTTTTTCAAATAATGCAATTTTTTCAGAACTACCATTAGAAAAACAGTCATCCTTATTAGTTCTAACTTTTTCTTTATTAAAATCATTTATATTTATATAGCCAACACTTGTACAGTCTTCTTCATTAGTACTAACTTCATGGTCCTTGTTAAATATGTTGACATCAGAGTAATCAAAACTGGATAAGTTTTCTTCTTCGTTAGTTTTAATTTCATGTTCTATATTAAACATTTTAATATTTGTATAACCAATACTGATGCAATCTTCGTTTATGTTATTTTTCATTTCATTGTCATTATTCAGTTTTATTTCACAATCATTGGTAAGAACATTAATATTAGTATGACAAATATTATGATTTGTTTCCTTGTACAACAATTTATCATTAACTAGACAATTATTAATAAAAATATCTTCTGTCTGGCAACTTGTGTCAACAAGGATTTTTTGATTTTGATTTTTAAGTAATTCGGTTGATACTTGCACAGACATGTCATGTTTAGCCACAATTTTTTTACAAAGTTTACTCATAATTAATTCGTGTTTGGTTGCACACATAGTTAAGTATAAACATGAATTATGGCTGTTTGTACTATTATGACTTAGAAGATTTGGTAATGAAGAAACTCTATACAGTAAAGGTGGGTTTGGAGGTAGAAAGTCAGGAGGCATTTCATCTAAACCATCTACTAGACCTTCTTTAAGTAAACTTTTTATGTTTTCAAATGTTGAACTAAATCGATTCAATTCACTGTCTTCGGGTAAGGAATAATTTCGTTTATTTATGTTTTTATTAATATATACTGACATGTCCACACAGTGTTTTGGGGAATAATGTTCATAATTATTGCTTGAAAGAATACAGTCTTTTTCGTATAATAATTGATCATGTTCAATTGTTTTTGTACAATTCAATGGCACATTTTCATTGACTAGAGGTAAAATGATTTTCAAGACATTTTTTTGATTATCAATATGTGATTCTTTAATACAATCAAGTGTTAAATTGTCCTTTGGAAGACCCGTTACACTTCCATTTTGTGATGGAATTGGATTAATAACATTAGATCCATTTTCTTTGACTAATGGTGGTATTATATCTGGTACTGTTTCAATAGTAACACATTCAACCACCTGTGCCAAAGGCCAACTTTTACGATCATTTTGAAAATCAGCCGACTTAGAATTTGAAACATTTTTAGTGTTTTGGTCATATGTCTTATTTTTAACTCTAGGCTAAAAAAAAATTAAAAACAGGTAAATAAATAACATAAATAAAATAAAATACAAATTACCAAAGTTGATGATACAGAAATTGTATTGGGCAGCATAGTTAATTGTAATAATACTTGAGTGAATAAATGTTCAATTATTGCTCAGTTACCTATTTAAAATTTGATATCCTAGGACAAAAAAAAAAACCAAATTATAGTATAATAGTATAATAACAATTTGAAATTAACAACTAATTTTTTTTTTAATATGATAATGATGAATTTATGCAATTTAGTTTAAAGAAATATAATACATTATACCTACTCTAACAATGTATATTATTTTTAGTATTACAAAGTGATTATTTTATCATTGAATACTCATTATTTCTAAAAGTATTGAATTTGTTTGACTTATTGTCAAACTGTTCTCAAATTATTCAAGAAATACGCATCTCTAGAGTCTAACTCATGAAAAAAAGGTGCTGATGGAGTTCCACACCAAGTCCTCATGGAATCCTCTCAGCTACTGACTGTTACTGACCTATGTATAAATGCTACATACCATTATTTTTTCACATCCTTTTTAGTTTAAAAGTGGAATATATAATAATGGTTATATAAAATTAATCATTAATATTAGTCAATTTTACAATGAGATTATATTTAAATATTATATTAAATTTGTATGATAAACCATGTATTAAGACATAGACCAAAGTCTAAATAGAAACAATACAAATGTATTTTTTAACTGAAAAACACATTTTTCCTATTAAAAAAAATTTAAAACATCACTCAATGACTATTAAATAGAAACCATTTATTTTCATAATGGCTACATGCCCACATGCCTTCAATATAGCACATAGTGTGCTAAATAACTAAATTAAAATTTATGTAGGTGAATAGTTATATTTATAGGTTTGACTCACACTATTGTTTATAATAATTATTATCTTATTTGTAAATTGAAAAGTATACAAACATATAATCTTGATTATTACTATACAGAAATACAGTTTATATAAATTAAAAATGATTAAATTTACAGATTGTGTATTTCTTTAAAAAAATATATTTATATTTATGTTACAACTAAATTCTGAAAAATGGCTAAAGTGCACATTATTCATACTAATTGAACAAAGTAAACTCTCAAAATTTAAATACACAGTTTCATACATTAACTGGCTATTTTGTACATAGGCAATTAATAGATAAATGAAGTAACTCGTTAGAAAAAAGGAATACATATTATATTTTCAACAGCACTAAATGTAAGATAGTTATAGATAAGTTTTTAAAAGTAAAAACTGTATAAGGATGAAATTAAATTTTAACTTACTATAATAATAACAATAAATAATAGTTACAATACACCATAATACTATTTCTCATTACTAATACAGATAAGTATCTGGCAATCATTTATTGTAATTGTTTAAAATTTATTTTAAATTTAACGTATTTTACAATTTATATTAGTAATTACAACAATTTATTTTAATTTTTAAGCTAGGTAGGATGATTTAAAAACTGTAATATTGTACATATCTGTAACTAATTTAAAAATAAAAATATAAAAAAAACAACATACAAACATAGACAATGTTCTTTAGATTTAATAATAGACAAATACACCCCAATGTTAAATCTAAGAGTACACAATTGGTTTTCATACACAAAAAGTATACATATAACAACTTTTACCATAATATATACTATAAAAATTAACCCATGAAAATATTAATCTGTCATTAGTTTCTTTTTTATTTTGTATTGTTATGAGGATATATTTTACGGCAGTTTTGAATATAATACCAGAGGTTCTTAAAATTTTTATTTTGTGTACCATTCATGTGTATTATGTATCTACTGAGTATCACATATGATTAAAAATGTAATTGTTTAAACCTTCAAAACATGTATTTAATAATTTTCCATACTAGCATCATGGGCTTTCTGCATACCACCAGTGATACACATGCCACAGATTGAGAATCACTGACTTATACTTATAGCTATTTGTGAAATACATTTATTGAACATTTTTAGAATAATGTTAGGTGAATAATTTTTTAATATTAAATAGTTAGTAAGTTATTTATAAATTATTTTTTAAAAACTACAATACTTATAAATAAAATATGATAATACTACAGAAAATAATGGGGGCTAATTACTTTTTGGGTATTTACCTTTATTACTTTATACTCTAATATTATACAAATGGAAACCATGTGCACTGTATTATACATATCTAAAATGATAAAATACTTTTAAAATAAATAATTTTCAATTTTTTACTATTGCCCATACATGTATTACATATTTATTGTATTTTAAAATTTTCTTTAATTTTTTATAACTAATTGACCATAGATTAAACTTTTAACATTGAAGTATCATACAAATATTAAAATTCATACAATTGTATAAAACACCTTTTAAATACAAGGTGTAACCTAAGAAGTTTAACTATCATAAGTATTGATTGTATATTATTTGATATTTTTATTTTTAAGATTTTAATCATTGTAGCTAATAATAATAATAAACCATTTATACTAAAATTGATATCAATAGGTAAAAGTATCGGAATTTTCAAGAAAATTAATAGTTTATATTTCTATTTTATGTTTTAAAAAAATATCACCCTGTACATACACGTAATCTAACTGTAAGACATGAAATTAATATAGTTTTAAGACTTAGTTAGTTGAATCTGCTAGAATAAGTGGTAAACAATATTAATTATGTATAATACACATTTGATAAACTGTTTATAAATTATTAAATTAAAAACATAGGTAAACATAAGCGACGTGCCATGGTTCTCTATGGATACATACATTTTTTGGGTATTTACGAATGGGTTTATTTATCTACCCAACATTTGGATGAATTTTTTTACTTTAATCTAGTTTAGACATAATTTTTCAATAAAAATAAAGAAGACTGATTATAGCAAAAGCTTTATAAGTAACATAAGTATTATATTTCTGTTTAAATTTGTATTTATGTTTGTTTTTATGAATAAAGATTAAATTTCTTTTTTCATGTTACTATATTTTTTTCTTAAAGGGATATTGAATTCAACATGAATGAAATAACAGAAACTTTATAAATATTATTTATTTACTTTAATAATCCAACCTGGAATTCTATGAAAAATTCAGGGAATAATCATAATGGATTATAATTTAGTAACTATGAATTAGTTTTTGTATTCAAAATAAATTTACTCGATAAATGTCCAACACTATAATTTATGTAGGTGATTATTAGTCATAAATAAAAATATTCCCTATTATCAATAAACATATTTTACTTTAATCTAAAATTGTACATATTTATACATTATACCTACCCATAAAGTGTATTTAAAATTAAAAAAAAAAAATCTAATTTATCTTTGTGTGTAATAGCTTTTTTCCGATTACCAAATTGATTGAAGATCTGGTCGAAAAGTTGTTAATAAATAGAAAAAAAAATACATCATAATGAAAAAATATATTGTAGACTTAATTCAAGATCTAAAATAACTTATACTTTGAAGAATAAACCAAATACAAATTTAGTGACATCACCAAAATATGTCCATGTCTTATATACAAAAAATTAATAGACTATAATGAACAGAAATATACATAAATCTAATTTATTAGATAAGTGATTGAATTATTAGTGAGATTAATAGTTAAAACCCATTACATCAACCAGTAGATAATATAAATAACTAATTATAATAATTATGATTTATAATGAGGTTTTTTATTTTAATGTTTATACACCTATCTATATTATATCATCAATACATAACACTGAATAGCAAATTTACTATCAAAAATAATAATTTATAATAGTATTAATATTATGTAGGTATTTCATTTATAATTTTTAATTGCATTAGTATGAGTAATGTCTAGTGGTTCCAAAATTAAAATAAAACGTATAATTATTGTGAATGTCTGGCTACTCTAAAATAAAGAATGGGTTTGTTGTACTTAAAAATTAAATAAATAAAAAAAAATTAGAAAAGAATTACACTTACATTTGCATTAGTTATGAATCTTGTCGGCAATCCAACACCAAAGAACAGACGAACTATTGAAAATGTCATGCCAGAATGTAAAAGTTATCTCCATTCTATATATATATATAAAAAAAAAAAAATTGAACAGACTTAAATGATATTATATAGTGTTAGAGAGGAGAGCATATTATACAGTAAAACATTGAATCGGACAACAATACCATACAGATGTACCATACACTTAAAGTTACAGATATGTCGGCCTTTACAGGCTTGTCAATTGATATTTTCAGTGCTAGAGCCAACATCTCATGCTGTTCTTTAGAGTTCAGACACTGACAGCACAATTACATGGATTACTTATAACTTAGATATGTAATTAATTTAACGCAAAACTTGCAACGGGACTACAATTTCAGTAGGCAATAAATTAGCAATTAGGTATAGGTACCACTCACCTTGTACACATCTCTTCTTTTGGCTGATCTGGACGTTTTCCGTCACGACGTCTGACTGCCGATTTGAGGACGAGCGTTTTTGGCGGGTGGCGAATGAATATTGTTGCTGATGCTGCTTCTGGTGCTACAACAGTTGTAAACGTTGGCCGAGATCTCAACGACGGCCTACGCGAATAACGCCGCCGTAGTCGTGATCGTCATTCCACCGTTTGCGGAGGGGTACCGTGAACGATAAACGCATAAAAACACGGCGACTGTCGATTCGAAACGATGCCGGGCCAAAGTACCTTTCAAAGGGAAAAGTTTTTTGGGGAGAGGGGTGGGGAGGGGAAACGCAAAAAAAAAACCAAAATGGGGATGAAAGATGTATTATTATTATTCTAACAAGAGGAAAATAATCAATAACACATTCTGGTCCAGCGTCGTTTGTGTATTCTGTGTGTGTATGTGTGTGTGTGTGTGTATGTGTGTGTGTGTATGTTTGTTAGCGCGTGTCTGCGGGTCTGTGTGTGCGTGATAACGCTAGTCCTTGACATTGATAACTCGGCGTGTTTGTTTACCACCGTCCGCCGCCTCACGAGTAACCAAGATACGCAAGGGCACGGAGAGCAGAGTGACGCGGGTGGTCGATACACTTTCACCATTGTACGTTGTATACGCGGTGCATAACGTCTACAATAGTACCACAGTTACTGCTACTATAAATGCCATTATACCGACACGGCCATCCAGTAACGAGTACTACTAGTACTCGTAGTACACTTATACTACTACTACTGTCTACCACTACTACTAGGTAGGTACTTCAATCACGGCAATCTAGAGTGGGTTATTATTACAATATTACCCATTACCACTGCGACTACAAATATTGTTAACATTATTCCTTATAACTGGACTAGTACTATGTACCTGTTGCTTGTAATTTTAAAATACAATTTACAATAGTTGATAGGTAGGTGGTATTGAAAATAAATTAAAATACATTATGCCTATTGATTCATTTTCAAAATAAGATAATTAAAATGTACCTATAATTAAGTAGGTGGGCAGATAAGTACCTGAATGTACCTAGTTAATAGTCAATAGGTATACAATAAAAACAGCTGATGCTAAAAACTACCTATCTACAATTTACCTACTATGTAACTAAGTGTCCATTAGTTGAGAATTGAAGTAGCAAAAAGGTACGCTTAAATATAAACATTTTATAATAATTGAAAATTCGTTTTCGTTTCAAGAGGAATTTTTTTGTAAATTAAAAAAAGAACAAATTAATATAGGTATTTAAATTTTTTTTTCTCATTTATACGGGTAATTCTTTCTTTTTTTTAGATTCGGAGCGTATTTTTTTTTTGAATTCAATTATTTTTATGACTAGTATTATAGATTCTGAGTGGAGCAAAGAAGCTTATAGTTTAATAAAGATGTTTATTTTTTTTTCTGTGCGCAAATTTTCTACTAGAAATCTTGCTCCGATTTTTAAGTGTACCTAGTACCTTTTCTGAAAGGAAATCGGTGAGGGGAGGTACTTTAGGGAGGTCATTTTTTGATTTTCTCAGGAGTTTTCTAATCAAATTTGAAAAACCGAAAAATAATTGAGGAAAAACTGGAAAATATAAGAAATGAAGATATTAGTTTAAATATATTACGGCCTTCTCTTTTCCTATGAACAACTTTTCTACAAGTAATTTTGCTTAAACTTTTATTTATTTCACAAAATGTTTTCTCTTAGGCGATAACTTCAATAAAATAAATAAAGTAAAGTATGAGAACACAATAATAACATTTTATGTGTTTTCATCAATTATTTGACGGATATTAAAATAAGTATTGAACAGTATATATGGGTTGTACAATGAAAACATTTCAAGCATTATAAAATTGTACAACTATGAACATCATAACGTAAAAGAAGTCCTAGGATGATGAGAACGGGTGCAGCCACTGTTATAGATAATTTAATACTTGTAAGCAACGATAAATCATTGCTAACGAAAAACGATTATGAGTAGAGTTCAGTTGATAGAGATGCTTTTTCAAAAATATATATACGTCATATTATAGTAAAATAATTAAATAGGCTTTATATATTTTCTTTAATAATATTTGTTTAATGTTGTATCGGTTTTCCCATGTTTTTCCTGTTTTTCACATTTTCTGGAAAAACTCTTGGGAAAATCGAACTCTCTAAAGTACCTCCAAACTCGGATTTCTTTTTAGAAACATTGCTATCATTATAAATTGGAGCAAATTGCTGGTAGAAAAGTTGTGCACAGAAAAAAAAAACGTTATATTTTAGTAATATATTTCGTACATTTTTTCCGTTATTCCTCCATTTTTTTTTTCGGTTTTCCACATTTGATGAGAAAACTCTTAAAAATTCGAAAAATAACCTTTTTAAAGTATCTCCCCATACCAATTTTCTTTCAGAAAATGTGCTATACATAAAAATCATCAGAGTAAGATCTCAGGTAGAAAAGTTATCCACAGAACAAAAAAAAAAAATAAATAAATAAACGTCATTGTAAAACCATAAGCTTCACTTCACTTCAAATTTAAAATGAAATATTTACGACCAGGTCGCTACCGATTTTATTATTGTTTTTAATATTTACGCACGATATTTATCTACTACCAGGCATTATGTACCAAAAGAAAAATGACGTAATTCGTTTTATGATTTTTCCTACCTTTTTTTTTAACAATTAAGAAAACTAAGAAATTCATTATAAGTTTAACTTATATATTTTTTTTAAATTTAACTTGAATTAAATATTACGATTTTTTTTTATGTAATTTAACTTTTAAAAAATGACCTCCCTAAAGTACCACCCCAGCAAAATTTCTTTTCAGAAAAAGTGCTACAATAGAAATTCAGATCAAAATTTCTGGCAAATATGTTGTCCATAGCAAAAAAATAATTGAAAAAATTAACTTCATTGTAAAACCAATACATAGTTCCGTTCAGAATCTAAAATTTAAAAAAGAAACAAAATATATTTCAAAAAAAAAAAAAAAGAGTTAACACTGTTGATAAATATGTTACTGCACAGCAACATGTGGGATGTTAAGAAGATAGGATACATACATTTATTTAATTTATAACTGTATGAAACAATAAAGTATTATCTATGAAACATGAATTTGTACGAAGTTCGGTCAAACATCTTTTGAAATGCCGTAATTATACTGCCGAGAGTATAGTGGAGCACTAATAGATAATTTATATTTGCTTTTTGCTTTTCTAAATTTGGTGGAATTTACAAAACATTTGAGCCAATTTTAAGCTATTTATAGAAATTTTAACTTAGCGAGTTTTTTTTTATACCAAATACAAATTTCTATTTGGTATGTACTCTGTGTAACTTGAAAAATTTAGTGTTATATAGTATTTATTTTTTCAAACGAGTTTTAGAATCAAATGTTGACGAAAATTGTATATATTACGGACTTTCAATATATGTATAAGTGAATTTCTCTCCGAATCGTTTCCGTTACTAATAGTTTATTGTAAGTTACAAGTGTAAATTATTATCTTTATTTATTCCATCTTTTCAACTACCTATCTATAACAGTGACCACACACATCTTCAGTATCAGCTCTTTTTTCTTTTAAATTTCTTTAAGACTGAAAAAAAGAGTACGAAAAACAGGAAATTTGACAGAAAATGTTTTTAATATTTTCGATTTAGATTTTTTGTTGTAATTTGGTTAAAAATAATTGTAAAGATTTGTAATTTTCACAAAATACTTTTTCATTGGTCTTTTCTAGACCTGGTAAAATTTCCCAAATATTCTGCTGATTTTTAAGCTATTCATAGGGATTTGACATTTTCAATTCTTATTTGATTTAATGTGAATAAAATTATTTTAGCAGAACAGAAATGTTTGCAAAATTTTACCAGAGGTGTATCATACTTACATCGAGTTGTCCACTTAGTGGTAAAAATAAAAGTTTATCGTAATGTAGTAGTTTTTTTTATACAGTTTTTGTGTTAATATTAACAATTTTAATGTAGAGTTATCGTGCATTTTATGATGTTCGAACGTCAAAATTTAAAACTATAACAAACATCGTAAAAATCATGGCATTTCAAAACATTTTAAACCGAACTATTGTTAGCAATGATTTATCGTTGTGTGCAAATTTAAATTATTCAACTCTATGTAGCCTATTTTTGTTATGTTTATTTTGCATTGTTTATAATAGTAATTGCATTGCTTATTTGTAATCTTTAATGTTTTTTAAAATATATTTTTATCAGTTTATTTTTCCTGGTGCTGAAACTGAAACAATAAATTGTATCATGATACTATTATTCCATGGGTACGTAATAAATAATAAATCATAATCATTATAGATGCCTATAATACCTACCTAATATTATTAATTGTAATTTGATTTGAATGATCCGTTATTTTAATACTATAAATTATAGTATTAAAATAACGATATATTATAGTCTATAATATATCTATTATTACAAATCCGAATAAATTTGGTTAATTACGATTTAATATTAATAATAATATAAACGAATGTAGAATTATAATATGATATTAAAATGATTAATAAGTATATACATTAGTTAGGTATTTCAGTTTTATCGAAAACGTTTTATATATTGGCTACAAATATAATTTGAATACGGTTTCTAGAGTACGTATCTTGTAGACACTTTTGATTGGAATAGGTATCAGGTTAATAAATTGAATAGTTAACATGTCTTTTAAAATTGAAATCGGTATACATTAAACTTATTATACTTACACAAATTATAAATAGCTAACACTTTTAAAATTAAACAGTTAACGAAATTTAGCCAGAATATACTTAGGAAATTCACATAATATCAACATCTTTGCCGAGGACAATTGAAATAAATCAAATTACTGATGGTTGACTCAGAAAACGTTGATACACTGAATGCAATGGAAAACTTACAAGAGCAGGAAGACCTAGAAGACGAGTATCAGTTCTTCCGGTCGTTGGTCAAAAGTAACATATTTAAACTTACCAGCGGCAAGGGTAGGCATACCAGAATCTCAACGATAATACAATTTATAAACTCTATACAGAGTGTCCTACGAGGATATATGATTATGGCGATATCTTTGAAAGTATTAACTTTTTTCGCAACTTGTTTTTTTTTTTTTTTTAAGAAATAAGTAGTGGTAGATTATGTATGTGACGCCACAGAGCGTGACGTTTAAATATTGTTACGCTACTCTACCCTTCACCCCTTACCAATTTTAAAAGTGGAATATCTCGTCAACGGATTGGCGTAAATCAAACATTTCAACACCGGAATGTATTTAAACTAATACTTCGTCTATTTGTGGAACTTTTAATAAAGGTTACCATTTGAAAAAAATAGTAGGTAGGTAGTCGGTTAGTTCCTAAAAATAAGGGTGATAAAAAATAATAGTAATGTAACATTTTAGAGATACTTGTTTATTAAATTGTCAAAAAAAAAAAAAAAATACGAAAAAATTTAATAATTTTCAAGGTATCACAATGATCATACTTTCGTAGGACACCCTGTATACTAATAATGCAAATCGTCATTTCGTATATCGTGTGTTCATTATTTACAGAACAACGTGTGATGTGTACTTGGTTGCATAATTGCGACAATGTGATAAAAGACAAGTCGATAAAATGCGGAACCATCAAAATAATGTTGTTATCACTTCAGCATCCGGAAGGGCCCCTAAATTATTTCAAACAGACCGACCAGACTGAGTTACCGTCAGACGTGATTAACACTTTAGAATCGGTCAGTGGATTTTGAACCTAAAAAAGCACTCATGAGATGCGTGGCATACGATTTTAACGCGTTTAAATATTTTAAAAATAAATTACGATATAAAAAAAATTGTTTATATGATATATAAAACGTCGCTTTTATAGCTGAACAAATTTCTCAACACGACGTTGAACGCAGAAAACGATCCTAAAAATGTTGACGACGAGAGCGCGAACACATTTCAAAACATTGTCGCCGCAGTGTCCGCGGACCTGACTAGCTTTGCTTCCACGTACGTGGACCACAGAACTGTGCAAGTGTTTTACGCTAGGTCCGATCACGTCATAAACACGTGGTGTTTACCGGAACAAGTGCAATTTCCCTTGGACAGCTATTCGTCGTCACGTTGGGAGAGTGCGATGTCCACAAGGCCGATTACGCGAATCCGACCCGCGAGTCATATGGTCCAAAATCATGTCAGCAGTGAATTATCAATTGCTAAGTTCGTACAAATCATTGCACAATATTATAGCAATAGGCATTGTATTAGTATTATATAGTTTTATTATACATGTGCGGGAGTAAAATGGATTTAACACCAGAATTTTGTGGGGTATACCTAATACTATCTTTTCAAACCCGTCCCGACCCCCGTATATTAAAGGGAGTTGTTTTACCTTTTCATAGCCTGAGTGCGTCCGCAGTCGTATCAATGCAACCTGAGGTAGGTACCTATTTAGACCTATTTAAAAGCTAGTAAACAAAATTTTGTTTCAACTTTGATAATAAAACTCAATACGATTATGGAGTACAGCTAGTAATCGTGTAGTAACTAATCTATTGAACGAGTACATAACCGTAATTCCCAAAATTTTCAAAAAAACGTAAAAATTGTTATGTTTTAATGTACAAAAATATTTAAGTACCTAAATCTAAATATGTACAACCAATGCCTAGGTAAATAAGTTTATCTAATCAATAATATATATAGTAAATAAATATACAAATAAAAAATGTATATATATATATAAATAAAAATAAATAAATGAATGAATGCATCGCTTGGAGTACCTATTACGAACAAATTTATCAACAGGTACCTGTATCACAGTTAAAATGTAAAACGCGACCTTGTCGACTTTGTTTTACAATAACACAATATGTTCACTAACTAAAAATAACATTATCAATTTGAGATTTACTTAATCAATAACTAATAAAAAAAAACAAATGTGTTCAACTTTGTCGACTAAGTCGAGTTTTACATTTTGACTGTGATATAACTGATAATGAATTTTTAATTCGAAACTGGTCGTATAATACACTTATCATAATACTCTAGACGACGCATTCATTCATTTATTTTTTATTTTTTATTGATCAATTTTTTATTTATGTATTTATATATTATATTTATTACGACTATTAACCATTTTAATAATATTATTTTTACTTTATTATTTTATTATCAATAATAGATAATAAAATAACTGAATATTTTTGGGGTTTAAGTCGGTTTACCTCCCAGTGATGCACCTTGGGTAACTATATGAAAAAGGAGCGTTTCGGGATGCACTTGGGCAACCTAGGTCTATAATTTTATGCCAAAAGTACCTCTGCAAACCTGCAAGTACAGCAACAAAATAATTCACTTAGAATCCCTCTACGTAAAATATGTATTTCAGAATCGCAGAAATTATTACCAATGAAAAATATCGTAAACTGTGATCAATTTAATGTTCTATAAGTTTAATGCTATAAAGGTTTTATAGTTGACAATTTTGTATGCATTTAATCAGACAGTCTTCAGGATCCTTCTTTAATTACATTAAACATAAGTTAATGAAATCGCATACTTAACATTTTTAAACAGAATCGAAAAATAATTGGATAAATCTTATTTATAATGTCAATTATTATTACTTATCATATCGATATGTTTATATTAGGAGTGAAACAAAAAGAAAATGTGCAGATTATATGACCGACCAAGAAGAACTAGAGGGTGTTCAGGGAAAGTTTATATGGTACGAACATAGCAGATTAGACGGCAGCTTAAAACCAATGAACGAAATTTCTATTGACAAGTATGTAAAAACAAATTATATCTGTACACAACGATAGACCATTGCTAAAGAAAAACGATTCTGAACGAAATTCGATTATTTCAAATGCCTACAAATTGTTAAAAAATCAGTGGAATTTTTTGAACAGTTTACCACGTTTATGAAAGACTAATATAAGTATTTAGTGAAAATTTCTCTATACGATCATGTTGAACCAAATTACAAAAAAATTCAAAATTAAGGGAGACTAGTTTTAGTCCTCTATTTATTTTTTCTTAAGTTATTGATTAAATAAACACTGATAATGTTATTTTTAGTTAGTGAACATATTGTCTTATTATCATCACAAACTAATTTAACGGTATCACTTTTAAATAAACGTAATACATAAAATACCATAATCATTGTTTTACGGTCAATTCCATACATTTATATGCAAATAACTTTTTTTTAAAAGTAATTATGTCAAAAAATTATGCTGACATTTGAAGTACAATAATAACCTTTTAATTTTAATTTTTTAAATTTGAAATGTACACATAATAAAATATAGGTACATGAATATATAAAGAATATATTTATTCCTTTAAGCCTGAGCTTGTAATATAGTATAGTGTTCAATAATCCAAAAGATAACAGTTTTTTTTTTTTTATCAAATATAAAATATTTCATACAGGATACAGATACGATTGACAAATGACAGAACTTAACGTTGCATAATATCTTTTTATGTTAATATGTTTTTAGTTATGTTAAAATACTGATAATATATGTTGACTAAAATTTAGTATTTAGTAAATTAATAAGCGGGCCGGTACTTTTGTATTTTCTCGGGCCGAAATCTTTTTCCAATCTCGCCCCTGGTAGCAACCTACCTATCTACATATTTTGTATACTGAAAGTGAAAACCGTAGATAATAAATACATTTTATAAATAAATTATCTATAATATAATTTGTTCCTTGTCACATAAACTTGCAAGCCATACTTGTTTTCGTATACAATATTATGTATACCATACATAGTATTTTTTTTTTATTTTTTCATTTTGGTAAACGCACAAAAGCTATACCTACCTTTAGTGGTATATGCCCTTATAACAAAACACCATCGATAAGAACGATAAGTTTGTCATGTGTAACAATTTGCACACGTTAACTTTATTTTCTAATTTGCTTATTATGATCTGTAATATAGATTGTAAATATTCTTTATAAAATAAAAAAAAAAATTGAGAATTGTTTAGTCCCTTCAATTAATTAGATTATGCTACACTAGTAAGTAAGATTTCTGGTAGAAAATAATAATTAAAAAAAGTAAAGTAATGTAATGTTAACGTATTAAATATTCGAAATTTTTTACCCAACTATTAAAAAAAGGTTTTGGAAAATCAAAAGAATGATATCACCGATACACAAAAAAAATAAATACACTAAAAGAGGTGTCTTGTCATTTTTCGATTGGATCAAAAATTCTAAAATAAAAATTGTTTAAAGAGAGAAAAACAAAAAGATGTCTTTGGATAATGGAGACGGGTACAGCCACTGTTATTATAGGTAATTTAGTGTATACCTGTAAGCAATGATATAAACTATTGCCTACGAAAAAACGATTTTGAGCAGAGTTCAGTTGATAATAATACTTTTTAAACAATATATGTATATATCATATTATAGTAAAATAATTAAATAAGCTCTATATATTTTCTTTAATACTATTTATTTAATATTGTATCGATTTTCCCAGTTTTTCATATTTTCTGAGAAAACTCCGAGAAAAATCGATAAATGACCTCTTTAAAGTACCTTTCCAGTGAGATTTCCTTTCAGGAACATTACTATTATCAAAAGTTGAAACGAAATTGCTGGTAAAAAAGTTGTCCACAGAAAAAAATAATCGTAATATTATACTTCGTAAATTTTACTGTTTTTTTTTTTCAGTTTTTTGCATTTGATGAGAAAACTCTTAATAAAATCTAAAAATGACTTCTTTGAGATATTCCCCAAATCGATTTCCTTTCAGAAAAGTTGCTATACGTAAAATTCGGAGCAAGTTCTCTGGTAGAAAAGTTAAAAAAAAAAAAAATAAAAAATATCTTTGTATAAGCTCCTTTGTTCCATTCAGAATCTGAAAAAAAAAACGTAGTAAAACTAAAACATTCCTCGTTCTGCTAAGAATCTAGAAAACTATAGCTGTACATTAAAACAACCTAGTATGACAATATGACCACTATTTAAAACATTTGTACTTTATGCCCATACAATTTTAAAACATTTATTTTTATACTAAATAATAATTAATTAGGGATACTTGCTTGCACGAGAAAAACCAATTGAACATGGACGAACGTGCAATTAGCGTGGTGAGCAGGGTGTATCCTGGTCACTTGCGAATGATCCTCGATCCAGTGCTTATCGCAGAAGTCACCGGCATACATTTAAACCAGCCGGCAAAAGATTTGACCACCCACGAAACCACACTAGATATCGAAGCGATGGACTGTATAAGTAATGAAGTATTAATGTAATTGTCGTTAGGATTTTTTTATAGGGGAAGGGGTTCTTTTAAACCGTATTAAGGGAGAAACAGTTTTTTTTTTTGAGAAGATCGCTAAAATAAGAAACAAATAATGCTCAAGTAAAATCTAATAGAGCTGATATATGAATTAAAATTGTCTCATAATTGTTGATAATATTATCACTGACCGAGCTATTAGAAGGTATATGTTGAACGGAATGTTGGATAAGTTAATATGTACTTAGTACAATGAATAAGAATACGTAAATAATATAGATTCTAATTTTTAGAAACTTCCGGTGAAATCACATTGAGTAATCAACATCGACCGAATGCCGGAGAAGATAGGAATTTTGACGCTGAACTTACAGTCGATGAAACCACAGTTCCAGAAAGCAGACTGAACATTGGCGAATTTTGCGGGCAAAGTGGTACGTCCTGGTACAGTATCTGAAATCTTAAAACACGCGTACAATAAAATTTCACTTTACATTCTCAGACCCTCGTAGTGAGCAAGATTTTATTAGTATACAAGAAATATCCAACGAATCGCCGAACGACAGAGTAGATCAAAATTCTGCTAAAATGAAGGACACCGATCGAAACACAACTTCAGAAACCAAAGAAAATGTCGAAGAAATGTGTAAACAGAGTGCGTATCTTAAAATAACGTCTAAAACGGAAGTTCGCGTATTAAAATAATATTAATTTCTGTTTACTGTCCATAATAATACTGTAGAATCAGAGTCTTGTAGTGTATCGAAAAGTACAGATTCGGTAGTAAACGCCGAAGACCGACCGCAAGACGGAGAAGACTCTCGTGAAGACCAAGTTAAGATTGACACAATACTGATAGAAGTTGATGGGGACATGAGTCATGAAGTTATCACACCGGACATCGTCACCGAGTTTTGCGAACAAAGTACGTATACCATAAGTGTCTGAAACTGACGCACGTAAAATAATTAGTATTATAGTTTCAGAGCCTTGTAGTGAACCATCGAATTGTGATTCGTTGGGGAACCCCGAAGAACAGCCGAAAAACGAAAGCGATCAATGTGCTGACACAATGACGATAGAAACTGACCATTCGAACATTATTCCAGAAGTTCAACCGGAAATAATCAATATTTGTAGACAAGGTATGTACTTATAGTAATAGGCGTGCGCTGCGGTATGCGCAGGGGCAGTTTTTTGTTCTTTATTATTTAGTGTGGTATTTCATAAACTCTGTTATAAACAGTAATAAGTTAAGAAATGTTGACAGTTGAGCTAAGATTTTTTTTAAATTTTCATCACGGCTATAAATGATATTTTTAATAGTGATTTTCATCAAGTACATTATAGTGATATGTACTGGAAATCGGGAATTGACATATCAACGAAGCCCTAGTTACATACCCATTGACGTTACCTTGTAGAGTTGCAGATAACCAATAACTATATAGCAGTTTGATAACATCATTCGCGCGAAAATGATTGATATTATCATAGTTTCTACGAGTACATATTGACTTGTGAACTTAAAAGTTATATAAAAAAATTATGATTTATGTCTTTATGAAAGTGGTTAAAAAATGCATCTATTTTGAAATAAACCTATTGGCATCCCCTGCGAAAAAAGTTTGCACACGAGTGCTGCTATTGTGCTGATAGTACCTATCTACTTTTAATACCGTTACATTTGTATTATAATAATAATAAGGGCCCGGATTTATGTGCTTTAAAAACATTTGAAATATTCTATAAAGCATAAATGCATATTTTATAACATATATGCATTTATGCTGTTGTTTTGTAGAAATATGCCTTTTAAAATAAAACATATGCACAAAAAAATCGATTTTCAAAAAAAAAAAAAAACTAATAATAATTTTTTTTTTTCTTAATTTTTAAAGTAGGTACAACAAATTGATTTGTAATGGTATTTTCGATATTTTTCAAGCAATACATAAAATATTTTTATACTAATATAATTATAACCAACATATTTTAAATTATGCATTTAAAACCCATTTATGTGCAATACAAGATCGTAAAATACAGAAATATGCAGTACATGTCAAAAATTAGTAAAATATGCCAAATAAAACTTTATATTTCAGTTCTATTGACTATAATTTAAACTTGTAGCTTAACTAGCTACTTTTCAGACCGTCCAAAAAAACATATAATTATAATATAACTCCGGGCTCTAATAATAATAATATGATCATAGTTTCAGATAATTGTTGGGAGCTGTTGTGTGATGACTCTGTAGTAGCAAGTGATTTATTAGCAAATGCTGCAGAAGAGTGGCCAAACGACAGACAAGACCAATGTGCCGACATAATAAAGGTGGAAGTCGATCGGGACATTATTCAAAATGTCTCATCGGACATAAGCGAATTGTGTTTAAAAGGTGCGTACTGATACAAAACGCATAAGATGAATAACAATAGTAATAAAAACAGTCACAATAATAGCGTATAACTATTATATTATTATTAAAGTCTCAGAGATTTGTGATTCGTTAGTGAACCCCAAAGATGAAGGACCGGACATCGGAAAAGCCCAATGCGTTGATTCAATAACGATGGAAACCGATCGGGGAATTAGTCACGTCGGATCTGATATCCGTGAATTCTATAAGCAAAATAACAAGCGTCAGACCATAGTCGTGTCAGAATCACCACCGTGGCAGGTATATTACTGCACCGGATCAGCCGGCTCGTCACGCGCGTCACTCCATTTGTCACCGGCGACAGTGGAAGTGCGCCGTTCGTCTAATTGTATGCACAATGATTGGCCGTCTTCAGTGTTCAACACATCTCGTCCAAGAGCTACCTTACAATTCAGACGGCGCTATTACTTGAGGTTCAGGGCTGGTAGTGATAACCCCGGTAGGAGGTGGTTGTCAGCCGGAAACGATCGCTTCGCGCAAATGTGCAACAACGGCAACTGCGTTGCACAACGACCAGCCATTTGGGAAGGCAATAATCAACAACCACTCTTGCCGCCGTTCCGGCCGTACCGAAATACGAGTACCCCAAACACCAGCCCGCGTCGATCACAGCAGCCAAGTAGACGAATAACGGACCATGGCTTTGGTCAGATGCCGCAACCGTACAACAACCCGCCGCCGTTCCGGCAACCGGGCAACAATCAACTGCCGGTATTTCCACCACGCAACAATCTACGACGCGATCGGCGTGCCACCTGCACGGACTTACCAACAATGAATAATGCCCGTCCGTGTACGCGGCGATACACTTATGATATACTACCCGAACAGTCAATTGACGGTAATCCAAATGCCACTCGTCACGACTCAGTAGCTACAGGGGCCAGCCGATACACTTATGATATACTACCCGAACATTCAATTGGCAGTAATTCAAATTCCACTCGTCACGACTCAGCAGCCACAGAGGCCGGCCGATACACTACGTATACCGTGAGCGGATCCATAAACATCGTAGCGACACAACAGCAGCAGCAGCAGCAGCAACAGCAACAATCGCAACAGCAACAGCAGCCGCACAGACAAAACCCGGTTGAGCCGCTGGAAAACTACTTGAACGCCGACATGGCAATACCGCGGAATATTGCTGTACCCGAATGCCCATTTGTACGGATAGATGAGAACGCGCGGGACAGAAACACGCCTGAACATTGGCGCAATCCATTTGTCTCAAACGACGAGAACGGCAACGGCAACGGCAGCGGCAGCGGCAACGCGGCTGATAGCTGGGTCTACCAAGGCTCGGTAGAATCGTTAGGCTCATTAGGCTCGGAGTCGATGTCCATTGATGTGAGCCCCGTGCTCAACGATGACAACGAATATTTCCAGGACGCTGACGATCCGTTCGCCATGCAGCAGGGCCTTCGCGAAGCACCAGTCCATCGCCTGAGAACCGGTTCTGCGGGCCATGGCCCGTCCGGACGTCGTCAGCCTGATTCATTTTTCCGAAACACTCGTTAGACGAAATTAATTCTACATTTATATCTACGCAATAATAATACTTGATTTTAACTACCAAATTATAATTTGTATTGTTATTATTTTTACTGCTTTGCACGAGTTACACATTTACATGGCTGTAACGTTTTTTTTTGGGTTTTCATAAAAAAATATTACAACTTAATGGTAATGTACGATATTCCTGGATTGTTACAGATAAATAATATTTTATATGTCGCTCAATAATATTACTAAAATGTTAGAGATGTGATGTTGATAGAATATTACCAATAGACCCAAACCCAATGTCCTTTGTTTCACAAAACAATGTTTTATTTCAACATAAATATAGGTTTAATACGCACGATTAGTTAAACGTCATAAACTTCTTATCAGAATGTTATCAGTAATAATGTGATTGTTTGGATCCAAACAATTTAATTGTACAATCAAAAACTTTCGTGATATATTATATTTAAACACTCATATTATATTAAAATAGGAGTATTTACATAGTAAGATTTGACTGTTATTAAATAAGAGATACTCAAATGAGATTTTTTGGAATAAAATAAGTATAAACGTATTTAAAATGTAGAACATAATAATTTTAAAGTTACTTTGCATCGCATTTGTATGTACATTTTTATTTGTTTGGATCCAATTGTACTTGATAAGGACTTTGATCAGATAGTCAGATGAAGTCACACTAATCGTGCGTATAATATTGTACATCATAGTGACTGTATTAACATCACCCATGGGTACAGAGTGCAGAACAGCAGATTATAGGCTTTTTACACAATATCTATGTCATGTTATGGTAAAATAATTAAACAGGCATTAAATGTATATTTTCTTTAAAATATTTGTTTAATATTGATCCGATTTTCTCATTTTTCTTACGTTTGTTCTCGGTTTTTCCCATTTGTTGACAAAAATTCTGGGAATATCAAAAAATGATCTTTAAAAAGTTCCTTCCTAATCATCAACGAAATTTCATCCTTTAAATTTTAATGTCGTATGCACCTCTAATAATTTGGTTTTCTGGCATCATTGTCAAAGGTAATCCTTTTATATTTGTGTGAAAAGTTCCACAAGCAAGTATTTTCAACTTTTAGTTTTTGGTAATAATCTAGGCGAAGACAAATATTTGTCAAAATTTAACTCATGGTATTCGTTTTAGACTGATTTAGTTAGTTCTAAAACAATTTGTTCATCAAACCCATAGTTTTCAATGTCAATGTTTATAGTATCTCCTTGCCCTAATAATCTTTAAATTCAAACATGTAGCTGTTCTGGTTAGCCATGCTCCAAATTTTATATTCTCGTTTAGTCAATTTCATTGTAGTCCGCATAGATTCTAATTTGATCTGCTTTTGAATTTGATCATGCTTTCATCCAATTTCGAATCCAATTAAATACTACATTTGGTACATCTTTTCATAAGATATTTTTGGGGTATACTGCGTATTGGGAAATAATCATAATATTATACAATATTTTTATTTTTGTTTATTTTATTAAAACTATTATTATTGTCATTTAATTTTAGAAAGATTTTATCCAATTAATGCATAAAAGACAACTTTTAAAACGTATAAATTATAATTAAAAACCCATCTGAATTGAAGATTTAATATAATTGCCGCTCTTTTTAAATTTGTTTAGTTATCAGTACCTATTTTTAATTTTACAATATTGAATTTATATCTGTAAATCAGTGCTAGATTTAGGGGAAGGGCAAATGGGAAATCCGGATCTAATGCCGCTAATCATTGAGGGGTGAAAATTTAAAATAATATGAAATAAAAAATAATTTTTGGTTGAAAATTACTACTAGTTACTTTTTTATTTTAATAAATCGAATCTTCCATCGTACGATTAATACTACATAAGTTTTTATAAATAATAACATAGTGGCACAAACCATTTTTGAGTTATTTATAGACATTTTAATTTTGCGAGTTTTTTATGCAATATTTATTCGGTAAATACTGTGTGATAAAATTGTTAGACTAAACAGAAATACGAGAAAATTTAACAGAAGGGCCATTAAAAGTCTTTCTTTGTGGTTAAAAATAAAAAAATTGAGTTTAATGTAGTATTTATTTAATAAAGGAATTTTAATATCAAATTTTGACGAAAAGCTTTCGAGTAAAAAATTACGAGGAAAAATCTAATATTTCAGTTTTTTTTTACTTTGAACATATCTATATTGCCGATACAATAACAATGGTGAAGTAAAAATTGAGTGGACTGGCATAGTTTCAACATTATAGCTTTTTGAAGGTCTGATATTATATGTCATGTTAAATAGCTATATATTGTCAAATTTAATGTAAGTTTATCGTAGTCTAATGATAATACATGTCCATAGACATTATAGGGATCGCGAGTCCGAACCCGAGTTTCGAAACTAATTGTTTGCATATTGTCCACCTTTACCTAAATAAAGAAAAAACAAATGCATTTTGAGTGTGCCTAGAAACTCAAGCCATTGCTCGCTCGGACTATTTTAATCGTAAAATACCCCTCGATTGGCTGTGAAGAACTTTTCTAAATTGTATTTCAATTTTTTAATTTACTCGGTCAGTGGTGAAATATTCATAGTAACGAAATCGATCATTTTTCATTTTTGGATTGGAGCAATATTTCTGGTGGAAAAGATCATTTAAACACAATGAAAACAGTAGCGCCGTGGTGCGCCGTCAATATTTACCGTTTTACCTATACTTTTTTTTCGGGTTTTTCCCAATTATTTTGAAATAACTCCTTGGAAAAGAGAAAAATTACTTACTTACTGCACCAACTAGAAAAAATTACCTTTCAGAAAAGGTGCTACAGTTTATACTTCGGACTTTCAGAGTAATTTTTCTGGTAGAAAATTTGTTCAGACAAAAAAAAAAACAAAAATAAAACCAATAGATCCTTCGTTAAGATCCGAATCTAAAAGTAAAACCAAGAAGTTAGTGGTTTAGTGAAACCATACGTTTTTTTATTTATGATTAATAAATTAATGTTTATCCTACTAAAAGCTTTCTCCATATCTGTACTAATCACATCTGTTTGTGAATAGTTATTAAACGAAATAAAATATCGTGTGTGTATATACATACATTTGTCACTGTTGATCGATTTTATCTAGTCATGTTAGGAATATTTTAGGAATAATTGATAATTTAGATATAGGCCGATAATTATTTATTAAACATTTATTGCCCTTTTGAAAATATCTGAAGATAAATATTTGTTAAATAAATAAGTAATGAATAAAGTAAGTAAAAATATAGTAATACACATTTATTTAATAATATTGAAGAAATTTCATCGGGGTAAATTGCTGTTTTATAAGAAATATTAAAAAAATCGTTAAAAATATTGTATGGTATTATAGTTGGCTAAACACATAATTTTATTACGTTTTATCGAGTTTGTATCTCGTAGAAACACTAGAAACTGTTTAGTTATTATTATTTCGTGTCATACAACCACAATAAGACTAATGCAAACGAATGCGAACAAAAATACAATTCAATGCTTATAATGGCATAAATAAATATAAACGATTAAATTAAAATAAAATAAGTAAATAAAAACAATTAGGTAATTAAACACAAGTCAACATTGTTTGGTGTATCACATTTTTAACAATCTCAAAACTTCAGTATTGAAATTACAAAGTACTTATAATACATTAATATAAAAGATAAATCTAACAAATTTTTATGTTAAAACAAATGTATAAACTTTTTAATACAGTAAAGTCACTTTTTGAACATGCATTGAAAAATGATTGTTGTGAAAATTATTATTTGTCAACAAAAGATAAAACCCTATCGGTACTTACTGACCGTATGAACCATGAACAGTTACACAAATAAACCCAACTAACGAAGATATCATCTAACCTCGTCAACAGTGGGGTCACGAAAATACATTGAAAGCCAAACGACGGTCAACAAAAGTATATACCTAATATTATAATGATTACATTTATTATGAATCACTAAGAAGATTGTGATTTTTTTCTTTGGGAGTAGCGGGAGTGGGGAACGTAATTTTGTTACCAGACACAATACCTTATTGTGGATAGTTAGATTGGAGACAGTCAACTGCGTCTCAAAGTCGGGTAAACGAGCTGCGTCATAGGATAAAAAATTTATTATAATTACAATTATTGTCGATAAGTGCCTTATAAGGTTATAAATTCATAAATAATTATCAATATGCACATACGAATAAATATTAATTGGTACGGTATATCCAAGGTTAGATTATAACATATAACTATGATACGAAAGGCAATTTTTTCCATCGGTACCCTTAACCAGGCCTTGTCGAAACGGGCGGTCATCGTTTTCACCAAAAAACCTGGTTTTCGTTTCCACCAAATCTATTTCTACCCATATAATTGAGATGGAGTTTGAGAACACTTAGTGTTATACCCTTGGCCCGATTGATGCCCGGTTTACCGCCAGTCCTGGTTTATTCCGAATTGACGGTTGATATTAATTCATTTAAGTTCGTTTTATTTACTTCCTTAGGGAGTACGCAAATAATAATCCAAACTGTTTTAATTAATTACTTATTTATTTATTATAAATTGGACATACGTTATCAGAAATTAAAAAGGTTTACACTATACTGAGCTGAATAGCTGTTTTTACTCGACTGACTATGCATTCTCGCACCAGCGATGTATTCATATTCATAATCATAAAAATACAAAGACATTTCGCTTACATGACTAAAAACAATAAAGTATATTGTACGAGTATTCTTAATACTAAGCTATGGGTTCCCAACACTAGTCTATAAACAGTGTTATCGATCGTCGATATTTGTCAAGATAAATCATTTTACATGTAGCGTAATTCCTACCTATTATAAATAAATATAAATAGATCTAATCTATATCATAAATAGTGTGTGTGTGATCGGGCTCAGAGTTGACTGTAAGTATTGTGACAAGAACGATGAAATTTCGAGTATTACGATAACGAAGTCGTGTGAATTCATTAAGCCTGAGTAATTCGATAGTGACCAGTGAATAATATACCTATTTGTTGAATTTATTGAAATTTTTAGATTTTTTTACAAAAAATCTAATTTTTAACGGGTAAACATGGTTATAAACATGATTCTGATTGATGGGTTCTAATTAAATCTTTTGTACAAATCGGTCCAAACAAATATTCCCCGGGCAACTCTAAATGGATCTCAAACTATAATTTAGATAGGTAGGTAGAAATAGATTTGGCAAAAACGAAAATCGAATATTTGTTTCGTTTTGGCGGAAACGATTGACGCCGGTCAAAACGGAACGTAATCACATGGCGTCCAGTTGGATGACCAGTTTTTCAAGATAGGAGACATTTTTATTTAGTTTCTTTTAACAAATGTATCAACGGGTTTTGGGGTTCATTAAGACGACGTATTAGTTATCTACAGGTCACGATCGTGATCGTGAATGACCTAGTGCTGACACGGTCTAATGGCATGGACAAATGGCCGTCATCATTTCATCATTTTGTCTTAAAGGAGCCCAAAACAAAAAAAAAATAAGTTTTTTTTTAATTTAAAGAAATTTTCAATTATAAAGATAATAGTATAGGTTTAACGTTTTTATATATAATAATGAGTTGTCGAGGAATATTAAAAACAGACGAGTGACGTCATTTAGCCGGATTCGCGGAAATTATCTATCTTATACATGTAAATTTCGCTCGCTACACACAATAATTTATGTATCGCCCCCCCCCTCCAACTAAAGCTTGGCTTATAGGGGTGTTGCAATTTAATTTATTTGTAATGTCTGTTAAATGTATCACCTGTTGTTTTTTTTGCAAAATATATGATAAAATAAATAAATAAATAAATAAATCTTCGAAGTATATTTTCTGATTTTTTTTATACGTATATGGTGCGTTTTTATGTACTGAAAACTTATGCGGAACCAGGATTTTTCTAAAGTTTTTAGTTTTTTAAAAAAAATCAAAATTGTATAAGAGTGATTTTTGTTACGTACGCCTGCCTCTGTAACCGCAGCAGTACGGCACAGCGCTACCGGTTCACGTTCAGCAAGTATCCAATTGCATAATATTTATTTCCAGTTGGTATTTACAATTTTCATAATATAAACCACGATAATCAATAATTGCACAGTATTTCAGTTAGTGTTTAAGCGTGTTAACGTGGTAATACTGTGTATCAAAATAAATTGACGTGTTGCGCTGTTGTCATTATATGTACGCAACGAAAATATTATCTCTTTTAGTATTTTTAATATTAAAAAAAAAAAAAAGAATCACATATTTATACATAAATTATAACACCATAAATAAAATGTTTAGTTTGATAAATTATTGTTTAAAGCGAGCAATTTTCGCACGTGTAAGATAGACGATTAAGCCGATCTCGGTCCAATGACGTCACGCGGTTATTATAGATATCCCAATATCTCCTTAAATAAATTTATTTTTTATTATTTTTTTTTTTTTAAAATTGAATTATGACGAAACAATAGCGTTTAATAAAAATTTAAAGAAAATGTCTGTTGTGTCGTTTGTTTCTTTAATCCCTCTGTAGCCAGTATCTACCTACCTACACACCAATATACCCAGTGTAGGTAAAATAACATTTATTTTTCTATTATTATGCATGCGCCTATCAGCTCACGGCAATCGGATTCCGGCCAATGGCCGTCGTCAACCGAGACGGGCTTCCCGTACACCGGTCCTGCGCTGTCGGCCCAGAAGACTAGACCGACCGGTACCCGACGTCTAGGGTACCGGTAGTCGCGCGCACGGGTCCAGTTCGGACGCGATGCGCCCGACCCGCACGTCGACGGCTCGCCGGTACGAACAGGCACGGCCGCTACAATCGCGGCTACCGCCGTTCGACTATCACCTGGTGTCAAACGCCGTCAAACGCCCGGCAAACTGCCCCGCGCCGAAAGTCGTTCCACGTGCGACAGCGAGACACCCGCGATGGACGCTATCCGAACACTGGCCACGACTGGAGACTGGCGGTCCGTGCGCCTCTCGCCGCGTCGGGAACGTCGTTCACACAAGTTTTCCAAAATGACAAACGTATACCTGACAAATGTAGCGTGCGCCATCTCTATTTGTAGTGCGACTTGTGCGAACAGCGTTCTCTGCCATACGGCGTATGCGAAATTGGCTACGTTCATCAATGGCGCAAGAGCGATTAACAAATGCGTCGTTATCGTATATAGAAAGAGATTATACTTAGGGTGTAATCAATTTTCGCCGAAATTGACACTATATATTTGTAACATGTGTAATTTGCGCCGAGATAAAGATATGTAATTTGCACCATCGCAAGTAGAAATAAATAGGAATTGTAATTCGCACCAAAATTCAAATTGATTATTCTTACCTATACGCACAAGTTTAGATATTAGGGTATAATATTTTATTGAGATATGAGAAACAAGACACAGAACATTCCTTTTGTACGTTTTGAGTGGTTATTTCACTCAGCCTCCATCAATATCACACTCGGAAGCCCCAATGGTTCAATCCCGAACAATTTTGTAAAAAAATTGTAATTTTTATAATGCTAGTGTATCAACTGGCGGCTGTACAGTATTAATACGTATTTGTAAAATTTGTATACTCTATTATGGGCCTCTGCATAATGCGCGTTGATACCCGTATACAAGCGCGGATTCAGCATTTTATTTCGTGGAGGACTGACCAAAGTTTATAAACATTGTCATACAGGAAATTCAAAAAAAAATTGCTGTCCTAGGATAATGGGGACGGGTGCATTTTTAACATGCCACGTGCCGTACTGCCACACAAATGATGTTCTATTACTCTCCTCCAACCCAAACTTAAAAGTGGAATATCTCGTCAACGGTTTGACGGAAATCACAAATTTCAACACTATTCATATAAATTGTAATATATTTATATTAAAATATTTATATTAGATACCTTTATAATTATTACTATACGAAATTCAAATCAACATGCAATACTATTTTTTATGAATGACCGTTTTTTTATTGCTTATTTAAACGAATAAAATCTAGTGTTTTTTTTCAATTGAAAATCGAACGTCTTGATCGCTCGAATAAACCTCTAGACGACCACTCTGTCGATAATCTTGCACACTATGATAACACTTCGTCAACTTTTTTTGAAAATCTCTTTCGAATAGCTAGGTCTGACTTTTAGCTGCTAATCACTCGTACGCAATTTATTTTTATAATTCAACCTTTCATTTTTCTAAATTAAATATTAAATATTGGTTATCTGAGTACAAGCAGTTTTGAAGTGTTAATTAACTTGACTCCAATGACTCCAGGAATATAATATACAGGTACACCATAGCATTCTAACATCGTGGCCAGGTCAGACAATATTATAGTTTTAATTTATCAATCTCGTCACCATTCTCGGATTCACGACTCCGAATTCCCCTAAACATCAGAGGGAATATAGTAATATAATTAGTAAGCTGAACTTAAGACATATTTAAAAAACAATTCATTCTTTGTATTACCAAAAACTAACCCAGTTATATTATACAGGCTGTCCCACGAAGAGGAGCATTCTGTTACGAAACATAATATTGTTATTTAAGTCGGTTAAGTTATTGCATGTTGCTATATAGTACATATATTGTATTAATTGGATTTTGAGGACAATACTATTGGGAACTACTTTAATATCAAGCGATTATAATGTCTTGCAAACAATAGCTTCAAATCTTTTTGAACAAGTTTTGAGCATTTATTTGGTTTAATGCCAATAAATAATTATTAATGTTAATATACTATCAGTATTCGCTCGGTTTTTATCGTGCCGGTTAATTAAAGGAGTGATAGTATTGTAGCTTACCTACTTTTGTAGGTTAAAATCAGAGAAATGACCTCTGGAATCTGAGATTGATCTACTTCGTGATAAAATGTATAGATTAGGTAGCTCTCCTTTAATACGGTTTAAAGCCCTGCGCATACGAAAATACTAAATAAAAGCAACTGAAATCATCTGCAGGATACTAGGAGACGGAGCAACTAGGCGACTTAAATTGCAAGTTATCTTCACACACGGTCTTCCAAATGAGTTTTGATTAGTGTTCTTAGTATGCTGTTAGCTTTATATCATTTATTTATTTCTACTTATATTTGTATTTATTTATTTATTCTCTTTCTGTGTACGCCAATCATATGAAATAATAATAATAAAAAAAAAAAAAAAAACAATACTCCCGCCGTGACTCTTTTGCCGTTATATAGTGTCTGCACACGTAAGTGTATTAAACAGCTATAATTTTGTTTGCTTGTTGCAACGGTGGGTCCGGCATTTCGGTCATGTCGATTGTTGTTTCGTCGATTTATTATGGTGATGAACGCGCACAGTGTTAATTATTAGTATAAATTTATCGATTTCGGTCGTCTGTCACCAATACATTATCGACGTTAATGAGTATGGTTCAAATCGATAGCGCAACAATGATAATATTATGTCGTAAAGCGTTTGTTTTTTATTGCGTGGACACGAATTGGAAATTGCTAGTTTAATGAGTGCGTCGATCGAACGTGTCGCGTCGTCGTCCGCATGGACCGCGGTCACGGTCCAGCGAAACGCCTCTCGATCGGCGGATCGCGGGTTGCGCGTGATTCGCCTGCGGCATTTCATACGAATCATCCAGCCCGAACGGGACATTTTCTCGGTCTTGGTCCATCGACCAGCTATCGTCGTCCATGCCATTACCATCCTGGTAAAAGCCGTAGCGCGCGGGGGTGATGTCCATTGACCGCGGTTCCGAGCCTATCGAGCTCATATCATTATTGATCCAACCTTCGGGCGTGTTCCCGCGAGGCGCGTTCGCGTCGACGTGGACGTACGGACTACCGGGCAGGGCGATCGCCCGCGGCGCCAGCACGTTATTGAATCTTTCGAAGTTATCCAGAAAATCTTCGGCCACCACGTCGTCGCTCGTGTCCGGATCCGCCATGCGTTGCGGCGATTGTTGCGGCGAGTGCATGTGCGCGGACTCGTCTTCCGCAAAGAACATGGGCATCACGCCGTTGCCGCTGGTGTTTACGCTGATGGTTCCGGACACCGTGAACGTGCTCCCACCTCTGTTGACCCCTACGTGGCTAGTTCCCGCAGCATAGGTCATATTTCTCTGTCTTGTCATCGGATCGGGCACGTCGTAAGTGTCACGGCGCAAACTACCGGGATTCGGTTGATTCGGTACGGCGTCAGGCGTAGCGCGACGGCCGGCATTCATTTGATTTGCTTGCGCGTCGAAAAGTGCACGACGAACGTTGTCGGGATCGAGTTGAGCTACTGGTTCGTCAAAAGGTGCACGGCGAGCGGCATCGTATGGGCCACGCGGATTCATTTGACCTCCAGGTGTGTCGTAAGTGGCACGGCGAGCGGCGCCGTACGGACCGCGGGGGTTCATTTGATTTGCTGGCGCGTCGAAAGATGCACGGCGAGCGGCATCACGTGGATGTGCAGCGTTCTGGTCGGGCGCGTTATAAATATTGTGTCGCTGGCACGGGCCGGCGGCGTTTACGTTTATAGTGTTGCGCCGGGGACACTGCTGGCCTACATTCGCACTGGGCATGTCGTTGTACGAGCCGTGCCGGTCCCGCGGCGGATCGTTAGAGGGCGACAACGCACGGGGTTGTTCCTGTCTTTCCTGCACGTGCGGCTGTTCCTGTATCGCCTGCACGTTCGGCTGCTCCTGGCTCGCACGCACGTTCGGCTGTTCCTGTCTCGCATGTACGCGCCCATGCACTGTCGGCGGGCGAGGCCTGCTTACGCGTGCTGGAGCCGCACCCGCTCGGTTCATTACCGGTATTCTGGAGCCCTCGTATAATTGAACAGGATTGTCCACTCTTCTGGGCTCCGAGGCCTGTCGGTGAGTAGCTATCGGTATTCTCGAAGGTCTCCGCTGATGTTGCTGACGCTCATCGGCGGCTGGGTTTTGATTTCGGAAAGCCGCGCGGAGCGGTGGCAATCTTTGTTGGTTATCCCAAATGGCCGGCCCCCGGCGACCGTCCACCACGCCGGGCTGACGGCCGGCGACGCGTGTTGGTACACGACAAATCCTATTGTGATCGTCGTTACCGGCACTCAACCGCGCGTAATAGCATCGGTTATTGGCCAGGCGACCACTAGGTCGATGACGCGTATAGTACGCCAGTGGCAGGCCGTCGTTGATCAAACCGTTCGCTGACCGTCGCGCGGTCCATAAACGCTGCGGCTGCGAACCGGTCAACTGACAGAAGTCGGCGACCGACCACGGCGAAATCCCGGGCACGACATCGGACCAAAGGTCAAAATGGTCCTTAACGTCGTTCAGCCGTTCTTCCGGATTCCCTGACGAATCACTATTCGCCGGCTCGTTGCAAGGTTCTGAGACTATAATAATAATTATGATTTTACCCGTGCTTTAATTTCAGACACTTATGGTATACGTACTTTGTCCCCGACACTTGTCGGTGTACGGTACGACGACCTCGTGGCTGATGTTCCGATCAGATTCTATCGGAATTGTATCGACACAGCAGTGGTCTTCTATAGAGTCTTCTTCATCTTGCGGTAAGCGTTTGGCGTTCGCTATTGATGAATCCGTACTCGTAGACACGCCACAAGGCTCAGGGTCTGTAAAAATGTCAAGAACTGTCTTATAGTAATTATTATTATACGCGCACTCTGGTATTGGCCACTATTTTAAGACGCACTTTGTTCGCGTGTTTCGCTAATATCCGTTTCGGTTTCTGGAACGGCGGTTCGATCGGTTTTCGTCTTTGAGCCGCCATTTCGGATTGCTTCCGTATTTCGGAGTGAAATCAGGATCAGTTTAATAATCCTACATTTTTTCGCCTCGTCATTTTCCAAGTCGAAATTGCGCAACCATGTGAAAATCGCACATTTTTCTATGGACAAGTTAGAATTACGGCATACGTCAATACATTGTCGTATTGATAAAAATCTAAATTATTGGATTATTAAACATCGTCGATATCCCGGAATGCTTACCCTCGACGCTCCCCAGTTTTAATATGTTTCTTTTGATCAACGACCGGAACAACTGACACTCGTCTTCCAGGTCGCTTTGCTCACGCGAGTCTTCTGTTGACGGTAGTAGGTTTGTATCCTGTGAACTGTCGAATGTACTTGTGATTTCTTTAGACCTCTCGCAATGGTTGTAAGTGTCTTTCATTCGTTTGTTTAAATTGTGAATTCGTATTGAAACGTGTACGTTTGTGTACGTTTAAAATTTTGTTATTAGGTAATCAAACCTAATAAAACCTTTATTATAAAATGTGTTATTATAAAATCGATTTGCGTTGTGTCGTTAGTAAAATAAACAATAGTCTCTGCGAAACGTTTTTTTAGTCATTTCCGTAGCCAATAGTAATAATAGCTTAAGCAAAACGTTTCTAATAAAACCGACGTTTATGCATATAAAATAACACGTTCTGACTGACTGATTGATTCATCATCGCCCAGCCCGAACCACTGGACGGACCCGGCTGAAATTTGGCACACATAGCTATTAAGTCGTAGGCATCCGCCGAGAAAGGATTTTTCAAAATTAAATTTCTAAGAGGGTAAGTAGGGATTTTTAGATATATCCGCTACGAATATCTTTTAATTGCTTATTTATTTATTTTTGTTTATTCGAGGATTACCTTGGTGTTACGGAAAAGAAAACTATTATAATTATTATTATCACTATTATAGTTATTATTATTAATATTGTTTACGCTATTAAAATTTCACGGTAGAACACATTTAGTCCGCCGAAGATGGACTACGCAATTTCTACCCATTTGTTTTCATTCAATTCTAACACGGTCAAAACCAAAATTGAATACGGGTAAAATTATAATAATACAAATTTGCACGGGTAATACTAGGCGTGGGACAGCTAGTAATAATATATTAGTATAAAATATTATAAGATGGATTATCAGATGTTTATAAAACGGTAACATTAATAAATAATAATTTTTTTGTTCAATTATTTTTTCATATTAAATATTATGTGCATATTACTGGAATTTCGAAAATAATGTTATTTTTTTAAAAAAAGTGTTAATTGGTAGATGCATTACAGCACTTTTTATTAATATATCAATGAAAAAGAGCATTATTGAGGTTTTAAAAAATGGCAAGTATTACCTCGATAAGTGGAGATGTTTTTTTAAATTTTTATTTATTATTATTTTTTTTAAAACCTTTAATTGTAATCACAACAGGAGATACAGGTATGTTGGATGGAAGATGGATACATGGGGGGGCTCGATAAATCGTCGTAATGTGTACACTTATGCAAATTACCCGAAAACATGGGTTCGAAAACGTGGTTCGGATTGGCCACTTTTCCAGGCGTATGGACAACTGATCTAATCAATTTCGAATTGGTTGAATGTTAACCACGTAAAGTGTAAATCAGCGCTCCAATTGCAGGTATTAATTAACCTCAGAAAAAACGCTACATGTAGAAATAAGAGCAAGTCTTCTAGTAGAAATATTGCGCACAGATAAAAAAAATAAACATCTTTGTAAAACTATAAGATTATTCGCTTAACTCAGATTCTAAAATGTTTGTGAAGAGCTTTCATAAATTGAGTATTTAATTTTGAGTGGAAAGTCTCACAACTATTAGTGTACGTTCTAATGTTATTTCTCTTGATGCCTAAATGTGTGGATTGAATTTTGCTCTTTCGATGACGTGTATACTATTAATAGTAGCCGGCGGAGTCGATATGTAAATATTACGAACGGTGACTGGCGGAATCGATATACGTCCGCGGGTCAACTTCGTAGGTCAACTCGTTAGGGCCTCGTTGGACCCTCGCCTATTGAATGGCACCCCACATCTCTGTACGAGTCTCTCTAAAAAACCAAATATCTATCATGGAGTTCCACGTGATGTCCGAAAAGTCTTTACCAATGTTTCGATCACTAAATTTCCACGCGGACGAGATATCATTTCATTTTTGATTCTGAGTATAGCGAAGAATGTATTGGTTTTACAAATATGTTTATTTTTTTTTATTTATTGTTTTATACAGCGTACAAAAATTCTACCGGACATCTTGCTTCAATATATATGCACGGCACCATTTCTGAAAGAAAATATTTTCTAGATGTTAAGGTCATTTATCGAATTTCCAAGCGGTTTTTATAATATCTGGGAAAAACCAAGATAAAACGTAAAAAAAAAAAAAAAACTGGACATTTACGATTATTCTCGTTTTTTTATTTTTTAAATTTTATTATTTATTGTAATTCAGTTAAAAATATGCTATATATGAAAACTTATATTTGCCCATTTAGGTGTTGTAAAATTTTCAAAATATTTAAGCCATTTTTTAGCTGTTTTGTACATAATTTTTGTTTTGTAGGTACTGTATGGTAAAATGTTTAGACTTAACAAAAAAATTTTGAAATCGGGAAGTTCATTAAAATTCTTACTTTGTGGTAAAAAAATAAAAAAATAAAGTTTAATGTAGTATTTTTTTTTATATAAAAATTTTAATATAATAATTTCACGAAAATCGAAAATAATTACTCCACGTATGTAAGTTATGTACTGAATCTTTTAAAATTAATTTGTATCAACTTTACAATATTTGGGAAAAAAACTAATAATTTTCAAAAAACATATTTTCTTTAAGTTTCCCATGTATACAATATATATGTCTATAATTTATAACTAAATGTTTATCATAGGTATTATACCTATTAGTGAATATTTATTATTAAAATACAATAACGCTATACTAAAAAAAAATGATGTTGTTATCATTCATAATCAAAAAAGCAGTCTACGAAAAATGATAAAAAATGAAGTGACTTATAAGTGTATACATATTTATATATATATAAATATAATTTTAAGTTAAAAATAATACGGAACAAATATAATTTTTCAGTTGTTTGTTTTAAACATATTTATAATGCCGGTTGAAGAACGATAGTGTAGTCAGAATTGATCAGACTGACTGAGTTTCGAAATTATAGCTTTTTGAAAATCTGATATTATGTGGATATTATATGTTATGTTAAACAACTCTACATTGTTCATTACATTGTGTCTGCCGTAATCTAATAGTGTTACCTATATATTGTTCCCAGACGTTGCAAGTTCAAACGAGGGTTCAGACAAAAACTTTTTCGTTTTTTTTTTCCCGTTTTTACCCAGACAGGAAAAAAAACAAAGGCATTTAAGGTGTACTTAGAGACCACACAATCGTTTGCTCGGACAGCAACACTATTAACCGAACTCCGCTCAGAATCGTTTTTCGGTGGTAATGGTTAATCGTCGCGTACAGATATACATTTAATTTCCTCTCAACCTATAATAGTGGCCCACCCACGTGCGAAGTATACCGTTTTATTATTATTTTTTTTATGTTATTTGTTTTTATTTTTATTTTTATTTTGATAACATAACTGAACACCCGCAATCTTTGATTTGTTCACTTGAAAACGTTGATTTTTTAACAATAGTTATATGATAATTAACATTTAATGCATAATATTCACCGACTATCATATATTATATTGTAATCCACTGTAGGATGTTTCAAATTGAAACCTTCAATACCTATTTCTATAACTATTTGTGTTCGCCCACAAACTTATATGAAAAATATCTCTCTTTTTTTTTTCTATTGGTGTGTAGTTTTTATGCCTAACGGCTTTTCTACTACATAAATTTATTTTAGTTCTTATTTAAATACCTAAAATGTTTGTTCGTCCCCCATCCCCCCCAAAAAAACATGTGTTCATTTCTCGAAATTCTTCTCACCCATTTTCCCTAGTTACCATGCCGGATGGTTTTTATAAAATCCTGAAGCTCCAGTCAACGGGCTTCGGTTCCAGGTTGGTACCTTGTTCAACCATAGTATAGGTACTCGTGTATCGATAAGGATACGGTGGTTATCACATAATGATCGTTACAGCCCAAAACTCAAGGCTGGGTCACGGTGAGGCGTTACAATTATAAACACACTTCTCGGATAGTAACTAGCAAGTTTCGAGCGGATAGTATAATTTGATAAAATTTACAAGGTTGTGCCCTGTAAGGTGAACTAGTAGTCAGTACAATATAAATTAATTAAATATACTTTTAATACAAAGACATTCAAATTAGGAATTATATTATGTGTAAAAAAACAAAACTAACTTATTTTTTATGAAATTCAGCAAAAAAATATTCGGAATCGATAACAAAACAAACATGAATATTACATTTTTCACACATAAGATACGTTTTGACATTACAGTGCCATTTTAAATCTCTGTTTTTCACCTGAAGTTGGCAAGTGTCCTACGTTTTAGATTTTAAGAAAATTCTGTGATAATTTTGTCCACTCCACCTATGTTCTTATTATAAAGTTATATAACTTTAGACCGTACAACTATATCATACTGTTTTACCCCATCTTTCAACAAAATCTACAAATCCAGACGCAATAAAATTTGAAGCCTTGTGAACGGATTTTCTGTCATATCATTTTAACAATGTAATAGTGTTTTCATAATATCGAATGCCATGTGTTTCCTTTTTCCCATGGAAGCAAGCACTATATTATTTATGGGTGGGGATTTCAAAAATCTATTTTCTCGTTAGTTTAAGTTCCAAATATTTTTCGTTTCAATAATATTTCGACTAAATTATATAAAGGCAAAATAATTGTCGATGAACCACTTGAACCATAAGAATCTCTATTAATTCAACGTTTACTTAAAAATTGACCAAATTCTCAGCAAAATCTAATGGACTGATGAGATCTTCATTTTCTTGTTAATTTATATCACCTTAATCTGATACAACATCACCATCATCCAGAATTTCCTATGAAAATCTAGCGATACCATATTCGATTTTTGAAGTCATGGTTTGAACAAATCTTGTTAAAAAAAAATTAAGATCTTTATTATTTATTATTAATCTTTATTAATGTGATGCTTGACGGGACTTCAAAGGCCCGACCTGTAAAAAGTGCAATATATGTAACTAAGAGCGTACACCTAGAGCGTTTAAAAAGTGAAAAAAAAAATTATTTGCTCTATATTTAAATCTTTAAACAAAACCTAAAATGCTTACCTTATTTCGTTTTATTACTGTTTTGTCTTCAGCTGTCAGAGACCAGACTCGTTATTTATGCGGATCATACTGTCGGACGCTTGATCAGCTGCAATGCATTTCTTATGAGTGTATTTCTGCCCGTGTAATCGATTTTTACAGCATATTATTTTGCAGCGTAGTTGACATTTCAATACTTCACATTTACAACTGAAATATAAAATAACCAGAAAAAAAAACGGAATCAATATCATAAGTCAGGATTAATATTTTGACTTTGCGATTTTACTTTGCGACTTGTGACTTTGCGATAAATATTTAATTCAAAACTGGTCGCACAATACACATTTCATAATACTTCAGGTGACGTATTAATTAATTAATTAATTAATATATTTATTTACAAGTATTTACGATTTAATCAGTTTGTTTTTACTTTATTATTTTATTAATAAAATGTTGCATTCAATTTCAATACTTTGTTACAGCGTTAGAATATTGAGAAAAATTTGTGTCGAACTGCGTCTGAGGTATAATAAATTGTTTATCATTAATTATATATTATGAACTTTATTTTTGCATAATTAGAAAATGGAGATGGAAACAAGTTTAATAAAAATGAAAAAAAAATAAAGAAAATGAGGAGCAATGATTATTACAGGAGATCAATAAAAGAAATTTGTTTGTTATCGGCCAAAAAGGTAATTTTATACTATTAACTAATTATTATTTAGTTTACTGTAAAAAATGTGTCGGTTTATAATTTAGATGGTGATAAATTTGAAGATTTAATAATATTTGATACCAAAATACCTGAAGCAATTCCACGAGTACATTTAATAGAAAATCGACTCGTATGATCATTTCTTTTATCGTTCCCAGAGCATAAAAAATCTTATTATGTAAAAAGATTTCATGAAGTTTCTTTGTAAGTGTATATTTATTTTCTTTTGAACATGCTAGAAACAAAGAGCCAAATAACTTTTGGTAAGCATTAAGGTTTATAATGAATAGTTTATAGCTCATATAGTTGCATGTTCAATAAAATCAATAAGAAATAATTAATTAATATTTTAATCAGACCTAAGAATGTTACTAGTTTTACGATAAAAATAGATATCAACAAATAACTTATAATGTGACTGACAACATTAATATTTATCCAAAAATATTATTTATATTTTATTAAAAATACACAAATTTTAGTCATACAAGTCTCATTGGTTTTTTTTTTTTTGATATTTTATCTATAACTTCATCTAGTGTAATAGTAATTTCTTTCTAGGCAGCCAATAAAGTTAATCAGTTAAATAAATGTTCAAATATAATATAAATTGTATTAGAAGGATCAGATAAATTACCTAATAAGTTTATGGGTATACTACTTGATTAAGTTTCTTTCATATTTGTAATGCTCCTTAATTTTGAAAATTTCTCACTGCAATAAAAGTTCAAACCGGTAATTTAAACAAAATAAATATGTTTATCATTAATTTACTATGTAAATATTTTCTTATACTCACAGTCTCCTGACCTCTGAGGAACTGAGAATACTGACATTCCAAGTTATGATGAGATGATAAGGTTTGAAAATAAAATCTGTAGATAGTGTTACCTATGGTTGTATAATATGTATATTTAAAAGAAATAATAATAAAACTGACCAACAAATCTCTAAATCTTTTTTCGCATATCTTAGCTAACATGTTCTTTTTTTTATATTAATGATATTAATTTTATTTATTATTTATTAACTAAATCTACTACATAAAATCTTTAAAAGTTTATTTAAATTTGATTAACTACAAGAACTACAGATTTTAGGAACATCTTTGTTTTTTATCAACTTTGTAAACAATATAAAACCAACCAAATCAAATGAAAAGATAGAATATGTTACCCTCATTGGTATACCCTTGAAATTTAACAAGATTTATACTGTCCTTAGTGGTGCACTTAACATAAAAAATGCCTGCTATGTAAAGTATTTTTAAATTTAGTAATTTTTAAATATTATACATTGTTTAGTTTTATAATATGATTCTCCTAATTTTTATTGATGAAAAAAAATTAAATTTTTTTTTTTTTTGAAAATTAAAAGGTTTTATATATATTTAGCAGATTTTTTCTCTACAAGACGACCATGAGATGTTTTAGGTAAATACACCCCAAACACAGTTAATATTTATGCTGAATATTTAGGTGATACTTTTAGCAGAATTTCAAAAATAAAACCCCCCTGAAACCACGTTATAAGATGTATTCACAAGAATGAGGTAAACAAGTTATTTTTTATATTATCTCAATAATTTTGTTACCCTTTCCTTTAATGGTTTATTGTCTTAACAAAATTATAATTTACATAAACACTCTTAAAAGTTCAAGATTACTTTCTCAGGATTGCTAATTCACATCTATTTGTGTTATTTGTTATTTTATTATTTTAATTACCAAAATATTTTCATTGTTTATTCTAATTCATAAATGCCTGCAATTGTTATTGCAATATAATATCCAAGGCTCAATCTAGTGTTTAGTTTTATTTAAAATTAATTATAATTTGAATTGTATAAACATACAATAATTGTGGATTGCTATCCAATTTGGGTTTTTTTAGGTTTATTTTTTTAGTTGGCTTTTACTTATTTACTTAATTATCTACTATATCTGTATGGTTAATATGTAATTTTTTAATAATTTTTAAATTTAAAAATACATGTAAAATATAAAAGTTGTCTGGAATTATAGCATATTAACCATATTATTATTACCTAGTTTTATGTGCAAAATTATAATGTTCCTAAATTTTTGATTTAAAATGTATATAATTTCAATTTTATTGTTTTCAGGTGTATTATTAAAAATGGTACGCCAAGGTTTAGAATTTTCATTGCTGGATCACAACCTGATAAATTATTTTTAGAAGTTTAATACGATTTTATTTTTTAGGTGTTGATTGACTAATGACCTAATTTATAGATTAAAAAAATTAAATTATCTTGTATAATTGTTTATTGATTAACTAATGACCTAATTTATAGATTAAAAAAATTAAATTATCTTGTATAATTGTTTTCATCATTGATATGTGTTTATAATGTGTTTATAATTTATGTGTTTATAGTGTTTTAAAAATATTTTATTTATGATATAATTAGATAATTATAAAAATATTAATATAATAGGATTTATAAATAATTTGCATGTTTAATTGAATAGTTACGTTGTAATAGAAACGTATTTTATTTTTTTTTTCTATTAAAAATCTATATACTAATTACTGGTCTTCACTGAGATAGCTTGTGTGAAGACTTTTATAATTTAAAAGCAGAAACTAACATGAATAAGTATAGTGTTCAAAATTTAGAGAGAAAAAAAAAATAAAGCTTAGTATAATTTAAATATATAATAATAAATTAGCAGCATATTAACAGAGTCATAAATTATGATGTTAATTATATATATAAATGTATGTTTTTTCTAGAGATTGTATTATTTTAATAGTTACTTAAACTAATAAACAATTTTAATAATTATAAAATGGAATATTGTTTTTATATTATGATAATCTCTTGTACATAATACACCGTGACTCAAATTATAGTCTTAGAAAATAACTTTAAATTTGTCGTACCTAATAACCATTATAACATTTTATCGTATTATGCTATCAATGTTAACATAATAATAAAAAATCCAATTATTATTCTTAAATTTACTTAAATTTATTGGTTTTAGTATAATTTTTTTTCATGAGTGTCTGATAACACGTTTTTACCAAAAATGTGTGTTCTAATCAACAATTGTTTAAGAGGTTCTTTATGGCATTTTTAACCTAAATGATGCATTGAGGTAATTTTTTGTAATATGTTTGTCAATTTCTTGATTACCTTGACAACAAGAAAAAGATGATTATTAATACTTTGCATAGAATCGTTTTTCGTTAGCAATGATTTATCGTGAATCGTTGTGAACAGACATAAATTAAATTATCACTTTATGAATCTTCACTACCAAACTTCCTTCTTTAAACAGTGACACATTCATCAGTTCTTTTTTTAAATTTGACACTGATTGTGCTTAATCTATTAGTTATTTTTACCGCAAATCTTTTTACGTTTGTTATTTCAATTTTCGCGTTTCGTCTGTGTGGTCATCAATTATTATCAAGACTATATAATAACTGTGCTATTATTTATAGGTGCCATATACTTATTAAATTTGAGGACGGATCAATGGACCGATAACTATAAGATCGACATTCTGTCATAAAATATGTATAATAAACAGTTTATGTATAGATACATTTATAAATGTATGCTATAACTTATAAGGCTTGTAGTATAAGCTATACCTTTTAAAATTCGATCTATTAACCTAGGTGTTTTGTTTGTCAATTATTACTGCATTAAAGCGAATATATAAACTATGTAAGTAAGACACAGTTTATACAGATTATATTATATAAAAGATATTACCATTGCCAATTGATGGTTATCGTTTACCCATACTTTCGACTCATTGGCTGTCGACCGGTTAAACTGTCAGCCTATTACATATTTACAGTTATTTCAATGGCGATACCAAAATTTGACATTAAACATTTAATTATGTTGTACGCCTTTTGCATCATTAAGAGTCGTAATATATTTTATAATTTTGATCAATATAACTTTTGAAGTTTTCTATTTCAGATTATATATTTATTAGATTCTTTTGAATAAGATTCCCTGTATTGGGTTTTGGAATATTCTTTCGGGTTATTGTTTGCATGAATTTCGTTGAAGTGCAATATTTGTAGCAATAGATTTCATCGATGTATCCTCTATAAGTATTTATCGACGGTGTTTCTACACAAGGAGCATTGCAAAATTTTTTTTTTAAATTCTCCAACTTTTTGGATCATAATTGAAGCTCATTTAATTAACGTTCCCTTATTTCCTTATGTTTATTTTTCTGTGAATTCAATTCTCTCACTAGGAGTTCATTATCTTGTTTTATTTGACTATTCATATTTTGTAATTTACATAAATTAGTTTCTTTTCGAGTAAATTCTTCTTGTAATTTTTGCACTAAATGTTTCATTTCTTCGTATTTTGTTAAACCCGCTTCTTTTACATCTTTTAATGTAGTTAATAATGCTTTAATTTTACAAGCCTGTTCATTTATTGTTGTATTTGTTTCAGCATACTGTAATTCCAAATTGTGTAGGGTTTTGCATTTAGTTTTTAATTCATTAGACAATATTTCTCGCTCAAGATTCCACTTTTCTTCCATGCGTGATGCACATAACTTTGCATTTTGTAGTTTTTCTCTTGTACACTTTATGTCCGTTTCAAACGTGCAATTTGCTTCCTTCAGTTGATTATTGACTTGTGAATATTCGTCGAGTTGTTTGCGTTTTTGGCAACATTCGATTTCATAAAAATTCAAGTTCGCCCGCAATTTTCCAACAATATAATTTGTTTCTTCCAATTCCGACTAAAAACATTTTATTAAACTATTTTTAAAATTTTTAATTTTCGTTTTATTTTAATACTTTTTTAAAATTTTTATTATTATTATTGTATATAATATAGTTTATGTATATAATAAATGTATTATTTTTACTTTGAACTTAAGAACGTGATCTTTAATGTTAAATCTAAAACTACTAAAAACGTCTATGAATAATATTTATTTAAACGGGTAATATTAAATTCTTTTTAGACTATTTAAAATAAAATATATCTAGAATATATTATTTTTTTCACGAAATGTAATAAATATAATTTTATGTGAAAACTTGAGAATTTTAATTGAAATTTTCATAAAGGAATTTCAAGTACCTACACAATTTATTTTCTAAATTAAACATGATTTATGTATAGTAAATATAGTTACATCGGTGAGTTAAAATATGATACATTACACATACATTATGATACACTTATCATACTTATAGTACTCCAGGCGACGCATTCATTTATTTATTTTATTTGTATGTATACATTTTTTATTTATATATTTGTTTACGAGTATTAACCATTTTAATAATTTTTTTAATCTTTATTATGTTATTATTTAAAATATTATCTGCTGTAACATTAAATATTGTGAATTATTAATTAAAATTATACATAGGATTTTTGTTTTTAATTTATAAGGAAATATTCTATGATTTGTTCATCCTTCAAAAGCTTATCAAATATTATTATTTTGTATGCTGTCAGTTTACCGAACAAACTATATTGACTAGTAAATGTTGAATAATAAATTGGAGGCTAGTTTTTGAAATGGACCTTATTTATAATTTTTTATAGGACCTTGAGTCCGTATTTATGTGTATATAAAATAAATAAATACATATCTATCAGTTAAAACATTTAATAGGTTTTTTTAATTTTTGATTTCTGTAAATAGATGTACCGGATCAATACAGTTTACTTGTGTGCCTATTGCAAACAAATAAAATATGTTATAATTACTTTAGTATAACGTAGTTCTTTTTGGAGACGTTTTACATTTTGTTCCGAATCTTCTAACTTAAAATTAAGGTCATTTTTTTGAGATTTCAAAGATTTAAACTGATCAGTGATACAGTCATGAATATCTTCTAACTTGTTGTGTTTGGATTGCCAATCGGATTTCGCACAGTTAGCTTTTTCAAGCATTTCAGATTGATCTTCAAAGGAAGACATTAGTTCGTCGAACACTTTTTTACGGAAAACGTCATTTTTCTCTCTCCATATTTCAAATTCATTGACCGATTTTTGTAAGTTATTCTTTTCAATAACAATTTCATCGAATACTTTTAATTTTTTGTTTAACTTGCCAATTAAATCATTTTGAAATGATACAATATTTTTTAATTCTTGCATCGTTTCTTTAGAGCAGTTCTAGGCGTACACAAATAATGTTAATTAAAATATTGAAGTGAATTCAAATGTATTATTTATTCTCTCCCCACTGTGAACTTACGTTTTCATTCGAATTCATTGCAGTTATATTTGGTTTAAAAATTTATATTTTAGTTTTAAAATGTTTTAGGTATATTAGTTAAACAAAAAAAAGTGTTTGTAAATAATTATAGAATTTAATTTTAGTATTTATTCTGACTATTTGATAAGCATACAGTGTTGTCCGGGATAAAGGTACCTATTTGTAAAATTGTTGATTGAATTCGGAAGCCAGAAAATTATTATAATTTTAACTACAGGTAGTACAACGTATTTTCAAATAGGGCAATCAAACAACTACTATTTGATAATTTCAATTATAATTTTGTTAGTATGTATAGGAAATGTGTTTTTACCAATTCAATAATCATACTGAAATTCTTAGTGTTAGTGATCGATATGAAGCTCGTTTAAATGAGGCGGATTGGTATAATATGTAGTTGATACACGGATCATGTTTTTAAAATATACACTTATATTTTGGACTATGAACAAAACGTAAAGAACTTATTAATTTTATTGAGATATATCAACATCAGTGGTGGTTTCTGGTAGCATATTTCATCTAGCTGAGGCTTTTTAGGCAGGTCATTTTTTTGTGCTTCTATTAATAATGGAGATAAGGCGTACTATAATTGGTAAAAACAGAAATATTTGTATACAGTGGTTTCTATTAAAGTCAATTTTTTTTTTATAGTAATTCAATAAAAACTAGTAGAAATATGATATTTTCCATAAATGTCAATATCATTGCTTTATAGACGTAGTACAATTTTTATAAAATATTGTTGTGGCGTTTTTATTGTTGTAGCTTCTCAAAATTTTTAAAAATTCGATGAAAATATTCATCATTAAAGTTGTTCTTGAAAAAAAAAAAAATGAATAATATTGCAAATATAAATTTATAGACTTTTTTTTTTTTTACAAGCATATTTTGATGTTCAGATTATCACAAAAATCGTAAAAATCATCATCGTTTTGTATGATATTTTAGATTTTGAGCGAAGCATGAAATGTATTGGTTAGGTTAGGTTGGGTAAATGTGTTGGTTTTATGACATTTATTATAATTATTTTTTTTTTCAATAAACAACTTTTCTCTCAGAAATCTTGCTCCGATTTTCAAGTGCAGTGCTTTTGTGAAAGAAAATTTTATCTGGGTGGTACCTACTTAAAGATGGTAATTTTATGATTTGTCAAGCGGTTTTCATAATAATTGGAAAAAACAAATGAAAAAACGATAAATGTATTATTTTTATGTAAAAATATTCAAAAAAGTAATACACGGTTCACCATAACTTAGTTATGTTGGTCAATTAGTAATAAAAAAAGTCAAACGTAATGGCGTTTATTTTTTGTAATCATTTAAAATTTTAACTTAGTTCAGATTTTACAAATTATTTGACTCGTAAAAATAATTGAAGTTTTTGAATTAGTATAACATTTAAATGATAATTTGATTTAAACAATGTTTATCCGATGTTCAGTACGAGTAAAAAAATTTTGAAATTTTGTAATATTTGTGTCAGTATACAATATTAATAATAATAATAATATTAATAATATTTACAAGTTATTTTATTAGTATTTATTTATAAGTTACATTTATTTTTCAATGACCCAGAATTAAAATGTATACGTTTGCTTACATTTTTATGTATTTTTTAAAATAATTAATAATTTTTATTTAATGTAATAAAAGAATAAAGAAAACGGATAGACACGAACAAAAGGGTTTTACATACTACAGAGGTACATTTTTAATGTGTTGGTATAAGTAGTATTTAATAAAAAAAACTTTTTTTTAATATGTTTATAGATATTGGTTAGTTAAACTTAATATTATTCTTATATATCGTACATTTCAATTTTATTTTTACTATTTTCTTAAATATTTTAATCAGATATATCAATAATTTGTTTGTTGTGAATATATATAGTTAAAAAATCTATCGGATTTAAATGACAATTGAAGTATTATATAATATTATGCACAGCTATGTATAAAATACTTGAAATGTATTTTTAATATGAACACAACGAGTGTATTGAATTAATACTAAACTGATTTAGACGCCTATCCTACCGGTTAATTAAATAATAATAAAATTAATAAACATTTACACGTCAAAATAACTATGGATAATTAAAAAAATATATATTATAATAAATATATGATATAATAATATGACTATGGTCAATATTCCGCGTGTATCGCGAGCCGCCGTCGACGACGTCCTATCATGTTTTTCGTATGCATACTTGGCATCTACTGATGCGGGTGCGAGTCATGTCTTTCTTTAGCGTTTGCCTTTGAACGCTAGTGAACTGTTCATCGGGATCGATGGTGGCCAACCAGAAACTCAACGTATTGGCGAAGTAATGACATGTTCCTCGGGCCCCGTTACACTCGATGAACGGCGTGGCTCTGAAGTCCTCCAGGCACGATCCTGGGTTGGCCAACGATTGGCCACCGCCTTCCGCGCCCGCAGACGTGTGCTGTATAAGCAAAAACGTATTATATAAAACATGTTGTATACTGTACACAAACTAGAGTAAAGTAATTTTTAAAACTATTCAGAAAAAATATTTGAGTCCATAAAAAAAATTATATTCAAAATATTTATTCGAATAATTTACAATAATACTACGTACATTTAAAATATTTTAAGAAATATATAATATAAAAATACAATAAATATTTTAGAAATAAATGTTAATATTCCGCACGACGGGTGAGCCACTGTTCGAGGGGAGAAGTTAAGAAGGTAGATGGAAAACTTAATGTATACATAATAAAATATTAAAATAAAAGTAAAATTATTAAAATGGTTAATACTCTTAAATAAATAAAATAAATAAATATATAAATAAAAAACGTATGTGTAGAAATAAAATAAATAAATGAATCAATGCGTCGCCCGGAGTATAAATGATAAGTGTATTATACCCCTTTTAAGTTCTATTTATAATCTATTACATATAGCCCTTTAAAATTTTAAATACATCATTAAGGCTTATTTAATTTCTATTTCTATTCTATATAGAAACTACGGTCAGATATCTTATTAAACCTTAATCAGTTGATGTGAGGTAAATGAATTATAAATAAAAAGATGTCCTAGAATAATAGGAACGGGTGTAGGTTTTTTAGGTAATTTTATGTATAATTGTAAGCGACGATAAACCATTGCTAACGAAAAAACGATTCTGAGCGGAGTTCAATTAATAGTGATACTTTGTCAGTAACATATATGTCATATTATAGTAAAATAATTAAATAGGTCTTAAATGTTTTCTTTAATAATATTTCTTTAATAATGTACCGACTTTCCCGTTTCCTACATTTTCCCCAGTTTTGGGAGAAAATCGAAAAATTACCTCCTTAAAGTGCTTTTCCACACAGATTTTATTTCGGAGAAGGTGCCACACTTAAAAGTCGGTGAAAGATCTTTGGTAGAAAAGTTATCCATAAAAAATAAAAAAAAAAATAAACATTTTTGTATAACTATAAGCTTTTTCGCTCCACTCAGTATCTAAAAATGTCTTCTTTACCTATCGGTGAATAATAGTGAGCACACGTTAACTTACCATAACAAAACTGTATCCAATCCATAATCCGTCCCATCCATTAGGACAATCGGGAACTTTCAACGCTTGACTATGTACAGCTATGACATTCGCAGGGGCTTCACATACGACACATCTATTAATAAATGCATTTATAGCAGAGAAAAAAAAAATATATTAGAATACGCATAATTTTTGTATTCGATTTTTGAATTTTGCAATTCCGTTAGTAAATTAAACTCTAATTAAACTTTTGATTTTTATTATTACCGAGAAATGTATTTTTGAATTTCGAACTCTTGGACTGGCATCATCGGTAACGGTGCATTGGTACTGAGCCAATAAGACTTATCGTTTCTGCTAGCGTAGTTACACACGTTATTGAAATCGCAGAACAAGAATGGCATGGTAGAGAATTTTCTTATACAAGAGCCAGCAAAACCTGAAAGCAATTTAATAAATGTATACGTTTGGCTTGATATTAGATATTAATGAGTAATGTTTTCCAGTTATTTGATATTTACGTGCGTGAAAAAACGTATTAATGTCAATTTAATACTAAATATTCCAAATAAAAATAGGAATTAATTTGAAAAAAAAAATGTATGTACCTAAATCTTGGTTATGTGCTTTTTCATTTCCTTCTATGTACAACAAACTGAATCCATCCCAGAGTTTGACGTGGTTAGGTTCACATTCGGGTATAGACGAACTTTGACTGTGTCTCACTAACAATATACCGGTTGAATAATCTAGTTGTGGTACACATTCCTTACCAGGGAGACCATCAAGTCCAGGCTGACCTGGTAGTCCCTATATATAAATATTATAATATTACATAAAATTAAGTAGGTAATCAGGTTGGTATCTAGAATTTTCAAAATAAATATTTGTATTCTATTAAAAAAATAACATAGTTTACACGTATCATTACAATGCAAAAACTGGATCACTTACATCTATACCAGGAACACCTTCTAATCCTGGTTCACCTTTGTCACCAACAGGACCGGGAGGACCAACTGGACCATTCAAACCGGGGAAACCTAATAAGGAGAGCGAAAAGGAAATTGTATATTATATTAATTTAGTATTGAGGTATTAAGGTGTGTTTTACCCATTTCTCCTTTTATTCCATTAAAACCAGGTTGACCATCTAAGCCAGGGGAACCCACTTCACCAGGCCTGCCAGGTTGTCCTAAAGAACAAAACAAAAACAATAAAATATTAAAAATATATATAATATGGTATACAACTAAATAATCAGTTTTAACTATTGCTAAATACTATAATACGGTGGATGTCTATTTATTTATATGAAATACAGTAAAAAACTACTGATAGAAAAAAAATTGAATTAGTGTGTAATATTAAATGTATATAAAGTACCCGGCAATCCTCGATCTCCTTTGGGTCCTTGTGCCGGTGTTAAACCGGGTTCACCTTTATCACCCTTAGCTCCACTAAATCCAGGTACACCTAAACATAAAAAAGTATTATTTTATGTCGTAAATACTAAAATTAAAAAATAACGATTTAAAAATGTTGTAAATATTTTATACTAAAATTATTAACAAAATATCTAATTTAAATTTGTTAAAATACAAACCGGGTTCTCCTTCTAATCCACTGATTCCCTTTTCACCGGGCGAGCCATCTAAACCAGCTGATCCAGGAAGACCTTTAAAAGAAAAATATAAGTATAAGCATTTAAATTGTATAACAGCGTATCAATTTAAATAATTTGTACACAGATTTTTTTTTCAACAATACTATTTTATTTGAAAAAAAAAAAAACTCGAAGTTTAAAATAACGAGCCTACTACATATATTAAATTTGTCTAGGGTCTAATCTTTATGTTAATATTGTAATAATATTTTTGTTTACCTGGGAAACCTCTATCTCCTTTGTCACCTTTGGATCCAGGAATACCGGGTTTTCCTAAAATGAGAAAAAAAAACATTAGTTAATGTGTAGTCAATAACAATCATTTTAATGCTTTCAAAGTTAATTTTAATTTTATGAAATATTTCCAATAATGTATTTTATGTTAAATAAATTAATAATATTAATGAGTTACCTGGGAAACCAATATCACCCTTGTCTCCTTTTTCGCTATATGGTGCAGGGCTGCCTGGTTCTCCTTTAGGTCCTAAAATTAGTTATTGAGTTTGTTGATTATAATTGTTGTTCATATTTTGACGAATACGGATAATATTTAAACAAATATATTCAAGTATTATTTTTTCACGGATATGAAAATTATTTAGTTTATACTATTTACCCGTCAATCCCGGTGGCCCATCTAACCCAGGAGTTCCAGGAAGACCATTAATTCCCGGTTGACCTGGGAAACCTGAAAATTTGATTTATGAATTAGTTTTTCAGATAAAATAAAATACATTTTTATTTTATTAGGTATATACTAATATATTTTTGATTCCTGACAATTGATAAGGAATTATTTTAAAATAATTACTCCACGTATATAAGTTATGTATTGAATTTTTTTAAATTAATTTGTATCAACTTTACAATATTTGGGAAGACAACCAATAATTTTCGAAAAACATATTTTCTTTAAGTTTCTTATGTATACAATATATATGCATATAATTTAAATAACTAAACGTTTATCATAGGTACTTCTTAGTGAATATTTATTTTTAAAATACAATAACGCTATACTAAAAAAAAATTATGTTGTAGTAATTCATAATCAAAAAAGCAGTCTACGAAAAATGATAAAAAAATGAAGTGACTTATAAGTGTATATATATATATATATATATATATATAATTTTAATTTTAAATTAAAATATGTAGTAAAAATTTGAATATATGTTAAGCATAATAATTAAATGTAATTTATGATGTGAAGGAATATAATTATTTTAAAATAATTAAATGTATACTTCTATAAAATAGCGTTAAATACCTGGAGGTCCAATTTCTCCAATATCACCAGGAAGACCTTGTAACTGAAAATATTAATAAATCATTACAACTTTGATTAACTCATATAACTAAATTAATATTTGTTTTTTTCAGTCCAACACCTGGACAAAAATAATTGATGTCTTAAACATAATCCTTACGTTTAATATAAAACATGTTATAATAGTTAAAAATAATATGGTATAATTTATATACGTACCCCAACTGGTCCAGTTGGGCCCGGAAGTCCTGGTAAACCTGCTTCTCCTTTATCACCTAAAATATAATTATTTATAATATAAGTATTTTGCAAATCAAATAAGAAGGACGTTTATGAAAGTTATGTTTATTTTGCATTTAATATTTTGTCAAATAGGTTATTTAATAAAATATAAAGTGATGATCTGATATAAAAATAAACTTCAAAATTGTCTATGCTATAGATACGTTTTTAGTAATTAAGACCAGTCAAAATTGCAATATATGTTATGACTTCATTTGGGTACATTTGTATTGAATAATATGTCCTTAAAATCATTTGTTACAGGTAAGTTTTATAATTATATTATAAGGTCCATTTGTATTTACCTTTATCTCCCGGAAAACCATCTCTTCCGTCTCTACCATGTTTACCTGGCAATCCTATATTAAAAAAAAAAAAATCCAAATTAATAAAATTATATAAAATACATTGTTTTTATTTTTTAGTACCGATCGTATATGTTTACCTTGTAATCCTTTTTCTCCCTTGATCGTTAATCCGGGGACACCAGGTAATCCTTGTGGTCCAAAATCACCTAAAATAATATTCGAAAAAAAACAAATAATTACCCAGTCATAAATTTTGTGTTTTTGTAGAATATTATATTTTCGAATGACATTACCTTTTTCGCCTCTAGGACCTATGGGTCCAGGAAAACCTATTAGGCCGGGCTCTCCTTGGTCACCCTTTTCACCGGGTTGGCCAGGTATTCCATCAAGACCTAAATAGTTTACAGAATTTAATATAAATGTTAAACAATTTGTTCAAAATATAATATTTTAATTCAAATAATAGTTAATATATGGTACCCAATAATTTAAAAAGAATTAGTAATTTCTTACCAGTGGGTCCGGCCGGACCAGGTAATCCATCATAACCAGGAGGTCCGGGCTCTCCCTTATCACCTTTAATGTCCACTACAGGTCCTGGCAATCCTCGTTCACCTTGATTATAAAATTAAATATATTATATAGGTTTTTGCAAGTTTGATTATTCTATAATTTAAAAAACAAAATACATTGTTAATTTTATAGCACAATATATACCTTTATCTCCGGATATTCCGGGGAATCCAACAGGCCCAGACACTCCTAAAATTTAAATAGAATTATTTCAATTTCATGCTGTTATTTTACAGCTTAATGAGATAATAATAAATCATATAATATTAACACAATATATCTCACCAGGTAACCCTCGTTCTCCTTTAATTCCGTCTAATCCCGGAATTCCTGGGTATCCAGAATCACCTTTTTCTCCTTTAGATCCAGGAGTTCCAGGATAACTAAAATCAATTATAACCCCATTATAGTTTACAATAAATACATTAAAAAACTATTATGTTTTTTAGTTGATCTTTATATTTTTCAATTACATTCAAAGCAACAAATACTGTGTATTTAATTTTCATATATTATAATATAATTTTTAATATACCCCAAACTTCCTTCCGGTCCAGTTTGTCCATCCATTCCTGGCATTCCTGGAGTTCCAGGTACGCCACGAAGTCCCTGTCATGGAAAAAACATCGTGAAATTCAATTTAATATCTTTACATTTACGTATACAAGTATAAGTCAGTTGTATTCTGATAGTTGTGTGTGCTAGTTTTCTTATCTTTATACACTAAATTAACATTTTTTACGTCATTATAAACACTAATAGTTAAGGATGCTATAAAAGCTTCGCTGAAGGAATTAAATAAGTCCCTAGGTAAAATAATATCTACTGTTAATAACACGAATAATAATCTTAATAAACTAAATAAGAAATTTGATAACATAGCTAAAACTATTTCTACATAATCATAGGATAATAAACTACTGTGAAAGAAGGTAGATATACTTGAAAAAACAAAATTCTCATAATATATCTTAAATTTTAAAAATGCCTAAACCATACGTAAGTTTTTCTGATCTTCGAAGTCATTATAAAATAATTTGATGCGGTGATTATAAAAAATATTTTAATTGCACACAAAACCCAGTCAAAATTAATCTTAAAAATTTTGCAATTTCTATAATTCATACAAATCAAATAATTAATTACCTGCATCTGTGTCCTAATTTGTTAAAAATCTACCTCTGGATTAGGAATTGTTAATTTACTTTAAATCGAACCCATTAATAATCAAAAACACTAATAATATATACGAATTTTATAACTCTTTATTTTGCTTTGACTCCATACATATATCTATAATGGATTTTTTCAACGAAATTTGGTCTATTAATTTAAAACAATCAACAGGACTAATGGCATACCCCCAAAATTTCTAAAAGAATATTCATTTATTATTATCGTCACTTATTATGGAATTTTTATTTAACAAATCTTTAAAAACGGTTATTTTTCCTAAAATATAGAAATTTTTAATTTTATCACCGACCTATAAAAAAGGAAATAAGTCATTTGTTATAAACTACTGGCCAATTTTGCAAATTTAAATATTTCTAAGGATATTCTTTAAATTGGTGAACAATCAATTATTTTCATTATGTAAACGTATAGTTTCAAACGAAAAACATAGTTTTCGTCCAGGGCGATCTTCATTAACCAACCAAAAAATTTGTAAACAATTCATTTTATACAAACTCAAACTGATGTAATCTATATGGACTTTGAAAAATCGTTTGATAGAGTTAATCATTCTCTTTTATTAACCAAACTTAAATCATTTGGTTTTAACGATCCATTACTTTCATGGTTTATAACTCAGTATATTAATCCTTGTATTAATTTATAGCAAATAGTTTATTTTGCATGATAATTTAAATGTTCAACTTAATTTTATTATTTAGTATTAATAGATTATTTCATTCACCATGTTCAGAAAAAACTGTTACTTTAAACTATAAATTCTTTATTTTGAAATTGGAAATTAATTTCCGTAAATAAAATAATAATAATAATTATTATTATTATTAAAGGGTTTGTTTATGAATTTATAATCTAAAGAATGATTTTAAAAGGAAAACAATTCCAGATAATTATTATTGAACAGAAATTTTAACTATAAAATATAAATGTAATATTATAATTCACTTACCGTGTCACCTTTCATTCCTTGAACTCCAGCAACTCCAGGGAAACCTTTTTCACCATCGATTCCGGGTTGTCCATCAAATCCAGGTGAACCAGATTCACCCTAAAAAATTAATCGGGAAAATATTATTCGTTTAAAAAAACGAGACTTTATGTATAAGATATTTGTGTAATCAAGGAAAAAAAATCTGATATTGAATACTGATGTGATCACTGTTTTAGATCTGTTATTGGGAAGCTGGGATACAAAAAGTTATTTAATTTATACCTGTAATCAACTATTGACCAAAAAGAGAACGGAAAAAGATTCAGAGCAATGTTTGGTTACACAAGTTTTGAAAGGCCGTAATATTTACGATATCTGTCTAAAATTGATTTTAAAACTTATAAAACAAAAAACTTCTTTCTTGATTACTAAAATGATTATAAATTGAATAAAAAAGATCTCTTATTGTTTTTCTAATGGTGCAATATTTCTGGTAGAACACGGAAAGCATACACATTTTAAATAATGAAATCGTAACGTAAATTAGTCAGTTTTCATTTTAAGTCTTTTCCGATTTTCCCTTATTATTAATAAAACTACAGAGAAATTCAGAAAATTACTTTCTTATACATCAACAAGAATAAAATTCTAACAAAATAGTATCTAGTTGCTTTTCTATTTAAAATATTTACGGTAGAAGACTTAATCCGTACAAATTTAAAATAATGAAATCCTTGTTCCGTAATTTGAAAAAATCGTATTTTTCGTCTATTTTTATTACGTATTTATTATTATACAAATAAAAACGACTTCCTTTGTCTGTGTATATGAAATAATAGTACAAAATTGATCTCGGTCATTTTTCGTTTAAGCAATATTTCTAATAAAAAACATAAGTTTATAAGATAAATACAATAAAATCGATAACGCCGAGACGTGCCAAAAATATTTGTTGATTTACCTATAATTTTAGTTTTTCCCCATTATTTCGAAAAACAACAAATGACCTGTTCAATGAAGTAACCAGATAAAATTTCTTTTAAAAAATTAGGTACTCAATTCCATATATTGGACAGGACAGGAAAAAAAATAACCATACATAATAAAACCAATAAATCTCTTGCTACGCTCCGAATCTAAAACAATCGGGTATATTAATAATACAAGGTAATCGATTTATAATTGGACGAATACGCTATTTATTTAATAGTGATTCTTTTTATAAAAATTGGCATATTGAACCAAGACGAAATTCAAGATAAAGTTGAGATTATTTTTTTTTTTTAATTTCTTTGTATCTTTATTTTATAAATTATTCATTAAAATTTCATTATTTAGGTACCGAAATAGTATAGTGAAAAATATAATCAATAATAATTCTAATAGATTTAATTAAATAAAATAAAATATTTGAACTTACCTTATCTCCTTTTCGACCTATTAATCCAATACCTGGGAATCCAGCATCTCCTTTTTCCCCGTTCAAACCTGAAATAAGATTTTATAGTATAATAATTAGTAATATTTGATTTATAAATATAAAATACGAGTGATAATATTATGTATATCCTATTCTATAGTCCAGTTTTAATGAAGAAAATCGTCTCCGATGCAGTAAACTCCTAAAGGGAATACCCTTGATACTTAAATCAGGCATACACAAGATTTCATCCCCCTGACTTCATTTGGGAGTTTGTAGGTGTTTAATAAGCTAAAAAAAACACGTTTCTTTAAAATCACATTAATCCATCAGTAAAACAATTCAAATTCCTAAGTTTGAATTTATTTGGTCCAGAAGGAGTCAATAAAATTAACCAAAATTTACATGGGGGGGGGGAGTATACATATTTAACAAACACAATTCAGTGCAATAGTCTTTATTTTCAGAGAAAATTCAATAAAAAATAAAAATACATCTGCACGAGTATATAATATGATTTTTTTAAATAGTCAATGATTTGATAGTATCTACAATAATGTATATAATGAAATTCTACTAGTGACTTATGTAATTTGTATTATTTATTTTTAGCTTTTTCAATTTATTTTTACCGAAAAAATGTAGGTAATCATTTGACCAACTTATGTTTTATTTGTATAATTATATACAAATTAAATTAATATAGTATAATATGGAATGTATACATACACAGTTTACTTAAAAAATCTTATCAATATTATATTTGGTAAAATTATGCGAAATATTTTAAAATGTATCCTTTTTTTAAATAATTATATTAATTTTATATGCATACCATCAATTCCTGGTGGTCCTTGAGGTCCTCTAAGACCTGATTCACCAGGCTCTCCCTTTTGTCCCTTTTCTGAAACTGGGCCGGCGTCTCCTTTTAATCCCTATAATTTATTAAGATAGCATGAAAAATGTGTATACGTATTCAATTTATACATATATCATGACAAGTTTGGCAATATACTTTGTCTCTACGATAATACTATATTATTCTATTAATAAATAACACAATAGATTAAAAAAATATGTTGGCATAAAAAAAAATAATAATACAAGCATACCGGTAATCCTGAAAGACCTCGATCTCCTTTAGGTCCTGGTAAGCCACGTGGACCATTTGAACCAGGAGGCCCGGGGAAACCTATTTCACCTTTGTCACCTAAAATGTACGATAAACATTGTTATAAAAATATAAGTGTTATAAACAGTGTTACAGATTTTCCTTTTATTAAACCAATGGAATGTATTAAGCTCCAATAAATTATTCGTTGTTGCTACAATGATTGATTATTACTAAATGTTGAACAAAATTGGAGACTATTAATATTAAAATAGTAAGTATATTATTTAAAATGCCCCGAAAAACTGTGGAAACTTTATGGAAAAAAAAAGATAATAAGTTTACATTTTCTTGTATTAAGTTTGAAGTTTGAATTACTGTAATTTAATCTCTATGGTTACGTTATTTAGATTCTAAGCGAAGCAAAGAATGTATTGATATTAAAATGGTGTATATTGTTTTTTTTTTTTTAAACAACTTAAACAACTTTTCTACCAGGAATCTTGATTTGATTTGTAAGTGTAGCACCTTTTCTGAAATTAAACTTCACCTGGGCGGTGACTCGAGCAAGTCAGTTTTTAATTTTCTAATGGTTTTTTTATAAGAAATGTGCAAAACCGGAATAAAATAAGTTTAATGAGTTTGTTAGACCAAAGAGAACCGCATGAAAATTGAACAGTAAGTTCTTTATAAGTTGTACATTGTGGTAAAATAAAATAATAAAGATCGAGTATAATTTTTTTTTTTATGAGAATTTGAATACCAAATTTTAATTAGAATCGTAAATTGTATGGTCATTTAAAACATGTTTAATTGAACCCCGTTCAGAATTTATTTTCGTTAATAATGATTGATCGTTGCGTACATATATATGTATCAAATTTCTCTCTATATCCTACCTTTACAATTTCTTATCTACAAGAGTGGCCCACTCATCGTGCAAAATATATTTTTTTTAGAAGTTATAAGAACATTTTAATATTTTAGATTTTTAATTCTAATATACGGAGTAGCAAAAATAAAATAAATTCCATTTAAAATAATAACATAGGTATACCAGTAATTGGTTCAGCGTATTAATAAATGGTAAAGAAATATAAAAATATGTTTAATGTAATTTCCTATTTCAAAAAAAAAAAAAAAAATACCTTTCAATCCTCGAGCCCCTGTTAAACCGTCTATTCCCGGTAATCCAGCTTGTCCGGGTAAACCAATATCTCCCTTGTCACCTTTTTCTCCTACGGATATTTAAATAGAATTTGTTAAAGTTACATTGAAATAAATAAATAAATAAAATCAAATTATAATTAATTATACAATATTATAAACTGCAGAAATTAATTAATTAATTATTTTTACCTGGTAATCCATCGATTCCAGGACTTCCAGGTGCACCTAAATCAATTAAGTATTTATTTTAATTATGCAAATTGTATAGGTATTGAAAATGGATTGAATCATAAGAAATAATTAGAATAAGATATTATAACATTTGAAAATTTGAAATCCAATATATATGTAATGATTAAAAATAAATAAGTCAATAAACAATATATTTTAAATACGTAGTATATTTATTATATTTACCTGGGGAACCTCTGTAACCTGGGAATCCTTTGGGACCGTCCAGACCAGGGGAACCATCATCACCTAGAATAATACGAGTTTGATTATTAGTCGATGATCAAATGCCAATAAAATACAAATATATTAATGTATTATATAATTTTAGAATTTAGTAGTATCTATTTATACAAATCACTATATATGATTAACTTTTAACCGATTTAAACTGGTTTCTTTAATTTCCACTGTTCTTTTTATGTATAAATGTACTTATATTACGTACATATTGAACTGTTTTACCTTTTGGTCCGGGGAACCCTTGAAGTCCTTCTCTTCCCGGTTCGCCAATTAATCCAGGCTCACCTAATAAAGACAAATTAATATTAGAAAAAAATACTTATTTTTCAAAAACTTTTTTCTTATTTTCTTATCATCTAACCTTTAGGTCCATCAGGTCCAGGTTTACCATCAAATCCGGGTAGTCCACTAGGTCCAACAGGGCCTATAAACAATAAAATAATCAAAACGTTTTGAAAAAATTGTCTAAATTGCAGTACATACCAGGTTCTCCTTTACTTCCGGGTTGTCCAGATAATCCTTGTAAACCGGGTTCACCTTAAATGCAACCATATTATTTAACAATCAGGTAAAATTATTAGGAATAGTATAGATATACTCGTAATAATATGGTAGTTTAAAAACATTTATTATCCTTATATAATATAAAATTACCTTGATCTCCCTTTTCTCCTGGTTGTCCAGGTGTTCCTAAAACCAAAAAATGTATTGTCATATAATTGTCTATATACATCAATATAAATTTATTATTATTACACGTTTTATACTGGTCTAACTTTAATTTGTTTTATTTTAACAGCTAGATAACATCTAAATGGTGATTGTAGTATTATAAAAAAAAGGTTAGTAAAAAATAAAAACCTTTTGTTGTGTTAACTAAATTATTCTGTTAAAAAAATTTAGTATTTCAGATTTAAAAATAAATATTTAACTATACTCAATTCAATAAATTTACGATAGCAAAAAATTGTAGTAGATTCCAACTTAAAAAAAATGTGTATATAAATTTTTCTATTTACGAACATTTTCCCATATGCCGAATAAAATTTTTTCGATGTCATACATATAATATACATACGCCTTTTGTACTGTGTACAAATAATATATTTTTTTTTTTCAAAAATTAAACACAAAGAAATGTAGCCAGAATTTTGTATTTATAAAACAAAACAGTGTTATTTATAAATACTATATTTATATATATTATTTTAATTACCTGGTTCACCCGAAAGTCCAGGTTTTCCATACGGTCCTTGAATTCCTGTTCAAAATAAAAATATATATTAAATAAAATATTAATAAATTAAGGGATAACGGACAATAATGTTCAGTATAAAAAAAATATGTATTTATAATCATTATTAATTATACTTTTAGTACTTATTTATTTATAATTTTAACGAATAGGTAGTAGTTAGTTAAATACAAAACAAATATGCATGTATTGAAATTATTAAAAAATGAGTATAATATTACCTTTTTCACCACGTTGGCCGGGATACCCTTCCGAACCTTTTGGTCCGACAGCAGAGATACCTGGCTCGCCCTTTGCGCCTGAAATGTATTATATTTTTACATAAATATATTTGAATATAAAAATTACAGTTATAAAAGCATTTATTGTTTAATTATTTACATTTAATTAATTTAATTTTCATTATTGGATATTTGTTGTATTAATAAATTAAGAGGCGTGTTTTTATTTCGTATTTCTAATAAATTAGAAAACCATTACCTTTCGCTGCGGGTGCTCCCGGATATCCTCTTTCTCCAATTTGCCCATCATCACCGGGGAAACCTGAAAATAGTCGATAAAGTAACTAAAACTTTACAATGTATTTACCAAATAATGTGTGTATGTAATACATACAATAACACAATCATAATAGTGATAGTATCATCAAGTAAATACTGCTCTCTCTTAAATTATATATTTTAATGTCGCCATAGATAATCTTTGTAGGATTACACGCGTAAAGTAGTCAATTTTTTTGTCTGAACAGTCTATCAGAGCGCTGGCATTGAATAATGATTCTATAATAATGCCATTCCTAAGTAAACTTATTTTATTTTAACTAAAAATCGTTTAACAGATTACTGGACCACACTGAGATAACTCACGTGGAGGCCCTGGGTTATACATTTATTTGAACATGTTAAATATTTCTTACATAAATGTTAACAATAAGAGCGGAAAATTAATATGACGTAAACAAATTATAGACAAAAACAAGATTTAACAAATAACAATAGTGCAATATGAATTAAAGTAAATTCATAAATCTCACGTATTAACAGCGTCACATTCATGTGATATTCATATATTTATTAAGAGAACACTTTTGTAATATTGGTAGATCAACTGCTGCTTATAGACATGGTGTATTCAATAAATCAAATGTACAACATGATAAAGCTATTTATGAACTATAAAAACCGGTTCCGATCGACGTGTAAAAGTAATATTAATTTATAGATAGAAACTTACAACAATAATAACACGTATAGACTATGGGCCTAATTAACTCGCGTAGTCGAATAATAGTTTTCCCAGGGAAAATGAACAAACGTTTTTAGATCGAAGTCTGACAAATAACTAAATATGTATATAAATCAGGTTTAGTAATATTGATTCCCCTACTCTGCTGGTACATATTTACTGAACAGTGTCTAAAATTTACCTAAGAAATTGAACACCCTTTGGTGAACCTCCCACTACTACTAATTACAGCTTTAAGTTCTTATTTTACCGTTTGATTCGTTTAGTCAATGAAAATACTGGCTTTGACTACGGAGATATTTGGTAGTAAATATGTGTCAATCAAACAAAAAAAAAACTGTGTGCATTTTAAAAACAATCTGTATTTGTACGTATAATATATACTTGTATTTTAGATTCTCAGTTTAGAGAAAAATGTATTAGTTTTACAATGATGTGTATTTTTTTTTTATGTGAACATTTTTTCTACCAGAAAACTTGCTTAAATTATCAAGTTTATCATCTTTTCTCAAAGATGCTGTTCTCTGAGGGTTAATTTAGAAAGGTTATTTTTGAAATGTGCAATAATATTAGAGATAATGAGGAAAACTCGGTTCTTTAGGTTAGAAAAGATTGAAAAATTTAAAATAGCGTTATCATTGGCAACCGTTTTTATTAATTATTGCTATTATTGAATTTTTTGGTATTTTAATATTTTTTAAACAATCATTCTTGTAATGAAAACGCACATCGTAATCATTTTACTATAAGATGACTTATAATATATTGTTGACAAAGCAACACTATCAACAGAACACCGCAACAGAATCGATTTTTGCTAACAACGGTTGTTTATAGATATACAATAAATTCCCATCTGTATCCTACCTTCCCAACTTTCTACCTTTAATAGTCGCTGCTTCAACATGCGATATATGTCCGTCCTTTTTTTTCCAGGTAAAAAATCGTTTTCTATTAAACTAAATAAAATTAAACATTTAACGGTGTGGATGTATTTTCAATATGAACTTGGTAATTCACAATATTTTTTCTTTAGTAAAAAATGCATAATATTATTGTTATTTTAAACGCACAAATACTAACCCATAGCTCCTGGAGATCCTTTATCGCCACGGATACCTGGTAATCCTCTCGGGCCAACAGGACCTAAAGCAATTGAATTGTGATTAGAGAAAATCATTTCATTGTGATGAGGTATAAAGAAAATTAAAAAAAAAATGTTCGAGAACAATGATATTATGAGTTTGTTATTCTGTTATTATTTTTAGAGTTTATTTTATAAATATTTAAATGTACAATTCACAAAGTAGATTAGAATTACCTATGTTAAAAGATTAAAATATATATTGATTACTCACCAGGTGGTCCTCTTGGTCCTTGCGTTCCTGTGGGACCCTATTAACATTAAAATCAACATTTAATAATATAAAATAAACATATATACAATATTAAATATATATGTTAATACCAACTCCCTGTAAGCGATACTTATCATGGGAGTAAGGAACCTAATTTCAGTTAATGATGAGATATCTGAGTGAGAAAAAGTAAATAATTAATAATAATATTATAATATGTATAAACAATAGGTAATAATATTAGTAAGACTTACAATAATAATTAAACATGCATTTTATTTTATAGTTAAAAAGAAAAGGACTTTTATTAATAAATTAGTTGGTTGTATTTTTTATATTTCAATCTCTAATTTAAAATAATGATTAATTAAGTAATTTTACTAAATAATTATGTTTTTCTATAAAGGTAAAAGTGTTTTATCATGACAGTGTATAGATTACATTTGTTAAATTCCCATTCTTTTTATGTCTAGTTATTTTAAGATTCTGAGTGAAGTTAGAATCTATTGGTTTTACTGTGGTACGTATTTTTTTTTTTACTGTAAATAATAACTTTTATTCTTAAATCTTTCTTCAAACAAAATATGACAATTTTGTTGCATTTTGGCTTTTGTTGGTACTTTAAAAAGGTCATTTATTGAAATTCTCATAAATATTCAAGAAAATGAGGAAAAACAGATTTTGAGGTTAAATATAAAAAAAAAATTATGAAAAAGGACTGATATACTTTGCATGATGGGTGAGCCACTATTGTAGGCGAGAAGTTAGGAAGATAGAGGGAAAATTTAATGTATATCTGTAAGCAACGAATAACCGTTGCAAACAAAAAAAAACGATTTTGAGTGGAGTTCTGTTAAAAGTATTGTTTTGTCATCAATATAAATTCCATACTATAGTAATATAATTATAATATAATACATATAAATATAATAATCATTTGAACTTGGATGTAATACATAATAGTGAATAGTGATAATGGTAATACATCACAAAATATCTATATAACTTTTTAAAAACAAAATAACTTTAATAAAAACATAATTCTACAAAGCACACAATTTTATTTCTATTTTTCTTTACCATAAAGTACGACTTATATTGAATCTTCTGTTACATTTTCTAACCGTTTTATTTGGTCTAACAATTTTATCTACAGAGTATCTATCAAAAAAAAATTAAATAAAAACAATTCTGTAAAATTTAAATGTTTATGTATAGCCCAAAAATCACTCCAATGTTTGTTAATTTTACTACGTCTAGAAAAGACAAATGTAAGTTTTCTGCCCAAACTTTAAATTTCTAAAAATATTTTTTACCCAATCAAAACAAAAAGTTGAAAAAATTATTAATTTCGTAAATTTCACAGTTTTCCTACGTATATTCAATTTTTATGAAGACATTTGAGAAAATCAAAACAAACTTCCAAGTATCACTTCAGTTAAATTTCCTTTCGGAAAAAGTGCTATACATGAAAATCAGAGTACAATTTCATGTAAAAAATTGATTACTGAGTAAAAAAAATAAAAAAAGATACATACTAACCATTTTTTTTTTTTTTTTTTAGTTATTATTAATATCGAGGATGGTATATATTTTCTAAAACGTGTTTTACAGTTTTAAATATTAATAGTTATTTTGTAGCTAATTAAATAAATCATAAATAATGACTTATATTATTATATTGAAATCATTTAGGATAGATACCTAATTATACATAAAAAAAAGAATACTTACAGTTGGTCCAGTATCTCCCTTGTCACCAGGTGCACCTATTAATTAAAAATAATAGGTTAGGAAAAAAAAAAGAGGAAATTACGGAATTAAAATTATTGAATCGTTTACTCACCATTATATCCTGGTACACCAGGTTCACCTTTTTCTCCTTGACTTCCTGGTTGGCCTCGTTCAGGTTGGCCCGGAATGGTATGATTACAAACACCTACAGGAATATAATACATGTTAGTAAATAATTATTATTGTTCATAAAATATCATACTATTTTATTCTTTTTTCAACGAAAATTTATGTGTACAAACTTATACATTTTTTTTGAAACCGGTATAGTATCATAAATAATTAAACTATAAGCTATTTTTACATGTACAGTATGTACACCAATACTATTATTTTGTATATTTATTTACATCGTATTTATTGTGAGATTTTGTTCATTAAAATCCGTATATATAATAAATCATTGTTTATTTATATCTATCGTAGTAAATATTTAAATACTAGAAATATCTGATAATGTTTACTAACCGGGAAATCCTTTAGGACCAGTTATCCCGTGCTCTCCTTTATTTCCTTTTAAACTGTAAACAAATTATACGAATCATAATGGTTTCTTTTTGAAATCATAAAATGTCACTAATACTATGTCTAAAATAAATAGGTACCCATGTTCTCCTTTTAATCCTGGCTCTCCTATTATACTTAATCCTTTGTCGCCTTTGACTCCATTCAGTCCCGGTGTTCCTGTAGATTAATATAAATACATATTTGTCATAATTTAATATTTTAAGTGGACCGGGGTAAAGAAAAATACATTTCACAATGATGTGAGTTTTAGTTTTTGTGAAACCATTTTATTTTAAGCAAGAAATATAATTTTAAGATTTTTACTAGCTATTACTTTATAACATTTTCTATTATAAATAATAAAATATGTTTATACTAAAAGCTAGGTACTGAATTATTTTTCGAACAAGAGCGGACGTGTTGAATAGATATAAATTTGTTTTCAGATGTATTTTATCATTAAAATTTGTTTTTTTTTTTATATTTATTATTGTTCTAAATTATATTTATATTTACCCGATCTTCCTTCAGCACCAGGGAATCCTCTATCGCCCTAAATATATAAAATATATTATTTAATTATAATATCATTTAATTAAATCGATATCACTATACAAGAATCGTAGCCATTTACTACAGAACAGATAACGAAAAACTAAAAGCTAGGGGGATATAATCATTAATCAAATATATAACCCTGTTGAATAAATTCAGTAAAGGTATAGTACATTTCCATATTACGAGTATTGAAACATTAAGGTTATAAATTATAACTACTAATAATTAAGGAATAAGAGATTGGATGTTAATGCACTCAAAAATATTAAATGCATAAAATACGAATAATCTAATTCGGATTTAGATTATTATGGTATTTTAATTGTGTTATACAAAAGGCCATTCGCTAAATATATTTTTAAAACATAATAAGCCAAATTTACGGAAAATCGGAAATACATGCAAAATAAAATTCAGATGTTTTGAAATTTCAAACACAGACATTATGAACCGAATTTTTAATTAGTAAACTATCAGTCAAAATAACAAAAAGTATAAATATTTAAACCCTGCTACTAATATTATATTTTGATAAGGTTATACGTATATTTTGCATAAAAATAAGACAAGTCAAAAATAATGAAATGTTTCTTTGAATAGTATTTACCTTCTCTCCAGGAATTCCAGGAAATCCTTCGTTACCGGGTTTTCCTTGAGATCCCGGGTATCCGGGAGGTCCTTGTATACCATCCCTAATAAAATGTTGATTTTTAACAAATTATCTAAATGCATTTTTGTAAAGATTTTATCTTGTATTTTAAAAATCGCCTAAAAGCAATGTTAATACCTCGTAAGTTTGCCTATAATCGGTGAAATATATTGTATTATAGTGGTTATTCAAAACCATTTTGAATAAACATTCAATTTTTACAAACAGTTAGTATATTTTGTTCAAACATCTTATCTAACTTTTAATAAATTCTCTCCAAAATTGTTGATATGGGCACTAATGTTTTTAAAGTGCAATTTTAGATTCGGAGCGGATCGAGGGATCTATTCTTTTTTTATTTTTTTTTGTGAGCTACTTTTTTACTAGAAATCTTGATTCAATCAAAAAATAAAAAAATCACTTTTTTATTATTGCTTTTGAAATCTATTTGAGGTGTGGTAAGTTATTTTTTTGATTTTTAAAGCAGTTTTCATAACAATTGAAAAATCCATAAAACGATGTAAAATAAATACTAACCAATGTACGAAGTTACAATTTTTAATCTAGTTAGTGAGTAAGTAAGTTGGTTTTTTAATTTCTGTGTAGTTTTCTTAAAAATTTAGCATAAGTTCCTCTTAGTGAGTTTCAGTAACCGTATTAAAAATAAATGTATAAAAAGAAAAAACGGCAAAAATATACGAAAATAATCTTTATCATTGTTTTTCTGTTGTAATTCAGTTAAAAATACTCATAGAAACTAACATTTTGACAGAAAAGTTATATTTTACATTTCAAGAAATGAGAGATTTTTAAAATCTTCCGGAAATATTTTTGTTCTATTTAAAGGAATTCTATATTTACAAGTGTACGTAAATTTACTAGGTTGATACTATGTATACTTGTGGTTATAATTAATTGACCTTACAAAAATGCTGGAAGGATTAATAGAAGGTTCATTTTAAGTTGTATTTTGTGGTAAAAAAAAATAAAAGGTAGTGTTATAGAGGAATTTTTTAGATTCGGAGCGTAGGCAGAAATGTATTAGGTTTTGCAATGATGTTTATTTTTTATTAAATCTATTTAACTGTGAGTCACGTTTTTGTTTGAAATCTTCCTCCAAGGTATCAGGTGTAGCACCTTTTCTGAAAGGAAATTGTCTTCACTTGATATATTGAAGGAATCATTTTTTTGATTTCCTAAGTGGTTTTTTATTATAATTGTGAAAAACGGGAAAAAACGTAGGAAAAACATGCATATTTACGAGGAATTTTACTATTTTAAACTGTGTTATTTTGTTAATATAATCGTAGAGACTTGAAATTTGAACAGAGAAATTATATTTGCTTTTTATAGACGAGATAAAAAGTAGAAAAAATCTATGACATTTTTGAGGATTTTATTGACTTTTTAATTTTGCGATTTTTTTTACGTTATTTGTATACGATAGGTAGCTTAAATTGTTAGACGCGATGCACGAAGTGCATACGAATATAACAGAAGATTTATTATAATCTATAAGTCAAACTTTGTGATCAAAAAAAAAAATGACTGTAATGTAGTAATTTTTTTTAACTTTGCTCAGAGTCGTTTTTCTTTGTGGAAACATTTAAAACAATATACTTAGAATATTTATATAATAATTGACACAGTATAATATTAAAATCTATCTACAAATATATTACCTACACACGTGTGTATTAAATTTGTCTATTCCCCGCGCCGTATCAACTTTATAATATTGCTTGAAGTGGTTATTTTTTCAAATTTATAATATTTACAATGCTCATTTATCTTTTAATATATAAATACAATTCACTTTATGAATTAAAGCGGTCAAATTTGATTTTTTTCTCAAACATTTTAAATCTGATTCTAGTAGTCGAATTTCTGTTTTGTAAAAATTATCTGACTTTATTTTTGTGTTTGGAGCAAAAATATATAATGTGTTTATATTTTTTCTTTACTCAAATACGAGTTTATTAAAAAAAGTGTAAACTTGTTAATTATTGCAAATAATTTAACTTAATAAAAACGAAAAGTTGTTTGCTACAAAACTTTAAGATGAATAGAAGAAAACCCAAAATTAAACATGATTTCATAATTTAAATTAAGTGAATAGTAGTGGAGGAATTTTACTCTAACTCATTTGTCTAACATGCCATATTCATTCGTAAAATCAGTGCATCTTCCTTTTAAATGGGTATTGGATAGTCAATTATCGGAAATATATTATTAAAGTGATCATTAAATGGTAGAAAATAATTTTCAAATTTTACGAAATTGGAAAAATTTGGAAAACCATGTCCATCCCTTACGTAATTCACTCAAACTTATCTCAAAAATATATTATTTTTTTTCTCGATCATTTAAAAAAAAGCTTATAAAATCAAAAAATAGCCTTTATAACACAAATGTTAGATTCGAAATTCAAACAAAAAAGATCTTTTGTCATTTTTTTAATTGGATCAAGATTTCTGGTACCATAGTTAGTTACAATACCATAGTAAACCAATTTTAATCCTTGCTCTGCTCGTAATATTAAATAGTCCTGTCTCTTTTCGGTACATAAGCATGTAAATGCTTATTTTACATCATTTTTTTTATATATATTTATATATAATATCTATTTGGATTTCTTTGAAATAATTAAGAACCACACACATGATGTATTAAAAAATCATTTATGGTTTTATATTTATTTTCGTAAAATTACCTTCCAGGATCACCTTTGGGACCAGGTTCTCCTTTTAGGAAATCTCTATAATTTTCGGGTATGATAGCCGGATCTCCTTTCTGACCTATTTGTCCGGGTGTACCGGGTTCACCATCTTTACCCTGGAAAATAATTTGAAAAATATGATAATGTTACGTAAAGCAATAAATAATAAAATAACGTTTACGTTTTATCAATAAACGAATAAATTAAATTTTCTATTCTCTTCTAGCAGCAACTTTAGAAATAACATTGCAAAACAAACAAAAAAATATATAAAATAATAATTCATATTGGATGCTTACCGGTTCACCTTGCAGGCCCGTTAATCCGATCGGTCCTTCTGCACCCGGTTCACCTGCTATGCCTCTTTCACCCGGTAGTCCTCTTGGCCCCTTCACAAAATTATAAAAATTACATATTGCATAATAATCGGTTATTTTACTATATTAGTTTGAACCCGGTTCTGGTTTTAAAATTTTTTCCAATTTGAAACATTTAAATATACATTTTAATATTATAATTATCACTTTGAAAATAAAATTTGTTCACTGATCTACCCGATATTCATTTAAGAAAAAAGCGCGGCCGTTTTTACTGACAGAAATAACTGCGTGAATAAAAATAACTCATTGTTTATATGATTTAGCTCGCATTGAATTTAGATTTTTCGTTTGATTTAAAATAATAGACCAAAGTTAGTTAAGAGAAGGTAAAAATGACCTTTTTTAAAAAAAAGAACATACAGAGAATATTATAAAAACATTTAAAAATGGAGTTCTTTAAGGCATGAGAGTTTTTTAGCATAAATTTGAGCAAAATAAATGCGCAGGTACCGTTCTTCTTAATGATAATAACGAATTAACATGAATCACTGTTGCATGTAAACATAGTAAATCATTTAAGTGTTACCTGTAAACCTGGAATTCCGCTTAAGCCCGCTTCACCCTTAGCTCCTTTCTCTCCTGGACGACAGTTTTGGCAACGTCCGCCTATTTCTCCTTTTTGACCGTCCCGACCTGAATGCAGCATTATAATATAATACATTAGTAAAAAATAGATACACAATAATATAATTAATAAATACAATCTATATGTAAATTATAAATATTGAATTGTCATTATAATATTTATGAATTATGTATTAATAATAATTAATAACTACGTAATAATTCAAACAATATATTATTTTTTATTTGAATATTACAATTTTGTTAATTATATAAAACAAGATAACTTACCTGGAATTCCGGGTATTCCCGGTCTACCTTCATCTCCCTGTTCTCCGGGAGGACCCATTAAACCTGGTGGTCCAGGAATACCTAAAGGCGAATCACCTAAATAATGAAAAAGAAAAAAGATTATTAGTATTATTTATTATTATATTTCAGTATAATATATATAATTTTGTTGTTATTTTTATTGTTCTCACCTGGTGCTCCTCGTTCACCCGGATATCCACGCTCACCCTTATCTCCCTTTTCTCCGTCTCTTCCATCTACTCCATCCAAACCTTTAGGCCCCTATTAAAATATCATATTATTATTAAAGAAAATAGTTATATATACTAATATAATGAAGGGAAAAGATTTGAATTATAAATGTTATGTTATTATAATTTGTATAAACATATTAAAAAAAAAAAAATTGATGATCAAATAAACTTAAAACTCGAGACTTACTATAATTGATGCACCCTTTTCACCTGGATATCCTATGGCTCCAGGTTCACCGGGCGATCCATCAAAACCTATAAGTAAAATATAATTCAAATTTGTAGTTTCATGTAATATACATTTATTTAATCAAACTATTATTATTATTATAATTATTTTTTTTTTTTTTTGGAATTTGTTTAACAAATGATTATTTAATAGTTACCTATTTTCTAAATTAAAATTACTAGAAAACAAATTAATATTGAGATTATATGATATATAATTGATATTAAAATTTGGATATTTTAGCAGTATAATTCTGCGTGCTGTTAATTATGTAAACAATTCTATTTCATGGATGAATTCCATAAAATTGTATTTTTGGTTTTTATGAAAAAATGGATTTGATGAACCAGATATCTCATAAATAGTCAAAATATAAAAATATAATTCATACCTCTTGGACCAGTTTCTCCCGGAAAACCTGCAAATCAAATAAAACAGTTAATAAAACAAAAATAATAGGTTGGTAATTAATTTTGTTGACTTAGACTTATCCCTACACAATTCATAATATATAAGTATTTAAATATTAAAAACTAATACGGTAACATTTTTAAGAAGGTTCAAATTTCAAAGTATATTTTATTAGTTTTTTTTTAATAGCTTATTACAAAGAATACATTTAGATATTTTGACGAGTTTATGCATGGTGATTTTTTATCTTGTACCTGCAATTTTCTCGGTGGTTTTTAAGTGAATTATTTTTCTGTTTTTTTTTTTTTAATCATTATGCAATCGGTTAAGCTTTATTTTAAAACCATTTTTAATTTAACTATTACTCGGACAATCGAGATAAATACCTTATTTTTTAGTTTTTTCAAGTTATCATTGTTTAATATACTTATACATATATATATATATATTTTTTTTGAAAATCTTGTAGACATAGTTGTATACATTCAATTATTTAAATTTATAATTAAATTATTAAAAAATTATACATACCTGTAAGTCCAGGTTCTCCTTTAGATCCCTTGTCACCAGGTAAACCTTCCGGACCAACTAATCCAGGTTGTCCTAAATCATTTAATATTTTTAAAATTATTTTGTATTAAAATATGAATACAGAATTTATTTAAACGTGTCTAAAATAATATAATATTACCTGGGCTTCCAGTGTTTCCTTTTGGACCTGTGTAACCAGGAAGTCCATCTATTCCATCTAAACCTTTTGGACCTATAATTGATAAATCGATATTAAACAATTTATTTATTGAACTACATGGGTTTTAAACTAGTGTTTAATGTTATAAAATCTTGAAGATTTACCAGTAGGTCCAGGGTATCCCCGTGGTCCTTGAGGTCCTGGTGGACCAGGTCTGCCTTTTCCACCCTAGGTTTAAATATTTTTATTTTAATATCTATATTATCATAATTGTATAAACTAATGCAGATAGTAAAAGAGATTTTTTTATGACTTAATGTTGTAGATTCTTCATCTTTCAATTTTGCATTACTAACTAATAGAAAATCTGTATAATATATAAATAAGCGGATATTATCTGAAATAATAAATTCAAAAGCTACTAAACCGATTTTCACGTGGTTTTGTGCAAAATGATGCGTGCTGTCAGATGTAGATTTTTAACTAATCAAATTTTTGATCTGAGCAGTAAAAAAAAGTATAGTGCCTTAATTTTTTAATAATATAAATGTATTTCTAACTCAGTTAGTATTATATAATAATAATTAGAAAAAACAGTTTGTCTAGAAATAAATAAAGAATGACCAAAAGTAATAGACATTAGACACACTAGGGAGATTACTAAAAACCCTCATAATATAGAAGTATCTATTGCATATTAGTATAGAAATTGAAAAAGGCCATCAAAACTTATTAAGATTTGTAGGATGATTTGATTTGTAGGATTTGATGATTATATATATAATTTATTGAATTAAAAATATGATGGTTATTATATTTTTGATAAACTAAATATATACCCCTGGTTGTCCCGGTGGACCTTGCAATCCTATTGTCCCTGGAGCACCATCTCTTCCTGAAAATATCGAAAAAATATTTAATATAGCAATTTAGCTTTTAGCCTGGTTATTACAATGTCTCGAAAAGTTTTGGTTAGCTGTAAGTTAACCGAAATAATGTAGCTAGTTTGTAGCAAAATTAACCACCGGTGAGCGTTAACCAAACATTTTAAGAAAGGGCCTGAGACGTGATAATAAACAGTTAATGATATTACAGAACCGTTAAAAGTAAATGCAAAAATTATGATTTACGTATTATTAAGTAACTGAAAAATAAAATAAGAATACCAACCGGGTTCTCCTTTTGGTCCATTTCTACCGTCTAATCCATTCAAGCCATCATTTCCTCGATCACCTGTTTGAAAAATACAAATATATGATAGGATGTTGACTAAAAAGTCAATAATTTCAGAACATAAAATGTATTTCTATTTTAATTATTGATCATGATAAATTTATTAAATATAAATATACATCCAACAAATTATGTCTCGTATGCACAATTTAAAGAAATTAGATGATTGAGAATAATGGAGAAAAGCTGCAAACCATACTACATGAATTTAAAATATGTAGATAGCTAGGTTTAAATAATACATTTTGGTAATCTTTTAAATTAGAAGTGCATTTTAATTTAAAGTAAAATTTTTTTTCGTGATTTTTGTTAAAGTTGTACTCATAATATATAAATGTTAATCAATTTATAATAACCTTTTTGACCAACAGGCCCAGGTGGTCCAGGATAGCCATCACGCCCCTAAAGTAAACAAAAAAATACATACGAACATGATATTTTATTTGTTATGTTAGTAATTTTAATCAAAATCAAAATCATATTTTTATAATAATATTAATATAAAAAATTATTTAAAATAAAAAATAAGTAAAATATTCATTATTTATTAAAATAAAATAAATCAGTTACTCTTAGTCCCGGAGGTCCTTGTAATCCCTTTTCTCCTTTTACACCGTCATCACCTTAAATAATAAATGATGTAATAATTATATATTGTACACAACGATTTGAAATCGTACATATCTAAATTTTTAAATGTATTTTATTTAAAACTCCATTATTTTTGAATAATACGTAATTCTGAATTTATATATATGTTTTGGCTTACCAAAATACAGGTAGCTGTTTACAAGGTATGCACGTAAAATTAAAAAAAAAAAAAATCAATTTTAATCAAAGAAGTATTTATAATCATATTTTTTGTTACCTGGTATTCCTGGATCTCCGATCAATCCTGGTTCTCCTTTAAGCCCTGGTTGACCAGGTTCGCCCTGGTTAACACAAAATATTTATTTAAATAATTTTATTGAAAACAACATTATTAATAATAATAATTTTTTCCCCCCTTTATATTTATTGAATTTACTGATTTTTCTACGATCACTTTATTTGAAATGCACATGCTATCTTAAAAATTGATTGACATTATCATTAAAATACCTCACTTCCTTTTTCACCAGGTGTGCCTCGTGGTCCAACAGTAGCATTTGGTGATGAATCAAAATATAAACCAGGTGGTCCAGCAGGACCCTGTTCTCCTTTAGGACCTTTTTCTCCTTTAGCACCGCCGAACCCAATTGAAGGTTTTCCTAAATTATCCATTTAATATCAAACAAAAAATTAAAAATAATATTAATAACAATGTAAAAAAATAAAAATAAATCAAATTTAAAGTTTTGGGTTTTATTTTATTTTAAACAGATTATGGTTTCATCTAGTAAAACGAGCTAGTAAAATCGTCAAAAAAATTTAACAGACCTAAGTACAGTAAGAAAAAATAATACAACTAATTCATGATGGAGAAAGTACGCCAGGAAAATTCAAAGGGCTACCAGATAAGACGAATCTTTGTTGAGAAAAAATGTTAAAGATATGTTTCATAAACATTAACATCCATAAATTTAATTAACAGGAGAAGGAAGAGAAGGGAATTAATATTTTATACAGTATCGGAATCCTATCTTATAACACCGCGCTAAAAGGCACGAGGTGCCACAATTTTTCGTCTCTTTTTTTTTTTATTTTGAATGTAATGATGAGGTAATTAGGTTTACAAAAATGTTGGAAAATGTCTTTTAAAAAATATTTTTGGTTAGTAAAAATGTTCCGATTTAATTTATTTCATGTCTTTTAAGATATAGATTTGTTTTTACCAATAGAACATGATTTGAAACAATGATTAAAATATTTAAAAATGTACTCGTATTTTCTTTTAGATTTGTAGTGTCAACAAGAAATGTATAGATTTTACAGTTAGTGATTTTTTTAAATATTTTTTTATACACAACTCTTCTACGAAAAATCTTATTTTAATGTACCACGTGTAGCATCCGGTCAAAATCTAATCGATTCCATCAAAAAATGGTACTTTTCAACAAACTTTTTTTTTTGTTTTTCAACCAAGTCGCTACTTTTGAAAATCGGAGCGAGCACGATTTCTTGTAGAAAACAAACAAAAATAAATTATAAAAATATAAAATTATGCTATAAATATTTGTCAGTTTTTCCTATACAATTTTTTAACGGTACATCCTAATTATTTTAAAAACTACTTAGAAAATTAAAGACCTTAAAAATGCACAAACAAAATACAAAATTCAAAAAGAAAATTATTTCGTCATTCTCGATTGGAAAAATATTTTTGGTAGAAAAGTTATTCACAGTAAAATCAATTAGAAAAAATTAAAAATTAAGAGAAACATACACATCATGTTAAAATTAATACATTCATCGCGCCACTAAGAATCTAAAAAAAAGCATTTTATTTCAAAAACAGCTAATCAAATAGTGATTAAATGATTAGTATCCACCTAATCGATTATAATGGATAAACATGTGCTATACCTATACTCATATGATTTTTGTACAGATTTAAATAATAATGATTCTCGATAATCGAATATTGATTAAGAGTAAAAAGTAATAAAACGAAAAGTCGTACGTAAAATGAATTTATTTACATGTTACATAAACAATAAAGAAAACCTAAAAAAATCACGGTGTGAGATCTTTGTTAAGCGTATTTTTGGGAAAAAAATTACATATGTATGAGATACAAAAGCTAAGCTATCGTAATCCTGCGTCTTAAATTTAAAGGCTAAATATGATACATATCATGCTTACCCTTTTCTCCTTTATCACCAGGTTTACCTCGATCACCCTGTAAAAATGATGTTATGTATTATTCTCTAAAAATATTTTTAAATAACTAACAAAGTTTTATGAATATATGAGTGTAAAATAATTTTTTTAATTGTTCGGTATTTACTTTTGGTCCAACTTCACCTATAGGTCCTGGTGGACCTTTTGGTCCTTCAACACCAGGAAGTCCAATTGAGCCTGAAATAAAATAATTATGGTGTTATCTCAGTGAATTATAATTGCTTGTTTTAAAATTGATCAATTTTAGTTAAATATTTAAGAACTCAATTTCATTATTTTAATTAATTAACCATTAATTATCTTTTTAAATATTTAAAAGAACTTAATATTTCCAGAGCTTATATTTTTTTACTAAATTTATTTATACCTTGATTTCCATCCAAACCGGGTTCTCCTTTTTGTCCTTTGTCATGAATTGATGTGTAAGCAGGTTCTCCTTTTAACCCTTTAAAATCAACATTATTACAATTATTTTTAACTTAAGTAAATAGAACACAGAATAACTGTAGATATTTAATTCAGTGATTTAATAATATAAACATTCAGTATGATGTTATTATGTGTTTTGAAACGAAATAAATGATATTTATATTTTAATATTATACTTTACAATAACTATAAAAAAATCGTATACACGTAAAACAATAAATTAAAATTATAAAGTACCCATACAAGAATAGTAAAGTACTGACCTTTTTCTCCGGGTAATCCTGGGTAACCTCGAGGTCCAATAGCTCCTGGATTTCCGGGAAGACCGGGTTTCCCCTATAATTTAGATATAAGGTTTTTTTTATTTTCATTAATTTATTACGTTTGTCAATGTTTTAAATTGTAAAACACAGAATTTATAGATTACAATAAGTTTTATACATTATTGCGAAATCTACATGGGTTCTGATAAATTGATTTATTGAATATCTCAATAATAAACAAATGGATAGAAAATATGTTTTCAAATAACAAATGGATTGTAAAAAAAAAGTTATCTTTTTCAAAAAAATATTAACTTTGGAGTAATTATACTCATAGATATAATTTGTTTTTTTTGAAATAATATGTTCAATGCACTGTTTATAATATTTTATTATAATTATAAAAATGTTTCACAGTTTCAAAATGGTGATTTAAAAAATTAATAGAAATAATTTTCGATTTAATAAGAAGTAAGTGGATTCAATATGGTATATAAAAGGTATTATAAGTTATATTATAAATGTGTATTCTATAAAATATTCTTACGTCCGTTCCGTTACATCCGTCTAACCCTGGAATGCCTGGCAAACCTTGTGGTCCAATTTGTCCTGATATACCATTTACACCTTAAATATAAAAAATCACAGTCACTTACTCGGTAAAATTATTCTTTGACATTTATCAAAAAAATCGATAAAAAATGTAAATTAAAAATTTAAATTTAAAAAGTTATATAATATTATCATTGTATGTCAATGAATTAAAAATTATATAGTGTTATGTGAATATTATTTATAATAATATATTACCGGGAAATCCAGGGATGCCCATTTTACCCTAAAAAAAAATAAAAAAATAAAAATATTATTATTTAAGCAAAGCAATTAAAAATTATAAATCGTTATTCCTTAATTTTCTTCAAAAATCAATGTACAAATATTTAAATTATTAAAAATGTATAGCGTATTTAACAATAATTATTACTGAGTATATAAAAATTATATTAAATATTATTATATTATTTATACATAAGGAAAAAAAATTCATCAAACTAAAAATTATTTTGTTTTTAAGAAATTCATTTTTTGTTTTAGATTAGCCTATAATTTTAGAGAAAACTATGATTGTACAAATATTTGATATAGTTCGAAAATAAACATTTTTTCTTCAACTTAGGTAATAACTAAACAGTCTACTATTTTGTATTATTAAAATCAATACAAATTGATTTTTCACCAGCGCCTGCTGGTAATAATATCCTAGAACTCAATAATATCGTCACTGACTTTATTAATATTTATTATACGATGGTTAAGCAAATGCTGAACCAATAACTAGTCATTGTTATATATTTAGTTTCTAAATACTTTTTTAAAAATAAGCACTTACCCTGTCTCCTTTTGGTCCACGTGGTCCTAATGGGCCAATATCTCCTTTATCTCCCTTCTCACCTACACATTAAAACATATTTGAATCAGTATTGTTATTTATTATAGAGATAAATTAAAAATAAGATAATTTAACGAGAAAAAGATTCTTAATGACCAGTAAATACGTTGTTGTTTTCTAAGTCATTGTCAAACAAAAAGTTTGTGTTAGTTTAGTGCCTTTATAAAACCTATCTTGGAACTTGATAACCACTCATTATTTCTTATATTCTTTTAGTCGAGTTTTAAGACATTGTTAATTTGTTTTGAAAACTTTTATTATATACGTCCACATTTTAAAATTTGCACAATTTTCCAAAGCTATAATCAGGTCATAACACTACGAATTTACATTCAAATGCATTCTAATTTTATAAAAATCTTCAATTATTTATTTGTATTCAAGTAACAAATTATGCTAAAACCATAATACATTTGTAGCATATCATCATAACGTATAACTGATCTGATAAAAAACTCTTTTCCTTCATTACATCGGTTACTTGATTTTCTTGATTTCTTTATATACGAGTATTTAACTTGTGGTAACTAAAAACCTATTTAAAGTTACCTGGTAGTCCTTCGAGTCCTTGAAATCCTTGTATTCCTTGAGGACCCGGAAATCCAGTCGAACCAGGTGGTCCCTAAAGAAAAAATAATAAATCAATAAATACATTTTTAACTACTTTTTAAAACTTACTCGGCTTCCTTTTTCGGCAAAACATTTCGGTATACAGTTTGAAGAATTTTTCTGCTGATTAGTAATGACATATCTATTATCACTATTGTATCGTTTCGTATTTTGATCTCCGTAATACGGTTCATTTCCGTTAGTTTGGTTTGTTTCAAAAAAATTTGGCCATTGCTAGAAAAATGTTATCACATAATTTTACAAGTAGGTATGGAATAAAATACAGAATATCGATAGAAAATATTATATTATTCTTGTATCATCTATATTATATATCGGGTCTGGTTATCAGACCCTGCAAGAACAAATGGTAGAAATGTTAAAAAATGTGCCATTTAACTATAATTCGTATGCCTTCGTTGACAATAGCGGATATAGATGTCACCCAAAGGGAGGATGGCAAATTTAAAAAAATCAAATTACTTTTTTTTATATTCAACCTGTATTGGAGGCTGATTATTTGTATTATTTTTATAAATTCATAAAATTTATTGTATACAAGTATACGACTATATGAATGAACGAGTCATATAATATATTAATATGACATAGATTCGTAAATATAAAATCATCGGTTTTAAAAAATACAGATAAGACAATGTATGTTCTGCTGTTTCCCAACATAATCTGTGAATATTAATAATTTATCATTGGCGATTGAACGATTTTCGGCGAAACGCGATCAAATAATTAGAATAATAAGAATCAGATAAAAATTAAAAACAAGTCTGAAATCTAAAAATGACTAATTATTTATTTAAAAATTATGAGACAATGTAAATTTTTCTATTTTATTTAAAATATATTTGTATAAATGTTAATCATTAGTAATAAAATAATAACAGTTATTAATAATTTAAAAAAAATTAATAGGGAGGCATTCGTTCTCATAGCCACCCCCCCCCTCCGCAGATCCGCGCTTGCTCTTTGATTAGTAATCGACTAACACATTTTCTGACCAATTTTCATGTGGATTACTATTTAACATATCTAATCGATTGAAATATAAGAAAATTGAACATCTGATCACTGATGGTTGAACTATATGAGTATAATAAGGTATGTGAATTGTTTTTCAATTTATTAATATTTTTTTCGTAAAAAGTGGTCAAAATATAGAAAAATCGAAAATTGTTCACTGTTCGTGGTTATGGACAGATTAAAAATCTGCGTACCGCTTTAAAATTCTAAAATCGAAATTTTAAACATTCATTATAATCATCTAGCTAAGTGTCTACCCGCAAACAAAAGTGCTATTCTAAAATTTTCGATTATTTGATACTATATTTTCTCAGAGCGGAAAACCAGAGATCTACCGGTTGTGGGAATTTTTTTATTTGTGGGAGAGGAGATAAAAAATTAAATCGTAACTATTTGCACATCATGCAATATCAAGTATTTATTTATTTATTTATTTGAAATACTGGGCCCCCTATGAGAAAACCAGTGTGAGGGCATAAGTGTAATAGCAAATGCAAATAGCATTTATAATTTATTCATTATAAGTACATAAATATACAGTGATTAATAGTAAAAGTACAATATTAATGAGCAATGAATACGCAAACAGTAGACAATTTCGAAATCAGTATTTAAAAAACTAATATTTAACATTTGAATCATAAAAAGCTATTCTGTTATTAATTTGTCTGGAGATCCCAAAGATACTGAGATAGAGTTTTAGATTCTGAGTAGAGCAAAGAAGCTTATGATTTTACAAAAGATTTTTTTTTTTTTCTGTGGACAACTTTTCTACCAGAGGACTTGCTCCGATTTTTATGTGTAGCACCTTTTCTGAAAGAAAATCGATGTGGAGAGGAACATTATGGAGAGGGAGGTAATTTTTCGATTTTCTGAAGAGTTTGTACAGCAAATGCGAAAAACCAAAAAAATCGGAAAAATGTAAAAATATATTTTGTATCGCGATTTTTTTTTTTTCTATGGACAACATTTCTACAAGTAATTTTGCTCCAATTTATAATGATAGCAATTATTCTAAAAGAAAATTTCACTGGGGAGGTACTTTAATAAGGTAGTTTATCAATTTTCTCTTAAGTTTTCTCAGCAAATGCATATAACTGGGAAAAAACATAAGAAAACCGAGAAAAATGTAGGAAAACCGAAGAAATCGGTTTAACATTAAACAATTATTATTTAAGAACATATATGTAGCCACCTTTATTATTTTTCTCTAATATGGCATATATTTTGTTGATAAAGCATTACTATCAACTGAACTTCACTCAGAATCGTTTTTTCGTAAGCAATTATTTATAGGGTATCTTGTGTTAATATCATGTGATATGGACAGAAGAAAATTATGAGTTTTCATATAAATAGTAATTATTTTAAATTATATCTATTTTTTTTTTTACAGGTAATTCTTTGAGTTCAATCATTCTTTATTCAGCTAAGAATCTAAAACAAATTATATCATGAACATTTTGGGAATTTTCAACGATTTCATAACGTATAAAAACAATCACGATGACAAAAAAATGTGTACTGTTAAGATAATAAATAATCATGACCGGATGACCACCCGTATATGTTATTGAAGCAGGAAATCATCGGCTCATTCTACAAATGGACCAAACCATCTCACAATCGTATTTTTAAACTAATCAATGACTGGTAATCGCAACAGTTTTAACTTTTTTTAGAGCTAAATTAATTCTGAGTGTATACATTTTTGTTTAATATTTAGTACATCGTATGATGATCCTCGTGTCAAATGGTTGTATTCACATAAAATTAAATATAAACTTAAAACAAATGGTAAATGTCACATGCTTATGTGGCATTTCAATGTTTTGAACATTCTATCTTAGAAAAAGCTAAAATCGTCTATAATAGACTAATATTAGTGTTCCATAAAAATGTTATGTCTCTATGACTATTTTTATCCGAATTACAAACAATAAAAAACCAACAAAAATCAAAAAATGAAATTGTAATTGGAAAACTAAAATTGGAATTCGGAGTAAGATTTCTGGTAGGGAAATTGTATTTAAAAACCGATTCATCGCTGCACTCAGAATCTAAAATAATGACAATGCCACCCACCACAATTTAGATTTGCGAATAAATTCTCCGAATAAAAAAATAAAAAACCGTTGACAATATATCATCTTCTATTCGGGGTAAATATGTATTTACGCAATTGTGTCTTACGAAAAAAAAAAAAAAAATTAAAACGCCCAAGTGAATAAAACTGTTTGCCTACGATAAATTGTATTTTATTAATTATATTTTTAATCCCTACCGAAATCACGTTGATCGAAACTTGTCTACACCCATTACGTTTATCAATCATGTTTCGATAAAATAAAAAAGAAATCATTTAGGTATTATTAGACTTGCATATTTGAATCGATTGATTAAAAAATCATTAATCGCATAAGGACGCATCAATATAGCATCATAATTATAACCATATATATATATATTATTATTCGTTCGTTAAAGCATAAAATATACGATATAAATACCTTATTTTTATATGTTTTATCTAATTAATATATGTGGTATACACGGATGAGTAAATATATAAATATATATACAGGGTGGGCCACTAAGTGTTTTGGATTTTTATACCTCTGTTAATAATATTTGTCGATTTGAGGTGATATTTTTATTACGATTGCGGTTCCCTATCACACAGTATATTAGACTGTTGAGTACATATTATTTTACGTCCCATTAGAAATTGAAACCAATAAGCTTAAACTTAAAAACGGGTATTATTTTGAAATTATTCATCAGATATGCATATATGATGGATTAAAACTTTATAAAAAATAATATCTTTTACAAATCGGCTATTTTCGAAAAGTGAACAAATCAAAAGTTATTTTTTACTACTGGTTAAGCAATATTAGCACAAATTAATTTTTTTTTGAATATACATATACCTCCATAAATGAAAAATCCGATTGAAAAACAAATTTAAAATCATCAAGGGCACGCAATAAATAAGTATGTACCTGTATAATATACAAGCTGTCCCGCACCCGAGCAATAAAATAGTTTCTAAATAAAATTAATAGGTAAATTATCATTATGTACTATTACCATAGGTAATGCACAGGGATTACACTTCTAAAATTAAATTTAAAAAAATTAGATTTATGTACTAAACATGGCTAAAAACCAAATGTTAGGGAATGATATTCAATAGGAGGAGATTTTAATAGCTATAAACCTTCGCGATAGTATACCCAACAACATTTCAGAGTTTCATCGCGATCGGATAAATGGTGTAGTACGTAATGCATAAAGGACAAACACACATACATTCGTTTTTAGACACGGTATGGTAAACAGACAGACATTTCATAAATAGATGAAGTCTAGTTTTGGTGTTAAAATTTTTGATTTCCGTCAACCCCGTTGACGAAATATTCCACTTTTAAGTTTAAATAGGAGGAGAGGGTTGTGAATTATCATATGTGTGGTGGCACGGCGCGTGGCGAATTATTAGTGCTTGAATTCTCTCCCCCTAATTAAACTTAAAAGTGGAATATCTAGTGAATATTCCATCTATTTATGGAAATTTTAGTATAGGTTCTCATTTGAAAAACCAAAGTTGGTATTGCGGCTTAAATGTTGTAAAAAATCGAATTACCTGTTCGAAAATATAATTTTTAATTACACTTTAGAATTCCAAACACGAGAATTTGAATATATTATGCAAAATTTAATAAAAAAAAAAAAAAAAAAAAAAAAAAAAAAAAATAAATAAAACGAGCTGGTCGCGCTTAGTGAACCACCGCCCTGTATATAGAATGTATATGTATAGATATATCTATGTTTAGTTATAAATTAATAATTACATAAAATATGAGTGTATAGAAAACAGGTTAGGTGCTACACCAATTATTATACATTTATAGGTAATCAATAACTACTGATAAACGCGGAAATAATAATATTGGAAACATATGAATAGGTAGGTTAGGTATATATTATTTACAAATCCATTCGATGTACTGAAATCAACGGGGACTATTCAGATTTTTGTTAACGTTTTTTGCGTGAATATTGGTAAACGTATACGCAGTGCCGTACCCCGGGGGGGGGGAGGGTAAGAAACTTTACGGGCACTCTACGTTCACCCATTGGCGTTTGTACAATTACAACAGACTAATGTAAGTGCTTGGAAATAATCTCACGAAAAGTCTTCATATTGGTATCAAATAAAGTAGAACAATAATGATGCGATTGCATAATATTATTACGATTATATTATTAATTATAATTAATAATTTTAATTGGCTGTGTTTAGTCCAATTTTCTTAGCTCCCGTTAACGAGTGTATCACCGCATAGGCACGTTGGATTCTTAATTTGTCCGGAAAAAGAAATTGTTCGCAAAACTTAGATGGGTACATGTCATATAAATTGTAAATCGCGTTAGTTTGTCGGTAAATATCTAGTGTAAAAACTCGACATTATACCGTGATCGTTTAAATCGAAATTCTCGAAAACCGGCAAGTTTAAAATATTGTCGATAGATAATAATAATTGTAAATCGCAGAAAAAAAAAAATAATTAACGAACGTACATTACAAATTATATACGTGTTATAGATATGCAAAGGTATTTCGATTATTGTCGGACGGATGGATGTAAAACATAATAGGTCATCTTGTAAACCGGTACGCACCCGCCTATACGAATTTATCGAATCTATCGATATCGGATTGTAGAAAAAAAAAAAAAAAATACGTACAATTAAAAATATTATCATCGTCGTAACAGTGTGTAAAAATACGTTTTATATTCGAAACGGCCTCGATAAAAAAAAAAAAAAAAAAAAAAAAAATACATATATAATATTACAAACGGCGTTCCCGTATATTATATTATGACGTGGATAATATGATATGCGTGCATTATATTGATCAGGGATTAATTACGTGCGTGTTCATTCATAAAGTTCGTCAAGTTTATCGTCCGTACGGCTATTACGATAGCAGCACGCCGGTACCTCTCCGGCGGTCTTAGAATACACGAAAAAACACCGACCTATCACGATGATGTGCGGTTTTCTGGTGCTCGGGAAACTCGCGCGTGCACTTTACACCGACAGCATCGTTATTGTTACAGTATTATATAATTGGTACATAAAATAACAAATTAAACAGCATTATTGCGAAGCGTCGAGTTTTCAACTGTTATTTTAAAAAATAATAATAATAATAAAATATACTCGCGGGAGTACACTAAACGAAACCGCGTCGTGTCGGAGTGTGTATTTTTGAAAAACGATGGGATGGGGGGGGGAAACATCAAAACCTACACGGAATATATAGTAATAATATTTTCGAGTAGGTATATAGATAGTCTTTTATTTTCTCTCTTTTAATCGAAAATATATTAAAAGTCGACAAAAAATTGTATCCGCTTCTACACACAAAATAATACGTAAACGATTAAATTAATATATATATATATAGACATCATAATTAACGCGATACATTTTATTCTTATGTATAATGTTTAAAAGATTGATACATATTACATATTCACGAATCTATAACGATTGGAAATTATTATTATTGTTTTTTTTTTTTTTTATATATATATATATTAAATAGCGGCTTTACCGACTTGACGCGTTGTCATATAGTACGATAATTTTACAATTTGTCATAATTATTATTATTATTATTGTACCGTGCGATGGTTTCGGTGTTGTACTTACCGCCGATACCGCCGTGAACAGGTATGCGAATAATGCGAATTGCCTGAAAAAAAAAAAAAAAAAAAAATTAAAAACTGTTTTTTCGGATTTTCGCGCGACGAGGGGGGATATTGATGAATCGCAAAAAAAAAAAAAAAACATATCGCTTTTGGCGAAACACCGGTGGAAAAAAATAAAAAAAATAAAACCGGGAATACGAGAGAAAATCGAGGAGAAGAAAAAATCATTAAAGGGGTACGCGCTTCGGCCGCGCGAAATTGTAATTTATATATTTTTTTTTTTTTTTTTTGGTTTCGGTTTCGGTTACCCATAGACACTTACCGCCAACGTAACAGTCCAAGCCGCGGCATGGCAGCCACAGTGTGAGATACCCGCGCTCACTGTTTCAATACAACATCCGTGTGGCGCACATACATACGTCGTACTCAGTACGCGTGCAGTTTCGGCGGTGTCTCTCCGGTGGGCAACACTATACGGCCCGCGGCGGCGGCGTCGGCGACGATGATGACGGCGGCGTCGGTGCCGTTCGTTATCGGCCGCCGCGGGCCGGGAACTTATCTCCCGGCCGTTCGGACCGGCCCCCCGGACCGTTCCGCCCTCAAGCGGCCGTTTCCCGAACGAAAGGCCAGCGGCCGGCGGCGGCGGCGGACGCCCTTATTCGCGGGGCCCCGGTACGATCCGCGGCCGCGGTTTAACTTCGCCCGCCCCATCCCCAACGGCCCGTCGCTCGCGTTTCGGTTCGTTATTGCGAACAGGGTGCGCCGGCCAGGGATCGCATTTCGAGCCTCTCCGTGCCCCGACCGGGCCGGGTTTCCGGGAACAAATGGAAATCCTTCTCCCGGCGATAGATTTTCCGCGGCCCTTGCCCTATACCCTTGTACTACAGTGCCCGTTAACATGACATTTCCGCGGGAAGCCGTAACCTCTCGACGTACGAAAAACCCCTTGAGACGGCACTTGGCGGTGGGTGCATTCGGAGGGGCTGATCGCGGGTTTCGGGAACGAGCCGCGCGTCGGCGGCTTCGGCGGCGGCGGCCGCCGCACAGCCCCTCCGACTCCCACCACGCGATCGGCCGTTCGACGGCGTCTGGCGCGATAACGGCCGAGAGAATACGTACGTACGTACGATATACGTAAGCTACTGGCCGACGGCTCGGACGGGGTTAGGTTTACCGCGATAATACGCTCGTCCGCTAGTTTTTCGTCTCATTTTTTTTTTTTTCTGTCTTTTCGTTTCCGACAAATCGGTAATTTTTCAAAATAATTCTGTTTATTGAACTAGTCGGATTCCCGGCGTTCGCGGGCCCCGAAAAACCGTAGAGAGCTCGGATTGCCGCACGCACGCGTACATACCCGCACACACACACACGCACACGCCACCGTAACACGCACACGCGTACACACTCGCGCGTGCGCGCGCGTTCACACGCACGCCAACGGTGACGCTGTAAACCGGCGTGCGACGGCGGCGGCGGTTGTGTCCATCATCGTGCCGCGCGCGAACCACCGACATCACGGACAAGAATGATGCTCGCCGGCAATTGGCCGCGACGACGGCTCGTCGTCCTGGTCATCGTGCCGTGTCTGTTGTTGCAGCTGGCGCGAGAAACGCAACAGGCGGTAAGTAGCGCCGGAATCGGCCTATACTAATACCTAATTATGTTAAATGCGAAAAAAATAAATAAACGCTTAGCCCCCGCGACCCTCCCCGCCATCCTCCCCTTGTGCGGCGTCGAAAATACAAGTCACGTCCCGGGAGAATTAAAACCCCCCGGAAGAACAGCGGTCTGAAAAAATACCGCCATTCTCTTAAAGAAAAATTGAATTTTTTATCGTCTCATCGTGTTCCGCGTATTGTCTACGCATTTTCCGGGGGTCTTAGCGCTATTTTCATTTAATCGCGGGTCGTTTTAGCGCGATTTCAACGACCCATTTGAGCGCGATACGCTTTAGGCACCTGCATAATACGTGGTCGTTTTACCCGTCAAACAAGACGAAAATGAAATGAATTATCACCCGATTCCCGTCGTCTACCCCATCGGCGCCGCGTCGGATTTGGACGAACAGTTTGGTTAGGTTTTCGTTAACCGGGCGGCTAATCCGCAAATACTGCAGACGTGCCGTTTCGTATGAAAGAATATTATGTCGTAATATTATATAAGTACTATTACTGGAATAAAACGCTTTCAAAATGACCTATTTTAGTTTCAGGTTGCTATTATAGGTCCGATGGTCATTTTAGGATGAACAAAATTCCGTCCATATTTATATCTTCAATCGTGATTTAACGAAAATAATAATAATACAAATGCAATTACTATTAAATTGTTGATAATGGTTTTTTGATAGCAAAGGATTCTGGGACTCGTTACCCATAACCGCGTTTTACAAACAATTGCATGGGGGTGTCGTTCGGAATTCGAGTTGGTAATCAAAGTGAATCGCCTGCCCACGCGATAGTACCTGTAGTGTTACCACCTGTCGGACACGGGAAAATGGCCGTCGGACGACGAGGAGGGGATGCGTTAATCCCTTCGGGACGTGACTTGACTTCTGTTCCCCTTCCCCATTCTACGGCATTTGGTCGTTTTTCAATGGCTACGCATGAAGTGACCGTTTTTCATCTACTCTCAAACCGCAAACGGCGGTTTTTCCGAGACGTTCTCACCCCAACATTGACTCCGCGGTTTTTCGTCCATTGGTTGATTGGTTTCGAAAAAAAAAAACTGTATATAAGGGTACCCTAACTATACACTATACTATTAACGCCAAGGTACAGCAATTAGGTCGGATCGACTTTACACGATTGCCAAAGTCACAGGTCCTCTTAGGGGCAGGAATAAAAAAATTCGCCTTCTGTGTGACGTTTGACGGGTAACTAATAAAAATTAGATTAAAACTATATATTATTATAGACTGCTAGTTTTTTCTTCGTTTCTCCACATTCTATACGATGAACGGAACGAGTTTTTCGATAAGCAATTGTGTCAAACCGAAATATATTGTAATGCAGTATTACGCAACAAATAAAAATGTACGTTTGTACATTGGTTGTGAATTTGAAAGAAAATAATATTATTACATCAGGAAGTGTGCAGTGCAAAAGTATTGGTATTTTTTTCACTTGCGATAGATTTTGACGGATATTATTTTTTGATTTACAATTTTTTCTTACGGATCAATATTACGATAATTATTCAAACAATTACATATGGGAAGTGAGGGGGTGGGTTTATTGTACGAAAAAGATATTTTATTTTCGTACAAAAATATTTTTAAAATCACTATAGTGTATAGAGTTTTAATCCATCGATTGAAATTAAAAAATGTTGTTATACGGTAACGAATTATTGTATTTAATTTCCACACTGTATCATATTAGTTTAACTAAAAAATTCGACGACTTTTTTGGTTTAGTAATCTAAATCAATCTTAAAATTACATTCCTGTTTTATATTATATGGGTATAATATACTCGTAATATATTATACTATTTTTCATTAATCACTTGCCATTTTTTGTTAAACCTTTGTTAAATTTTTTGATATAATAAATTATAGAGTGAAAAGAAATTACGTTTGTTTAAAAATGTTTCCTTTCTCGTATAGGAAAAATGCACAGACTTATTTTTTAAGTTGAGCTACTCGTATATTATGTTGTATTATGTAACTAACGAGATAAATGTCGAATATTTCGTATTATTGATGTCGCAAAACGTTTGATTGGAGTACGGATGTTTTGCGACATTTTACGCGTTATGATACGTTTTATACAGTTTTTTAATTAATACGGTTTAAATTTGAAATTTACATATGGAACAATTTTTATTTATTTATTTTAAATTCTTACAGAAGTGAAGAATGTATTAGTTTCACTATAATTTTTTTGTATGTGCCTACAAACAATTTATCTTTCCCAGAAATTTTGCTTTAATCAAAAACTTTATAGGCGTTTTCTTGTTTAATTTTTCATATAATCGGTGTACAGAAGAAATACTTTTTTTTTTTAATTTTCGTTGTTAATTTTCTTAATAAATCGGAAAAACCAGAAATTTTCGTTGATTTTTGAATAACCTTGGCAACAAGGAAGAACATACGACAAATAATACTCAGCATCGTTTTTCGTTTTTCAATGATTTATTACGTTTAGATATAAATTAAATTACTCTAAAAAATTCTCGCCTTTTCAATTTCCATTCAAATACAGTAACACTCCACCAGCAGTATTAGCGTACGACTAAACGTGTTTCGTGTTTTATAAAACACGTTTTCGGGCTTTTATGTAACGCGTAAGTTTCATATTTAATATAGTATATGACTCACGTCGTTTCAAAATAGACACGAATCAAATAAATTTCAAACATTACAATTACATCTTCCAATACCAGTATACCATTTAAATGATAAAAAATCCATGAAAAATCACTTAATTTAACGTCGAATAATAAAATAATATTATTTATATTTTCTTTTAAAAGAAAGTAAAAAACGACAAGCCAATTTTTTTCAATTTTCGTTCTTGTTTTCCTAATACATAGAAAAAACAAAGGAAAAACGGCAATAACGCGCGGTTTCATCATATTCGATTTTTATTATTATTTTTTTTTTTTTTTGTATTTGTTTGCTAGAAAATAATCGTAGAAACCTGAAACTCTCACAGATTTCTTATATTAAATTTTTTTAGACTTAGTTACATTTTAATAAACATACTTGTCAATTTTCATTAATAATACAGTATTTATCATGAACCAGCAATTTTCTCGGAGGATAAAATTAATTGAATTTGATTTTTGTTTTTTCTTTTCTTTTGATAATCATTGTAGGATGAGTTAAGCTTTATTTTTAATCATACACGTTAATCTGATATTAGTGTTAAGCACATCAAAATGTCTAGAAAAATATTCTTTATTCGAATCTGTGTTCAATAAAGGGGGTTATTATTTAAAAAATAAACGTATATAATTATTTAATGTAGATGGAGTAGAGGTAAAAATTAAAAAATGGTTTTAAAATACAGCCTCACCGATTGCACAACAATTAAAAAATAAGATAAATCAAATTCATTTATAATCCTCAGAGATAATGTCTGGTTCACGGTAACAAAATCGCTAAAAAAGGAACCCTACAAGGCTATAACTCGAAATATTATGTGTTCGGATGTACATAATATTATGCATACAATTTTTTAATTATTTTTTGTGTTTTATAATCATGTATATATACATGAACTATTGAAATTGAATAGGTACTACGGTATTAATCACATCGTTAAAAATGTGTAGTCTAGGCATTCTTCTGGGTGTGTATAGATAATATATTATATATATAAATTATATATTTTTATTGTGATTTGTACCTATCAATATTATGCAATCTATTATCGTTTTAAATTAATGCAAATTTTTTTGAATTTAAATTTAAATTAATCAATTAGCACAAAAGTCTAAGATCAGGGTTTATAGTTTTCGTCTTCGAATTATTTATTTAATTAAGTATTCAACGGAAGCGTAACATTATATTAATCGCCGATACCAGTTGTTGGTATAGGTGAAGGCATAGTTGAATTAGATTCATAAAAAATATGTTGACCTTTATTACTTTATATCAGAACAATATGGCAAATAATCGAAAAAAAAAATGTGAATTTACAATTTATTAAAATGGTTTGATAATTTTATCGTTAAGAAAACATGCGGATGTTTGTGGCATAGGCATGCGCACAGGGTGTGCCGAGTGTGCTTTAGCATATCTCGTGGCCCGTGGACTGAAATCAACTCATTCTGGGCTTGTATAGTCATTAACTAAGTTTTATTTTGCATATTTGTCTATATTTATTGCATATTTCAATGAAAAACGTACACCACCTAGAAAAAAGTGCAAATAGGCACCGGCGAAGTGACAATGCGCCATCTTAATATTTCACTCATTTGAGACGATATTATCCAAAAAATAGTACATCATTATGTTAAATAATTACAAAAAGGCGTATATCTTTTTTGTAATTTTTTTTCGTCTCTAATGTACCTACCTATTAAAATGTTTAATATTTAAATACAATTATTATTATTACTTTTTGGTGGACTGAGTGAGATCCGGCCCAATATCTCAGATATTACAACAGACCCGATTAGGTTAACTCCTCTCCTGTCAATGTCAATATAATTTTATTAGAAAATAAATTACAATTGATCGTGTTCGCATTTCAAAGCATGTACGACCGAAATCCGTTTAAAATCGTACTTCGTAGTTCAAAATCGCAATATGTACCCTAATTTTTTTTTTTTAATAATACAACTTCATTTTATGATTCACCAATTCAATAAGCCACAAAGAACATACAACATTTGTTTTAAAAATTATGGTGTACATACATTTTATTTTAGCATTAAATGAAATAGCGATAGAAAATTATGAACCCCGTAATTTTAAATTGTACCGGGGCATTTAGATTGGTAAATCAGGACTTGTGTATAACGGAAGGATGATTCTGAAAGGTCGTTTTAGTACCCAAAGGAAAAAAAGACGGAAAGGCATAAAACCCATATAATACATAGGTGGAGATTCGATTGAATTTTAAGCCAATTTTGTTTGTTATCAAACATTCGTTGTCACACGTAAAAACGTAATAAGCTATGATAGATGATTCTAATAACGGCGTTAATATAATTTTTACGTGGACTAGAGAAATATTTGTTTTGTTTTAATAACTTCAAAGAGGGCTATGGATGATTTTTGAGAGCTAAGCCCTCCTAACCTCTTCCCTCCCTCCCCTCAATCACCGCCTTTGATTGAATATACTTTTATGGAAAAACTATCGACAAATCAAGGAACCGATTGTTTTTCAGTGGTTTTTATCGTCGCTAAATCGTAATACTACGGTCACTACTATGGTCGATTGATATTATGAAATAAAAGTTATTATATAAAACTCGTAACAATATCAAATTTAACCTAGGCACTTAAAATGTATTTTTTTTCCATCATCGCCGTCTTATTATATTTGTTTTTTTTCTTCATAACGGTAATGAATCAAAAACAAATCGGATATTCGTTATTAGCACTATGGGTCTGTTACGGCTGTTTAATATTTTTATTTTTTTTACTTTTTCTGAACCGTCAGATGAGTTTAACATTCAAGATGGAGTATATATATTTCGAATGACCATCGTTGAATTTAAATATTATAAACCGACACGCGTTTTAGAACAATCATCTATAAAATGATACCTGTAACTCGTGTATAAAAATATAATTATGATGACAATAAAAAAATAAAAGAGAGAAAAAACCACTGTTGTATTATAAATAACAGTTTATTTAAGTTGTTTTAGGAAAAAAAAAAATGGAAATTCGTTATCCGGTCAATTGAACAAATATTTTTTATATCATATTAATTTTGTCGGCCTAATTACTATATTATAATATTTTAACAGCAACGGCAGCGATATTATTTTAATAAATTCAAACGATGGCTTATTCGTTATCAATTATCTGCGTGTATAACCGTGTAAAATATATTATAATAATATTAATATTATAAACGTGTCGTTGATAACAAAGATAATATTATAAATACAATAATAATAATTTATGTAACACGAAAGAATAACGAACGCGTTTCCTATAGATTATAACGTTATTGGTAATATCTGTGGCCGCGATATAATAAAAATATTAAAAAATTCTACTCGGAAATTATAATATTCGTTTCCTGTGTACAGGCCGCTATCGACGAAAAAACCGAAAAAAAAAAAAAAACGCATATGATATTAATAATAACGAATCGTTTTACTATTATCACATATAATATTATTATTATTTACACGTGTTTCGTTTTTCCGTAAGGCTAAAATGTTATAATATTTGTAACAAATGCACCGTCGTTATCGGCGGTTATCGCGTACACATCACCCGTTTGATTCGTAGGTACACGTATGTTGTTATCGACTCGCGTAGGTACGCCCGTTGATCGTACGTAATTATTATCCGTATATTCGTTCGTGATTTAATGAACGGTGCCCCGTTATTTTAAACAAATATAATATAATGCCGCGTTCGCTGTTTTTTTTTTCTTCGGATTCCGAGCGAAGCGGTTTATTTATTTTTTTTTCCTTTATCAAAGCAAGCAACTTTTCTATACCAGAAATTTCGCACCAATTTTCAAGTGTGTAGCGCGTATCTTTTCCGAAAGGAAATTTTAACAGGGCGGTTCTTTAAGCCGGGTTTTTTTTTTTTTTTTTTTTTTGATTTTTCGAGCAGTTTTCATAATAATCGAGAAAGACGTAGGGAAAACGAGAAAATTTATATTCACCTTTTTTAGACGTGGCAAAATTGTTGTCGAGCTATGTCTATAAGTCATACGGCCATTTTAATTATGCGAATTTCCCACGTGATTATTATTCGACAGGTACTCTGTGAATAAAATTGTTAGACCAAACCGAAATGCACGGAAATTCAACAGTAGGTTCAATATGGTGGTCAAGAAAAAAAAAAAATTGAGAGTAATGTAGAATTTATTTTCGAAGGGAATATTTTAATATCAAATTTTGACGAAAATCGTAAATTTTGCGGCCTTTCGAAACACGTACAACCGAACTCCGTTCAGAATCGTTTTTCGTTAGCAATGATGTTAATCGTAGCGTACAGACACACATTAATCAATTACTACCCACCATAATACATCCTACCTTCCCAAATCGTCACTTAAAACAGCGGCCCACTTATCGTGCCAAGTATGTCCGTCTTTTTCTATCTGCTTCCTTCGGTTTATTCATGAAGTTCGCGATTCATAAATTCCGGTGCGCGTATACAAATTCGCATATAATATTATTAATTTATCTTTGGGCATGCAAATATTATAGTAAACACATTTTACACCGTTTTATCTTGAATGTGCTTTTTCGCAATAACAATATCATCGCCATTATCGCGATTAATACGTGTCCGTGTAACCGCGATTTCCTTGATGGGTGCCGATAACAATACCAATAATAATGTTAATGTAGCAGTGTTCGGCGTATCGATCGATAATATTGCAATATTAATTTAACGAACGCATTTCCGTTTTCGACCAAAATTCTATAGCAATAATTCGTTAAACGGATAAGACGCTAATATTTTCCTATGTAGACGCGCGCGCGCCTTTATCTTTTTTATCGGGTTTATGGCGTTTCATCAAACGGGATCGTCAGTTACCGCGGTTGCCATCATCGCGGCCGAGGTGGTTTTTATCGGTATCGCCGCTATCATTATTACATCCGTACGATGTTGATCGGTTTTATTTTTGCAATACCCCGTGTAACGTTCGGTACCGTATTAAAGGTTAACTTGATAAACAATGTTGTTTAAAGGTCAAAACGCTACGGTGTTGTCTAATTAGTACAACCTAACCGATAGACGCCTACATATTGGGTACTATTATTATATTGGTATCCGAGCCGCCGGTGCACGCAAAACGAACAATAATAATTGATGAAATATTCGACTCGCCTCGTACACGGGTACACGGGTACATAAAATGGCAGTTCGCCCGTATCTGCAGCAGTGTGCGAAAAGTTATTAAACTGTTACGTAACGATTTTATTTCTGTATACGTTTAATTGAAAATTATCGTAATGATATTTTATTCAGAACCGCGGGTACGATTAGAAATCGATTAATTTCGCCTTCGTTGTACAATCAATAACGTATCGTTATAACATTTAATTCAATTTGTTTTCACGCGCGATGAACCGAAATTGAGAAATTCGATAAAACCGCGTCAATTTCAAAATAGTATATTATTACTCTTGAGTTTAATGGAACAGAATTATTCTGAACGATCTTACGTTTCCGATAGCTCGTACAATATTATAATTATTGTCCTACACTAAAGATTAGAAATGGATATTTGAAGGGTACAAGGAGAAAACTAGAAAAGTCACTTGAGATAATATTATAGTATAGACGATTGTCTGCCGTTGTATTTCAATTCAATTATGCGGTTCAAGTACAATTCAATTCTGTTTACTACACTTGTCAAAGTTCAACATATTTAACTAAATTTGAACTTCTTAATTAACAGAAAACAATTATTTTACATTTTCCCTGTTATCATTCATTAGCTCATCAAAATTTTTTATATATATATATAAAAAAAAAAAAATAATGAACTATAACAATATCCTATCTTTTGAGGGGGAAAAATAGATTTCTCTTACCAATATTCAGAGTATCTGAATACTATATAAAATTAGGAAACAAAATGTACATATAAAGTGACAATGGTAATTCGTATAGCCAATTTCTATAGAAGATGTCAGAAAAAAAAAAAAACCATTTTAATATGCAATGTTATTTACACTAATATTTGTTTTTTGATAAACTATTATCAAAATAATAAAAATGGCGGAAGGAGGCCATTTTCCTAAAATATATTTGAAAATTCAAAGAATATTTCCAAATTGTGCATTATAGTATTTGTCTACACAAATATTGGGTATCCAGGATTTTGAATTGAAAAGGGCGGTGCTACGTAATACGTTTTTGTTCGAAACGTGGATAAAGATAAGAGGGGGAGTTTAAACTCCTCCCCCCTAAAAAACAAAAATTTAGAAAAAAATGTTCATCAATATGTATTTTAATATAATACCATAAACGAAAATTTATAAAAATAAAAAGACGGACATATTTCGGGCAGGATGTAAAGGGGAATTATTTAATGTATATCTGTACGCAATGGTTAATTATTGCCAACAAAAACGATTCTGGATGAATTTCGGTTATACATGTTTTGAAAGGCCGTAATATCTATGATTTTCGTCCAAAATTGATACTAAAAATTCTTGTAAAATAAAAATTATATGGCATTCAATTTTTTTTTTTACCACAAAGTACGACTATAATGAACCAATTATTGAATTTTCAAGAACATCTGTTTGGTCTTATAATATTATTCACAGAGTACCTACTGAATAATATAAAAATAAAATTAAAAATAGTTTGTAGTATAGTGATTAGTGGAGGAGTAATTTAAACGTTATACTCTTGTTGTACATAACTCATACTTTGGAAATAAAAAAACATAAATATTTAGTGTACAAGAAAAATGGTTAACATGTAAAATACGTTTAAATATTGTTTATTAAGAGAACAAACCTCATGGATATTTAAGGAGCGTTGCATAGGCAATTTTAAAGACTTTTTGAAAAAATGGAAATTGATTGATTAAAAATTATTCAAATTTTTTTCGTGCTTTCGTACACATTTAAAAATGGTCCTGAATATTTATCGTGCAATCGTGAAATGTGTTCAGAAAAAAATATCCAAGTAAAATGGACAATAATACTATTCAAAGTGATTTTAAAATATTGTTACTCGTTATGCAAATTAATGAAAACATTATCTATTTAGGTACCTGTGACGTAGATACAATAATTTATTTTAAATATATTCGAATAAGAATAAAAATAAAAATGACATGGTATCTTTTTATAATTTAAAAAAGTCGCACATTTTTGTTAGTTTATATTTTATAAGAAGGGATATAATATTATGTCATTCCCTTGACATAACATTATAATATAACGTTGCGTTATTTAGTTGTCATTATGAACATTTTTATGCTGAATAATACTCGTTTTGAGATCGAATGATTTTTTTTTTTTTTTTTTTGTAAGAGTATTTTATGTTTAAAAACGCTCACATTTTCATTGTCACATTGTCACACCAAACAATGTTATAAATAAAACATGGAATTGTATTTTATTTATATTTTCGATTTTCATTAATAATCTTTACGAAGATAATATACGAAGTTTTAAGTATTTATTTAAATATTCCTTTGAAAATTGTGCACCACTACGAAAATAATATGCCAATCACCACCAGAGTGATTAAATTTCAAATAAATTGATTCCTCCTCTAAAAAAAAAAAAAAAAAAAATACTATTTAATAATAGAATAGTTAAAATACACATTTGCAATTTTTAATTGAACATGCTAAAATGTATAATTTTTGATTCTGGATAAAGTGAAGAAGTTATTAGTTTTTATTTTTTTTTTTTATTGGAAACACTTACGGTTAGTAAAATAATGTTCACGAAAATAATGGGATAACCAAGTTTAAAGTGAGAAGACCAGGTTATGAAGGACGTGAAACGTGTCGCTAGACGGTAATTTATTTTGAATATAAGTATATCGAAATTTACAGCGGTTCATCTCATATTAGGGGGCCTATTATTTGTTTGACTTTTATTGATCTATGGGTTACCAGGCAACAAGGATAAAAAACGCCCAACTACATTCCGCTCAGAATTGTTTTTTCTTATGAAATAATTTGTCGTTGTATACAATATAAACTCAATTGCCGTATATTATATTATTCTACTTTCCCAACTAAATATCTACAACAGCGGTCTTCCCACGGGTAGTAGTGTCAACTTTTTTTAAATATTAATTATTATTTTATTTTTTATTTTTTACCACACATATTATCATTTGTACGGTATATTATAATACGAAATTTGATTACCTACTCTTTATTGCATAAAAATCCCTGCTCTAGTTATAAAAATACACACCTATAATTCTTATATTATAAGTAGTAATTTTGTTCGGTTTCGTCATAAACGAAAAATATTGTAATTAGAACATACGAAAATATAATTGTTACGGTAACCGGAAACACGAAATCATTTTATTATTAATTGGCCTCGTAACAAAGCCACAAAGGCCATTTCGTACAAATCGAGATTACTCATAACGCTTATTTTTCATCCGAGTATTTTGACCCGTGCTATATAGTAAAAAATAAAAGCGCAGCGGTTTTACATAAAGGAAATATCTAGTTATTTATGCTAATCAAATTATATTATTTTGTAGGTACTTACTTTTTTATAAAGAATCTTATTAAAATGTTTTCGTTAGTGGGGCGTTTTTTTTTTTTAACATAACTTGATAATATTTTACAATAATTTAATATCTAATTTCACCATCGAAACAAACACCTTTCAAAAATTATTATATTCTAAACGATTTAAAATTTGCTAATTTCGAACCTAACGTGATAGTATACCTACAATCACACCAACAATTTGGCGTCATCCAGATAGTTTTTCAAACAATCTACAAATATTTGATAGGTAAATAATTGTGTTCAATTAGTTTTCAATGAATTGTAGGTGATACATTTTCAAATAAATTAATTTAACATTGTAAAGACTGTATAGACTGCATAAACGTAAGGTAGACAAATTTATCAGTAAGGGGGGGTTGTAGTTCCCAACAAATTTTAAATGTTTGTTTCGCGAGAACTTCACCCCTATATTTCCCTTTCCACCTTTTAATATTATTGACAATCACTAGTTACATAAATACATCATAATCTACAACAAGTATAACATAATAATAATTGTATAAATAACACGGTAAAATATGTATTTCTAAAAATGTCTAGATTTTTTAATTCATGGGTACCTATTGATCGTACAGAAGAACTTATTATTTTAGCTGTTGAAAATTATGTTTCTTTAATGTAGAGGAAACTGGTATGATAATAGATAATAATATATTGTAACAATTATAAATTTAAAATATTTGTTTAAATTTAGATCACCTAAAGTTTTGAGACGAGAAGATAATATCTATGCTAGAGGCTAAGCCTACCAAGCCTCCTAAATATTGGAAATCATCTTAAAAAATTAATCAAAATAATTGTTGAACCGTTAGCAATTTTTAATGTCTTTTTACAATGCAAACAATTTATAATCAATTCCTTGATATATCATTCAACATTTTAATTAACGTTTTTATTGAAAATACAATGTTTGCATATTACCTAATTTGATTAATTATAAAAATTATTTCTAAACCATTGGACTAGGGATAGGTAGATAAGACCTACGATAAGAAAATAGTGCATACGAATTGCACAATCCTTTGAGAGAATTGTTCATGCAATGTACATACATAAGTGATAAAACAAACTAGGACGTTATTCAAGTGTTTATTGGTACTATTTAACTCGGTTCCTTAGGTGCTCAAATCGAAACACTATTCTTCAAGCCATTGTTGAAAACCAATAATGAAATAATTTTTGAATCAATTAAACTTTACAGGCTGTCATACTTTATTAAAGTACTCGTATATAACCGTTATGATAATCAAAAATAGAATACAATCAGCGGCAACATATAATTCAGCATGTTTTCAATGTCATTCATTAAATACGTCTTAACACGTGCATTTTATATTATTATCTCATTGAAAAAAATTCTCTGATTGGTTAATGGAAAACAATCTAGGTAAAAGTATATTTTATAAATCTGTGGTCTCAATTACCGAACGCTCATGTCTAGTTCATGACTAACTTTGTACAGTTACACGGGATTTTCAAACTTTTGTTAAGCATACATATTGTTAGGTACCTAAATTTACTGAAAATGTCTACAATGATACTTAGCTTTAGGGAAAACCGTTTCGTTTAAAATAATATGTTAAAAAAGTACACTTTTTATAATCTATATTATCAAATGCTAAGCGTTGTTGTTTTGCCTTAAACAATAATAATTCAAATGAATTCATTATTATGTGTATTATTATTTACAGAATTATAGTTGTAGCCATATGTCATATATGTGTCATATTTTTCTTTCTTTTTTTGAAAATTAAAAATTAACATTATTTTAAAATAATATTAGTTTCTGCTATTAAATAATTAATGTTAAATGTGTAATTATTATATTTATTATGTTCAGGTATGAAATGTTTACACATATCGAATATCGACACATTATTAAGAATATAGGTATTTGTAATATTGCGGTGAAATTTAATTTGGTGCGATATTCCATTGATTGCGAATAAATATAATTATCATTATACATATACATTCGTTTTATGAAATGATGTTCGGTCGAACCAATTAGTTTAATGAAATATTGTATATATTATTAAATTTAAATATTACACTTATTAAGGCGTTGATAATTTTATACTTAAAGTGAATACATATCAATTTGAACGAATATAAATAATATAATATTTTTAATTTTTAATTTGTTTTCCTTTGTTTAATCAATTAAAAAATTACTAACCGAATAGTGATTTTCACAATGTACCGTTAGCAAAAAATATCGTTGATTTAAAAAATGTTTATTACGATTTATGACGTAATAAATAATAATATTTTTTTATCGTACACCGTTCGTATCTGATTTCTTAAAATATTATAATTCATTAACACCGCGAATATTCACAGTTAGTTTTTAAGTAAAAAAATAATTATCTAATTTATTAAGAAAATCAGTAAACTCCATACTCCACTTACTCCAACCTCTACCCCGAACCAAGTCATCCGTCAACAACAAACTACTAAATTATAAAGCTATTATCGGACCAGTGTAGTCCTATTAGTGGCAGATTTACGGGGTAGAGGTGGGGATTCGGGTGTCCTGCATCCCCCCCTAAACACCGATATAGTTTCAATAAAATCTCGTTAAAACAACCTCTTGTTCCATCTATTGATAAATACCTTTTAAATACATATGATTTTTCATGACCCCTCCCAGAAAAATATTGAAAATCTGCTACTGAGTTCTATGGTATCCACATATAATGTATAGTGCTCTGCACAATTTTCCAACTTAAGAACAATTCAGGCCTTCCAATAGATTTTCCTTCGTCAAATTGTTTCCGCTCATTGGTCTATTAAAAACAATAATATCCATAAAGTGACTTAAAAATTCAAACGCCTACTAAATTATAATTACTTAATGGCATTTTATATTATAAAACGTATTAACAATCCGAATACACGATAAATAAATATTCGTATACTAACGCAATACACTATATTGGTACCTATACTTACACCTTTATTATTTGTGCGTAGATTCGTTTTTATCTATTATAATATAGAGTAATAAAATTGTATTATGTATTAATAATTCAAACACTAATTGGCCTCAATCATAGGTTTATTCCTCTGACTTGTGCATATTATTGTGACCTAAAAAATATATATAAAATAAGCTATAAAATGTTAAGATATTATTAATATACTGTAATAAAGTACTATATTATAGTTTATAATTTATAATATAACTGCAGTAACACGCGTAAAAATAACATAATAATAGTTAATCAATAAAATGAATTTATTACCTATATAGGTATAAATGTATTGTTAAAATTATCTCTCCCGATATGAATATATATATATATATATATATACATAAAAAAAATAGGGACTGTACAGTAAACATATTTGATTCTGCATTGATCAGCTATGCATCGGGTCTTGGTCTTAAAATATTATATTCGTTATGTATTTCCTTAACAATTTTTATTTTCTGTCTAAATGTAGGTAACTGTCTAGAACAAAGGTTCTTTTTTTAATGACCAGTATCGTTGAGTAACACATATTTCTTACTCGTGTTTATTTTAATATAGTGACATAATAATAATACACCCATAACCAATTGTATACGAGTATAATGTATACAATAATTGTATACATTATTTACAATTATTGAGGGGTCTAATTTCTAAAGGAGCCATTTCCATGTTCACTAAAAATTTTTAGAAAAACAAAAAAAAAAAAAAACAATCCTAAAGCAAACAATCGGAAAATTGAAAATAACTTCAAGACTGTTAGATGAATTTATTTAGTTAAACAGTTGCAAAGAACTAAAAACGTTAATAATTATTGATTATGGTTATTTTAATTATTCAAAGGGTTAAATTTAAAAACATTAAAAATATTTAAAAATACTTAAAATGTATTAATAAGTTAAGTTAGTCAATCTTCACCAAACTAATCGTGTAAGATGTAACATTAAATCTTTTTTAATATCGTTACTGATGATGTTAGACAATATTATCGTAATAATAATAATAAACATACTATAAACAAAATCATACTTGACAAAAACGATTGTGCTTTTTGAAAATAAATGCAATTTTCAAGCTTAAAAAATTATTCCAATTAAACTTAATCGAATTCAGCGCTGAAAATCGCATATGAAACATTAAGTAAATCATTTTTAGATTTTCCTAGAACTTTTCCTAACAAATGTGAAAAACTAAAAAAAACAGTAAAATGCATTAGTACAATATTACGATCTTTTTTTTCTACAGATAACTTTTCTAAAAGTATATCTGACTGGGGAGGTACTTTACGGAATTCATCTTTTTAATTTTCTCAGGAGATTTCTCAATAAATGGGAAAAACGGAAAAAAAAGGTACAATGTTGAACAAATATTTTTAAAGAAAATACATAATGCATATGTAATTATTCTACTATAATATGACATGTATATTGTTGACAAAGTAACACTATCAACCGAACTCCGCTCAGAATTGTTTTTTTGAAAGCAATGGTTAATCGTTACTCACAGATATACATTAAATTACCTATTTCAGTTCATTCACCCGTCTTTATTATCCTAGGACAGCATTTTTTTGTTTGTTTTTTATATTTTATAATAACCAATGTGATTTTTTTTTCTTTTATCGTTTTTAACCAGTTTAATCGCCGAATACAATAATTTGTATACAAAATGCAATAAAAAAAATAATCAAAAAGCCCAGACCATTAGATACCTACATATTATATTTATGGTGTGTAGTTGGTCAGAGATATGCTTAACACGTACAAATGTTTGTTGTTGTAATTCTATAAGTCCTATATTTTTTTTTTATTACTTTGCTTTAGCTTGCCTTAGGCTTTTCGCGGAAATATTATAAACCGTTCAACAATAGTATTTTATTTATTATATTTTATTTATCTATTAATAATAAAACATCGGTTAGCGCTGATAAAACATTTATAATAACATCAATATCCTAGCAGTAGTTATTTATTTGATAGCACGACGGAACAATTATTTAATTAAATAACTAATATGAATTAATCTACCTACCTACTTAAGTCAATGACCTAAACGAAGAGTGAAGGTAACAGAGCTAATCACCGACTACCGAGTAAATTAATATTAGAAAATCTGTTTTTATTTATTTAATTCGAACACCTTATGACATACTGTGTATTAAAAACTGGCATTGTTATACATATTAATAACAATACAAAGGATTAAAAATATAAATACAAATAGATAAACGAATATTATAGGATGTATTTGAAAAAAAAAAACTAAAAAAATCGATAAATAATAATCAACGAAAAACGATTCTGAGCAGAGCTTGGAAGGCAAATTCTTTAACACAAATAATTACAATAAAACACAATATAATATGAATTGTATGCTAAAACAGCAGCGCCGTCCGTCCATACCTCCATCGTAACAACCACTCCTTTATCATTCTGCGTGGTTTTACGCGAAATGCCGTGATATAAAAATTTAAAATACCTATAAATAGCTCATAACTGAAAAATATCACATCGATAATAGGTGAATAAAATTATTCTGTGAAGATTTTAGATCTTAATAATTATTTTTAACCAAATTTCAATAATAACGGACCCCCACAAAAACCCATTTAAGTATAAAAAAAAACATTTATTAATAGTCATACCTTTTAAATATATTTGAATTTTTAGCACCCCTCTCAGAAAAATGTTAAAAATCCGCTACTGATATTTGCTAACTAAAAGCGATTTTGAGCGGAGTTCAATTAGGTATACATTTTTTTTAAGGACCGTAGTATTTACGATATGATAAAATACGTTTCGTACATTTTCCCGTTTTTCATACTTTTTATCTAGCTTTTTCCCTTTTTTATGAAAACCTTTAGGAAAATCAAAAAATGACCTCCCTAAAGTAGCTCTTCAGTTAGATTTCCTTTCAGAAAAATTACTCGAAAATTGGAACAAAATGTCTGGTAGAAAATTTGTTTGCAGAAACAAAAACTTATGGGGAAATTAATATATATACAAACTTTACGAGCAACTTCGCTTCCCATTACGTTTAATTGAATCATTTTATTTAGATTAATGGAAGTTACAAGTCGAAACTTTAGTTATAAGGCTATAAGATGTGGGAACGTCAGGACGCGAAACTAACAATAATTATGTATTACGTACGTTTCGGTGGATATAATTTCTCAATTTTATATTTATAGAGTATAAGATCGATTAAGTCTGAACAGTGTAATACATTTTCAGTGGTGATTTTTTATTTTGGCACACGGTGTGAAATGTTTTTTATCCTATCGAATCCAAAATAATTGATAGCGCTGTGTCGTGCGTTACGCTACAAGTCGCCGTATATATCCTATACACAATACGGCGAACGTTTTTATAGAATTTATTTGAAAATTATGAATTACCGTCGAAAAAGCTGATGGTTCCCCGGCCATCAGCTTCGTATACTATATTAATTTAGCGTTCGGTTTTGGGATTTCTTATTGCTTCATATAACATAAAATAAATAATTGTGTAATCTTTTTTTTCGTGACAAATAATTGATTTTGTATTTGTTGTTCAATGACCGCAATAAATACGAATTTATAATATTTGTACGAATGTAGTAAATATATTATCCTTGGCACGTGCAGTATATTGTATCAATCGGAAGTACCTACCACGGGTTGTTGAAAAACAAAAAAAAAAATGCCTTATTACTTGTCGCAGCGAATTTATCACCCGGAAATCCTAGTGGCGTAGGCAGAGGTTGCCTTTAATTCACAACGATTTTTATTCGGCTTATTTTGTATAATTCACAGAGTAAGAAACCTATAATCGTATCGTCGGAGAGGAACTGACGGCCGGACATCCGGCAGCGAGATACTAGCCATTCACAATAATTATTATTTCTATCCTGTTTAAATTACAAGGAATAATATTATAATATTGTTATGAATTAAATTCAGTTTTTTTTTTTTTTTTTTTTTAATACGATTAAACAAATGAAACAAATAACGATAATATAATTTCACTATTTTCAACCTTATGCATTCATACTACCCATGTGTATTGTAATACGTACAGCAATATAAGTATATTTCAGCAATAATGTACAATGATTAAAATTATTGCTTAATTTATTATAAATAGTAATTTGTAAAAAAAAAAAATAAACAGGTTATTATTTCAAAAACGAATAAATATATTTTTTATCAATCATATTATATTAGTATACACATTCTTTAGTACAGAACTGTAGGAAACAGTTATAATTGAATTAACAAAAATATGACATAAAGTGGACAACCAGTAGTTTTTAAATGGAATTGTATTATTTCAATATTTACAATTTGTCAATTTATAACATATATAGGACATAGGTATTGAAAACAATTATATAAATTCGCGCAATACGAACGGATCAATAATTTAATTCGTTAAATAGTTACCTAGTTTACCGACTAGTTCATAAAATATCAATGATCGGTTGATTTTTACAATATCTGAATTATATCGCTCTGTTTATTCGTTCAGGTGATTGTAGAAATATAATTAATTTTATTATTGAACCGTTAAACAGAAAATAAGAACTTTTTTACAAAAATGTATAATATTAAGGACTTGGGTCATTAGTATGAAATATTTTACTTTAAAAATCAAAAAATATATTATTTTTTTTAATATTAGTTTTTTTATTGATTTGGTTTTAAATCATGTTTTTATTATTTACATAAAATAAATAATGTTTTTAAATTTCATAAGTAGAGAATGGAATTATACGCATATAAAATTTAAAAAAAAAGCACTTTTTGAACTTAAAAACATTTTAAAAAGCAGAAATGGTAGAGGATTTTAAAATTTTTTTCTCCTATAACGGCTCAAACTTATAAAATACAAATATTTATTACTACAAAACAATTTTTTTTACAGTTTCACTTAATACAAATTAATTTGTGTTATTTTCGTAGATATCGAAAAATTGCAGTATTTAAAAAGTTAAAGCCGTTAGGGGGGGACAATTTTAAGCACCTATTTTGTTTGTTTTATTAAATATTTTTAAGCAATGCTTTTTTCAGTGATTTTTTGATGTTTTCAGGTGTTAATTTTGAGGATTTTAAGTACATATAAATCTGTTCCCTTGTCATAACTGAATAATATTATATAATTGGATTCATATGTAAAGTTCAGGGCTGCTCAGCACATAGTCTGCCATAGTTAACACCTATTTGATTTTTAAATTTAAAAATAAATTGTACAAATATTTTTTATTTTTCATCAAAATCAAATATAATATTCATTTTAGTACTCTATATATAATAAAATTGTTTGTGCAAAACCAAACAATTCTAACGATTCTGTTTTCTTGGGTTTATTTAAGAGACTACGAATTGAATCACTCGGAATAGTACCATTAATGGTAAACAAATTATATATTTTCAAAACGAATTTATCTACATCACTTAGTTTTTGTAAAACAAAATTGTTACATACACCACTCACGAGAGTAAGAAAAACCAGCAATAATTTTAATTCATCATATATAAAATATGGATTAATGGTTCAAATTTTTAAAAAGTTGTGATACATTTTAGTAATAGATTTCCACCTAATCATAAGAACAAAGAGCACAAATATTTGGGGAGCTTAAGCTAATGTTGAAAGTGTATACTTAGTATTTATTTGATAAGGCTTGATTTTGTTGGACTAAGTCGTCTCTGTAGTTCTCTCCCCTATTTACACTTAAATAATACTAACTTCACAGAGAGTTTCTTATTTTATAACACAATTTTAATATCATTATTTAGCTTTTTGGTATAGTTTACTTCGATCTCAGTGACATGTACAAATTCTATACAATTATCATCTTTGTTAGATTTTTTTTATTTTTATATTTACTCCGTGTTACATTCACGGATATAAAGTATTATTTTAATACTGTAACAAAACGAATCGTTAAATCACATAATACAATATTTTATATAAGGACCTAATGAGATATCACATCATACTCGGATGAAATAAATTGTATATCCATATAATAATAAGAATTTCGACGATAATATTATAAAGATACGATTATTAAATAGTTGTATTGTAAATTTTACCGATTTTTTGTTGCAGACTTCAATATTTAATTTGACATATCACAAAGTATCTATTCAATTTTTTTTTTTTTTTTAATAAGTACGCTATGAATTGTCTTACTGGAATAATACAATTTTGTACCAAAATAAAAAAATTATATACTTCACAAATTTACATTATATATTTGGTCTCAGAGAAGATGGGATTTTACAAATAAACACGCTTTTGCAATTTGGACGAAAAAATAAATTAAAACAAATAACGTTAGATAAAGTTAGATAAAGACAAAAAAAAAACAAAAAATGTCAAACATTTACCTAAGTACTTTAGGGACCAAATATATTATATTAATATTGTGTAACAAATAATAAAAAATAATTTATAATAAACATTTGAAATGCATATTCAATAAATATTCAAAAGTTTGAACAGGTACCCATTTATAGATTTAATGGTTAAATAATTTGAACTGTATATCGTACCTAAAACTATAGTGAATTAGTAAAAATTAATTAAAACCTAGAAAAAAAAAAATTAAATGCACTCTTTTATAATATAGTATTGTATTGTATTATATAGTAGTATTGATTTTAACAGTTTCAAGTATTTTATTGTTTTTGTTTTTTATTTTTGTAGGCATGTAGAGGATGTACTAATCCATTTAAATGTGACTGCAAAGGAATAGTCGGAGAACCTGGTGCCAAGGGTATTTCCGGTCAACCAGGAGCGGAAGGCTCACCAGGAGAGATAGGTTTGTTGTTAAAAATTGTACCTATAATAATAATTGTATTTAATTTTTTTTTAAATTAGTGTACCACTATTGTGAGTAGAAAGTTGGGGAGGTAAAATATATAGAGTGATTTAATTTATGTATTTTTGATGACAATAAATGATTGCAAACGAAAAACGATCCTGAATAGGACTCGGTTAAATAATTATTTAAAACAAATTACAATAAAACAAATAATATTAACTTATCAGTTGTATGGTAAAACAGCAGCATCGCCTAAATTATCTAAAAACACTTCCACCGCAGCTGTCGTCAAAACTTTTTCGAACTGTGTGGCTTTACAAATATCGTTATTCAAAAATTTAAAATGTCAATAAATCTGAAAATTCAATAATTTCACCTCGTTGATTAAAAACCAATACAAGTATTCTGTAATGTATATTCGTTAACAAAAAGCGATTGAGCGAAGTTTGATCAACAATTATTAGGCTTTTAAATTCTTTTCTTTTTATAATTATCGTCAAAATTCGAACTTAATGCGCTTATAAGAACAAATCATGACTGCGAAATTTTGGTATTTTTATACTGTTATAAGATAAATTTCGCATCAAATTTTCAAGTATTTCTGGGATGCCAACAAAATTGTATTCATAAGAAACAAAATAAAAAATAAAAACGTTACTATTTCAAATAGCTAAACTATTTTGAAAATATAACCACATCTAGAAATGGTTAATTCAACTAATTCAGGTGTTTGGTGAAAATTTTTAGATTTTCAGATTAATTTAACTAGTTATTTTTTAGTTAATTTTTATTAGTTAATTTAATTAATTATAATAAAAATAAAAATAACAGAAACAGTTTTCACATACATTTTTCGGGATTTTCTCAGTTATTAAGGAAATTACAAGGAAAAAATAAAATGACATTCTTAGTAAACCTATTAGATAAAATTCGCTATCAGGAATTAACCTTAATGTTGATTATCAGAGCTAGATTTCCAGTCAAAAATTGTTTAAGATACACAAAATTAGAAAAAAAGAAAAGCACACATCAGTGTACAAACATTAAATTCCTTGTCACGTTCAGAATTTAAAAATAAAACATTGCCTAATAGCCTATTATATTTTGTATGTAAATATATTTAATGAAAGACTCTCTAAATTTCGAACGATGAATATCATTTTTTAATTCATAATTCATAATTTTATTTTATTTTATAAATATTTTTATTTTTTAATGTTAAGCATAAATATATAAGTATTAGTTTAATTACGTTGGAATAAAATATTTAATATTTACATTATTTTAGGTCAAGACGGTCCATTGGGACCAAAAGGAGAAAAAGGATCCGATGGCGATTGGGGATACAATGGTTTAAAAGGATACAGAGTATGTATACATTCTAATAGTTTTTTAGTTTCAAATATAATTATAGGTATAAGAACATTATAAAATCATATAATATTACATAAAATATTTTAAAAAACAACTGAACCACGACCAAAGAGGATAATTTGATCATTTTTCGAATTTAGTTCAATAATATAGAATTTACATATAAATGTTATGGACTTTAAATATAAAAATATAGAATGGTCTATCAAAAATTTATTGATAAACTTTTTCGTATATTAAAGTCACTTTTAAAATTAAAGTCAACAACACTTCACATAAATATTTTATCTATTTTCTCAGTAAATGCTCCAGTTTTGAATTGAATTTGAAAAACGGTGAAACTACCGTCTTTGGTCATTATTCAATCCTTTTATAGCACGTGGAAGCAGGAATTTAGATATCATTATCAAATTTCACCAAAATTATTAATTTTTAGTGACAAAGAAAATAAAAAGACTGGGTGTGCTTAATTAAAATTTGTGCACATTTTTTCCTTCATCTATAAAATAAGGACCTTTGTTGTATAACAAGATAATTAATTTATGTGGATATACTTGATATCTCGGAAAGTATTTACTATTTAAATTTTTTTTTTGAAAATTTAAGAAACAAGCTGCTCTAAAATTTAACATTTACATTATTTTTCGCCACCCTAATTTTTGTCAATGAAATACCTACTTTTTATTTTCAATTTCCACAAATAAAATTTGAGAGAGTAGTGGCGGTTCCGAGAAATAAAGACCCAAACAAAGTTTCATGAACCCCATCACGAAGACAAGAATTTCTACATGCTTTTCTATTACACTAACATTTTGTTTACAAAAATGTTATTACAAATAGAGTTTAAAAATAAACTACACTTCCTCCTCTAACCAAACTATTTCGAGTTTTTAAAATGTTATAAAAAATACCTCAATGACAATTACTATAGCGTCTTTCTGAATTCTGAAGAATATTAAACATTTAAACTAAAGGGAATAGATAATTTTAGTTAAAAGAGTTAAAAAGAGATAATTTGTCTCCTTTCGCCCCCTCATTTTAACTCCTGGATTTATCAGCAAGTTTATATTTTCCTTATGACAGTTCATTGATAGCAATACTATAGTAAATTAAAAAATTAACCAAATACCTAACCAAGATTATATCCATTGTAATATTTATAATTGATCGTTTATACGACCGAACCGTCTTTCTAGAACTGTTTACTAATAATAATGTTTTTTATCATTAAATCAAATTTAATAAAATGTTTTATGCGATCAAACATATTAATGTAATAATATAATTCAATTAAATGCATTATATGTTTAAAATTTAATTCGTATGACGTGTTGTCTAGGGTGAACCTGGATTAGCAGGTGTCGTTGGAAATCCCGGAGAACCGGTAAGTTACGTTTTAATTTCATATTGGTATAACGATTTGCAAATATATATTTTTTTTTTATAATTAGTATTAGAAAGAGTGTAACGATTTCAACTAAAATGTTCTATATAGGGCCTTCAAGGACCAATGGGACCTCTAGGGTCTAATGGCTTGGATGGATGTAATGGAACTGATGGTAATCCTGGATTAACGGGCGAAGACGGACGTCCCGGTGATCGAGGTCTCCCGGGAATCGATGCTCAACCGGTACGCATTTTGTAATATATTTTAAGTGGCGATAATAATGCACAATTTTTTGTCATTTCATCAAAATATTTTATTTTAGCATCAATATGTTTCTAATGATATCAAATTTAATTCATTAACGTAGATTGTCAGTAATTCTAATCATCATTTTTCATTCATTTTTTTTTCAGTATTTCAGTTATTTACAAAATTAAACTTGTATTATTTTAAAATGTTAAAATTTCGAAAGTTTTTGACATAATATTGTAATGAAAAATAGTCAGGTGTCGGAAACGTGTTTTATGTTTGTGATCACAATGGTATTTAAGTATATCTAGTATATAATATCAATCATTTTTTTTTTCTAGGGAATACGAGGAGATCCCGGCGATGGAGGTGCAAACAGTAAAGGTTTGAAAGGTGAAAGAGGCGAATTCGGTATACCGGGTGGAAAGGTAATGATCCTATATTCAAGTTTAATAATTATCATTATAACTATAACAAAAATTAATATTTTTATTGATGAGCTCTTTAACTTCTTTATAATACAAATGTATTGAACAACAGAAAAATATAATATGCTCATTCTAATATCGCAGTTATAACAATATACTAAGCAGGATATTTGTAACCAGGATATTTTTCTGAGGGAGGGAGGAAATAACGAATTTGCCATATTGTTAGGCAATTTACAAGACAATGAAATGATAATATTTAAGCTAATTTTAAATCTTTCATTAAATAGCATCAACGTATTACCTAAACAGTGGTTAAAAACTTAAATGTATAAACATATTATTGTTTTTACGTGTTTGGGCATTTAAACGTTATACAGTTTCAATTTTTAACGCTATGTTTTTAAACGTTACATTAAGTTTTCGTTTTTAATGAAAACGAGATTTAACATTCTAAATAAATTTGAAAATGTGCAACGTTTTTTAATGAATTTTATTTTCATTTCTCACACAGATATAAAAAAAAAAAAAAAAACATACTTTACTTAAAAACATTGAAAAATAGTAAATAAGTCTTACATATTAGTGTTGTAATTGGTCTTATTTAGCTTGAAACTGTAATTAATAAGTAATAACGTATAGTGTATACAATTATGAAAATATCTTTAACATTACATCGTAATTGTTATTACAACTAATATTTTATAGATTGTATTACTTTAAATTATTAAACAATTAAAAGTAAAATTAAATGATTATAGTGAATAAATACCTACTTTAGTCTAATTAAATAAAGATAAACTACCTGGTACTGATTAGATAAACCTAGATGAAATTATTTCAAAGCTGGTATGGATGGGTAAATGACGAAATATTAAAATATCTATTCTATCAATTAAGAATACTACAATTTTAAATGGCATATTTATTATTTACACTAAACGCAGGGGTAGGATCCAAGAGAGGAGGTGATAGTGGCGATCGCCGGATAAGCAGCTAGAAAAAAAAATACATTTTTATGTAAATATTTCGTAAACGGTATAATAAATGTAGTTTTCATAATTAATTTTGCGAAATATTTATTTTACTGATTGAGCTGAGCTTGGAGTTGGTTATACTCGTATATAATTGTTTATTACGTTGAACATTAAGCAATGTTATACCATACCGATATGATAATTTGAATCACAGTAGTGATATTAGTATAGTGAAAAGAGCCTCTAAACATAGATTATAATTTGTATAGATAAAAATTTAATAAAATGTTATATTTATGGATTGAAATTTTTTAAAAATCTATAATTAATTATAGGGCGCACCGGGTTATGATGGCATTACAGGAATACAAGGCGATGCGGGAAATCCCGGAAGAAAAGTAAGTGAAATTTTACCTATCACTTAAGTTTAGGGTTCAGGTTTAAAGAAAGCGCTTTTATATTTTAGATTTGGAGCGTAGAAAGGAATACATATATATATATATATATATATTAGTTTTACAATGATGTTTTCTTTTTCTTTTTTTCTTTTTAATTTGTGAACAACTTTTCTAAGCAGGAATTTCGCTTCATTTTACAAGTGTAGCACTTTTTCTAAAAGTAAATCTGTGGTCATTTTATGATTATCCCAGAGATTTTCTACTATATCTACCAAATGTATTATTTTAAAATCGTAAATACTACGGACTTTCAAAATATTTCATCACAGTAATGATAATATCACGTATCTACCACATCTTACCAAATTTTCCGAACTTCACTCCGAATCATTTTTCGTTTGATTGGTTAATCGTTGCGTACAGATAGAAATTAAATTCCGCTTTTCATCTTACCTTTCCGTTCTACTATTTAAGACGAATGGGAAACGTGAAATTTCCGTAGAGAAGATAATGCTGCACTAACGGTTCTGTAAAAAACATGGGATGTTGCTAATAGCTCTGTAAATTATTATCGAATATAAGACTTGTAGCCTTCAAGTCTGATTTTGAATCAATAACTTTTACAAACAGTTTTACATTTCAATGATATCAATTATATTAACAAAATAGCTGATGGTACTTTTTAATTTGTGTATTATAAAAAATATTTGGATTGAAAACGTGAAAAGTACTTAAAAATATATTTAAAAAAAAAAAAAAAATGGTAAAGGGGTTTAAAACACCTCTCTCTAACGGCTCTAAATACTAAAATCTTCTAATTAATATGTTTTTATAATACATGTTTTGTACACATTTATTTTAATATAACTAGTTAGGTTCTTTATTTTTTTATAATTTTGCTTTTGATTAACCATTTTGTATGATTATAATTGAATAATCCATTTAAAAAGATTGATTATTAAAATGATCAATGTCTAAGAACCGCAATATACGACTTTAAAACAATTATGGTTTTGTATAGGGGATTACTGGTGATGATGGGTATCCTGGAATCAGTGGAGATGCAGGCGAAGCATCCCGTGGAATTAAAGGTTAGATTTTGAAACCATTACTATTGTATATTATAGTTATATAGTTATCCATATTACAGGTATGCTAAGCATTTTTTGTTTTTTGTTTTTTTTTTGAAAATGTATTAGCAGATTATCCTATGAATTTATTTTCTTTAAATATCAATGTGTCAACTCTAGTAAGATTATAACCTATTAATCGTATATCGTGTGATACCACTATAGTATCATATCCGTCATGTATTACTCATCAGCTATAAAATATATTCTGTTATTTGTGTTTTCTATTATTCTAGTCTAATATATTGAAGTGATTATTTTTTTAAAAGTCTTTCCTAGTTTCATATACAAGATAAAATTATGGTGTAAAATCAACAATTTTAGACGCGTATCTAAATTATAGGTGAAAACTATTTGATGAACATTTTTAATGAAAGACACACTGATGATCGAACAGAAAAATCGTTCAATATTGTTCATTCAATTCGTGTGTTTAAAATATATGAACTACACGTGTAATAGGGTCGTACAAAGTAATTTGAAATTTGCATAATAGAACTTTTTTCATCAATATTATAAAATATATGATATTTTTAAAATAATGGATATCACGAAAACCTTTTCTTGCATGGTCATTTTTAGGCAGCAGCGAGAAATTTCAGAGAGGAACTAAGGGGGCTATAATCCGTAGTCTCCTTAGCCCCCCTATTCTAGTATCAATAATAATAATTGTTTTGTAATAATAATATCATCTACACGTGTGTTCTAGTTACACTAGTTATAAATTATATTATTTAATTTAAATAAAGCGATATAGTAACAATTCCACTATCAAAAACATTTTTTTTTTTTCATTTCAATATTTATCAATATTAAAATTATTAATATCTTTAATTTATAATTATTTCATAGAAAAGTTGACTAAATAATTCATGTACACAAACATTAAATTATTATTGGTTGTATTTAGATTTTGATTAAAAATGTATTAATATTATTATCTTAAACAAATCTATGAAATTAAAACATACGCAATACACATCTATAATATCTTTGATTTTTAGAAATGTGCAATTCAAAATATGGATTTAATTAAATCATTATACAATAATTCATATGTTTATTATACAGGTGACATGGGAGAACAAGGAGAGAGAGGAGACGTAGGACCACCTGGTAATTTATTTACTTTTATTTATTTTGTTCTTACATAGAGGGTGCCACTAGATGGTTCTAACTTTAAGCAAACTTAGGCACTCTTGAATTCAAAATTAGCACCACATATACGTCAATCTAATTATTTAATACGTTTAAATCTTAAATGTTATTTAAAATTTATTTTTCTTATTTCGTTATTTTTTCTACTGCATACTTGTGTGTATATCTTTGATTTGAATTTAGCGAATTTTCTATTTTTTTCCAAAAAAAAGTCATTCATACTTTATTGGGTAGAGTTATTTACAATCAATCAAAATCATTTTTTTTACAATTACAAGTATATACAGTGATAAAACCAGCTAGACGTATAATTGAATTATTATTAATATTATAATTGTTTATATTTTGTAAAACAGTTAAAAATCTAAACGTGTAGGTACGAATGTGCAATACAGATTGAATATTCAATTTGATTATTTAATTAATTCATTAATTCATTAATCGGGTAGGTTAGTTAAGAAGTCGGTCTTCCATTGAGTCCGTAGTAAACTATGCATTATCTAATAAATATCACTGTCGACATTTTAGGTGTAATCGAGGACCCTCGTGTGGGAGGAGGGGATGAAAATTATAAAGGGCTACAAGGAGAAAATGGTCAGAAAGGACAAAAAGGACAAGATGGCTATGATGGAGAAGTTGGCAAAAAAGGTTGTACGGTACGTAGACTATATGCTATTATATTTGCAATTATCTATAGTAATTAAAAACAAGATCCTGGAAAATAATAATTTTTTTATTCTTATATGCATACCTATTTGTTAATTAATGTACTCGTAAATTAGGTGGAGTCAACATCTATTAGCATTATAAGAATTTTGTTCTATTCATTTTTTATTTAATCTATATATGTTTATTGAAATAAATTCAGAAATAAATCATACATTTCAATATCTGAAGAACACTATGGAATGAAAAATTTGTATTAATATTTCGAAATTGCATTTTTCCGTTCTATGGTCATCGTGCGCGATTTACGTTTTTGTAATAATCGATATCACATGTTAAATTAATAATAAATATAGATGATGAATACAACGTATAGAATATCAAATTAAAAAATTACACTTTTAACGAATAAAAAATAATGTGGGCCCATGGCAGCGATACTCGCCATAGGTGATGACTCAACCCTAGTGGTAAGTATCGAAAAACGACCCAAAATCGTCACTGTCGGTCATTTGTCTACAACTTTTTTTTTAATTTATAATCTAATATTTATTCATACGTTATATTATATTATGCATACGTTATATATGAAGAAAATAAATTAGCGATATCGTTGTAAAACATCAGAACATCGTGTGATTATAAAATAACGGCTCGTATCATTACGTATCATATATTAATATTATAAACTGAAATTATTCAGTATACTCATAACAATCGAAGTATAATTTATGCAATATATAATAAGTATAAACTGTATCTAGATATAATATTATAATATGATTATTTATGTATGTATAGGGATATCCTGGACAACCAGGACTTAAAGGAATAAAAGGTAATTATTAATTTACATTTATTGATATTTATATCTAGTAAATAAGTCCAATGTCTAAGCCGTATTATTGAAAACTCGCTGAAAAATATAAAAAGCTATTGATTTTATGTACTGCAAATATGGCCGAACCCAATAATTTGTTAATTTTTAGAAGAACTTCATAGAGCAATTTATTTCCTGATCGATAATTAATTGTTATTATCACGAGAGCTTAGTAATATTACTTAGTTGAATTAACAACTATTTAAATAGTACTAGTTTTGAATATTAAATCAATTTTTGATTATGCATTTTTGCAGGTATTTAATAATAGATTATAATAATAATAAAACAATATTTGAAATGAATTATAATTGTTAGAAAAATCTATGTTGTCAACGGATTAAAATTAATCAGTAAATTCTACGTATTTTTTAGGTTCACAGGGTAATGTAGGACAAAGAGGAAAAGAAGGTAAAGTTGGACCATTGGGGCCAAGTGGAATTAAAGGTAAACGCTTTTTTAGAATGGTTAAAATCATATCATTATGAAAACATCGATAAAAACACATTGTAAACATTATTTTTGAATGCAGGTGATAAAGGAGCTCCGGGTTTCATGGGAAGACCCGGTAGTGACGGAGCTAAAGTAAGTACTCAAATATGCATAAATATACTATAATATTATTTGTATTCTACAATTTTTAATTTTTTACATTTAAACCTGAAACTAAATTGGGTAAAAATAATTATATGAATTTAAAATTGCATTAAATTAAATAATATTCATTATATTATATGATTAATTAATTAATTAATGAAAAAAAAAAATAAAGAATGAAATACATTACCCTAGGATGAAGCGATATGTACCCAGGCTCAAATGATACAAATAATTTACAGTATTCAAAAGAGATTTTAGAAGCATTTGAAATGTGGTGTTCAAGAATATAATCTAGACGGATAGGGTAACAAATAAAAAATTGTTAAAAACAGTATCAGAAAAAACGCTTTGATAGTTGTAAAATAATAGGGTTATTGTATAACAAAATGAGTCGGGCGTGAGAGTCTGTTGAAATTGATTATAGAATATTGATGGGAAGAACCATCTAAGAAAAACTAGGCTGACAAATACAAATGGAATAAAACAGATCATAAAGGACCAAAGATGTACCTATTTTACTAATAGAAAATCGGACGTCAGAAACGGATAGAATGTCGCTGTAACTCGATTTGAGGCCATGAGAAAAGAGAAATAGAGAGATTGCAATAAAAATGTCAAGTTAATGTAATTGGTTTATACAAAAATTAAATTTACATTGTTTTTTAACTAGTGTCTACATTTTATTTTTCGAATTGAACGTAGAAAAATATTGAAATTTTTAATCATTTATTTAACACGGACTATACAATCGCGAGATTATATTGATAACTGATGAATTAAAACGTATTATGTACAATTAAAATTTAAAACATCAGAGTTAATATTAATTTACGCGATTTTAAATAAGGGTGAAGTCGGTGAAGACGGACGTGATGGAATTCCAGGAGTACAAGGTATAGAGGGTGAACCGGGCATATACGATCCGACTTTGGATGAAATCAAAATCGGGTCCCAAGGAATTCAAGGACCTATTGGTGAGTTACGATATTCCTAATATCTACTTTATGTGTGTATATATACAAGGTAAAATACATATTTTTGTTAACTAAACGTTTAACATGTTTAGGTCCCGAAGGTCCCAGAGGAGAAGACGGAAAACCAGGAAGGGTATGTTATTGATATTTAACGGTTATTGCTGATTTTTTACATCTTTTAAAAATTTGTTTCGTAAAAATATGTTTATACTATTTTAGATTGGTCCGCAAGGAATCGTAGGACCACCGGGTGATCCAGGCATATCAGGTAAATTATTTAAAGAAAAATGTTATATACATATAATTATTCAAATTCAATACAAAAACAAATGTAAAAAGAAAAATGAAATAATAATAAATAAAAAACTATTCTATTATAAAAAAAAAAATATTAGTTGCATACCATAATAATATTTTGTTCTTTTTTTTGTATAGGTATTCCTGGAAGCAGAGGCCCGAAAGGTTTTTCTTTGAAAGGAGAACAGGGTGACGATGGTAAGTGTATAGTTTACGTATAAACATTGTGAGCAAGTGTATGTAGTGTATAATATCATTTTATTTCATTGATGACTCGATTAAAATAATTTTACTCAAACTATATAAAAAATAAAATATATCATAATTTCGATTGCATAATAAATTTGAGTTTAAATTTTAATTTTTGCACTCGTTTACAACTCGATGTTCATGGCCAAAGGTATTTAAATTGTTTAATATTATTATTAAGGTCTAACCGGTGCACCAGGAGTACAAGGACCTCCTGGATTCCAAGGACCAGAGGGTCTCGTTGGTGAAAAAGGATATACGGGCATAACAGTATTCGGGCCACCCGGTGAAGACGGTCGGCCAGGTGAAAATTTTAATTTAATATTGTTTCAGTTATTTAGTTGTGTTTTAAATAATGAAAAATTTGACTCGAATAAAACATCCACTATATTTTTTTTTAGGTCGTGACGGTAATAAGGGACCTAATGGAGAACGTGGTGATCCAGGATACAGAGGTTTGAAAATCATTTACATTTGTTTCTTTTTCTTAATTTTAATGTATCTCTAAATGTAAATTTAAATTGTTCATATTTTAATTTCCGATATGAATCGTTTAGGTCCTAAAGGTTCTCCTGCCACAGGACGTGGAGAACAAATTAACGGTCCACCCGGACCTACTGGTGTACGCGGATTACCTGGTATTCCTGGAACACCTGGAACTCCCGGTAAGAATTGTATACATACATTTTACTCGTTTCATATTATTATTATTATTTATTTATTATTTTTTTTATTTTGTCACGTGTATAAAACTTACAATAATAATATTCAACAATAAATATAATTACAGGAATACCTGGTACTGACGGGAAAAAAGGTCTTGCTGGTGAAGATTGCGGTTATTGCTTTCCAGGTTGTACAATTAATAATAATCTATAATTTATTATTATTTCAAACGCTATTAATTCGATTAAAAGATAATTCCTATTTTAAATCATTGAAAATATGTAAGTTATCTGTTGTTCGAATTGAACTAACCAGGAATTATATTTATGTTTCTAGGAATTGATGGGCAAAAGGGTGAACCCGGTGATGATGGACAAAACGGTTTACCCGGATCGATAGGTGTGTAAATTTATGTAAACTTTGTGTTAATATTTTTTTATTTTTTTGAAGTTTCAAATTATCTGTGCGAAAAAAAAATATGCGCATTATTAAATATGATGTACGTTTTACTTGTATTATAATTATAATCAATACAATGTAAACGTTTCTTATAGAATCACTAAAAATAATACGTACTTATTAATATACATGCATTATTTATTTTAAAAGTATACGGAATAATTTAAAAATGTTCAACAAAATTATAATCTTAATCATTTTATATCACTGTTTAGGGTTTCCTGGCGTAATTGGCACCCGTGGAATCAAAGGAATAACCGGGCCAATTGGGAGCACAGGTACATACATATTAATTTTTTAAAATAATATCATATTCATCACTAGCTGTCCCACGCGTCTTTGCTCATGTACTACACTATTGAACAAAAAATAAATAAAAAAAAACACGTTTCCATCAGCGCCCGTAATCAATTACAGTTAAATCGTTATCATTCGGTAATTCATTTTTTAAAAATGATATTTTATAACTGTGGCAACTGTATTTACTAGTATTATTCGGCTTCAGAGTGTGCACGGATCCATTGATCCACTTCTATATGAAAAATTTGCAAACCACTGTGTACCATAAATTCGGCTGTGAATCATGCAAAGACAAACAGACACAAAATTTTATTAATATATATGATCATTTCTCTAATAAGCAATAGCATAATAATATACAGTTCAACTCGTTATATTATATTATCCGTGATAGATTTAAAAATTTACCAAAAAAATAAAAAATAAAATTTCTACTTACGAAATTTTTGCCGGGCAATTGTCGAATGTATGTGTTTTTTTAAATCGTAATAAATTATATTGTTCACAGTTTAGTATAATAATTCGAAATTATTTATTGCAGGTCATAAAGGATCAGTTGGAAGACCTGGACGATCAGGTTCGTAGTGTAATAACACATTCAAAAAAATATGAAATTGGTAATATTGTTTTATGATTAGGAGAGGTAGGCATTCCTGGATATAAAGGTGAGAGAGGAGATTTGTTGAACAATTATATGCAAAATAAAAATCAAGGAGAAAAGGGCGAAATAGGAGATCCAGGAAGAGAAGGCGATGCAGGTTTCCCAGGGTATTTATAAATATTGATCTTTAAATATACCCTTAAGTCGTTAAGTTATGCGATTGAATATTATTTGGTACTTCTCAATTATATGTATATATATTTTATTTTACAGTTCACAAGGAACTCCTGGCACTAACGGTCGTATGGGTAGAAGAGGAATTAAGGTAAATATTTCACATTGAAAAACTAAATAAATTAAATGAACTAGTATAATAATTGTATCTGCACAAAAAGGGAATATCCGGTGAAACGGGATTACCGGGTAGAGACGGTGTAGATGGATTTGATGGGTTTAGAGGACTAAAAGGAGAACCCGCGGACGAATTAAATCCTGATAACTTGATTGGATATCCTGGGTATGTCAAATTAATTTTCAATAAATTAATGGTAATCGGTTACTATATTATTAAGCATTTCCAAACAAAATAATTTAACGACATTTTATCGTTGTTTCGATTAATTAAGAATTCAAGTTTTTAATTTTAAAAAAAAAATAATGCAATTTAATATTGTGTACCCGTACATGTTTACATTAATATCTATTATAAAGTTATGCATTTTTTAATAGAGAGCGTGGAACCCCAGGCGAGTCAGGAGAAATGGGCGATCCGGGATATCGAGGTGAACCCGGTGATACTAACACTCCAGAAGTATATAAAGGAATTAAAGGCATTAAAGGAATAACCGGCGATCCAGGTGGGATTTATTAAACACGTCAAACTTATACAAAGTGTAAAAACAAACGAGCGTCAAAATAATTTAAACACTTTGTTTGTTTTCGTTTAAGGTTTCGATGGATTCAAAGGAGAAAAAGGATTAACGGGAGATATAGGTACCTGTTTAAATAATAATTACAATGTAGATAAATTTTAAAATCATATTAAATAACTTAATGTAATTTTCATCCTTAAGGTTTTGTTGGATTTACTGGTGCTGAGGGACTTCCCGGTATAGAAATCCAAGGTCCTCCGGGAATCAAAGGTATTTTAGAAAACTAAAATTTTAAAATTAAATAATTATACTAAAAATATTACAATAATTGTGATATATTTGTAATAATTGTGTGTAGGATATCCGGGTCAAGAGGGCAGTCCAGGATTAAAAGGAGAACAGGGAAAGCCCGGCGAACGCGGTCCAACAGGAAGACCGGTATGATTTTGAAAGTAACCTGTGGGCTATTACCAATATATCGTTGATGGCTAGCTGAAATAAACGGGAATGATAAAATTAATATTCATAGTAAAGAAAATAATTAATTTTTACAGGCATCGCCCGGTGTGAAAGGAGATCACGGAGACCCAGGCCTAAGTATTTTAGAAGGAGAAATTGGTGATCCCGGTCCTCAAGGAGAAAAGGGTGAACCTGGAGACATAGGGTATGAATTGCAAAGAAAAATAATAATAAGGAATACATAATGCAACAAGTAAAAGTTGAAATGAACAAACAAGAAAATGTTCTTAATACCTATTTAGTACTAATAGTTGTACTTAACTATTCTTTGAGGAACTATATGTTTCATTAAATATATATATTTGTATGCATTTTTTTTAAAACAATTTTATAGAACTAGGTAATTATTTAAAATTAAAAACTCTACGCGAGTTAGATAGATTTTAAATTCAACACTTAAAATTACCTCTATATTTTTATTGAGAAAGTTTTAGGACGGTCCAAAATTATTTTTAATTTAACTACAACAAAAAATCAAAATCAAAAATAACGGAAACTTTAAATTGTGTAAATTGTCTCGTTTATCCCAAGGGGTTTTCCCGGTTTTATTTAATTATTTAGAAAACTACTAAGAGTATCAAAAAATTACCTCCACGTGAGGTGCTAAGTAGATATAATTGTCTTTTACAAAATATACTACACTAGATGCACGAAGCAAGATTTCCGGTAGAAAAATTGTTAAAAGAAAAAAGCTGAAAAACAATGGCAGTTCACAGGAAAAGAAAGACTGTAATAGGTTTTTTACTAATAGGTACCTACAATTCGTACATTTCCCAATTATTGGGAAAACCCCTGGAAAAATACAACATTTACTTCTTTAAAGTACCATGTACCAGGTGATCCATTTGAGTGGGTACACTTATTATTTCGGAAAGTATAAACTTTTTCCGGAATTTGTTCCCTAGAACATTTAAGAAACAAATTATTGTACAATTTTATGTTATTTTTTGTTACCCTTAATTTTGGGGGTAAAACCACTACCTTTTCTTTTGATTTTAGAATGGCAACCTGTATTAAAAATTCCATCAATAGATGGAGTATTAGTTCAAATAAATTTTAGTGTTGAAATGTTTGATGCCCGTCGATCCGTTAACGAGATATTCCACTCTTAAGTTTGGGTTGGAGTATCATTTGTGTTGCGGTACGGTGCGTAACATGTTAATAATGCACCACTACTTTCCTCCAACCGTAGGTAGGTAGCACCATTAGACTACCACAAACATAAAAAAATTGACAATATAGAGTTATTTATCATAACATAATATAATATCTGCATAATGCCTATCAGAACTTCAAAAAGCTATAATTTTGAAGTCAATTCGTTCAGTTCTGACTTCACCATCGGTAAAATACATAATATATTCAAAACAAAAAATTGAAATATTAGATTTGTTCCATACAATTGTTTACTCAAATAAATTTCGTCAAAATTCGATATTAAAGTGAATTTATAAAAAAAAAAAAAATACTACATTAAACTCAATTTTTTTTTTTTTTACTACAAAGTAAGAATTTTTTTAGTGAACCTTATGTTAAATTGTCAAGCATTTCTGTTAATTCTAACAATTTTACCATACACTATCTACCGAATGAAAATTACGTAAACAACTTGCAAAATTAAAATGTCTATAAATAACTCAGAAATGAATTAAATACTTCCAAAATTGTATCATATCTAGAAAAGGCAAATATAAGTTTTCTGTCTAAATTGCTTGTCTCTACGAATATTTTTAATTGAATTACAACCAATAACAAAATTGAAAAAAATAATAAAATCATTGTTTTCATAAATCTCCCGTTTTTCTTACTTTTTATCCTGGTTTTTCCCAGGTATAATGAAAATCACGAGAAAATCAAAAAACGATCTCCCAATAGTATCATCTGGACAATATTTCCTTTCAGAAATGGTGCCGAGCGTTTATATCGGAGCATGATTTGTGGTGGATTTTTTGTACAAAAATGAAATAAATAATCATTTTTGTAAAACCAAAACATTCCTCGTTGCTCTCACAATCTAAAATGCATCATAATAAAACTAATATAATATATTCTGTGTTACGCTAGGAATCTGAAAACCCAAATAATTTATTTATAAATTAAAACTATGAAATTATGTTATTTGTGTAGGTGGCTCTTGGTAAATCAAAATTGTGTTCTACCTAATCACATACATAATTACTTACGTTATAATTTATTACGGCCGGTACGAATTTTTAAATAAGAACAAAATATGAAGCATGTTTTATAATAACTCAAGTACTTAGTCGAAAACGACTAACTATATTAACTATTGTAAAACAACACGGAACAATTTTAATTTTTACAATCCATTTGCAATCTAATAACAATGTTTTCTGAATTTGTTTACAGACTTAGCGGAATTGATGGATATCCTGGTGATGACGGACTACCGGGTCTAAAAGGATATAAAGGCAGTCCCGGTTTTACGGGTCCGCAGGGAAAAAAGGTTATAAAATATGTTTTGTATAAATTTAAACACGAATCAATTAGAAAATTATGGAATTTTCAACATTAATAAATCGTTATTAAATAACGTGACAAAAAAAATTTAAAAATTTAAAAATAATAATAATATTACTTTTGTTCGCTTTATTGACGTATTATAATCATTCGTACGTAGAGTTTTAAAAAATTAAATACTATATTACTAACAGATATTAATATTTATTTAAATATATTACTTTATTATTGTTCGTTCTTTTCAAAAATAAATAATTTTAGGGACTAGCTGGGGAACGCGGGGTTACAATAAGAGGTCCAGCTGGATTACCAGGAGCACCCGGATTAGTCGGTTTACCGGGTGAATTTGGTTCACCGGGTCCTAGTGGTATGTACAAAATCGATCATTTTTTTATTATTATTATAATTTAAATGTCACTGTTTGAATTTGTGTAGGAATTGACGGAGAATCCGGTGGAGAAGGACCTAAAGGCTCGAAAGGAGACCAAGGATTAGAAGGTATGTTCAAACGATCTTATACACATTCAAACATTTTGAAAAACTATTTATTTATAATATTATTGCTTCATACATAGTGTTTTTTCGAGATATTATCATAGGGCTACATTTTTAATTCACTCGAGAAGCTCATTTATGATATTTTTTCTTTCGTTTTAACAAATTTTTTCGTTTGAATACGTGCCGAATACTCGAGTGGTTTACTTTTTATTAGCGAGAGCTATTTATAATGTTTGTGGTTTATTTCGTAATATATATAGTTTTATGAAATCGATACAAAAATTCATTATTGCAAATGAAATATTTTGTTATTTTTATATTTACAGGGCCGAGAGGAGAAGAAGGTAACACTGGACCACCCGGTTTACCGGGAAGAATAGGTTTGATGGGAAAATTAGGTAAGTGAATTAACACTTTATAGTAATAATAAAATAATTTTTATTTTATGTTTTCCAATTTTGTAAGCAATTTAATATTTATCTCTCATTCTATCTATCTATTAATTTATCTAAAACACATTATTATGATTTCCTTACTAGTTATAACACTCATTAGGTTTTTTTTCTAATTCATTTTTATTAATAATACTCGTAATATAGGTTTTTTTTTTTTTCTTTAAACACTTCCGTAATTAAATATCAAAAAACTTGTAGATGTTTTTATTTTTCTTGAAAATCAATTTTTATTAGCTTTTGCAATATTGTTGTTTTTTTAATTTTCAGGTGATTTTGGCAAACCCGGTGATTACGGCGATGACGGACCTCCGGGTAAATAAAAAATAATATAACACATTAATATGAAATCTGTGTTACTTTTTTATTTTTATTTTTTTTTTTTTTTGTATTATATGATAACATACATGGTTATATTTCAATTTTTTGTTATACATTTTAGGATCACAAGGACTCCCAGGGAACGTGGGATCTATCGGTCCCCTTGGAGACAAAGGAAGTATGTTTAAACTTATTATACGAAAATAAAATAAAAAGAGATTTTGAAAATGTTGTTTTTTTATTTCATTTTGAATAAAAACATTATTGCCGTTAAAAAATGAATTTATTTTTGTTTAGACCGTGGAGATTTTGGAGGCGTAGGATATCCAGGGTTACCGGGAATTTTGGGCGATAAGGTATAAACGTTACATAATAATATAATATGCATTGGAGATTAAGCCCCAAAATCGAAAAATAAAATTCATCGTATTTGTTTTTTCATAGGGAATAACTGGTGAACAAGGTTATCCTGGACTTCCTGGTGCAAGAGGAGATTATTCGTTTAGCGGCCCTCAAGGAGAGACTGGTGCTCCTGGTACACATGCTTTTTACATTATATACATATATATATATATTAAGATATTATAAACGATATTAACTCACAATTTTTTTTTTTTTTTTAATCCGGTCGTTTTGCAGGAAAACTCGGTGATATCGGTCCTATTGGTTATCCTGGATTAGACGGTGAAAAGGGTGTGGCCGGAGAAAATGGAACAATCGGTTTTGGGGAAGATGGTGAAAAAGGTACAGTTATATTATTATACATTTGTTGAACACCTACCGTTTATCGAAGTATATAATACGAGAATTTCACTAGTCAGAGTTGAGACGCAGATAAGTAAAATTAATCTAAATAAAGATAACGGACGATTGTTTCAAAATCAACTAGATACAGGGGTAATGACAAACAATATCTGTAAAAAATACCTGAAAAATATTAAAATTGTTCCATACAGAAATGATAATATCTGATAAGTGGAATTTATTTAAAGGAAATAGATTTTATTATTTTTTTTAAACTTATTGTCTATTGTTCACAACATTATTGTGTCGGGGAGATGAACATTTAAACGGATAAAATAATTCCTTGAAATGCACTAATAGTGTAATTCAATAGCGTTTTACCACTAACGCAGTAAAAATATTTTCTGGATAAGTCTCAGCACTGACAATAATATATTATAATTATTAACTCGACGTAGTCAACGGTTTTATAAAAGGCTACCGAAACGAAATTTTTGAACATTAACATCTATAATTTTGAATTGTTTTGATGCACACAGGGTCTAAAGGAGAACCTGGATTCGATGGTAAACCCGGGCAACCAGGACGAATGGTAATATATATATTATATTATTTTGCGTTGGCCAACAATATTGTTAAAAGATATTAGTCACACGCATCGGGTACAGTAGCGTATTTACGACTTCCTATTGGGGATGATATCGAATAAAAACAATTTGAAATCGGAGCAGGGAATCTCTGTCATTCACTTGTTTGTGTTCCAACATTTACGTTTAGTCCTCCAAATATTGTTTACCGAGGTACTTTACAATGCTGCGATAAATGGTACGGTAACAACACGGTCAAGGTTATGTATGGCTCAATTTATCGTTACCATACCATTTCTTGCAAAAGAGGTTCAACTAACAATGACATTTTATTATATATTTTTTTAAAGGGTATCTATCATTTCATGAATCCTCTTGATTAAATTTATCTTTTACCAGAAATTATAGAATTTTTAGGAGGATGCCAGAGCCAAATACTTTTTAGGAAAAAGAAATTCGAATCAAAAAAAAAAAAAAAATTCTTTAGGGGAGGTAATATACCACCCATCATATTACCGCCTGTGTAATACACCACTAATCGATTAAAAGTACAATAAATATTGTCTCTTGAACATTTTTATTCAAAGTTCATATTTTTTGTTGAAACACAATAATTTATTACGAATCGATATTATAATTTATATAAATGTTCGTGATTTACGCAATCCCGTATATTACATTTATAAAAGTGTAGTATAAAATATAATATAAATATACCTTAATGATGTATCATGATAAAATTTTTATTTTTTTTTTTTTTTTTTTTTTTAGGGTTTAATGGGAGACCTTGGGCATGTAGGACTAACAGGTAAGACGTTATTAATTTAGATTGAGTATTTAAGTTTATAAAATCTATTTACCATCAGTATGTTTTAAACAAATTAAATTACATTATTTTAAGACTTTTTAGAAATGCCTATCGCTACTTTAACAACCAAACAATTTTTTTTTCGCCTATTTAACGTGGACAATTAAATAGCCATTTATTTTGTTTACATAAAAAACGCTTGCAATTGGTTTTCAATGGTTTTATCGATTTTCCTTGCATTTCAGTTATTTATCAAAGAGATGGGGAACTATTATTATCAATTATTAGAATATTATAACTAAATGCATTTTCATCTTAAAGGAATATCTTTTTAATGGAATTTTATAATTTTGGTACAATATCGTCGTTATTTCATAATCCATGTATTTACAAGTATGTATTATAGAAGCTTTATATTTCATTAATATTTTAAAAACAAATAGGAATTATTATATAAATATTTCTTCATTCTTCAGAACACATTTCTGTATTTTTAATATGTAATTGTTGATCATTTAAAACCGAAAACGAAATGTGTAAAACACTTCGCAACCCTGGACGTAACGTTACCATACAGTATTCTTGAGCATATGCATACATTTTTCAAATCAAATTATAGTCATTTGCATTTTTGAACGATTACCCTACGTGGACACATATTACAATATTTTGTCCATGAATAACATTTTTAAATTGTTTTCTATTAGGTATTCATGGAGACAGCGGTCCAAAAGGTTACCCGGGTTCGAAAGGACGATCGGGAGCATCAGGTATTGCAAACCGACAAAGACATAAAATATTGCGAACTTATTAATCTAAAAAAAATATACTGATTTGTTTTATTTTGTTGAAATTTAGGACCACAAGGACCTCCAGGAAAGACCGGTGAACCCGGTTTAGATGGTTTGAAAGGTGATCGCGGAGACGACGGTATTCCGGGTGAAATCGCTACACCAGGTATAGTATTATTATTAACATAATTGTTACAATACATTTTGTGCAATGCGCTTAAACCGTAAACTTTTACGTAAAATTCGATAATATATTGTCCGTATTATATCGCTGAAAATTCATAATATTTAAAATGTTACAATGATCACGGAATCCATTGAAATAAACTAGATTTTTCGAAAATACATTGAGAACCGAAAATTCTATTATTTTTTTTTCTTTTTACATACGAAATCTATAAGAATAATGATTTTTTTAACTAACGAATTGAACAAACAATTAATATTAAACTTTAAATAGCCTACATCTACTTCATACTTCGGGTATGCCATATTATCACTATAATAGATTGGAAAAGTTGGCAAAGTAAGATACGTATTAGGTAACTTTATTTTTTTTTACACTACAATAAATACTATTATTACTACCCTATGAACAATAATTCTGAAAAAAGTTCGAAAAAATATATTTTGATAAACTTAAATTAAAAAATGATTTTTAACAATAAAGTATATTAAAATAATTGTCCGTGTTTATTTCATTTCGGATTTTCGAACATTTTTACGTAGCCAAAAATATTATAACCATATAAAGTCAAATATTTAAACTTAGAAACCTTTCACATTTCAAATAGGTACTTATAAACAAATCACCGAACACCAGAATTTTTCGAAAATTGAACAACATCTGGCAAGTGGTGATATAGATTTTGTTAAGCGGCGCTCTTTGGATTTTAAAGATTTGCGTTCATTTAACTCCTTTATTGTTCTTTAGTTAGATCCATTTTAAAATAAGGATCGCCTTTTTGTAGTCCGTATTCAAAATTAGTCGTTCATTTCATTGAGTGCGTCCAAAACTCTTTCTTGAGAGTTATCGCTTTTAAATTCAATATAAATATTAATAACCATGAGTATACGCAAGTCAAGTCCTTTTTAGATATTCCAACTTTTGCTTCTGGACGTGATTTATTTTTCACGTTTATTATTCTCATTTATTTATATTTATTTTATTCTGGACGGGATATTTCTTTGTTTATAAATTAGTCAATGGTAAAATTGATGCTCCAGATTTATTAAGTAGTATTCATTTTAACGTTCCAGCTTACAATAACCGTTCAACCTCTCTGTTTTATGTACCAATATACAGTACAAACTATTTGAAATACTCCCCTATTCCGAAGGCGATGGCTTTATGTAATTAACTTTCAACAAATGCGGATTTTTTTCTTTACCTGTACCTAAATATTGATTTGTGATACTGAGTAATACAAAACGTCTCTTTATTTTAATTTAGTTTATTATCTCTTAATATATAATTTCTAAATGTTCTTTGTACTATTAGGCTTTTAATCCCGTTTTATTCTTCTTTTGAATAAATTATTATTATCACATTATACGTATTCGGTAAATATGTCTGGTCTCATAGTCTTCAATTATTGATTTTAAAATGCATGTGTAAAAACAACAGCCTTATCGTAAATATTATTTAAATGTTCATTTTTTTTTTTTTTTTAACAGGATTGCCAGGAGATCTGGGACCCAGTGGTCAATACGGCCCATCGGGACCCAAAGGACCCAAAGGTAATTTCGTTTTATTTATGATTCATATATTTAAAAATTTTAATATAATTTATAATTATTGAATTTATGCGAATATAAACTCAATGTATTGGTCTGTCTAAATAAAAATGTTAACATTATCGGTTAATTATATTTATTTTTCGTTCATTATATCATAGATAATAATATAATTATTTGTTTATTCTTTATATTTTTAAGGGGCGATTGGAGACCCAGGGTACGAAGGATTTATAATCGGAACAAGTGGAGAAGAGGGAGAAAGAGGTAATATAATAATTACCTGTTAAAATATAAATTTCAAAAATGTTTTTTTTTAAAAAAAAATAAATAATTTAGGTTATACTCCGCCAAGAGGTTATCCGGGTGAATCCGGACAACCGGGATTAGAAGGAGCCAACGGAGCTAAAGTAAGATAACAATGTTATTATAAAATATTGTATTCATTTCAATATGAGTACTTGATTTTCGCTGTGTGATTATAGATTTTTGTATTTATAAAAAACAGTTTTAATATTTTTGTAATTTTATTTTATCATTTTTTTTTTTTTCGTTAATTGCAAAACAACAATGAAAAAAAAAATATCTTCCAATTAAACATAATTCTATATTTTGCGCGTGTCTTTGTAAAATTTAGTGTAATATTATAATGATTATGACGACCATAAAATATCAATTATTTGTTCGTTTGTTCTAATAATGTGATAATAATCATCGTGCAATAATATTCAATTGATATTAAATATTTTCTGATTAAATATTTTACGTTCAAAATTAACAGGGTGAAAAAGGATTGCCGGGATTCAATGGTCTTACCGGATTTCCTGGTGAACCCGGATTGAAAGGTTTTGAAGGTGAAGTTGGTCTGCAAGGTTTGCCAGGTATGTACTAAATCCGTGCACAAATTTAATAGTTTTTCTTCTTATTTATAAGAATAGCTTTTAGTAACTTTTAGTCAAATATGAATAAATTCTTGATTGAAATTAATGAAAAATTATAACAGACATTTGTTCAACGTTGGTGTTTCCGTATTGATTATCATAATATTCGTATATTATTATAGATATTCAAAAAAAAAAAATAGAACACAATTTAAAAATAATTACCAATATCTCTAAAACCTAATAGTATTCCATTATGACGTGTTTGTTGCAATAAATACATTTTTTTTTTTTTTATACAATTTTTTCGTAGGTTTTCCGGGTTTTAATGCAGAACATGGAGATAGGGGAAAGAGTGGAACAGACGGTGTTAGCGGATTGTAAGTTACATGAAATTATCATAATCGAGCCAAATTATTTGTAATTATTTTTAAATTATTCTTATTTTTTTAGGCCAGGAATTGCAGGACAAAAAGGTGCACCTGGACCTTTCGGTGATAGCGGGGTTTGTATATTTATATACTATTATTACAAATTATTGTCAGAAATACAACATTATAGGGTATTAGTGATGGTTTTCGAAATGTTTTTCAATATTTTAAAATTTTGTTTTTGTATTTTAATTTCAACCTTAATATGATAAAACTTTTTTAAAAATCTACTATGCAATACTAATTAAAGGGAAATGCAATGGGACTTTTTCATGAGCATCACTGACTTGACACAAAAGACATTCTCCCCCGTTCTTTTCTAATCTAGCTAAAAAAATTAGTTAGATATATGAATATATTAGAAGGCCTAACATAAGGCCAATCAAAGATAGGCTTGCTAGCGTATGTAGATGACATTTTGACAACATGGAGATAGTGAAAGTACACTGTAAGAAACTAATGAAGGCTGTGTGTTAAGCCGTGATATAATAATAAATTACAAAAAAAAAACAGAATATATGGAACTTGTCAGAGGGATTAGAATAGGGGATATGGTATAGAATATACTAAAGAAATATCTTTTACAGCGTGCTAAAATTTAAGTACTTAAGAGTTCTTTTAACTAAACACAATGAGTTAAAAACTGAAATTTTTAGAAAAATACAATACAATGTATTGGCAAACTAGTGTTATTTTGGAGTTGGAACTTTCCTAAAATCCAGATCGATTTTTGTAAACATCCAAATTAAAATATATATGACGTTAATACATATCATTTTTTATTACTCGGAAACACAGACATTAAGAAAGACAGTTAATAATATTAAACATTTTTGAAATAAAAGTACTAAGATGAATCAATAACCAATTTTTTGACCTAAGTATGGAGTAAGTAAGAACGAAGTATACGGAACAACGAGGAGTTTCAACACATGTTTCAAAGACCGTGAAAAGGGTTCAAAGGAATCTCAAAAAGAGGGTCCTCAAAGGTCTGTTAAGAAAAAGACCGTCTTAGATAAGAGGACTGTATGAAAATAGACGTTAAAGCAGTAGATCCAAAAACCAACTGGAGGGAAATAGCTAAGAACAGAGAGAGGTGGAGGAAAATTTGTTGTACGAAAAGATTTTAAAAACCAAACTCACAGAAAAAAGTTCCAATCAACTCGATAATAATATTGTTAAAATGATGTATTCGCATATAAGTTTTTTATTTTTTTTTTTTATTAGGTGCCTCGATAAAAAAAATTGTAGTGTTGAATATCAGCGTATTGTCTCATTTTAATTTCGAATCTGACTTGTTAATTCATAATTTTTTTATTTTTCAGGTTCAAGGGGATGAAGGACCCGCCGGGTTTAGTCCAAAGGGAATCAAAGGAAAATCGGGTCCAAGAGGTTTGATTTTTTTTATTCCGTAAAGTTAATAATTAAAGAAGTATACCTGTCTATTTTCGTCAATATTTTAAACGTTTCAAAGAAACCGAATGACTCGAAATTTTTTTTTACATTGTGCCCCATGGAGATATAACCATCTCCTATGAAAATAAAAATAATTAAATTCTGTATTTTTTTTGTATACATACTACCTGTTACTCACATAGATAAGATTTACAAATTTTCATACTTATAATAAATTTTTATATTTTGGTAAAAAATTTTAAAGAAACTTTATATTCTATTATTTTCAAAAAATTTAAAGGGAGATATTTTATACAGTTTACCATTCTGAAAAGTGTGAAGTGCCAATGTGTCAATGTGACTTATTTTCATTTAATTCGTGATTTTTATAATTGTTTAGAGTTTCATTATTATTTCGATCATGTAACCTACCAATGATTATAAAATGTCCATTTTCAAATTTGCCGAAAATAATAAAATAAAAAGTTGTTTTTTTAATTTGTATGGTCTATATCTTTGTGAGCAATATTTGCGTAAAATTATCTTTACGTATTATATCAGAAAATATTTCCAATGGGTATATCTTTGTGAGATTGTCTGAATAAATTTGCACGTACAATTTATTGAATATTAAAATAATCAACATGAAACTAACAATTTAATGTTCAGTCGATTTTGATTGATTCTAAATTCTAATTTCAGTGATACCTTGCTCTGCGTAGAATATTATTAATACGAAAAATTACACTGAAATTAAACGCAATGTTTTAAACCACGAAAGTTTTGATCTAAACGAACACGAACGCTTGTATATAGTACTTAAAAGAGTGACCGTAGGTTTGCGAATAGCGATGCATTAGACGTATACCCCTTATTAGAAAAGTCAATAGTTCAACTAAAGTTAACTTTAGATTCGGAGTGTATCGAGGAATGTACTGGTTTTACTATGATGTGTGTTATTTATTTTTTTTTTTCTGTCTGTGAATAAGTTTTCTGCCAGAAATTTTGCTCTGAAAATATATCAGGTGCAGCACCATTTCTGAAATATAATTGTATCGAGTTAGTACATTGGAGAAGACATCTTTTGATTTTCTAAAAGGTTAAAAGGGAATATAATAAAAAAGATGGACATACTTCGCACGATGAGTGGCCACTGTTGTAGGCAAAACGTTGGGAAGGTAGGATATAGAGAGGAATTTAATGTATTTTTGTATGATTGACTAATAATTGCTAACAAAAACGATTCTGAATACAATTTGGTTATGTATGCATGATTTAAAAGACCATAATATTATTTACAATTATTATCAAAATTTGATATTCAAATTCATATACAAATAGTATACTACATTAAACTCAACTTTTTCTTGTTGATCACTAAGTACACCTTATAATGAATCTCCTGTTAAATTTTCAAACATTTCTGTTTAGTCTAACAATTTTATCCACAGAGTACCAACTAGATAAAAATATTACGTAAAAAAACTAGCAAAATTTAAATTTCTATAAATAGCTCAAAAATAGCCCAAGTTTTTTGATCATTTTACCGTGTCTAGAAAAACAAATATAAGTTTTTATCAAAGTTTTAGATGTCAACGAATATTTAACTGAATTATAACAAAAAAACAAAATTGAAAATAATAAAAGCATAATTTTCGTACATTTCCTTGTTTTTTTTTTCTATATTTTTCCGGTTTTTCCTAGTTATCATAAAAACTGCTTGGATAATCAAAAATGATATTTCTTTTTTTCCAACTATATTAAAAATTCAACATAAATGGTTTCTTGTCGGCTTTTTATCGGAGCTATATTTCTGGTAGAAAACATATCAGTGTAAAACTTTAAAATAATTAAATTATACCGACTGTAAATTTTTCATTTTATATTGAGTATATTCGTCTTTTTAGGGTTTTCCCAAAAAATATAAAAACATCTCAGAAAATTAAAAAATAACTATCTCCTTGAGTAACTAGAATTGCATTAAAAAGAGGTCAAAAAAGGTCACTTGTCATTTTTTGATTGAAGCAAGATTTGTAGAATAAAACATCATAAGTTACAAAAATAAAAAACATGAAATCGTTACGTCATAACTTGAAAAAAAAAAACTTTTTTTTTAATAGTTGTTAGTTTGAGAAATTATTACTTTCTCTGTAAGTGGCTATACATTAAAAGGAACAAAATTGATATGTTTTTTGAATTGGAGCAATATTTCAAGTAAAAAATTTAGTTTGTGAAGATTATAAAATATTTAAACCGGGAGGCGTAAATATTTGCCGTTCTACCTATTTCAGGTTTTTCCCAATTATTTTGAAAACCATTTAGAAAATCTAGAATAAACGTCCACCCCGTTGCACCAATTAGAGAAAATTTCCTTTCAAAAATGGTGCTACACTTGATATTTCAGAGCAAGATTTCTGGTAGAAAACTTGTTGATAGGCAAAAAAAAATTAATAAATTAAAAACACAGATCATAGTTATACCAATAAATCCCTTTTTACGCTTCATATCTAAAAAAATTAAACATCATTGTAAAACCAATACATTCCTTTGCTCAGAATCTAAAATAGACATTAAATAATATTGTTATATTGGTGTTTTTCTAGCGATCCAGAATATTATAATCATAATACAAGCACGTTTATTATTGTTATTTTCTCGTATACAGGTATATCCATCCAAGGCGATCCCGGTATAGACGGTTTACTTGGATTTAATGGAAAACCTGGTAGAATTGGCCAGAAGGGTTTGAAAGGTGAACCGGGCCTCGCACAATACGGGTACCTATCTATAATAAATTCAATATTGTTATTTGTTTTTCAAAACGTATCTACAATTAGAATTATTTTAAATTAACACGATATTTATTTTAATTGTTTGTTTTCGTGTAGCGTAAAAGGGGACACGGGTGATGTGGGCTTTGATGGTTTCGAAGGATTACCCGGCGAAAAGGGTGCCATCGGAGAAATTGGATTCGAAGGACTTCCGGGTATGCGTATTGACATTGTTATTGCCGATTATTTCTAATTTTATTATAATAAATATACGACATATTTAAGTAAAAAAGGAAGAAATTATATTTATACATATCTGTATACTTTTGTTTTTGTTATTGCATGTTCAAGGTGCTCCCGGTTTAAATGGTGTGCCAGGTATGCCCGGAAACCCTGGGCCTCCTGGATTTACAGGATTTTCCGGTCCAAAAGTAAGTATAATTTGTTGAATATCCATGAAATATAATATTAAACTGAGTTATATTACATAATATGTAAACACGTAATATCGGTTAATTCCGTCACTTTTTAAATTGTTATTATAATCAAATAGAACTTTTCACGAAATATTTTCTCCGTAAATTGATAAATATTATTAGTGTTGAATAAAAAGTTTTGAATGTGTGTTTTTTTTAGGGTTTAAAGGGAGCATCAGGGGAACCAGGTTATTGGATTGATCAAATAAAAGGATCGATGGGTGATAGAGGATACCCAGGACCACAGGGTGAGTCCAATTAAAATTAATTACGGTTTTTAAAAAGCAAACATTTACACTTGAATTTGGATACCTGTTGTATAAAAATCTAAACAAATATTTACAATAATATAGGATTGCCTGGACCACCTGGACCGGATGGATTCCGTGGACTCGATGGTCTTCAGGGAGAACGTGGAGAAGATGGCTTCCCAGGCCTACGTGGAAGAACAGGTAAATTCATCGTCCTTCTTATTATTCTTGTTACATATACTTAACTGTCAATTAATGATTTTTTAGGTCCACAAGGTTTCAAAGGAAAATCTGGAACATTAGGATATCCAGGAAGACCTGGTCAGGAAGGATATCCCGGTATAATTATTTCACAGTATTTTTTTTTTTTTTATAAAAATTCTATGTTTATAAATATGATAACGGTTATCAAACTATTATGTTACGAATAAGGTCCACCTGGAGCACCAGGTATTCCTGCTCCAGTAGGAAAACCACCACCAAATCGTGGTAATTTCTTTACGTATCATTCTCAAACTGACATTGTACCCACTTGTCCAAAGAACACCGTACAACTTTGGTCTGGATATTCGTTATTGCACTTTATGGGCAACGCCAAGGCACACGGACAAGATTTAGGTACATGAATATATTATCATCATATAATTTTCCACTAGTCGATTATAAAATAAAATATTGACTTTTGTAATTTTAAGGTACACCGGGAAGTTGTTTGCAAAGATTCAACACCATACCGTTCATGTTCTGTGACCTGAACGAAGTGTGCAACTACGCGAGTAGAAACGATTACAGTTATTGGCTGAGCACTCCTGAACCTATGCCAATTATGATGACACCAATCCTGGGTTCGGATATTTCAAGATACATATCGAGGTGAGTATATTATTATTTTTGTAAAACCTGTATAAAACGTAATCATTTATTACATTATTATATTATTACGTTTCAAAGATGTTCTGTTTGCGAAGCTCCAACGAGAGTAATTGCTGTGCACAGTCAATCCGTAGCGATACCCGATTGTCCGACAGGTTGGAGCGAATTGTGGATTGGATACAGTTTCATAATGGTAATTTAAATATATATATATATATAAATATTTTTATACATTTTCGAGTAATAAAATAAACGATACAAACCGGTGACAAAGTATATTTAAATTTAATTGGAAAATATATAAATAAAAAACAATTTTACAATCGTTTAATATGTCCGTTTAAAACGTCCACTACTCCGATGTATCTAATAATTGTATTTACTCGATTCGTGATATATTATTTTGACGCGATAAAATTCAAAAGAGAAACCTATTCGGGAATTGTTCACCCATGTTAAATCCCGTACACTAGCCGTTTCCAATTCCATACGTAATTCGATAACTATTATAATATTTAGTATACTATGCGAATCAAGCGCGGTCGGTGTACAAATTACTATAGATAATATTAATCGGGAAAGTAGAGCACATTTTGTCGCGAACCTGTTTCTGCTCCTTCTCCGACTTTTATTCGAACGAACTATTCATGTCTGTGGCCGCCTCTGCTACCCCATTCCACTGATACTATTTATTGCCATGCCGATGTTGACTGTGGAATTTATTTTTGACAAATATCTTTTCATCGTGCCGGTCCATCTTTGGTGCGATCTCTCAATAGATCGATTTCCATTAGGCTTTTCAATCACAACTATCCTCGATGCCTAAAGGCTGTTTTTCTTCCCGCGCCTTTCGATAGCATTTGCTTATTCTGATTCAAATTGCAGACTGTAAATAAATTCGTACGTGTTTTTATAATGAAATAAAAACGTTCATAATGAGGCATCCTTCTACTCTGCCGTGCACGATCCGCTCATTATAATATTGTACTATTTGAAAACTAGCAAATATTTAGAATGCTACCTATTGAATCTTTGTCTTTTCCTTTATTTTTTCTATCGAACGGTCCTGAAACCACATTGAACATTGGTGCATAGAATTTTTCTTCCGAAGTTTCGAAGAATATAATTGATATTGTAAAATACTTGCGTAGAAAATTGGACATGAATTATATACTTATTTTTGATTTTGACTTTCTAGCACACTGATTCCGGTGCTCAGGGCGGCGGTCAATCGTTAATTAGTCCAGGATCATGTCTGGAGGACTTCAGACCGAGACCGTTTATTGAATGTCACGGATTAGGACGTTGTAACTTCTTCACCACGGCGTATTCGTATTGGTTGTCGACCATCGAGGACCGAGACATGTTCAGAAAACCACGACCACAGACGCTCAAAGAGAACTCGCTGAAAACGCGCATCAGCCGGTGCGCGGTGTGCTTGAGAAATCGGCCCGGGCAATATTGATTATATTTAGTTTTTCCACATAGAAAATATTATTATTATTTTATTATTATAACTATTTTTGTTTTCTTTATTTAAATAATACAATATTCTATTTAAGTTACATATACTCGTTACACACAAAACCAAAGCGCTCTTCGTATTTCGATTTGTTTCTTATTTTTACTATAATGTAATTTATATAATATTCATAAAGCTTATAGTCAAGGACGAGTCATTAGTCATTTACGTTTATAGAAATATAATATTATTATTGTATATATTCATGTTAAATATGATTATATACGACAATAATTATGTAGAGAATTATTTTCGGTTACAATATTTTCTATAATATAATATATTATGATAAAATTATTAATTAGTTAATTATTATTACTAAAAATATAATATTATTGTTTGGTATTAATTATACGAAAAAAAAAAAAAAAAATATATAAGAAATTATATCAATATAATCGATAATGTGATGTTAAGGACATTTTTATGAAATTATTTTATGATTGTACAATATTTCAATGATTAATAAATAAATAATTTAATTACACATTTATTATATTTTTAAACGCAAAATCATTTCGGCTATTTGATATTTAATAATTTCTTACGATTTAAACATTATTTCTCAAATGCTATTTATTATAATTAACCATATAGTTTAAAACACTACTGGAATATTCAAATATTGTATTCTTATTGAGTTTCGACTACTTATTTAAAGGCACCTATATAATGAATTATTTGAAATCAGTTTCATAAAGTATACATATCCTGTTGATAATTTTCGTCTGATTTTAACAAGACATGTGGTCTGCAAAGAATTTTGAAAAACCCGTTATGTTGTTATTTTAAATTCTAAGCAGAGCGAGGAATGTATTGGTTTCACAATGATGTTTATTTTTATTTTATTTTTTTTTCTGTGAACAACTTTTCTACCATTTGATTTGCTCCAATTTATGATAATAGCAGTTTTTCTAAAAGGAAATTTACTAGGGAGGTACTTTGGAGAGGTTATTTTTTGAGTTTTTTCAACAAATTTGAGAAACCGAAAAAAAACTTCGGAGAAAACGGGAAAATATACGAAATATATTAATAAAATATTGCGGCCTTCTTTATTTTCTGCGCGGTAGTTCTTTACCTTCTATTAAATACTAATTGGTTTCACGCCTATTTTCTAAAAATTAAAACGGCTATAATTAAGAAACTATTAATCGAATATGTATGTATAATACATTACAGTTTTAAGAATAATATTTTTTACAAAATGCTGTTTTGAAAATTTTCTTTTGCGTTTAGGGAATGAAAATGAAAATTTAATTTTTCTCTTAATCGATGTTTTCCTCAAAGAAAAACTGATTGAAAAAAAAATCGAAAAAAATTTTACATTTACAACACTAAAAAAATACGTCGAACACCATGGGTCACACTGTAGCCACATGAAATACGTATAGTATATCGTCTAATTACCCGGGTTGTGTGGAAATGCGACGTATTCTCGGGTGATCGCGCGGCTTCCCAGAAGAGAGTCCATTCCACAAATTATTTAGACGTTTTTGTTTAATTTCTGTGCAAATATCAGAAAAAAACAAATAGGTATATATACTTGCACAGAGTATAAAATGTGCCAAAACGATAGTTTCGAGGCCTACTTATAGCGTTTGGACTTAGAAGAAGTTGTTCAGTAGCCGTGTAAAGTTGGTCCAAATTTCGGTCTGCTGGACGTTAAAGCCGTATTTTTTCCGTGAACCGAGCGGCCAAAAAAACCACGTCCGCCGACCGGACGACGGCAAGCAAATATTCTGGTTAGGTGTCCATCCGTGGACGCACAGGTCGCGGCCTTCAGTGGCCGGCGAAGCAAGTTTTATACTTGGTGCTCCCTGCCGGCACCATATACCGACAACGAGAGATGATTCATACGGGTTTTGCTATACTGACGGCGGTATTCCGCAATTTAACACACTCTAGGCACAGAATAAAAACATGGATTTTCTCTCCCCTTTAGTAGAGCCATTTCTCCGTTTATCTTTTATCGACTATTTCCGCGATAAAGTTCAAGGATTTAACGATAAATTTGTATTATTTTAATGTCAAATTCCATCGTCGGTTTGTTAAGCCGAGAATAAATCTTACTAAATAAAAATTACATTAAAAAATCACATAATTTAAATGTCTATCAACAGCTCAACGATGGCTTCAATGATTTTAAAATCTGTCCACGTCTAGAATAGTCAAATATAAGTTTATGAATCAATTCAATGATTCTGATCCAAATTTTAAGTACATATTGGTACTACAAAAATGTTTAACGGCTATTTCATATAAGTACGAGTACATTAATGATGACACAATGAGCCATTTACATCTGTTCTTCCGGGGGCCATGATCACCTCTAACTCTCTTAATACGGGCTTCATATACTAAAATATATCTCATACTCATAGGATTGCACACGGAATGGCAGGACAGTTTTCTTTTAAAAACTGTAAAATTTCATTTAGGTATATTCAATTTGTAGTTTAATTAATGATACGAACAAATTTAAATATTCAATCCAGCTATACATTTTGGAAAGAAATTGGCGTAAACTTTCATCTCTTATTTTATTTTACTCCATTGAGAGTAAACTTAAAAAAAAATATCTGATACATGCGTTTCTTAATTTCTAACCAACATGTCAGGTACCAATTTGTATACATTTTACTAAATAAATTGCGGATTTTCATACAAATGTCCATCCCTTATTTTTCCCCTTAAAAGTGAAATATTTAAAAATTCTTCTCAAGCGGATACCTACATCATAAAAGCTATCTGTATGCTGAATTTCGACCTGATTCACCACTAGTTTAAGCTGTGCATTGATAAATCAATTAGCCAGTCAACTACGTTTTCCTTATATACAGAGGGTTCTATTCAAGTGGGTATACATATTATCTCGAAACGTATTAAATTTTTTCGATGATTCCATAATTTTCAAAACCAAAATTTATTTTAACTAGTACTCCATCTATTTATGAAATTTTTAATGTAGGTTACCATTTTAAAATCAATAGTAGGTAGTGGTTTCACCTATATTAATAAGAGTGACGAAAATATAACATAAATGTGAAATTGTAGAGCTGTTTGTTTCTTAAATGTTCTAAAACAAAAAAAAATCCGAAAGTAATTTATTTCATTCCGAGATAATGAATGTATAGATTAACGATAGATTGACCACTCTATCTATATAGATAATTTTATGATATTTTCGCATCCGGATATAATTTTTTTTTCCTATCGGCATTCTATTACTTAATATTTTCTATTATAGGGAACAAATAATGTCATACCCACGTAGGACACATCTCCACGTTGACGGCGGACGTGTTCGAGACGGGTATATGCGAATTATTGGTACCCGTTTGGCCGAATCGGCCACCGTTTAAAAACATGTATTTTATGAAAATGAGCCGAATATGTTCCCGTTTAAATTCGTAATCCATATTGTTGCGGGCGTGTTTTTAAACTCAGAGTCAGGTTTAAATCTAATGAGTAGACACGGTATTTATAAATATTTTTATTTAAAGTCGAAATACAATCGAACACTTTTTAATCTATTTACAAGTCTGTCTGGCGCAATAGTATTTGCGGACGGCAGTGCTCAGACTCGTCGTCTGAAAAGACGTTCTCAGCGGCCGGCACATAAACCGTGGGTCACCTTGGCTTGGCTAAAGACGTTCAGTCCGCGCATTTCGGCAACAACACGTTATCAAGTCGAAAACTCTGAGCGGAGTTCAGTTGATAAGTGATGCTCTGTCGTCGATATACGAGTATACGTCATATTATGGTAAAATAATTAAATAGGCGTTAAACATGTTCTTTAATAATATTTGTTTAACGTTGTACTTATTTTCCCGTTCTCCCAGTTTCCCCATGTTTTTTTTTCCCTTGTTTGTGCCATTTATTGAGAAAACTCCTGATAAAATCGAAAAACCACCTCCCGGAAGAAGTACCTTTCCAGTCAGATTTCGTTTCAAACTGTAACAACGGTACGCGCCCAATACACGGTAAATTGTCGGGGCAGAAAGAAAAAAAAAAACAAAACCGAAAAACCGCTATCTGTACGTGTATAACGTGTGTAGCCGCCGCGCTTCAGTAAAATTAACGCGCGAACGTGTTTGCTGTTAAAATCATATTATACCCACCTAACCTAACCGGTCTACTCGTGTGGCACATGGTACCATAACGTTATTGGCAATCATGATAAATAATGATTGTGATATCCGCGTCTCCGAATCGGGCACGCGCCGTAATACCGTGCAAATCGCGCCGAAATAATATCGCGATCGGATCATTATTACGATATATCGATATCGATACACTACGCGCGGCGTATAATAGTATATGTGTACGGGTATGTCCGATAAATCATTACTACTGTGATAGTACGATAGGTGTACAATATTACATATAAAACGCGGCGGCGCGTAGACAATAATAATAATAATAATAATAACACGATTTATTATTGTTATTATATTATTATTATTTTTTTTTTTTTTTTTTTTCTTGATAAAACATCGCGTCGGAAAAAGAGGGAAAATAACGCGGTTATATATATATTTTTTTTTTCTCTTTTAAATGTCTATATTTATATTTTCGCGCGCGCCTTCGGCTCAGTATATTGGAAAATCGCGGTCGGGACCGCCACCGATTGTCTAACCGGTTGTTGATTCAATCCGTCGCCGCCGCCGCCGCCTGAAAATATCGCCGCGCAGTCTCTCGGCACGATCGCCGCCGTCAGTTTTGGACCCGCGACAAAACGAACATAGTATCTTAAGTTTCATTTTCTTTTATCATCATTATTTATATTATTATTATTTTTATTATTAAATTGCAACGGTTTTAAATTAAATAACATGAAAGACGGAACGGCGTCGTTGGTGCGTTTACTCGGCACTTTGGTCGCCGTGTTGCCGGCAGCCAGGCCGCAGATTACCAGGCCGAACATCGTTTTCATTTTGGCCGACGATCTGGTAAGCGACTTAAAATAAACGAAAAAAAAAACCCCCCAACGACAAAAACGATTTAATTAAAAAACATATATTTTCCACCGTCGTGACTGACACTAATCGGGTCTAATGAAAAACCCCCGGCATTTCTCTTGTCATTGTTACGATTTTTATTTCTTTCCGTCGAGCGTTTTATTATATAGTCGAATGTAGTTAATGAAACTCAAAAAATCCCTAAGGTTTTTTCGTTTTCTTATTTTACGTTGACGTTTTATACGATTTCGTAAAATCATGGCCTTGGGTGTCGTACTCGATATCGAGTTTGTAGTTAGGTGTATCTATACTCATTTATTAGATAACAATTTAATTTATTTATGTGTTTTTATTATTTTTTTTTTTTTTAACTCGAGACTAGACATATTGGTAGGTACTTATATTTTTGTAGTACAGAAAAAAAAAATCGATTTTGAAACAGTATTTTTTTTTTTTTTTGTGCCATTCGTATAGTACACACTAAACGTGTTTATTATATTGTATTATATAATTTTGTAAAAGGTTTGAGTATATTATTATTGTTACGCAATAATTTCGATCAGAGCTCTTAATGTCACTATTATTCTATACAGCTCTGTAGTCAATATGTATACCGTCGTAAGAATAATAAAAAAAAAATAGTAAATTCGCTGAAATCCAGTACGTGTGCAACCTTCCGATATTCAATTATACAAAAAATTTATAATTGTATAATTTTCGAGTAAATCATTTGGTAAAAAAAAACACATTACAATATTTACAATATTTTATTTATTTGCATATACATATAGATATAAAAAAAATAAAACAGTCTTGACACATTTTGCACTGTTTGTTGATCAGTGTATGACGGACATGTCGGGTGATTTAGTTGAAAATACTGAATAAATACCAAACAATGTAAATAAAAAAACAGCTTTAAGCTCTGTTAAACGTTGTTTTTTTAACAACTCGTGAAAAATTATGAGTGTATTATATCTCACGCAAAACATTTAAACTTCATAAATTTCCAAACCTCTTAAATTGTGTATTTCGCATATATATTTTCAATTAGGTACGAAATAATTTACAATTATTGTTCGTGCAGTGTTTATCGAAAATTCAAAATTCAAACCACAAATAAAACGTATAGTAAACTGTGAATGAATGGTTATATTTTTTGTTGAGGAACGGGCATTTATTTAGTTAAAATAATTTAACGAACAATGCCTAATAAAGTACTTATTTACATTATAAGGCGTTTGAAATTTGGAAAATAATATTTTACTTTGTGGATCCAAATCAACGTGTTGTTGTATTTAAGTCAAATAAAAAAAAGGCCGTGAATTTGTTTGTTACCATTAATCAACCAATGGTAGCAAAAAGTAATGATTAGTTATTTCACGCGATCCACTACATAATGAGGCGGAGAAAAATTACTTACCTCTGGAAAAAAATTGTTCGAAAATTACATTGACCTGTGAGTAAAGCTGGGCAAGTTAATGAATAATAATAATTCAATTAAGTTAATTTGAACATTTGATTTTATCGTGAGATTATTATTACTTTTTACAATTATACAAAACTGTTATTTTCATTGTAAAAATGATTAAACCTGTTTTTTTTTTTGAAATAACGATGAATAAATTTAAACACGAAGGTGTTTCTGGGAATATCAAACTATCAAATTATACCTGATACTTGTTTTAAATTCTGAACTCCATTCATATAACTGAGGGGAAAAATTATTATTTGTGCATCGGTAATGATTCAAACAGAGTAACAGATTGTAAATTTAATATTGTGTAAACTAAAAGAAATTGAAATTAACTAAACTGTATGTAATTCAAATTTGACACGTTATTTATTAAACTAATGTAAATAAAAATAAATTTAGTTACGAGTTAAGTCAATCCTAAAATCTACGATTAAAAGTTAAAATTAACTTGAGTTTTTACCAACATATTAATTATGTAACTTTAATGTCCTTAATGACCATTCTCGGCTTTAAGTGTATATGGGAATGCGAGAGACGGAAAAATGATTAACTAGAAACGTTGTACAACGTACCGAACGGCCTAACATGATCGGTTATCGAGGAAAAGATCCCACCAACGGTAGTTGGATGTATTAAGGTGAAAATAGATATCACAGATGTGTCGACGAAAATAAATGCCATAATTGTCGCGTGTCAATCCGATACGATATTATTATAATATTTTGACATTTCCGAGTGCGGCTCGATTTTCATGATTTGCCTACAATATAACTGACGAAGTGCACGTTCTCGCGGATCAAAACGGTTGCGCAATAAATGCTGTTATTTAAATTTAACGAGTTCGGGTCTGCTATTACTTTATATGTATATATTTATGGATATTTGTGTCGTAACTTATTCTTCGGAGGCGATAGTTTCACATACGTCAAATTCGATTATTTTCCCCGATCGTAACGATTCCGTAGCTCGTAGTTTGACGCGGAAACGAACGATTTATAACGCCTTACAATAACAATTACAACAAAATAATAAAGTAAAAACTAAATGATTAAAACGTTTAATACTCGTAAATAAATATATAAATAAAAAATTTGTGTATCAAAATAAAAAAGACGGCCTAGGATAATGGGGACGGGTGCAGCCACTGTTATAGGTAATTTAATGTATGCCCGTAAGCAACGATATAAACCATCGCTTACGAAAAAACGATTCTGAGCGGAGTTCAGTTGATAGTGATACTTTCTCAACAATACATATGGTGTATGCCATATTATAGTAAAATAATTAAATAGGCTCTAGATATATTCATGAATAGTATTTGTTTAATATTGTTATTTATTTGTTTTAGGAAAAACGACCTCTTTAAAGTATGATCAGTGAAATTTTCTCTCAGAAACATTGCTACAATTAAAAGTCGGAGAAAAATAACTGGTAGAAAATTTGACCACAGAAAAAAAAATAAACATCTTTGTAAAATCATAAGATTCTTCACTCCATTTTGAATCTAAAATAATCAATAAAATAATGAATGCGTCGACTGGAGTATTACGATAAGTGTATTATACGACCGGTTTTGAATTAAATATTTATCATCAGGTTTATCGCATTCAAAATGTAAAACGCGAATCAGTCTTTGACTTAGTCTCAGTCGTGAATTTTTAATTCAAAACCGGTCGTATAATACACTTATCGTAATACTCCAGGCGAGGCATTTTTTCTTTTATTTATTATTTTTTATTTTTATGTACACATTTTGTATTTATATATTGATTTACTATATTTATCAATAAAAAGTAAACTCCGGTCTACGATACACAATAATCAGTGTTCGGCAGTCGTAGAATTTAATCATTTTCTTGGCGCGTCATTAAATCTATAGCAGAATGTTACGGCACGTTACAATACGAGTTCAAATTGCTGACGATTTCAACGATTTTCCATATGATTTCAAAATAATTTCTTTTTTGTATTCTATTATCAGACTCTTAATTCCTTATCTTATTATCTTGTCTACTTATCGTGTCGATGATCGCTGGACGTGAGACAATATTCGTGCATTCCACGCGTGTAACTTTTCAAAGTGATTCAAGTATTAACATACGAAATGATTTGTTTGTTTTTTTCGACAATTTAAAATAAAAACTGCTACAACTGTAATCACTCACCCGAATCTTATCTGTGACGACGCTAAGTATTTTTTATGAAACAATATTGTACTTAACCTGGCTAATCAGAACGAGTAAGAAAAAAGTTTTCATAGTCTGAGTGATCGTGAATTTCAGTTTATTTTACGTTCAAAGAGCAATAAACCCCTGTTTCAATACGTTACGTTACGTAAATACCGAAAACGATCTTGACATTAATAATAACACGCGTACCTCTTAATAATGATAATAGAGTAGGTATGCAATATGCAAATGATCATTGGCATTGCATATTATTATTATTTTGTAAATATTTTGCGGTCCTTGCGGTCGTCACACACCGGCCGAAACGAAATTTACGGCATCTCAAAAGTTACCAAAACGAATGTGCAATTCTAACTCATATCATACCTAATTAAACATTTTTTTAACGGGCATTTTTAAAATTTCGCCCGTTTAGAGTCTTACATATTATTATCATACATGTAGACTTATTTTAAGGATATCTTTTGTGTCCAAACGGCTGCCTAGTAGAGTAATATTAAGCTTGTTGTGTGTTTACTAGGAAGTAAATGAATGATTTAACATAATATATTTTGTAACAACTAACAAAATATTTTATTTTATAATATAGAAAATACTCTCGCTGATGATCGGAAGGTTAACCGGGGAAGGTCGAGAGGTTAAAAGCAAGGTTCGGTTTATCTGCTCAAGGGAATTTTTTTTTAACGGGGAAAGTAGACAATGTTAGCAAGAAACAACGAGAATAGATGTGAAGAGAATGTTCTACAAAAGATGAGATGTTTTAAAATGTCTATCAATTTCAATAACTGTCGATTTTTATCCAATCTTTTTATTTTTGTTTTCGAATTTGCTTCATTGTACAATATGCTCGTATATTAGAGGTGTTTGAATACAATCGCGTTATACCTAGAAGATAACGTTTTTAATCTATGCGTTTATATGGAAATCGATACATTTTTCATTTTTCATTCCCACCGAAAAATTCGTATCGTCAAAAAAAAAAAAAAAATACATAAAATATTCCGATCGCTTTTTTTTTTTTTATGGAAAACTCTAAACATAGTTACCTACCTACCTACTAACCTAGCCGGACATAATATAATATCGAATGACTCAATCGGTTAAATCGTTCAATAGACGCGGAAATGGTTTCCGTAAAACGATATAATAATATATTGCACGCGGAACACTTACCAAAATATATTTTACACTAGGTACACCGATAACTGTAATCATTATCGATTTTTTTTTTTTTTATTCCACATCTATTGGACACGTGAACAAATATACACAATGATTATAATATTTCAACTGGGTCTTTTTTTTTTTTCAACCGTATTTTATAGAAAAAAATTCGTCCATTATTTATTATTCGTGTAATATCATTGTCGATGAATATTCAAAAGAAAATACGATTTTTTTTTTTCTTTCTAGATTCTAAGTGAGACGAGTGTTGGTCTGCTTTTTATTATATTTTTCTTTGTCTATGCGCGAGAAATCTTGATGCAATCACCAACATTCGGGATAGTTTTTGGTAGACAAGTTTTTATCTAGTGTTGGTGAATTTTTGATTTTCCATGTAATTTTCTTAATAATTGGAGAAATTTTAGGAAAAAATGGAAAAACTTACTCAATAACGGTTTCTGTTAAAAAATTGTATTTTTATTTTTCAGTTTTAACTGGTTTTTAGTATTTATATTGCACGAAACTTTGACGGTAATATTTTTTTCAAATATCATACATTTCAAAATAGGTTACACGTACATTGTGTATTATTGAATTTCACCAGCGCGGGCCAAGAAAGTACATACTCGTATTAAGACATAGGTACCTAGATAATATAATATAACGCGTTGCATACTTGCATCTCGACGAATATTGACAAAAGTTTTTTTCTCTGCGTTTTGCGGTCAAGTCGATGAAGCTGAACGCAAAAAAAAACCTAAAATTAATGATTTATTAAATAACGCGATATTTCAAACCGTGAAAAATAAAATAGCGTTATTCTATTATACGATACCTACTTAACGCCGACCGATCATCGTTCGAGACGTGTAGTGTATAATTTTTAGTCTCGCAGAATCCGAAAGCGTAGGTAATAGGTCGACAACTGTACTGTCGTTCGGAAAATGTACAAACACGATTAGACATGACATTGGCCTTGGATACGCGGGTGAACAAAAATGCAGTAAAACAAATTTAATACTAGTAGTGCAGCGAATATTGCAGCAACGAACGCAATGGTAGGGGGAACGGAAGATTGAATTGGCTCTCGAAAAATGTACAATTAAATCGGTTCCCGAATAATATTATTATCGAAGGCGTTCTTAGAACGCTCCTATTCGTACATTCGCCGGATATTTGCCATTTTTTTATACTCGCCAAAAATACAGTTCCAATAGTTCATATGATCATCGGTCTATGATGCAGTATGAACAATATTGCCGGATTCAAATGGTTCGCAATTAATTGTACTATTTAAATATCTTCCATGAAATATGTAAATGTTATTTTTGACAGTGTAAGTATCAATCGTACTAGCGCGTTTACTTATAGTGTTGAACTAAACCCAGCGACACAGTAGGGTTATAGTTGATTGTGCGGTACCGATTAGAGCGAAGAATTTGTGTGCACGCGTATGTACATTATTTACGTCGTGGAAAACAACTTTTATACTAAATTCGTATATAATTAATACGATATCGGTGAACCGGTATATTTTTGGAAAAAAAAAACCGTGTAGGAAGCCAGTTTAGTGTTTTCGAACGGTAAAATATCGATTATCCGTATTCGGGAGCCAATTTAACTGTTCCAACTATTTTACCCTCCTCCCTACGCCCCGAAATGTTTTCCCGCGTTCAACCCCCGAAACAATGCCTATTCATAATATTGTATTGCGTTTGTTCCACATTATTATTATCGGTTATCTGTTGGTAAATTACTACATTATTGTTATTATATTAGCGCTGCAACACAGGTCGTTTGATATTATTACGTTCGTATTTCGGAACGAGATATTGTATAAGTATCGAAAGAACAATAGTAATTATATCACGAGTCTGTTGTACAATAGAAAAATGTTAACGTGTTTCTTCATCTGAAATTGTGCCGTACCGGGATCACAAACATATATTAGGTAAGACATAAAACATGTTTTAACTGCAGTTAAAACAAATGGAAATTTCGCTGCAATGTCAGCGTAGGTGTATCGAAAAAGGAGTACACATTTTTACACCCAAACGATGTCTAAATGTTTTTTGAACTATTACCATTTTTTTTTTTTTTTTCAGATAAATTAGGAAGTATTATTTAGCGTATCACAGGAACAATAATAGTAATTCGGTTTGATTCTTTAAAAAAAAATGTGATTTTCGGAATAAAGACGGGAATGGACGAATGTTTTCTCATTCAAAGGAACGTTATCTATATTAAACATTAATAATAATATGATGATGACAAATTCGATTGTTCTGAATATCGGTTATTATGCCAAACTAACCAGCTTGTTGTTCCGAACCCGATCTGCTCCAAGGAAGTCCTACGTGTGAACCAAAAACCCAGTCGATTAAAATCCACGATGGGTTTAGACAATATGGAGAGAAAATGGAAAAAACCACGTCAGTTAGATCACAAAAATTGTTTACAGGATTCTATGTTTCGAAGTTATTAACTGATCGGGTTTCCGTAACTTCGAGTAGGAAAGTTCATTAGTTTTAGGTAAATCGCAAGCAAATACCTACTATAAACTAATATAATATATTATATTAATAATAATTATAAAATTATTTTGTATATAATCTGGTCACCATATTTTTTTTGATTCGCAGCAAGCAGGAATGAATATTTTGTTACTTATAATTTGTGCGTTTTTGTATACATATTTTTTATTTTTGTGTCTGTGAACAACTTTCAAACAGAAATCTTTCTCCAATCAAAAAAAAAAAAAAAAAACACCAGAGCTCTTTTGTTGCATTTAAGATCTTATTGGCGTATTGAAGATCGGTTATAAGGATTTTAAAACGCCTCGACATTGCGATTTTTAAGCGATTATGATGGACCAAAACAATTTTATCCACATAAAACCAAAAGGAAACAAAAAATAACTTGAGCATTTTAAATGGCTTTAATGAATAACTCAAAAGTCACCGGAGTATTTTTAAATGTTTACTATGTCTAGAAATTAGTAACATACATATTGTAATGTAAATATTGCAAGTCTCAACGATTATTTTTAACTGAAATCCAAAAAAAAAAAAAGAAAAAAGAAAGCTTTCTCGTCTTTCTTATGTATTTTTTATTCCGGTTTGTCCAGATTACTCAGAATACTTAAAGGAAAACGCAAAATACACGACCTTCCGTTGTACCGACTAGACACCATATTTTCTACCGGAAACATCTCTCTCGAAGTGGGCGGTCGGAGCAGCGTGATTTCTGGCGGAAAAATCGTTCGGAAAACGCACGCATCACACGTTTTAGTAAAAATCAAATATTCAAGCCTTTCTCGTTGTATTATATATCCACGGTCTTGTTCGGTCGGCGGTGACGTGACGTGTGCGTGTGAGAATAATAACATAATAATGTTATTACTATTATTATAATAATCGTTGAATCATATTATTTATAATTTCCGTCGCGGTTATAGTTTAATAAGATTATGTTTGTCAGCTGTCGGTCGAGAGGAAATCAGTTATAGGTATACCCGCCCAGAAATGGCACGCGTATCCATTGTACGTACCTACGCTTATTATCAAATGTAGAATGTGTAGAATGTTAGACGGGTGCCTAATACGTAATATTATTTCCGCGTAAACTCTATCGTGTCGGCAGCAGAATTTGCTCTGCGTCAGAAACGAATCCCGCAAAAAATAAGTGCCAAATGTAATTTTTTTTCTTTTTTTTTTTTTTTTTTTTTAAACGATACGACAAATAATATTATTTTTATACGGCGATGACCGCGTGTAATATTATTTATACAATCGATGATCAAGCGCTGGGAATTTCTCGCTTACGAAACGCTCGCGCTCGAAAATCTCGTCGCGAATATAGACAATAATAATAATAATAAATGACCGGCCTACTAACCTTGCCGTTCGATAGTGTTTTTTTTTTTCAACGTCTACATTCCGACCGTCTTAGTCGAGCGTGACGTGTCTGCCGCGCAGTCATTACACGGGTAGGTTGAAAAAACGAGCCCCCATTTAAAGAAGGACTTTTTTTTTCGTTTTTTCGTCAAATGTGCAAATGGAAATAATGTTAAATTCGTTATAATATCGCAACAGAGTGAACGGCTTTGATTCGTATTCTAGACGGGGAGCAGGAAGTTTTGTCAAATTCACAGTGCACATTCAGAGATAAAGTTTCCTTTCGGGAAATAAGCTACACTTGATACGTCGGAGCAAGATCTCTGGTAGAAAAGTACGCACAACAAATCGAGGGGTATTTTTCAATTAAAATAGTCCGAGAAAGCGGATCTCGGGTCTCTCTAGGTACATCCAAAATGCATTTGTTTTCTCCTTGTTTAGATAAAAAGGAAAACAAATACAAAACCTTTTTTTTTTTTGTCACACTGGTTCGAACTCGGAACTCCTAGGATCATAATAGGCATGAATAACCATTAGATCACAACGAATATACTCAATTGCACTAAATTTATTTAACATAACATATTATGTCCGCATAATATCAGAACTTTAAAAAAACTATAATTTCGGAACTAAGACAGTCCGCTTAATTATGACTTCACCATCATTCTTAAATAGGCGATTCCCTTAAAAAAAAAAAAAAATACTACATCAGACACAATTTTTTTTATCACAAAGTAAGACTTTTAATGAACCTCCTGTTAAATTTTGAAGCATTTCTGTTTAAGTCTAATAATTTTACCACAATGTACCTATTGAATAAATATTACGTACAAAATTTCTCAAAATTAAAATGTTTGTAAATACCTCAAAAATGGTTTAAATATTTTGAAAATTTTACCACGTCTAGAAAATGCAATTATAAGTTTTCTGTCCAAATTTCAAGTCTATAAAAATATTTTTAACTGAATTATAACAAATAATAAAATTAAAAAATAAAAACAACATTATTTTCGTAAATTCCCGTTTTTCTTAAGTTTATCCTGGTTTTTCCCAGATATTATGTAAACCGATTGGAAAATCAAAAAATTCCTTCCCAAATGTACCATTTAGACAATATTTCCTTTGAAGAAATGATGCTGCGCGTACATATCTGAGCAAGATTTATGGTCGAATCTGTGTACACAAAATAAAAAAAAAAAAAAAATATCTTTGTAAAATTAATATATTCTTCGCTACATTCAAAATCTAAAACAGTTCATGACAGATGTCTGTTATCATTGCGGAATAAACATTACAGATTTCAGATTACAATTTGATATTATGTTCACCGTAGTTGTTCGATTTTGGATAATATATTGTTTATGTTGTAATTGTATTTTTTGAACTAAATAAAACACCTGTCTACATTAACTGCAATGTTAAATAATTTTCTTTTCTGAACAGCGTTCATTTTCATTGACACATTTCTTTTATTCGCTGTCTTCTTTGGGGATTTCGTTTTTTACTTTAAAACAATTAGATACACAACACAGTGGTAAAACAATAACATAAAATTAGTCCAAATTACCGTTTGTATGTTTCATTTTTACACGTTCAAAATGGTTGGAAATCCTAAAACTACACGGTGTTTATCTTTAAAAAATGTTTTACCGATTTCAAAACGATTTAAAAAACTGTTTCCGTGATACGGAAATGTTATGAGTTAAAAATGTTTTAATAAACGTAGAAAATATTTGTTTATGGATTTTTGGGCTCATTACCAGAGAAACAAACATGAATATCAATTTATTTACAATGAATGAAACGATTCAAAGACAGTGATAAGATGGATAATAATATAATAATACACGTATAACATCATTATTGACTGGCCTGGATCATAATTGTTTTCGGAACCATATTGTAACATTATAACCGCACAAAAAGTCTTGAAAATTCGGAACATTAGAAATTTAGTTTTTATTAAATTGATCGAATTTCAAAAAACAAAATTTCGTCGCCGTATATTACGTCGTGCATAATACGAATACGAGTACCTAGTCTGTACAATTGGGGAGCGCGAAAAAAATTAATAGCTTAAAAAATTGAATTCTATGCGCGTATCATAATATTTACTCCGAACCAAACTTTGATTACCCCTACTACGGGTTCTAAAAAAATTACATTACAATATTATGTATAATATAGAGGATGATGGATTATGTAGGAAAAATATTGGGGGTCATAAAAGTATGAGTGAAACGATGGTAATGTCCTTTGGTATAATTTTAAACAGTGTTGTAGCCGAAACGAATACAATTATTAATAAAGACGTCATATATTTTTTTTTTTTTCAGCGAATCTGTTCGCACGCGCTTCTTCGCCAGTTAAATGCATTTACGTTATTTATAGGACCGCGTTGCATCAAGTTTAAAATCCAAATCGATTTAGTCGCTTAAAATTGTAGTCCAACGATTAATGCGTTGTACGAAACCGAGATCATTTTTCGAGGGCTTTCTTTTTTTCATATTCCGTCTAATCGCAGAATAATCGTCTATGAGAAATAAGTGAAAACCATTAGTTTTGTAGCTGTGGTTGAGGATTGACTAAGATCAAACGTGTTTAATGACACGTGTCATACGTTGTTTTCACGCATCGTTATTTTTTCATTTTACATTATATCATTTATTATAGTAATTTTTAAGATTGGCGTAAAACCAAATTCACTTCGAACAATAGTCTTTTATATTTTATTTTTTTTCCATTCCGAGAAGTCATGACAATTCTCTAGTAATCATGATGTCGATCGACGTACGAGTGTTTACAACAATACTATTACATCACAAACTATAAATTTAACAAAAACTGTTTAAAACAAAACAAATTTAAATAGTATCGTCAATTAATATTGTTCAAGATAATCGAAAACATTAATTACCATATTATAATAAATAATAAAATAATAAAGTAAAAACAGAATTATTAAAATGGTTAATACTCGTAAATAAATATCTATATTTAAACATTAATTGTTTTATATTCAAATTGCATACACTTTGACTGTGATATACCCGATGATGAATTGTTAATTCGAAACCGGTCGTATCATAATCCTACAGGCGACGTATTGATTCATTTATTTATTTTATTTTTGTGTATACATGTTTAATTTATATATTATAATATTTAAAGATCATTTTTCGATTTTGTTTTATGCATCGTAAAATCAGTGTCGAGAAATCGAGACGCAAATATGTATTATTCAGCTAGATAGAGATAAAATATAATTAAAACACATAAAAATAACAAAAGATATAAGGGAGATGATAATGTAAACGGTTATGATAATTTTGTATGTACAAATGATGTAAATCACTAACTATTTCGAGTACCTAACTTAAACTACTACAGTTAATGTAGTTCATTATGACTAAATCATTAACTTAAAGTTAGTAAATTAATTTATCTAGTTATAAATAAAGTGATAAATAATTATTAACTTGGATTGAAATTTTCGTCTAAATAAGTTAAAAGATAAAAAAAAAAAAATAGGTATTTTGAAGAATTATCTAAATAAGAATTATTATTATTATTTTTTATTTTGCATAAAATAACACTGATAAATATTATACGTATTATATAATATAGTATAGTGTTTATGTGTTTTATTATTATATAGATCAAATATAGTATTTTTTAAATTTTTATTTTAATAGGTACCTAAATACCGAACTGTATACTGAAAATAAAATAAAAATCCAAGTTTTGCTAACAATTACCATTACCTACCTAAATTGAAGTATTCTGTTTTATTTATAAAAATTTTTTGACATTTTACAACAGTTACACACAACCCCAAAATGGTAAATTTTCTCTGGAAATAACAACTTTTTTAGATATTATGTGCAAAATGCTGGGTAACCTATTCGATTATTTTTCGACTAAATTATAAATTGAAAAAATTCGAAAAACCTTTTTTACACCCTAAATATCGATCACTACATAAATTATATTAAAGTATGCAAATAAAACGAATTTTAAATACTGAGTAGAGCGAAGAATCTTGTGGTTTTACAAAAATGTTTATTTTTATATTTTTCTGTGGACGACATTTCTACCAGAAAACTTGCTCCGATTTTTTACGTGTAGCAACTTTTCTAAAGGAAAATCGGTGTAGAGAGGTACTTTAAAGAGGTCGTTTTTCTATTTTCTTCGGATTTTTCTCAGCATATGGGAAAAAACTGGAAAACCCGGGAAAACCGGTACAACATTAAACAAATATTATTACAGAAAATATACAGAGCATACTTAGTTCTTTATATAATATATATCGTTGAAAAAGCATCATTATCAACTGAATTCCGTTCATAATCGTTTTTTCGTAAGCAATAGTTTATCGTTACTTACTGATATACATTAAATCCTACTTTCCCAACTTCCCATCTACAACAACAGTGGCTGCACGCGAAGTATGCCAGTCTTTTTTTTTTTTTCTTTGATTCAGAGAAATCGAATACTAAATATCATAAGTAATATCCGACGTCGAAATATACCTATACGATAATAACATTACGAGTATATCCAATTACTTATTAATGTTTCGATTTTTTTTTCCACGCCATAACGTTATAACATTGTTACAAAAAAAAAAAAAAACAACACTCTAACCGTGATTTTTGCCGTCTGCACACAGTACAGTATTATATATCCGCTACTATACGTTGTACGTTATGGCGGGTTTTAAAATTATTATAATAAAACGTATTGTTTCGTTTGCACACCGCAGGGCTGGAACGATTTGAGTTTTCACGGGTCTGACGAAATCCAAACGCCAAACATCGACGCTTTGGCGTTCAACGGCGTCGTGCTTAACAACTTGTACACGCAACCGGTGTGCACGCCGTCTCGGGTAGCTCTGATGACCGGAAAGTATCCGATCAAATTGGGTAAGCAACAAACGTAATTAAATATTATAAACGCACGCGTTACCGATCAAATAATACGCGTGTATACTTTTTTTTACAACGCAAACACAATGTCCGGCCGTTTCTGGCAGTGACATACACTGCCTATTATTATAATATTTCAACGGACGATTAAATCCAAAACTGTCCGAAATCGCATAATAAATACGCCGTCGCCGCGCGCCCGTATTATCGTACGTTATTATGTTATTATGCTCCGGTATGTTATACGGTTACACCCGAACAACAACCGAAACTGTAACCAAATATAATGATAACGATAATGATAATAACCGCGTGTTTGTTATTTGTCACGTTAAAGGTATGCAAGGTCCGCCGACTTACGGGGCCGAACCCAACGGTTTACCGCTGACCGAAAAACTGTTCCCCGAATACTTCAGGGAACTCGGGTACACGACGCGGGCCGTGGGCAAATGGCATTTGGGATTTTTCCGGTCGGCTTACACGCCCACGCGCCGCGGTTTCGACTCGCATTTCGGCTATTACACCGGATTCGTCGGCTACTACGATTACATACTCCAAGACACGGTGAGATAAAACTTTTTTTTTTTTTTCTCAAACAAAATGCGTCCGTTACCGACGCACACGGAGCTCCGTCACTAGAGTCAAAAATTTCCGTCAAAATATAAAAATATATTGTGAACTGTGAGAAATGTTCTTCGCGAAACACTGTATAACCCCGAATTTTTCACGGTGTTATACTTCTGAAAAAATGACAGGATTTCAACCCTGACAATGAAAAAAGGGCGGGAGTTGAACTTTTTTATAGGCCTACTCTCGATACAAACGTGATATGGTATAAAATGTGTGAAATATTTCGTCCCTCCAGTATCGTTTTATGAGGGGTGGACGTGTTTCAAAAGAACACTAGACGTGTTCAAAAGTGACGGTCAAAAAAAATATACAGGTTATAATAATACACCAAACCCAATATATTTTCGGGGGATAGCACCGTAAAAAAAAAAAAAACTACGAGTACCGATAAAATAAGAACACAAATAAAATATGAGATCTAAGAAAGTACATATATAAAAAACAATAAAAAAACTGAATCTATTTTGAAATAATGATACAGTACCGGGACTTTGGCGAGTTCAGCGGTTTCGACTTGCGGAGAAACGATTCGTTCGTGTGGGACGCGGTCGGCAAGTATGCGACGGACGTGTTCACCGACGAAGCGGTCCGACTGATCAAAGAGCAGCCCGCCAACAGACCTTTGTTCATGTACCTGGCTCATTTGGCCGTGCACACGGGCAACAAGGGCAAATACTTAGAAGCGCCGCAGTCCGAAATCAACAAGTTCAAACATATCGCCGACCCGAATCGCCGGACATACGCAGGTATATCGATTACGATCGTCTCCGGCTTATTAAATTGTGCGCCTTTCATTATTATCGTTTTCCGTCAAACCGCTCGTACGCCCGAGTGCACTTTTTTTGTCTATCGCGTGCCGTCGCCAATGCAGTGGACAGATAACGCGAATTCACGCGTAAAAAAAAAAAAAAACGACACTATCAATTTTCACTGTTTAGATTATATTATATTAGATACGTCTATAACAATAGCGTTTTCCGTCCGGTTACACGCGTGGTAAGTGATATCACGCATTATAATATGAAGCGTATCATAATATAATCGTGTAATCGCAATATATCATTAATTCGATAATAGTTATTAAACTGGAGTATACACTGATCGTGTACAAAATACTAAGGTACCATCAAAACGTAATGTGCCGCTAAAATTGACGGTTTTATTTTTTTTTTTTTTTTTTTTTTTTTTTACACGCGTGTCACTACACCAGCTTACAGAATTTACGTTATTTTCTACACTGGTGACGGCAGGTGACAGTAGACAAGTACTAAAACACCGGTGTATTAGCTTGATGGAAAACGCTACGTGTATTTTAATTTTGATAACTGTTACGGTGTTATATAGTCGATACAAACGCATCATTATAGCATAAAAACGACCGTTTATAATAATAGTATTTGTTTGTTTGACGTGTCACAGCGATGGTGTCCAAACTGGACGAATCCGTGGGTCGCGTGGTACAGGCGCTCGAGGCGAAAAACATGTTGCACAACACCATAATCGTTTTGATGTCGGACAACGGGTCTCCGTCTTACGACGACTCCGGTCGAAATTTCCCACCCAACGTGGGCATAACCGCCAACTGGGGTTCCAATTTCCCGTACAGGGGCGTGAGTTTACATTGTTTATTAGTCATATTTGCCGCGTGTAATAGTCTTGTTTCCGATTTTTATCGGCTCGCGCAATAATGATTATCACGTTTTGTTTTCCACAGGTGAAAAACACGCTGTGGCAAGGCGGCGTCAAGAGCGCATCACTTATCTGGACCCCTCGTTTCCAACAAAACCCTCGAGTGTCCCAACAGCTTATGCACATCACCGATTGGTTACCGACTTTGTACTCGGCTGCAGGTATTGTACGACAAATATTAAAGGACAAATTTTAGAAATTAAAAATTTAAGACACTTGCAAATTTTGACAAAATAACAGTTTAAATCCTCGAGAACGGGTTTTATCATTGTTTACCCCCCCCCTAAAAATATGTACGAGAATGTTTTTATGTTTCTAAATACACAATTTGAAATTGTTACAAGTTGAACGTTTTACTTTTGGTATATCAAATATATTATTAGCAGCTTGATATTGCTCTTCAAAATATAATACATAATAAATAGTTTATCAAAACACAGACTTTTTAAAAAAACTTGATTTACCAACTAGCCTGATAGATAGGCTAATATACAGTAATATATACATAAAAAGTCATCAGAAATCGTGTAGTTTAGGATACTTTTAAAATCCTAAACATCACATCCGGGGCATTTTAGTTCTAATCGAAATAATTTTATCTCATTTTCAATATTTGAAATCATAATAATTGGTTGTCTAAAACAGTAATCCGCACTTATTTAATAATATAGATTAATTTAATATTAAAATCGTTTAGTAAACCGGTCCGCCACCAAATACTCTCTATGGAGTCGCAAAGTTTACTTACATTCTGCGCCGTCTTTACCGTAAAGGAATTTATTGATAAACTAAACTTAAATGATTTATGATTACTTTTAGGCGGAAATCCGGGATATTTACCGAAAGACATGGACGGACTCGACCAGTGGATGTCACTCACGATGGATTTACCGTCCCGGCGTAATTATCTATTGCTCAACATAGACGAAAAATTACGTTATGCTGGAATTGTCAAAGACAACTGGAAATTAATTGTCGGTACGTATCGGTTTATAAGCAACTTAAATTCCCAACTACTCTTACTATCATATCCGTGTACATTACCAAATTTCTTCATCTACCCCACCGGAAGTAAAACCTCGAGCCAGTTTTTTTTGGCAAAAAAATTAATAATATTCACTTGGCTAATATTTTCTATTTTGTATCCAAATACTATGCAATGGATGGGTAACGGGGAGCCGGGCTGCAAGTACATCGGTACAATGGTCTACCCTTTTAACGTTATCTATATTTGGTGAAATATTAATTATTTTGCTTTTGATTTTAAATACTGAGCGGAGCGAGGAATGTATTGGTTTTACAAAGATGTATTTTTTTTCCTTTATACTGTGTACAAAAATTCTACCGGAAATCTTACTCCAGAGTATTAAGTATAGCATCTTTTCTGAAAGAGAATTTTTCTGAGGTGTTACTTTAGGGAGGTCTTTTTTGATTTTTCCAATAAATGGGAAAAACCGAAGGAAAAGTGGGGCAAAATGGGAAAATAGGTACATTAATAAACAATTATTATTAAATATATATACTAAAATATATACTGCATAATATTTAACTATTTTACCATAATACGATGTGTATGTTTTTGACAAAGCAACACTATTAACCTAAATCCGCTCAGAATCGTATTTCGTTATGAACGGTTAATCGTTGTGCATACAACAAATTTTCTGTCTACCTTCTCAATTTCTCATCTACAACAGTGGCCCACCCATCTCGCGAAGTATGTCTTCTTCTACCTCTTTAAACACAAATATTAAAATATAGCCTATAGGTGTCTAATTAAAACACATTAACTATAGACAATTGCAATTTTTAATTGTTAAGGAAAAGGTTTATTCCTAAGTATTCTGATCTATTAGTACCTACAGACTTCCTCCGCTGTATATCCAACTAGCCGTTAGTTAGCGATAAATGTCCTCTATGCGCCCGGACAGAGGCATTTTGGGGCTTTGGGTGAGTTTAAAATGTGCCCACTTCCAGCCCTTCTTATTTTGGTCCTTGGTCGTATCTAGTATCGTTTCTTCTTCTGTCGTCATATCGTCTTAATCTATTCTCTCTCGTTTTCTACGCTATACAACCCATGGACTACTTTTTACAATTCTCGCCTCCAGTCTCGTCCGACCAGCAGATCACACCAGATCTCAACGTTCCGGATGGTTATAATATTATGACGTTCACAGGTTCGACGGCTAACGGGTCCCTGGACGGATTCTTCGGGACGACCAGACCCCGGGTTCCGTACAACGCGACGGCCGTGGTGTACAGCCACGTGGGACGGGCGCTCGCCCGGCTCTGGGACACGTTACCGTACGCCTTCGGCGGAACCAGCGTGAGGGACGTGCTGGCCCTGCGCTATGACTCTACGGTCCGGTGCAATCGTCCAAAGGCCGGACCGCGGACACGGACCCCCTGCACGGCCGGCGAGGTGTGCCTGTTTAACCTGGTGGCCGACCCGTGCGAGACCAACAACGTGGCCAAAAAGCACTTTACCGTCAGCACCCAGCTATACGAAGCGCTCAAGTATTACAAGCGGCTGCTGATCCCGCAGACCAACCGGCCGTTCGACCCGGCGGCCAACCCGGCCCGGTTCAACAACACGTGGTCGTCTTGGGTGTACTGACCCGGTGACCGAGGCACATCCAACACGCACGCTGCCGACGCACACCATACCGACCGTCCGTGTCGCGAAATTTTAAACCGCGTCGCGATGGGGCCCCTCACCAACGGTAATCACAATACGGTCATCTCCTTGATGAAACACAAAACACGAAATGCTAGTACGCGTTTCCGTAACGGCTATAGTGTCGGAAGCAATAAAAAATTCGCGTGGATAGTAAAACGCGAAAGCTACAGAGCATTATTCAAAACGGTGCCATTCGATTTAAAATCGTTTTTCATCGCCGTCGCGTCGATTTTGCGAGTTTCGAAACTATCCAACGAATGCCGCCCAATACCGCGGTAAAACAAGCACTGTAGTTTTTGTCGACGTGAAACGTTTCGTCACAGGCGCATTATGGCGCAATGATACCAAAATTTAGCGTTCCGTAAATATGTAGGCCGTATGTGTACGCGCGTTTAACGTATCGTATAATCCCGTGTGTCGCCAAGAATATTACCCAGTTTACTGCGGCAACAAAATATTCGCGTTATTACCGCGGAATAGACTACGGAAACTAGTGAGGGACCATCGCGACACGGTTCGAAATTTCGCGTCCGGTCCGCTGTAAATACACAGCGGCATCACGGCGACGTCGTCTGTCGTGCCGTACGGTTTCAGAAGCGGACGCGGCCTTTATGGCTTCTAGTGGTCACCAGTGCTAAGCGACAACTGCACAGGAATGCCGACGCGAACACGCGATACAACGGCCAATCGGTACACGGTAAAAAGGCGCACGGCATGATACACGACGTAACCGCGAAAGTGCACTATTATTATAAGTATCCCGTTACCATTAGGTGTTGACAGGCGTGTTTTTTGGCGATGTCGTGGTCACTGTACCGGTTATCGGTTTCTCGAACAGTAATAATATTATCCTCCGCTTGGTCGTATTCAGCAGTGGTTAAAATGGGTGAAAATAAGGGGGGGGGGCGGAACTGTGCTTCTTATTTAATGTAAAACTAGCCGTAACATTTAGTTCACGTCTTTGAAGTCCCGGGGGGGGGAGGGGAAAACATTTTGAAAGTCTTGTGGCCGTGCGGGTTTCCTAAAAGTTTCGTTTGGTTTCAGCGTTTAACGTCCAACGACGTACCATTACGTTTTCTCGGTGAAATGGTCACGAAATATTGTATCACCGGTCTCTCGGGGAACGCGCCCATCGATTTTTGGTAAAAGCAAGTCCTCCCCTACCCCTCGAAGTTTTCCCCGCTTTCACCACTGTGTGGCAGCGAACAATATCGAGACAGTTTTCAATGCTAAACTATTCAAATAACAATATTGACTATTTATTTATAATAACCGGGTAGTTTTGCTCAAAACGACGTCGCCGAAACACGCCCGGTCGCGGGCTTAAACGAATCCGACGCTAGTAAAATACTTTTGATTTCAACTGAAAACCCGGAAAAATTGAGCGCCAACACTCGGTTTATTTATATATAGAAAAAAAAAAACTAGTATTTATAATTATCGTTTTATTACATTTGTATTATAATATCACGCCGTATTCATAATATCGTGTGGCACCCGTAAGTGCGAATAGAGATTTAGTTAGTTTACTGTTATAGACTCGCCGGTTAAACCGCACGAGCCCAGGTAAGGTAATGACGCTCGCGCCCGTAGTGAAAGCGTAGTACAATCCGCGGCAATATTATTATTAATCGTTCAAATATTTTTATTGATATATCATTAATTTTACTCGTACCTACCTACCTCCTATACGCGTTTAATTGTGATTATTGTATCGATAAGTAGTGTTATATTAAAAAAAAAAAAAAAACGGTACAAGTATAATAATTCTGTACAATTGCGTACAATTTTTTTGTTACGGTCAACCGTATTTTTTTTACTTACCTATTTATTATCGCAGCCGTTGTTATTTTTGTTTGTAATATACATATAAATTTAAAAATATTCGTTCGCGACGAAAAGATATTGTTGGATGTTTTTTTTTTTTTTTTTTTTCCTATTGAAGTTGTCGCAGTTTTTACGGACACTCGACATTCGTCGATAGATAACGGGCGTCCGTCATTTCCGTTTGAAACGAAAACCGTTCGATTTCCGTTCCCGGCGAATCCACGTCGTCTGTATTCAGCGTTTCAAATACCAATACAATAATGGCGATTACGATGAATCCACAACCGCTGCCAGTATGGGCGGATGCCGAGACCCGGGATAAACGATTTTACACCGAACCATATGAACTGTACGGGTTCGTTATCTCGTTATATTGTTAACCCGTGCAATGTAAAAAAAAAAAAAAACACTTGTCAATACTACAAACGCTCCCGAGTATTGCGGCTTTTCGAAACACGCATAACCGAACTCTGCTCAGAATCGTTTTTCGCTAACGACGATCTAAATGACGTACGTTCGCGTAGCGTACACTAACGCATTTTTACTTGTAACTCAAGCCGGCCGTCGCTATGACAATTGTCATTATTGCGGCGGGCAAGCGTTTGCCTACTTGCGATCTACTTAACCTGTACTTACTACAGTGCGATTGATCGAGCATTGCGCGGCGACGATAACGCACGAACGTCCGTAATCCGCAGCCTGTCGACTTTTCATCGCAATGTGTACAAACGCCTTTGTCGACGCGAAATAACCTAACCGCGTAACGCTAGAGATAATTGAAATGGTTTTAAAAGAGAGTCCGACAGATTCATTCGGCCGTCAAAATGACAATAATGCACAACGATAAGACGTCGGGTAATATTTTATTCTTATTGAGTACATGAAATGGATATATTGATGAATACATAGACATTATCGGATTGATCGGTGGTGTTTTGAAGTGACAATATAGGTGAACCCGATCCCAATGCATTTCTTTTCTGCTGATCGGTGAACGCGGAGAACGCGCCCGCGCACTTATTGCGGTACCGCTTTTGAACACGTGACGCGCGTCACATGTACGACGGTTTGATTTTGTACGAACGTTTCCATATCTCGCACAGGCACACGGTCGAGTGGAACCTGTAGAATATGGCCAGCGGCATGGACACGTGCGTGATGATGGTCCAGGCCCACAGCCCGTAAAAGTGCAGCTGTATGGGGTGCGAGTCGGCCCGGGACTTTTCCAGCGTGTTGATGGCCCACATGGCCAGGTTGCTGACCAACAGGAACGTGACGATCTCCCGGCCGGGCTTCTTGCGTATCTGGTCCGGGGTGACGCACGACCGCCGCGACGCGTCCAGTATGAACACCGTCTGGCAGAACGTCTGCACCAGCGACGCGGACGCGGTGATCAGCACCAGCACCGTGTTGTCGTCCTCCGTGAAGTGGCCGCTGATAATCGTGAACGTGCTGTAGATGAACGTGCCCGTCTGGGCGCCGACCAGTAGGATGTTGTCCAGTTCCAAGTTGCGCAGCCCGTCGAACTTCAATTGTCTCACCTGCGCACGCGGAACACCGCACGGTCACTTCGGCTATAGGGTAACTAGGTATACCGGGGGCCGGGTACGAACACCGCGGACCGGGTTAATTTAGTTGTGGCGAGACGGCCACAAAATATTTTCTATCGCATGCGTATCAGATGGAAATTCACACGTTGCCGCGTATTACAAAAGGGTAAGCGGGTTTTTTTTTTTTGGGGGGGGGGGTGGCGAATTGTGCCCGGTTTTTTTTTACGGATCGGGATTCAGGGGCGAAATCTATAATTAACATTCCAAACGTTCGGGATGTGAAGTCATAGGCTTATATCATATTTCCGTGAGAGTGCCTTTTGTTTGTATTTAAATTTTGATATACGAATTTTAATAACACATTTTAACAAAAATCGTAAATATTGAGGCCTTTTAAAACGTGTATAATCGAACTCTGCTTAGTATCGTTTTTCGTTAGCGATGATTAATAGTTGCATACAGATATACATTAAATTTCCATCTATAACCATCTCTACCTTCCCAACTTTTCACCTACAACAGTGGCCCACCCATCGTGCCAAGTATGGTTAGGTTTTTTTTACACGCGACGTTATCTACCAGAAATGATCTATTAGAAAAACAACAATAAATCAATGTTGTTTCATTTTTAATCTAGTTGGTGTGTAAGGAGATTATTTTTTTAAATTTACCTTTTGTTTTTTTTTTAATAATCGAGCGAAATCGAAAAAAAAACCGAAAAATAACGGGAAAGTTTACAAAAATATTCGTTTTCAATTTTCGTTTTTTTATTGTAATTTAATTAAAAAATATTCGCGACTTAAAATTTTTAACAGAAAACTTATATTTGCTCTTTCTATAATTCAAAGTAAAATATTCGAGCGATTTTTATGTTGTTTATAGGTATTTTAATTTTGCGAGATATTTAAATAATTCGTATAAGGTATTTTTTATTTTTATATATATATATGTTCGAATTTCAAATTTCGACAAAATCCATAACATATCCTATCTTATAAAGGCCTTTCAAAACATTTATAACCGAAGTTTGCTTCAAATCGTTTTTCGTCAGTAATGGTTCGTCTCGACTTTACTTATTCTACCTTTCCAACTTCGCCTTTACAACAGTGCGCACCCGTCCCCAGTATTATTTCTCTCTTTTATTTTTTTAAATTTTTATCTCCATTACTGTTTTTTTTTTGAATGCGTATATCGTCAAACTCCGTTCCCCACCCCTTCACCTATAACTTCTCATCTCGTCCATTTTAATATATTTATATCGTAGTATAGACGAAAATATCGTTTTGGACCTGTATCATTCCGACTATGGTGGCCAGCGTAGTCATGCCGTACAGCGACAGTTCGCACACGTTGACCTCCATGACGGCGAAGTTGAGCAGTTCCGGTTTCGATATGAGCACGAAGAACAATATGAGCGAGATGATGGTGAGCACCAGGAACAGTATGCCGACAAACAAGCCCTTGTGGGCCTGCGCACAGTCCACCGAATAATAGTGCGGCGACTTCCTGTAATGGGTGATCTGCTGCGCCAGGTTCTCGCACCGTTCCGCTTTCCGTTGCCGGTACACGTCCGCGTGCACCCGGCTGATGTTCTTCCACATGACGTACAGTATGGCCGCGCAAATCAGACTGTACTCGATCGTGCACGGGAACAGGAACGGGCTGGCGTTCTGCACCAGCGACCCGATGATGTTTGTCCGGCGGCATTCGTAGATGTGGTGCGGCCCCGTGTTGAGGCCGTGTCGAAATTCCGCCGCTGCGATGATCGATGCCGGCGATTGTGTCGTCGTCGTCGTCGTCGTCGTAGTCACCGTCGGCATCGTCCACATTTTGAAAAGCGCGTCCGAGTTTGTGTTTTTATTTCCTAAATATTTCATCACTTTTATCGGCACACAGTACTGTAAATTAGTGATGTGACACGAATCCGGATTTCAGATTTCGAACGCCGAAAATGTGGGTTATCGAACTTCGATAAATCCGGATTTTTTCCACCACTACTATAATATCAATTATAATAATACGTACTTACACAACGTTATAATGCTCACGGTTAAACCGGTTCGGATAAGAGGCCGTTATACCCGCGTATTGAGTGTGAATTTAGGGGGTGCTAGAATAGTGTGTGGTACACTGATTCCTGGGGGGTGGGTTAGCCTCCCACACCCCCCCCCCTAGTACTATAATAAGCTACACTACAATAGTTTTAAGTTTGTACACAATTTCAATTATAGGGTGGAACATAATTTCGCAACTAACCGTTTAAAATATAAATATAAATTAAGATAATATGATTTCCTACATGATTGCTGTTTATTGTTTAGACGAAAACTGAATAGTACATTCGTACAATACTGTTTTTGACTTGTAGCGGAAAAAAATAAATACTTTATCAAAACCAACAAACCACAATAGTTTACAAATTATTGGTGAAATGCCGAAATAAATTATTCGGGGAAACTGCGGGTGCTAATTTGAAGCCTGGGGGTGATAAGTATCTCCTGTCCCCCCCCCCCCCGGCCATTTGTGTGACTTTGGTCTCCTTTTTACAACCACGCGACAAATTTTCCTTCTGTTATAAGACGGTACCGGTACATGCGGGTATAAGGTCCTCATAAAAAAATTCAACGTGTCATTATATCATCAAGTATTATCATTGTCGACTTACTCGAAAAATGATTCGGTTGTTTGGCCACGCCGATGGAATTATCCGCCGGGTTGTAAAACGTTAATATCTCGTGTTTGGTCTCCTGCACGAGAACGTTGAGCCACACAGATAGATTGGTGCCGATCATGTGCATTAGTCCGAACTTCGCCAACACCTGATGTCGGGTCACTCGCATTTGTTGCTGCCGCCGAAAGAATGAACACAATATTTATTACACATAATATTATTACGGATAACACAACATTTTCGTAATACAAAAAATTTTGAATTCTGTGTGGAGCGAGGAATATATTCATTTTACAGTGATGTTTATTTGTATTTGTAATTTTTTTCCTATGAACACATTTTATACCAGCGATTTTGCTCCAATTTGCAATGACAGCACTCTATCTGTAAGGAAATCTGACTGAAGTGGTACTTTAACGGAGGAATTTTTTTGATTTTCCCAGTTGTGATCATAGTTAATGGGAAAACACCGGAAAAAACGGAGGAAAAACGGGAAAATAGGAACAATGTTAAACAAATATCAGTAAAATGTTGACAAATTGTTGAAAAAAACAACGCTACCAACCAAACTTCACTCTGAATCGTTTTTTCGCTTGAAATATACATTCAATTTCCCTTTTATTACCTTCACAACTTCTCACCTACAACAGTAGTCTACCCACGTGCGAAATATGTTGGTCTTTTTTTTTTTTTTTTTACGCTAAAATAACACGATTAAGTCTCTCAAAATGGATGGGGATTTTTGCTCAAAAACCGTTTGAACTATCTACCGAACACCCATTCGTCAACTCAACTTTGAATATGTATCCGTTCCGTTGAATAAATAATTTTAACGACCGTATGGTTTTTATGTCCAGTACCTCAACAGCGAAATTTTTTAAGGAGTCGTGGTGAGCTTCTTGAGAAACGTGTGATTAAAACGATATAATATACGGAATCTTGTAATGCGGAAACGTAATACGGACGGCGAGATATGAAACGTGAAAATAAAAGAGTATCCGACCGCTATTTGTGTGTGATAAATAAAACTAAAATATTATTACTATATCGAAAACGGATTAAATGGTTTGAAGGGTTCGGCAGTTTACAGAAATCAAGAATCTTACCTCGTCGTTTAAAAATATAAAATACATTTGGATGAATATGAACGCCATCCTGGTGGCCGGCGTGAGTACTAGCAGGATGTTATGGCATTTCGTAGCAGGTTCGAGTTCGAAATACTGGCCGAATTCCAGTCCGGAATAAATCATACTGCCAATGCCGAAAGCTGTACAAAAACAAAACGATATTCAATTAGCAATGGATTTTTAGGAGATTATCACTCATTTTAATTTAGATCCGTGCGAGCAGAGTGTCGGAAACCGAAATTCGCCGGGATGGAGTGGATGAAATCATATAGTGGTATAAATCACATTTTCGTAAAATTTGAGTTATATCATAAAAAGTAAATTTATCAACATGCAAAGTAAAATAATTTATAACCCAAAAACTCCATCACCAGGTAGCAGCAAAAAGTAATAAATTAAACAAAACAGCCGTTTCATTTACAGTGAAACCACCATCTGACACCACTACGACCACCATAATTTCTGTTTTCAAAATTATAACTGTTGAATTGCTGCATAATAGTACAAGTCATTTCAAACTTATAACTACTAGATAAACATGTATATCAGATGGATAATATTCTGCAAAATATTATGTTGTCCACAGTACAAGCCTGCTACGTGTTCTATCAAATGTTAACGTTTGCGTGATATGTCGTTCAATAATTTATTTTTTAAATTTCAGTACACCTTTTTGTTTCTCAAATTAAGGAAAATGTGACTTATAGCACTACGTGGTTTAGAAAAGGCATCGGCTCGCGGAATTTTAGGATTTTTACCGGTCCGAAATTATAAAAAAAATAGATAAAAATGACAAGTATTAAAAAAAAAAAAACAAATATAATTTTGGGGAGCTCATCGAGATTTTCTTTGTAGGTAATCGGTTTAATTCGGAGATCCGTGAAACTAGCGGGAACTTGAAAAGCACTGATTCCCGCTATACTACCGAATTTCAGTGCTCAATTGGTGCTTTCAGAATGTATACAAATAAACATTTGTGCTGATTCCGAACCCGAGTTATCGCTATCGCTAATTTTTTACTTAATTATTAGTATTATAACTCTACAGTCATTTATCACGCTAACAACGTTGATGTTGACATATAGGTAATATTATAGTTTCAATGGTTCTTTATTATCTTTGAGTTGTTCACAGACATTGTTTAATATTTTAAGTTATGTGCAAATGATCGAGTTTTGATTGACTGTCAGGTTATCTCATGTCCCACTATGTAGAAATGCTATTTCCTTCAGGTAAGTCTATTTGCTTAATATCTTGTACACTAACTATACTTATACTATGTATCACTAACTTGTTAGAATTATTCTAAGTAATATAGATAGTAGATACTTCTAACAACACACTTGTAAGTGTCTGCAATAATCGATAGTATGTGTTTTTTTTTTTTTTTTTTGTAAAAGTGTTTTTGATAAAAAAAAAATACGGGCTTGATTGAGGACCACGGACTTTAGGCCACCCTGGTGCCGCGCCTGTCCACTTGTTTAATTTGTGATAAAATTAGATAACTTTTGAAACCATGAAAAACAAAACTATCATTGTTATTTAACATTAAAACAAGTTTCGTTAGCAATATGACCATGTGAATATTAGACTTCTCTGATTTGGTTATTATCTTATTAAATGAAATATTTTTACATTCTACAATGCACTGTAGTATCTACAACATACAAAAAACAAGAAGATGAAATCAGTTAAAATTATTAATGTGAGTACAATTTAAAAATGTATTTTATATAATAAATGTACCAGTAGCCCCGATTCTAGGGTTGGTCCACCGGGACATTTGCCCTGAGCTCCGCGCTTACGACATTAAAACAAATTCAAATTATAATTAAAATAACAAAAATCATAAGGTCAATAATGACTTAAGATAATACAGAACAATATATTATCAGTGTTTCTATTTCTACTCTTTCCCTCATATCACTACCCAACCAGCTAAACCTATTCTTCCTCATTTGGTATACAAACCGTGTCACTCTTACTCGTGCACAACCCATAATAAATGTATTAACTATTCTTTTAACGGCACCACTCTTGGCCTACTTGGTTTTTCTCCATAAAATCTTGGTATGCATTATACTCCATCTTTAAACTTTGAACATCGCACGAATGAAACCGTAGGTAAATTAAAAGGCATTAAGAGTCGTGGGATTTATTAAGTGCAACACCACTCATTTTTCTTCTGCTCATTGCCTCCGGAGACATAATACTTCGCGTTAGTACGTTCGATATTAGAATACGGAACGGTAATATGGCATTCTTACTTGGCTAAATATGAATTAATATTCGAAGGTGTCCAAAATAGGTTTCTTTCCTACGCAGCCCATGTCCTTAAATATTCGTAGTATATTGGAAATTCCATTACTTTCATCCCGCCGAAAAGACATTGGCGTGCAATTTATTTCTTCACTCTTTAGAGGCACCACAAATGCTCCTGATCTCCTATCATACTTACGTATTCTTATCCCTTTCTTCTTTTCCAGACATCACTCCCTCTTCCTAGTACCAGCGCACAGTACATCCTATGGTTATAGCCACCCCTTACATAGAATGCTTCGTAATTTAAATAACCTTATTTTTTATTTCAACTATAGGTAATTAAATGTACGATTAGCAGTAATGTTTTTATATTTAATTTAATTTTTTAAATTTGTTTTTTTGTAGGGTGGTAATACATCACTATCTAATTTGTATCTTGTTTTCTCCGCATTATTTCCATTGTTACTGTGTATTATCAGTATTATGTTATAAATAACTATTACTTGTAAACCAAATCCTAAATCATAAAATTTCCGACTGGCGTTTATAAATAAATAAATTTCCTTCCTAAGGAAAACATATCCGCCTTAGAATTTTTGTCTTTACTGTACTTATCCTTTGTTTCATTAACTGTTCTCTGCAAAGTTCTGAAAAAAAATCTGAAAGTTCGATTTCAAGTTCACATTTAAATACTCTGTACGCATTTGAATAATGTATTAAATGATTTGAATACAAAATTACAAATTTGTCTGTTTTATGTTCATGATGACATGAATACAAATATCAAACGGGTCAGATCATCAAAATATGTTGTGGTTGCATTATTATTATTTACAGAATAAACTTTAGGTTTGGAAACTAGAACGGTATTGTAAAAATTAAGTTATTGTAATAAGTGTAGTTATTATTTTTTTTTTTTTTGTACTTATAAGAAATATGCATGTTTTCAATAAACAGGAGAATTTTTATTAAAATAGTTTTATTTGATCTATTTTCACTCATCTCTCTAAACTGGAGTTTAAATAGAGTACTAATTTATTTTTTAAATATTATCCTAAAAAAAAAATACAAAATAAAATAAATAGACTTAAATGAAGGAAATAGCATTTTTACATAGTGGGACATGAGTACAATAACCCGACAGTCAATCAAAACTTGATCATTTGCACATAACTTAAAATATTAAACAATGTCTGTAAACAACTCAAAGACAATAAAAAACCATTGAAACTATAATATTACCTATATGTCAACATCAACGTTGTTAGCGTAATAAATGACTGTAGAATTATAATACTAAGACTTAAGTTAAAAATTAGTGATAGTGATAATTCGGGTTTGGAGTGAGCACAAATTATTATTTGTATATATTCTGAAAGCACCAATTGAGCACTAAAATTCGGTAGTATAGCGGGAATCAGTGCTTTTCTAGGTCCGTGAAACGGGAACTTGAATCCCGACCTGCATAGGTCACATTATTATAACGTTATTGTTTTAATATCAATGAAATTTCCAATTTTAACGCACCTACAGCACCCATTCTCAGATAAAAACTCCCGTAATGTTGGAAAGTAGAGGGCAGCACGGCGTGAGACGATTGCCTTCGAGTTTTTTGATTGTACGACGACGACCAGTTGTTGATATTATTGACGGGAGCGACTTTCTTCCCGTTCGCGTATTCATTTTCGTAATATTCCGAGTCAGCTTCGCTGTTATCCGATCCACCATCGGACAACGATTCGGTTCCCGAGTTATCTAATCAATAATAAAAATAATTCTAAATCGAATTCTCAACGCACGATATCGGCCAACCGTGGAATACATACATTAGATAGTATTAATATTATTGTTGTATTATGATATTAAATAATATTATTTTTTTTTTTTTTTATTTCAATAAGTGCTTTTCTCTTTTTTTCTGAATGAATAATTGAAATTAATAAGGAATAATTCATTAGAATAGTCTTTATTAGATACATCAGATATGTCTGATGAAGAAATAATTGTATACATATTTGTGAGCCTAGATTAATTTGTGACAAGTATAATCCTTTGCACAATTTTGATGATTACGAATTTGATAATTAATTTGAGTCGGTTTGATAACTAGTGTTTTGGTAATAACATGAGTACAAAACAATGATTAAGCAACACTTGTAAATTTAACATAAGTTAAACATTGAATTTATCAACAGTTTATCATTATATAAATATTTAACACTAGATTTATCGATAGATAAGTTTGGTGCAACCGGGCATAAAGCCTTTTTAAATTCAAAATTCTTTACTTTTTAGTCAGAGAATTCCAAAATTGTATGTGTCGGTATGTTAATGTACTAAAAAATACCTCAACATACATTGTGCCCCACGAAGATAATATACGCATTATAATATCTCCTGAAACAATAAATATAATTCAATCCTGTTGTTTTTATTTATATTACTCGAGGGCAAATAGACTAAAAATATGTATATTTAAACTAAAATTTTACGTTCTAGTAAAAAAAAAAACTAAAAATTTACTATTTACTCTACTAACGAAAAATGTATAGCCATTTTATAGAGTTTATTTTTCAGAAAATGTTGAAGTTTCAACTTTTTATTATTATTATTAAATTTGTGATTTTTAATAATTTGCTTTAAGTCCAGAGAAAAGTACCTATAATAATGCTGTAAGTTGTAATCGAATTTCCTAATTGATTATTACTATTTTAGCTGGTTGACGACTGTACACTTTTTTTCTAAACTTTAAAAAATTACTAAATAATCATCAATTTAATAAAAATAAAAAGCTGAAACGTCAAAATTGTCAGAAAAATAAACTGTATACAATTTTTCAAAAGTAATGAAATCGAATGTTATATTTTTAGTTTTTTATCAAAACATAAAACATAAATTTAAATATAAGTATCTGTAGTCCTTATTCCTATAAGTAATTAACATACACCTATTTAAATAAAAAAAAAAAAACAGAATTTGGTTATCTTTATTATGTCACGGAGATATATTTTTGTACGGCACTGTATGCATTATTTTGGTTTCTACGGAACCTATCCACACCACTATAATATGAAAGAAGTCAGATAAGTAACTAAATAGTAAATCAAGTACATGTTATTTAATGTTAAACATATAGTTAGGTATTTGATTTCAATGATAATTTTAGGGTAGATTGAATTTTAATGATAAAAATACATAAATTATGAAAAATTGATAATTTTAACCTGGGTATGCGTTTATATAATACGTGGTCAGTGTATTTTAATACTCACCGTATTATTACCTTAGTAGGTACAAATCGCCTATAAGAAAAATTGTCTATAATAACAGGAGATTTGAACCCTATTTGTATTATTACCTTGGTGGGTACAAATCGCCATCCAAAACTAGGTAATAATATAAAAAAATGTAGCCAAATATAGGTTATCTATCATTAGGACGCAAAAATCATATTTTATTTTAAAATACCTATGCAATTATTAATTAAATTTGTGACTGATACTCATACAAATTGGAAATCCGAAACACGTTGTTTAATTTTATAAATTCATTTTTAGACGATTGAATTAGCACGATCGCCTTTGAATCCGGCACAGTTTTTCCTGTATAATATACCCTTTTATACATTTGTGTAAGTTCGTGTTTATACAAATTTGTTAGATAGTGTTTCGGTTAGTTGCTTTATTTCAAAAGGTAATATGAAGTTATATTTGACTTTGTTCTTGTATTATTCTGTGGATATATACAGAAAGGAAACGCTCATATTTATATATGTTTATATTTGAAAAAAATATTAGTGAAACATTGACTTCAAAACAATGAACAGAAATATTTGTATTCAATGAATTATAACAAATCATTACAATTTATACACACCGAGGTAATAATACACGTGGGATACAAATCGCCTGTTACAACGGCACAATTATCAAATTCAATATCACCTTCCTTGGCAAAAACCTAAATATACTCCACGTTGTAATAGTTATACAACGTAGGATATACTCACTGAAATTCGTGTTGACCGGCGTCATCGTGGGTTTCCCTTTGAGCAGCATTGCGTACATGTAAAAAAGAAATGCCATGCTCCCGAAGTAAAGGTACAGGTAATAACCCTGAAAATCATATTTGCAAAAAATAAATAAATCCTCACAATATTATAGATAATAATAAAAAATACCTATATACGCATCGACTGTAGTTAAATACTAAATCATAATTTTACCTCGTAAAACGAATGTGGAATGTGCGTGGATATGACTTCAGACATCGGAAAAGCTATGCCCATGACCACCAAAAGTTTGCCGTATAGAGCGGAGAGAGTTGTGGCGAGAGCTTGACTGTAATAGTAAATTATGATACAATAAAAATACTCTTGATGTCAGTAACAAAATTCAAAATTGTATTATCCGTATAAAGTATTGTATTAAATCATTGCAAACGAAAAACGATTCTGAACGAAGACCGTTTAAAACATTTTTCGAAAGATTTAAATTAAACATTGTACCTTATCAATTTGTGCAAAATAAATTAACGTTATCGTGGTTTTAATTTCACGAATTCGAACTTAAATATTTGATCAGTGTTTACAACATTTGTATAGATTTTATATGATTCAAATACCTATAAATAACTAAAAAATACTACTTGTATTGAAATCTATACAAAATGGGCTTACGCCTTTTTACCCTGGAACCAAATATGTCTAGCGTTTTAACTTACGCTCCCATTTTTCTCCAAGTATTGTGAAGCTCCTCAATTGTTGATTCCCTTTTCATTTGATTCGGTATTTTTAATATGGAAACGTTCAGCACGGTTGAATCTTTTACCGTCGGCATACTAAAAAAAGTTTTAAAAAAATTCTAACAAATAATAAAACAATACGTTAATAAACGACCCTAATACTTGTACACTAATACTTACATATACTTTATATAGCAATTTATCGAATCAATACGTGCAACATATGCCAATTTACTGTACTTTAAACTGTATAGGTAGTATAAGTTATATTATAATCATCGATAAGTTTTGAATTTGTTAAAAAATGTACAAAAAAATCGTTTTTTCATCATAAATTGCTATCTCAGAAAACAAATGCGAAAGAAAAAAATTTGGTGTTCCTTAGAAAAAAATATGGGTGTATCTTGATCGTGGTATTTTCGTTTGGAAATTTTATTACACAAGGGTTGAAATGTTAAAAATTTATTCAAAATGTTTACTTTGAAACTCCCCCCCCCTGAAATAAAAAACGTGAAATATTTTTCGCGTTACCGTTTTGAGTGAAATCATTATTGTCCGATAAAATTTGAGATTTTGACTTTACTGATCTACAATGATGGCAAGTTTAAAAAGACGTCCTCGGATAATGGGGATGGGTACAACCATTGTTATAGATAATTTAATGTATACCTGTAAACAACGATAAACCATTGCTTACGAAAAAACGATTCTGTGAGGAGTTCAGTTGATAATGATTTTTTGTCAACAATGTATGTCATTTTATAGTAAAATAATTAAATAAGCTTTATATATTTTCTTTAATGATGTTTGTTTATTATTGTACCGATTTTCCCAGTTTTCTTACGTTTTTACCGGTTTTCCCATATTTTATCCCGGTTTTTCACATTTACTGGGAAAACTCTTAGGAAAATCTAAAAATTACCTGTCTAAAATACTTTCTCAGTCAAATTTCCTTTCGAGAACATCATTATAAGTTGGGGCGAAATTGCTTGTAAAAAAGTTATGCACAGAAAAAAAGAAGGCCGTAATATATTTTGACTGATACCTACATTTTCCTTTATTTTCTCGTTTTTCCTCAGATTTTTTTTTTGTTTTTTTCAAACTTGATTAGAAAACTTTTGAAAAAATCGAAAAATTACCTCCTTAAAGTACCTCCCAACACTGACTTCCTTCCAAAAAAGATGCTACACCTTAAAATCTGATCAAATTTTCTGAGAGAAAAGTGGTGCACAGAGAGAAAAAAAATAAACATGTTTGTAAAATTATAAGCTTCGTCATTCCACTCAAAATCTAAAAATGATAAAGAAACATCGTATTGCATATAATCGTTGTTCGTTATAAGTATCGAAAAAACCAAATTATCTAACAATATTTATTTCAAAGAACCTATTGACTTTTGGAGTTTTGCCGGTGAGTCATACTTGTGGTGTATATACTTATCGTTATCATAATAAAATTATACTTACTCAGAAAATGTGGAATTCGGCGTAGGTGAAATGTCGTTATTGGCTTTATTATTACATGTGCCATCATTCGGAGGATTCGAATTCGGAGTGACTGAGTTCAGTGGCACACTTGAATCGATCCCAGAACGTTGATTTGACATCTCGCTAGCCCAACTTTCACGTATATGCAAAAATTAAATTTAAAATTATTGTTCTTAGTTTATTAATAAAGATTATAAATCCAGCCTCCCCAAAAAAAATCGTATTAAGTAAGTGCAAAAATTTAAAACTTTTAGTTTAAAAACTTCCATATAGTTAAAAACATATATATATATATATATATATATATATTTTTAAGTGTATACTTTTTAAAATTAAAATTTAAAAATATGGATGGAACACCAAATAGTAAATTTGCTCTACATGATTTAAAAAAAAAAAAAAAAAAATGTAAAACAAATTTATTAGGATTTAAACGTGATGATAAAATTAGAAATCATATAAAATTAATAATTTTATCGAACATTCACATGTATAACTTTATATAGTTTTTAATCATGTAGCAATACACTTAAACGTACTAAAGGAACCTCTCGCTAGGTTCCTATTGGGAAAATACTTTACAGATACAAATCATAAATGGACAGTATGATATTCAAAATAAATGAAACTATTCGATAACTAATAATGTAAATATTATCCAAAAAAAAAAAAAAAACAAAAATTAAAATAATAAAACAAAGACACAATGTAGTACTAGTATGTGTATTACAATTTTATTAATAAATAAGACCAATTGACCTAAACAAATGTAAATAGATAAAAATTCATCATAACAGCAACTCAAAAAAATAGCTGATACTGGGGACGGGTGCGGCCACTGTTGTAGGTGAGAAGTTGGGAAGGTAGGATACATAAGGTTATTTTATTTATATCTGTAAGTAACAATAAACCAATGATGACGAAAGACGATTCCGAGCGCGGTACGGCAATACATAATTTGAAGTACCGTAATTCTTTTTAGCATAACCTTCCCACGTTAGGTCCTGATTATTATGAAAACTAATTCGAAAATCAAAAAAAACGATCTGCATCATTATAAACAAGATTAATGATTCAACAAAAAATGTTTCTTGCCGTTTTTCAATTGGAGCCATATTTGTGTTATAAAACGTGGTAGGTACTTATTTAAAATAACGAAATCGTGAATAAATCGGTTTTTCTTCCTGGTTAATCGCTTTTATATTAAATACCGTTTCGAAAATCAAAAAATTTGACCTGGGTATTTACCAAGTAGATAAAATTGACTTCCAGAAAAGATGCTACACTTCATACTACATCGGAGCAAGTTTTCTAGGATAAAAGTGGTCTATAGAATAAAAAAAAAGTACCATTGTAAAAAAAATTAAAAAAATTAAAAAAAGTTATCCGATGATTTTGGAAATTTCACCACGTCTAGGTAAATCTAATATAAATATTATTACCAAGTTACAAATCTCTACGTACATTTATAACCGAATTACATCAAAAAACTCCTTAAAATTCTATAAAAACTCAAAAATGGCTCAAAAGTTTTGCCGATGATACCGTAAGAAAGTAAATCAAAAAGGCAACAAAAAAGGTATCCAGTTATTTTTCGATTAAATCATTTTTTCTGGTAGAAAACGTCATCCATGTTTTCATAAAATAATGAAATCGTTAAATCGTACGTTCTCCTACGTTTTTTCCCACTTAAGTGCTTTTATTTAAAAAATAACGTCGAAAATCAAAACACGACTTCTATGACGTACTACATAGACAATGTGAGCTTTCAGAAAAGTTGCAAAACGTTAGAATCGGAGAAAGTTTATTAAGAAAAAACGTATCCACAGACTAGAAAAAAAAAATAAACCTTTTTGTAAAACTAATAGCTCCCTTACTACGCTCGGAATCTAAAAAACACAATATTTTAGAAGTGATTTGTGTACGCTCACATAAACATTACAAGGGCCACGTACCACCGATGACAACAAATTATCACTGATTCCGCGTGTTACCGTAGTTATGAAGTGTGACATTCCGATAAGCACACGGTATCTATCCGGCCGCCGACCGCTTAGCCGCACCATTGACCTTGGGCGCCACCTCACTTTCGCTCCACTCACCGCCAGCCGACCGCCGAACTTCTCATGCACAAACCGCACACGTGCCGCAAATAGAATAGTATCTTGGACGCGCCCGAACGGCAAACATTGGAATTGTCTCGCCGCAGTGATTGCACCGACTGACTCACGTGTCCCGGATCCCGAATAGCCCGTCAAGAAAGAAACGCGCCGGACGTTTCACATCCGAAAGAAAACGTACCTATAGGTACTTACATTTTTAAGTGGCTGGACGGTTAGGTTACGCACGACGACATGCCACGGACAACGTTTGGCGTACTACTGATAAGCGACGGCCCCTCCCAACCATTAGGTCTAAGAAACAATCAAGAATGTTCACGACTGACCTTATCGCTCCCGATAAACCATTATCAATACCGAACATCCTCCCACCTTTGGAAAGTTGGAATGAAGTCCCCCTGTACGGCTAACAGCTCTTCTGCACTATTGGCGCCAGCTAATATGTCATCCACAAACGTGTTATTAACTAACAGGTCCTTTGCAAGATGAAAATCTTCGTCGTAATCATGGTCCGATTGACGTAAACACCGCAAAGCGAGAAAAGGGGTCGCACTCACACTATATGTTACCGTCAACAATTTTACTCCTGCACCTCATCCTACGGAGACCTACGCCAAAGAATATGTTGGCATACTCAATCTTCTTCCCGTACTAAGATCTGTCGATAAATTTTTGTAATTTCGACGACAAAAATGTACTTGCAGAACCTGCAACGAAGTAGTACATCGCTAATTTCAATCTGTAATTTTGGGTCAGTGCACGGACAGTCATTCAAGGATATCCCAGACCTAGTTTTGGCCGAGGTGTTGAAGGCGACCCGGACTTTCAATCCCTTTTCTTCACGTTTAACTACGGAATGGTGTGGGATGAAATATTTGCTTACCACTGACGCTGGTTTCATGTATCCCAACCTCAGGTTATCGTCCATGAAATCGCGATATGCAGCATGCAACTCCACATCTTTAGCTAACCGTCGCTCAAGATTGTATAAACGGTTTAAGGCCAAAAAACGAGGTAAACCTAACTTGGTCGAGATCCCACTGTGAACAGACGCCCTCTGCGCTATTGGTGGTTCCGTCTTGGTACCTACAGTTGAACAAAATGGCAATGACACACAAAAATGTTCTAAAACTACTCTTTTCATTAACTGCTGAAACCATGTTATCCATTGTTCTACCTCCATTGTCGGTATAACAGGTTCCATGGTTCTTCTATAGTCCAAAATATTTACAGCAATCCGTCAATTTCAGTCATCCTTACTGATAATGAAACTCTAGATATCGTTGTTGACTCTTCCAGTGCTCCTACCACTATCCATCCGAGATGAGTGCTATCAAATCGAAAATTTGACCGTATATTTTTAAATATTTTCGATTTTTTTCCGAATATTTATAAACACTAAGTTTATTACTATAATATTACAATTTTAAAACTATTTGTTCTTCGAGTGCTGTAATATATTTGTGTATAGTATTATGTGTGCAAAATTATTTTTGCCCAAAACATGTTTTAAATGTGAAATTCATCATGCTTCTTTTCAGTGCTCGAACTGATAACGTAAAAGAAGAGGGACTATAAGACATAAAAAAAAATTAGCGTCACTTGCAATTATTGCACTCAACTCAACCCGTGGGAGACTTAGCTTTCCAAGCCTCCCACACTAATTTTCAAACATAATTCAGTAATTCATAATTTCCGATAGCAAACATACCTACTGCAGGCTCAGCCCTGCGTCCCCCCTCAATTCAACACTGCTTTATTGAGTATTTTGATTTCGATAATTTATTTTCTGTCGGAAAGGGGAAAAATGCATACAAGACGCATGGATTTATATTTTTGATTTATTTATCCACAAAGAAAAAGAAAAATGTTTAAAAAACATATTTTGAAATGCTGTAATTTTCACGTTTAAAGTCAACATTGTAACTTAAAAAAAATCTTCTTCAACACGCTTAACTTTTTTTATTCACTATCAAATACAACTTACGATCAATCTCGTATTAAATTTTTAAACTTTTCTGCTTAAAGCAGTTTGAAAGATTAAATGTTTGGAAGTTGGGGGACCATAAACAATTTTATCGGCAAAAGACCCAAGAAAAACGAAAAAACGAAAAAATAACTTAAAAATCATCGACAGAATGTTATGAATATTGTACGACACCTAGAAAATATTATAATTTAATATTAAGTATCCTATGAAAATTGCAGTCTCTACGATTACTTTTAATGAAATTACAACCAAAAAACAAAATCAAAAACAATGAAATATTTCTTGTCATAAGCTTTGCCCGTTTTGCCCATTATTAAGTAAACTGCAAAGAAAACCAGAATATGAACTCTATAATTCACCAACTAGATCCAAAATAGTCTTTTGTCATTTTTTATAAGAAAAGATTGTAGAAAAGTTCTTCGCCGACAGAAAAGAAATAACAAAAAAAAAAAAAACAAACATCATAATGAAATCTAACATTTTTAAAATTGATAATATTCAAACTTCAATAATTGTAACGTTTGGAAAAATTTCAAATTTCCAAAATCTAAGACCACTCTCCGTAAATAAAAAAAAAAAACAAAACATGATCAAAATCGGTTCACTCTACTCGTATAGGCATGTGTTTCTTATAAAACATATTTTTACACAAGAACAAATGTTGCACTACATAACCCTTAACATACATTTTCTTCAACAATTTCATTGATGAAACGAATAGCCCAAAAATGTATTTATCAAATATTTTCGGCTAGTCTATACACGAGTCTTATTAAAATATTTCTACGTTACATTTTTGTTTCATAATAATAATGTATTTTATGACGTCCATCGTAAGAATAAATATAGTTCACCGGATGTATTTAGCACAACACTATTTTACTAACCGGTTTTTATTCACTTATTATTCGTTAATGGTTATGATGTCAAAAATTCATTCGTAAAAAAATGTACACAAACACATTTCATCGCTATAGCCATTGATTATCGAGTAGAAATGAAAACTGTATTTAAGGCATATAAATTATATAATATGCATAAAAAAATATATATAAACGAATATTTTCAACTGGATTACAATAAAAAAACAATAATGAAATCATTATTTGCGTTAACTTTCCTGTTCGTGCTACGTTTTTTTCCCGGTTTTGCTCAATTATTCAGAAAATTACACGGGAAATCAATAAACGATTTTCTCATTCACCACCTAGATCCAAAATCCAATAAGAAAGATATCTTGTCGTTTTTTTAATGGCGCAAGATTTATGGTCGAAAATTTGTTTACAGACAGAAAATATATAAAAAATATTCGTGTTCTCAATTTTTTCCCAGCCTATTTCGTCTTATTTGCTTAACGTCCCGTGTTTCACCAGCCTATAGTGCTACACTCGTTTTGATTAAACGGTTGTTTTTTTTTTTTTAAAATTAGACACATATATTTTTATGTTAATAATTTCCCCTTTAGTAGGAATGTCTTTTTTGCTTACCCTATTCTAATTTTTACAAATGGGTCTATATAGCTATCCAGCTATACGTATTAGGAGTAGGATATTACGAAATAATAAGTAGGTAATTTATTATTTTAACTTTTTAATTCACCTCTTATAGGGCGATTGAAATAAAAATATTACACGCCGTCAGTAACAATTGCCACAACACAATAGAATATTTTATATTATTATCAAAGCCCGGATGTTCTCACATTTACATAACCTACCTAATAATAATACATTATTAATGTTATCAACCTTGTCCAATAAATAACTCGATTGATTGCAAATTGGTTTTAAGTGTACAATAAATACACGTTTGAATAATCATTTCGTATAGGTACTAATTAATGAGTAATATTAAATACCTATGTTAAAAAAAGATACGGACATACTTTGCACGATGGGTGGGCAAATGTTGTAGGTGGGAAATTGGGAAGGTATAGGATACAGAAAGGAATTTAATGTATATCAGTACGCAACGATTAACCATTGCAAATGAAAAACGATTCTGATCAGAGAACGGTTATTATTGTTTTGTCAACAGTATTTATGTCATATTATAGTAAAATAATTATATATTTTTTTTAATATTGTACCTATTTTTCCGTTATTCCTACATATCTACTCGGTTTTCTCCAATTATTATGAAAACAGCTAAGCAAATCAAAAAATTACTCCTCTAAAGTACCACCTCAGTTTCTTTTTAGAAAAAGTGATATAATTAAAAATCTGAGCAAAATTGCTGGTAGAAAAGTGTTCACAGATAAAAAAAAAATAATAATAATAAACATCACTGTAAAACCAATTGATTCCTCGCTCCACTCAGAATCAAAAAATATATAAACTGCCGTGTCACTGCGGCGTCTTTTTAATATCTGTTAGACTAGAGCAAACTTATCGAATTTGACGACTGAGTAATTTACCGGAAAAAAAAAATGTCTTTTTATTTGAGTATTACCCGTTATTTAATAAACATTTTACATTCTTATATCCTACTCACGAAAAAAAAATATAGGTTTTTACTTATTTTCGAGGCGTTTAAATTTTGTATTTTCTCGGAAAATTTAAAAATCCGTCCGAAAACATTTTCCACAGATTACGTGTCTACGGAGGCAAAACGAGTAAAAGATATATACAAAACGGATATTTTGAGAAATTTTTTTATTAGACTTGGATCTATTGCACTCAAACAAATTGCCAACTTAAGACATGATTAAAAGTTAGACTAGGATGAATGCCCGAGTTATCACTTTCCTCGAATAATATCATAATTTATGAAGCATTTCACCGAAGCAACCTACCAAAAGTTACACAAACTTGTTTGAAAAATTGTTTCAAAAAACTATTATATTATTTTTTTAATAACTTCACAATTCAGAATGACTCGTTATACTGGTAAATTATTTTTAAGTGTGAAAAATACGTTTGATGCATGCGTATTAGATTCCTATATAAAAAAAAAAAAAAGATACTTAACTGGAATTTAATAATATCGGATTTACTGAGCCTATAACGTTATAAATTTTCATCGGCAAAACAAGCAATTATAATATTAAATATTATATTCGTAAACACGATAAATTATTAAATTAATAATAACAGACTCGATTAGGGGACTATTAAACTGTTTGAACTGTTTGATTCTGAAATATACCGTCCTCGAAAATCATTATAAAATTTAATTATTTCGTGTATAAAATCATAAAGTAGACGAAATACAATTACAGACAAGTGTATTTTTTTTAACCAATTCGTTATTCAAGTGACAATTTATATGTCAATTATTTGCCCTTGTTTAAATATAATTAGGGTGAAACAAAACTTGACAAAATATTGAAACTTTCAGATTGATAATATATGAATATAATTTTTTTGTTTCAAAATCGAAAATTTAAAAATCATTAACAAATTTATTTTTGATTGAAAATTAGTAAATCGATAAGTTATTGGAATGAATCAAATTTAAACCATTATAAACTTCAAAAAATAATACCGACTGATGCACCAATTTTTTTTAATGAAATTTGTATTCATTTAAAAATATTGTTGAAACTTATCATCAATAAATGTTTACTTTCATAAACATTTTTTTAAATATTGCTATGGTTTTGTGAAAACAATGTATTATTTTTATTTTTTCCAAAAATACAAAATAGACGAGGTTCTAGAGATTATTACAAGAAAAAATTCTTAAATATATTGAAAAAAAAAAAAAGTTATGTTAGATCTACGTATTACACTTTGAATATACATACATTGCTGGTAATTTAATATTTTATATTATTTTGAATGTAAAGGGAAATAAGTCATTTATGTTTGTATATATATAATCATTTCCTTTCCTGTTTAACTGCCTCTGCAGATTTAATACAAATCCATGACGTCTTTACACTTAAAACGAGACGCACATAAATTTTAAGTCCAAATAATTTTATCATAAATATTCGTCACTGAACACGGCATTTTTTGTCGATTTTCCCCAAAAATATAAATTATTTCATCGTATTGACTCTGTGTGTATTTGTTAATACCGATAAACAAATATAAAGTACCGACTTTAGGACATTTTGAACGTTTTATTATAAGCGGATTGAAGAGACAAAATTTTGGTCGGATCATATGAACTTCGTCATGTTGTTGGAGAAAAGTATGTTGTTTTTTTTTTAGCTTTATACACCTCTACAGACCCCCCAAATAAAGCATAATTTCGCGTAATCATCGTGGTCTTTTGGTGTTTTCAACTTTTAACCACCTCCCCAATCATTTTTATACTCGGATTTCAAATTATCACGGTAAATACAGAGTTTTAAGTACCTTTGAAGACCCATGAAAGTAACTTTGTTAAAACGTGCAATCATAAATTAAAGATGTCGAGTATGAAATATTGTAACGGTAACAAGTCAGCTTGAGGGAAATTGGATTCTAACGACTTTGCTGATCAATTTTTTTTTTTTTTTTGGCAATCGTTTATTTTTGTTTTTTTTTTATCGTCACAACGACAATATTTTCGAAACTATTGAAAACATATTTATCGTCGAAAACTCGTCGTGTAACGCATCAAATAAATAATAATGTTTAAAATAGGAAATTCCAACAAAACGTAGAAATCGAAGGGAAAAAATTATAACTAAAACACTTATTATTATAATAAATTTGTTATCTATTAACAATATTAATATATTTTATGTATGTATTATCATTATACTACATTATACTATTATTTATGTATTCACAAATTATATGTATTTGAGTATTTATACTGAGTGTATTATTTATTTTATTATGCTCGGTCATGGGGGTTGAAAATGTGGGCGTTTCAAATCAAATTGCACATTCCATAGACGAAATTCTTTTTTTATTGCTTATTGATGCGTATGTGAAGCGTTAAGACGTATTAATTTGTTATTAATAATACGCATATTATGATTCGCGTACCTGTGTTGGACAGTGTATGATATTATACAATGCTAATAAATAACCGACAATGATTTACAATAAAATTGCTAATAATATTATAAAATTGTATTGAATTAAAATTATTTCGGAATAACGTTTGATAGGCGAAAATATAATACTGTACAAATGTTGAGAATTTATAAACGGCACAATTACTTAATCGCTGTATAATATACATAATATTATGGCTTATGGCTTACTTGTCAAAAAAAAAGTACATCACAGCTACTCGAATTATTTTATTTTCGATTTAACGTGTGCTGGACTATAGGTATAATATATACGTGAATATTTATGCCATTAGCGCCGAAAAATAAAATAAATGACACCTAATTACGTAAAACAAAATATTCGAAGAAAAAAAAAAAAAAAAAAACGAAAATATAAGTGCATATTTTGAACGGTTTTTGACATATTGATGCATATCATACATAATATAATGTCGGTATTTTATTTTATCTTTTTTTTTGTCTTTCTGCGTGATGTGCATCGTAGGTACCTCTATACATATTTTATCGTCTGATCATTGCATGTACGATACGATTCCAGTTGTGAAATTATTATAATAATATTTAAGCACGCGAAAAATATAAAAATAAATATACATGCTATGTACCTACCTAACGTTCTCTTCGTCGGTCTTCATGATTTGCGAAAATCGTGCCTACGAGGAAAAAACTTTCTGTGTTCCGTGTCGCACAGCGAGGGGCGTTACCCGCTTTGTAAATTTTTGTTTCGTAGTGTTTTGTTTTTGTTGTTTTTTTTTTTTGTTTTGCGATTTAAATGCGCATAAATTTGTTCCTCCTCGCGAATAACTATATCAGCACCGGCGGTGGCAGCGGATCGAATATCGTTTAATATTTACATCTATCGTAACATAATATTATTATTTGAAGTATAGGTGTATATTAATATTGTTACGAGATATTTTCTTTTATTTTCGCGGTTGTCGTGTCGCGGATAGGTATAAACGTGCGGGTCTCATTCGCTCGACCGCGATACGACTGCAATATGGGTACAATTTTTTTTTATTAAACGGACGGTTCGACAACGACTACGGCGGGATGGACCCCAACTATAATATTGTAAATAATATGATGCTGCGCGAATGATGATGTTCGTCGCCGTCCTACACTCGTAAAAAATAAATTATAATAATAATATATAAATTATAATCTGTGTCGAAACAAACGCAACGACTGCACTGCAGGACGTCGTGCGGCGGTGGAAGCGGAGGCCGGCTGTTGTCGGTGATGCTCTCTTTATTAGTCCCTTCGGTCACCGACGTATAAATCGGGTTCAGGGAAATTAAAAAAGAGGGAAAAAAAATGAAAAAAAAAAAATAAAAAATCTTCCTCGCGTATTATATATACGGACGTAAATATCACTCGTATTGTTAATAATTGAGCGGATGAAGCCGTTAATAAGTTCAACGGAAGCGGCACGTAATGCCGGTAGTAAACGCGTATGTTCGTCGTTTATAATATGGGTAATATTATTTAGAAAATTCGAATATAATTTATCATTAGTAGTGATGAGTATCGGGATAGGGGTTTATCAGGATTTTATTATTATTTTTTTTTTTCGGTTTATTTAGGACACTTATCACGTTAAATAATACAAGCCTAAGAAAAAGTTTAAACTTTTAAAACATTACAATATAATCGATGGAATTTTGTTAAAATGGCGTATACCTACAATTAAAAATCGAAAAAATACTTTTTTTGATATCAAAAAAATCGGAAAAATTAAGATCATAAATGTTAAAAGGGCGTATTTAAATACAGAAAATTAAGTTGTTATAATTTCGATGAAATTGAATGAAATACCCAGGCACCCTTTTGAAATATAATTAACTCAACGCTAACTTGTTAAAATTGCATATCCCACATTTAATCCACGTATACTTTGTGGACAATGTATCAAGTGTATGAGTAATTTTATTGTTTTTCGTGATAGACTTCATAAAAAAAGTTTTTTTTTCTTTTTTTAAAAAGTATTTTAGTGGTATACACGTTCTTTTAACAAGACACTGTCGATATATGTTTAGATCGTACTGCTATATTGTAAGTGTAACCTGAACGAAAACAGTAGATAAACAAAAAATAATAGAGGCATGTTTTTGTAGTATGACGGATGTTATAAGTATAAGCTGGGCCAAAAGAATGACAAAATCGAACGGAGTCGTTCGGTAAACTGGTAAAATCGTCCTCCCCCTTGTATATCCATTGTGAACCCCAAAAATCGATAAAAACAAACTAAATAAAAATACGTATCCGTTGAGTGGTTAATTTAAACATTTTTAGGAAATCTAGAAAAATTATTCGAAAAAATTGGCGCCAAGCAAAAGATACTCGCATCTTTCAAGGTACGATTATTCAAATACCTAGAAGGATTTTTAATAACCGAAAAAAGTGTTTTCCAAAGAAAAAAAACCAAACAAATCTTAATAAAACTACAGTTTCGATATCGTATACGTATATTGACCAAAAAGAAATATAGCGATTGTCTTTCGTCTAACTTATATATTAATATATATTGGTGTGTGATATTATTTTCCAAATTCCTTATAAAAAAAAAAAATTATAGTAATATACAATAAAATAACACACAAAAGAAAGAAAGTTTAAAAATAAAACATAATTACATTATATTAGAATAATTTTATTTAGTATCGATTCCGGTTTATACCTAACCGTGTAAACGTGATGCGATCCATTTCGGAATAATGACTATTTAAAAAAAAAAAATATATATATATATATATAGTATATTAAAATTGGTATAAATAAATTATTATTAATTATCCGCTCCAGAGAATAAATATTATAATATCGTGAAATCAAAAATAATTTGTCACGGCGCACTTAAGCGGCGCTCTTGACTAGTGACTTTCTCGGTTCTAAAACGATTTTAAATCCGTCAGTCCTCTTCAGGATAATGTCGGCTTGGAGTTTCCAATCTTTTTCGGCCACCGTCGAATGTACTACAAAGTTCCGTAGGATGGTGGACAAAATAATTTTCAATTTCAACATGGCGTATTTGCGACCTGAATAAAAAAAAATATAATGTATGATGTAGGTTAGGTATATAAAAAGTAATTCATTGGGCAGTGCATGGATTATTAAAAATAACAATATTTATTAAACGTCAAGTTGATTTTTTTTTTAAGTGAAACGTTTCGCATAGAATACAATAGGGAAAAAGTAGGTAGTAAATAGAATTGTTATTATTATTCATGCAGTATAATTTTTGATCAATTACGATTTCATTCACAAAAGGGTCCGCAGAGGTTAGAACGTTAATGAAAACGAACTTACGTTAATTTTATACACGGGAATACGATTATTTCAAAAAGAATTGTAAATAGGAAATTATTCGACTTTAACCTTGGTCTGATAATAAATTATTAATTCGCTTGGAAAATAACGGCAAAATTAAAAACATAGATAGATACGGCAAACATTTTAATATCTAAAAGGCCGTATTTAAGAGGTTTACTTATCGACAATTTTAACGAATTTTTTTTTAACTAACTTATCAATTCTAAAATATTCAAATTCGCAATATATGTACCGTGTTTTTTTTTTTTTATTTTTATGTGATTATACAATTTTAATTACTAAAATACTAAAATATTTTCAAGGTTAAAATTTAAAAGTTTTTGAAATTGAATTACGAGGGGGGGAAGATGTATCATGTTTTCTTAAGCCAGGTATAATTTATAACATTGACATATTAGTCGTCAGTGGCGTATTTATGATTTTACCATGGAATCGGGCATACATTTCATTAACAATGTTTTACCTACCCCTCTCCCCAATCCCTGCCTAGTTTTTCAGGCAAATTGATTAAATACATACACGTGAGTATATATGCAACATCCTCACAATTATTATTACAAAAAAAAAATCGTATAAAATCGTAAAAATCGTACGTACCGACACAACTCCTTGGCCCGGCGCTGAACGGCACGTATGCATAATAATGACGGCTGGCTGACTTTTCGGGCAAGAAATTGTCGGGATTGAACACGTCCGGGTTAGGGAACGTTTCTTCGTTGCGGTGGATTTTAAAAGTGGCGATTACGATCGTGGCGCCGGTTGGCAATACTGTGTCACTGGATGCTGAAGGTAAAAAAAAAAGAAAATGTATAATATAAACATACACACGATGAAAATATGTAAGCAGGTTGCCATTAAGAAAATGTCAATAATTTGAAATGTCTAATATAAATTTGTCTACACTCACGGAGTTTCACGTTCTCCTTCAGTTGACGCGAGATAATCGGTACCGGAGGGTACATTCGCAACGTCTCCATGATGCACCGTTCTAAATATTTCATCTGTAATGTGTCCTGGAACGTTACGGGTCTATCAGAGTCACCGAATATCGAGTATAGTTCTTCGACCACCTTTTCCTGTATACAGAACGAAAACAATAAACGTAAACGATATCGAAAATTTTAATACTTGGCACGCGCGTTTTTTTACCTGAATGTCTTTATGGGCACCCATCAAGCACAAAAAGAAACTGCTTCCGGCTGCCGTCGTATCGTGACCCTTATATGAGAAATTATACAAATAAAATACGTTAATTAACATTCGTACTGGTTTTGGCTAACGATCGATTATTTGTTTTAAATTCATATCCAGATATATAGACATTGGAACAAACCTCAAACATAATAGTGTCTACTTGTTCGCGAACTTCCTGATCGGACAATACAACGCCGTTTTCCGAGCATTCAATTAATAAATCCAAAAACGCCTTCCTCTTCTTCTCGCCTATAATATGTTTCAATAAACACAAGTATATAGTTAACATTTCGTCACACCAAGAATGATAATAATATAGTGTTCGTCATACCGATTCCGTCATCGTCTACGTCCAGATCGTCTTTCAAACCGGCAGATTGGCCAAATGAGTTTCCGTATGGCACTTCTTCGACCTCGGTCGTCGAGTTGGTTTCGATAACTTCTTCTTCTGCTACCGGACTGTCAGAAAGCTCGGTCAACTGGCTCTTATTTTTAAAATATTCTTCCTTCTTTTTGGCCAATACCTGTGTAATATTTACAATCGAATAATAGGTCAACGACTTTTTTTTTATCATACAATTAATCATAATTTATTATAGATACAGGTACTTACGTTATTGGTCAAACTGTGAATCAGATCGAGAAGTCCCACTTGTTGCTTTGCGTACTTGGTGAAATTAAAAATAAAATCCGGTTTCATCCACAAGTGCGTGTGACGCATATGTAAAATATCGCACATTCTTTGAAAAAAAAAAAAAAAAAACACCCCAGTTAAATATTATCAATATATAATAAGATGTATTTTTTTGTATTAATTTGATTATACTTCATAACAGCGGCGGCGTATTCGAAACCACTCTTCTTTTGAGTTTTTTTGCTCACACCCATTGCGGTCTCTATATATTATAACAAAAATAAACCGAATTATACGAGTAGATGCATATTAAAATTACGCAATAAAAATATTATGTGTTGCGCGTAAAATGTATTTATTTATTGTTAAAAGCTTACCTAATAAAATTTCCACGGTACATTCGCTCATGAAATCGTGAATGTCGAATTCTTTGTTGCCCATTTTTCGGAGTTTGTTAACAGTTTCACGGCTGTTTACGTTGAATAATCCCACGAAAGACTTGAGCACGTTCAAATGGAACGTCGGGGCGATCAATTTCCTGTGGGCCTTCCATTTGTCACCTGCGACAAATTGAAAAATGTCATCATTTTCCTATTCGCATAACTTCAGCGCACAAACCTTTCACTTACCAGTGCTTATTAACAGTCCGTTACCTAACCAAGGTTCGAACAGGCGATATTCGGGCGATTTGTCTATGTACACGTTGCTGCTCAAAATCACCTATGGCGAATTCACAATCGTATACTGAGTATTAAATATATAAACACGTTATGAGTTACTTCAACGTCTTTGGGATTGGTCAAGAATATCATCAATCTGGGTCCGATCCACATTTTTGCCGGTTTTGTCAAATCGAATTCGAAACTCTTCTCGTATATCTTGTGGAAGATGGCTGAACACGAAAATATCGAAATTTTAGATTTAGGTTTTTATTTATTTATTTTATTTACCACACCAACAAAAACAATGTGAATTTCTTTACACACGTCAACTCACCGTGCGAGTCTCGCAAAAAATCCAACGCGTTTCCCAAAAACGGCAGTCCGTCTGATCCTTGGATCTTATGGGCGAGTTCGTAGAGTTGTTTCCGAGACATCCTGTAGTAAACATACCATAAAACGAGCGCCGGCGTCAGCAAGTAGAAGAAAAGATTGAACGCCGACAGCATAAAAAGAGGGTTGATACCCTGTACGTCGACCGCCATTCTGTACGCAAACAAATCAATATCTTTTTTTTAATAAGTTGTTAAATTTGGTAAAATTCTAAATTTAAAATTTAAAAAAAATAGATACGAAGAAAGAAATCAGCCTAGAGTTATTTAGATATAATATTATTAGTTGTGTTTTATTTTCGACCGATTTTCATCTCAAAACAATCATTATTAGACAAGTCGAAAGTTTCGAACGTTATATTACACTCGTAACCTTTCCGATCAAAATGATTGAGAATAGTCAAAATCCACAAAGTTAGGGAATTTACGTGCAACGTTACCGAAACATTTAATAGGCAATCAAACGATTTTATACCGTTATATACACACACATATATATAGATTTTTTTTTTTTTTTTGGTTCGACGATTGTTAGACACAGTCATAATAAGTCATTCTTCATCGGTGTAAGAAAAATCAATTTTATTTAATAACTGATAGTATAGGTGTAACGAAAAACAGTAGAAAATATATAATGAACTATTAAAATAAGTTATATTAAATGTATATAAATTAAAATTAAAAAGTAGAATATATTATATGTTCATGTATTATAAGTTATAGTCACTTATAAGTACTTATAATGTAAAAATGATATTAAAAACGGGTCTGTATTATGTATACGTTTAGAAGAAATTTCGAATAAATAACCATGGTCATGATAATTATAAACGTATAAACCAATTTAATCGTATTATTGAAAAACAAATGGACATATTTCGCAAGATGGGTATGCGAGAAGTTGAGAAGGTAGAGGAGAAATTGAATGTACATCTATACGCAACGATTAATCATTGCTAACGAAAACCTATTCTGGACGGAGTTCGGTTATACGTGTTCTGAAAGGCCGTGATATTTGCAATTGGAAAATAATACGTTTTGTAAATTTTCTTGTTTTTCCTACGTTTTTTCTCAGTTTTTCCCATTTATTATGAAAATCACTGAGAAAATCAACCCAAAAATTAGCCTCCCTAAAGTACCATCCTAGTGAAATTTCCTATCAAAAAAGAAGCTACCCATTTGAAAATTGGAGTAAAATGTCTGGTAGAAAAGATGTTTACAGAAAAAAAAAAACACCATTATTATAAAACCAATATATTCCTCGCTCCGTTCAGAATCTAAAATAAAAACGCCTATTGTATCGGAACCGAGCCGAAAATATAACACGCGACGCAAACCAAATAATACTCGAAGCCACATCATTGCTCCACGGTGTTTACTAAAATAATTTTAACCATTTTGAATTATAACACATATTACGTCTGTACTCTATGCCCGTCGGGCGTTTATAAATAAATATAAATATAAATACATATGTACCCTTTAGATGTATTGTTTACAGGTAGATTATTTGCGTTCGTTTATTGTTTGTTTTCGATTTTGTTCGATGGCACTGATTGGGTCGTTTGATATTTAATTCGCCAAACCGAATAATATTACGGTTCGTGTGAAAAGTCACTAGAGCTTCTTCGTTGCATAAACATTATTTAAATGAATACTAAATAATATGGTCTATGTAACGTATGCATATTATAATTGCAGATGTGCACGGCGATTGTTCGATACCGTTCGAAAAAAATAAATAAAATTACCCCGTCGAAGAATATCATTAATATCAATATGCGGTCGACTCGCAAACGGATACGGTTTGAACTTATCGGAACCTTTACGACTAACCTACACGGCATATCATATTAAATGCTCGCGAAAAGGATATGAATACGATACATCATTGACACGGCGATTATTGTTGTGTTATATTTATTGCATCAAATTATCGTATGAAAAATAATTCGTCCAAATGACATAAGCGTGCGTATATTCTATAACACGTGTTATACTGAAAATACATTTAAAAATGTCACTATAATGTTATCTTGGTGGGCAAAATTAAATACAACCCATAAAAAAAGGTTACACGAATATTGAATAATTGCTCGTATTTAATACTATACGAACTGATTTGAGCTTGTCTTATCCGAGACCAAGGATATTACGATAATTATAATAATGCGTAACAATATTTCGTTTATTTTATTTTTAAGAAACGCGACTTCTCCGATTTTGAATAACTATAATATTATTATTATTATTATTATTATGGAACTTAATAAAGAATCCGTTTCATTCGGGGTGACTGTTATATATTATTACTATTTAAATTCACAAGGATCCCTCCGTCTCATAAACTTCGCACACGAAAACGGACTTCGGTAATATTGTTAACCCAATGTGCGATTTCAAGTGTCGCGATAATCGATTTGAATAGTATTTTAGACTTGAACACATTTTGAAATATATTATGTCGAAAGATAGATCTTCCAACGCAATATTAATTTCACAGGATATTATTTAATAGTATGTATATCTATGCTAGAACACTTTAGATATCACATTTAGATATTACAAGTGTACAATAGATAGGTACGTTATAATGTCAAAAAACTGTTGGAGTTCAATTATAATTTAGCCCTGAAGTCTATTATGTTTTTGAATTTTGTCTACGAGGATAAATCACTTATACGTATTTCGTTTTATTTTTGATAAGTAAAAATACAAATAAAATAAAATATTGTTTTCATTTAAAAAATTGAAAAATGCACAAAATTTTAATACTTCTTTATAAGTTTTTTTTTTTTTTTTTTTTACAGTAATAAACACGTTTTGAAAAACTCTGTATCGAAACTGTCATAACTACGGTAATTTGTACATATTTGTTCATTTTTCGATTTATTTTTATAGCATTTTTTGATCTTTATGCGTATGATACATTTTTTTTTTTTTATACGGTTTTTATTTGTTAGTTTATTATCGATGCGATATTTTTCGGTTATAAAAATATTATTCGTAAGTAAATTATAATTTAGTTTTAATTTAATATCCTGCGGGAAAATCTAAAACTAAGTATACCAATATATATACGTTATTGACAAAAAAAGTAAAAATACACGTAAACAATTTAATGTTCTTACTATTAAAAAAAAAAAAAAAAAACAACTAAACTATCCATCTATCCTTGAAATAACGGTGACGATTAGTGTAAAAATATTATAATATTGTTTTGAAAATACATTATATAACTATTCTATTATGTTTTATTAGGTATTAGTGTTGTTGTTGTTATTAGTACTTATGCAAGTATTGTGCCCATATACCATTCGTATCTACATAAAACGTAAATTAAATATATTTTTAAGTTTTTTTTTTTAATATATAATATTATGCGACTTTATGTTTCCAAAAGTAATCGAAAACTCAGAAAACTTATTTCATAATAATATATGAAACTGTAACGTACCTATCATAAATTACACGAAAATATATTTTAAAAAAAAAACCTCATGCTATGATGGGTACCACAGTATTAGGAAGTAATTGACGGTATTTACCTAGCAGATCTAAAATTCTAAAAGAAATTTAGTAAAAAGTTTTTGATCGGTTGAAGATTTCTGGTAGAAAAAGCTTTAACAAGCATACAAAATACGAAATACGATTCTGAGCGAAGTTCGGTTAAAGATGTTTTGAAATGCCATGATTTCTACGATTTTCATCAAAATTTGAACCTTAAGATGCCGATAGAAAAATTACTACATTACGTTCAACTTTTTTTTCCGCAAAGTACAACTTATGATAGATATTTTACACGAACCCCAATTTCTATTAGAAATTGATAGCGTTCCTTTATTGTTTTTTTTTTTTTTTTAATATAAAAATAATTACAAACCTATATTAAATAAACTATTATAAACTTTATTCATTATAATATTATATTGAACTTAAAATACTTTAATGTAAAACTACAATCTAACTATACAAAAACTATACTTCTAAAAAAGATGTTACACTTGGAAATCTACTTAAGATTTCTCATGAAAAAATTGTATAATCGGAGGATAAAAAACATAATAAAACGAATATATTCATTCTTGTGGTCAGAAACTAAAATAAAAAAACATCATTTTAAAACTAATATATTCTTGGCATCGCTAAAAATCTAAAATTTAAACGATTTTATTATGTACGGTGAATAATATTGCATAGTAATATCGATTTATTTTAAAAATTGGAACGACAAAAAATTAGTTTTGCTAAAAACACTAAACTCTCGATATTAAAAATATGTCCTCAATCTCAATGATGAGGTCTAGAGTGATATGCATGCCTCCACATCATTAAAAAATTTCCATTGAAAAAAAAATATAATACAATAAATAGACGATGATAGTGTAATATTAATGTTATTTATGTACGGACTGTGTTAAACATTAAGTTGGGAAAAAATAACATACCTAATTTTAGTTAATGAAAAATAATAAAATACTATCGTACCTGTTATCATGCAATATATTTGTCAAGTCTTGAAAAACCGCAGGCCGAAAGAAAAAAAAATATAAACGACAACTTTACAGAAAAATGTTATATTTCGTTTCACGGCGAAACAGACTCGGCTCCGGTGTCCTTTATCGTGTTAAAGGAACGTGTAAATGTGTCCCCAGTCGTGGACGTCTTCGGCTTTTATATGCTCGCGTGACGTCCGAGTATAACATTATGTCGATGAATTCATAATTAGCAAAGATCAAGACCTCGACACATTATCTAGGTTATTATGTTTCGTTTTTTTTTTTCCTGAACTAATTTTTAATATGCCATCGACTGCTGTATTCGGTGACCCACTCAGTTTTCCGTATAGTACTTACATAGGTTTAATATTCACCAGACAAAATTTTGTTTAATTATTTGTATTTCATGGCACTAAAAATTCCTAAGGTTGAGTTTTGACCGATTCGTTATTAAACAAAATAAATTACAAGCGTTCTGAAAGCATAATATACGAGGTGGACACAATAATCGAAAATAAATATGTCAATACAATGTTTGTATACTTTGTTAAACAACAAGATACCACCGAATTTTTTTCAAATAGGTAATTAATTTACATATAAAGTTCCTCAGATCCAATTTTCCAAATTTAGTTGTGCTCCAAATTGTACATCAGAGTAAAATTAATAATTTCTACGCTCTACTCAGTCAAATTTTAGATGTTTACTTAATTTATTTTTATTTTCATCAGAAATAAAAATACGGACATACTCCACACGATAGGTGGGCCACTATTATAAATGAAAAGTTGATAAGATAGAGGGGAAATTTATTGTATATCTGTACGTAACCATAAACCAATGCTAACGAAAAACGATTCGGAGCGAAATTTCTTTTATTAATTAACGTCAGCTCATTACGATGGTTTTTAACCAATTTACAATAAAATAACTGATATCAAAAATAACGAAACCAAGACCGTGATAAACTATCTCGTGTTTCCTTCGTTTTGTTCCAGTATTTCCCAATTATTATGAAAAACAGTTAGAAAATCAAAACACAATTGCAACAAAATATGTCTCTTGCCATTTCGATTGGAACAAAGTATCTGGCAAAAAAATAATTCGTAAGCGATTGAAATCCGTAAATATTTATCTTGTCCGTTTTTCATGTTCGGTTTGTCCCAATTATTATTAAAACCGCTTAATAAAAAAACGACCTCTTTAAAGCATCAAGTAGATAAAATTTTCTTTTAAATAAAGTACTATTCTTGATATATTAGCAAGATTTCTGGTAGAAAATTTATTCACAGAATAAAAAAAAATAAAATAAAATAAAAATCATTATAAAACCAATACTCGTTACACTCCCAGTGGCGTATCGATAGGATATCGTGATGGGCGATGAACCACAAGCCAGTGACATTTACGAACCTCAAATTAGGACCCGAAGTATTATTTTTCGATGAAAGGACAGTTGAATAAAAAACAGGCGATGCCCATTGTTAAGTTTTTTAAGTAACACACATTTTTTTTATTTTTTTTTTTTTGTTTTGATTAATAGACTTTAAATTAAATTTTCAAGATATTTTAGACAAAATTTCAGAATAGCATTTTTTTTTTTTTTTTTAAAGTTGCGGTGTTTTGTTTTAGGTACTGCCGTAGCGCTCTTCATGCAGTGGGATATTTTGCCACGGGCATTAGAAATTATATTTACGCCACTGTACATTCCGAATCTAAAATGGTTGATATGGAAATCGAGTACCCCATAAAATTGTACCAATTTTTTAAATAAACTTTTAATACATTGGTGTTATGGTTTGTATTTTTTTTCTATCTGTAAATAACTCATTTACCAGAAATATTGCTCCGACCGTCAATTTTAGCAATGATTTCTGGAATAATTTATTGTCTAGTTTTAGCGCAAAGAAGCAACATTTTGTTATGTGTTTTTAGTTTTTATTTGGTTTTATGCTGAAATGTTCTGCTTCAGCAAAAACGCTCGAAAATCTAACCCAAGATCCATAATATATTCAATTATGGTGATAAAAAAATAAAGGTTGTACTCAATGTAGGCAGGCCCGGCAAAAGGCACAGGCAACACAGGCCTATGCCTGGGGCGGCATTTCCTTAGGCAGGGCCGTATTCAGGATAATATGTTGTTACTTAGGCGTTAGGCTATTGCAAAAACCGAAAACCGTTTTTGAAACACTGATGAACAAAAAAGAAATTATTTAATTATTATATTTTTATTGTTCAAAAATAATAACTGACAAGTATCCGGCAATTAACTAAAGTTAATTTTGGTTGGGACGGTTTATGTACAAGTGCGTATGTATAATACACCAAAATTAAACTTAAGATAACGTATATTAACGGATATTTCTCCGAAGTTACACGCCGTGATCGTCGAACGTCGATAAACGATAACAATAATGTACTATATTAATTATTTATCATATAAATCGTTTAGTTTTAGCGCGGCGACACGGGCTTTGCGCTGTTAATACTAGCAGAGCTCAACGTGTTAATGTCAATAATATTATTTGTTTTTCATCCGTTGCATTGTAGTGACCTCCTGCAATATTTTCAGAGTTAATTACTGACAACGGTGGCTGACACTTACAGGTACCGTACTCGTGTTATAGCATATCATATTGTATGGTTTGTATGCATATTTTTGTAAAATAACTTTGTACCTATATTATTAGTATGTTTAATGAATTGTGTAATTAATAATTTTGATAATAATTATTGTTATAATTGGTTTATAATATTAGCGTGAATATTATTAAAGTTATTAGATTTGATTACGAATTACAAATTTCGATAGCTTACAAAGATCAAAGCGTAAGGCGACTCATTTTGATTATGAATCTCAGGACAACCCTATAAATGATCCGGAAATGCATTTTAAAGTTAATTTTTTTTAATCAAGTTTTGGATACAGGTATTCAGTCTATAATTGAAAGATTTGATAAGCTATCTGAACATAACAGTTTGTTTTCGTTCTTATACAACATATCAATAATTGAAGATGAAAATGAATTGTTAAAACACTGCAAGGATCTACAACTTTCTCTTACTTCTAATAATGGCCTAAACACAGATATTAATGCTTTAGAATTACATCAAGAACTTATTTCATTTAAAAGATGTTCAAGGAATGAAAAAAGTGATCCACGCAAGGTTTCGGAGTACATATGTAAAAGAAAAATGGTGGAGCTTTTTCCCAACCTAGTCAAAGCACTTAAGATTTTACTGACATTACCTATAATTGCAGCCAGTGCCGAAAGATCATTTTCAAAAATGAAGATTATGAAAAACTACTTGCGGTCCCAAATATGTCAATTGTGTTTAGTTGGTCTGGCAACTCTTTCAATTGAAAAAGATGTATCAAACAAATTGGGCATGGAAGAAATAGTAGCAGATTTTGCAGCATTAAAAGCCAGAAAAATAAAAATTATAAAAAAAGTTAAAATGTTGGATTTATTATTATATCGATTTTTAAATTTTTGTAAAGAAAATTCATTATTTTAAAGTACTTAAATTTTAACGAAAATGTGGACTATATAAATGTACTGTGGCTTAAACCCGAAGTACACGTAAATATGTTTGAAGATATGGTTAAGGGGATTTAAGGGTTAGATTTGAAATTTGTATTGAAATAATTGTAACGGTATATAGTGTGAAAGAATGATGACGGCACGGCGGTATCATCAAAGGGCCGATTGATGTTGTGTATTTATTGCTTAATTTTATTTCACTTATATTTGAATGTTCTAAATGATGGTAATTGATTGGATGTTGATTTTCCTCGAATGATAGAAAACCACTGGAATTTGTACGCTTAAAAATATGGAACTGACGGTAATCGCGTCATTGTCGATGTAAAATAAGTAATACACGAATTATGAAAAGAAGACAATATACAATAGTATGACTGAGGCGGCAGTGTCCTCAAAGGGCCGTAGCAGATGGCATGCAGTTCTGTTATATTTGACACATATCTAAATTATTTTTCTTGTAGATAAGCTTGCATCCCTCCCGAATAGCGAACGATCCGTTAGATTTATTAAATTATTTACCTTTTGTGAAATACCAAGTACTCGGCCATATTTGAATCTTTTAGTTACATTTTTGTAATGATATAAATAATAAATAATTATACAGTTATAATATTATGTTATGTGAGCATTGTTCCACAAAAACAAATTATACTTATAAAGGATTTGGGGGTTATTAGTTACTATTTGTTTATTGAATACCTTGTCAGTTATTTATTAACGGAAAAGACGTATCAATAGTTGAATATTTTTGGATTATCTACCCATATATAATCCATATTCAGTGGTTAAAGTAAGTGTACGGAATTCTCCTTCTTATTTAAGGTAAAATTATCAGTCCCCTTTTAAGTCTTCGAAATCCGGAGGGATGCTTTAGTTATTGTCACAGAAAAATTTTAATGGAATTTCAAAAACTAAAAATTGTTTTATTAAAAATAAATTACTTATCTATTAGATTCTACGTAATTCAACAGTGTTTTACATTATTTTTACTGAGTAGGCATATGCATAACATTATATTTGAGATGGAAAAGAGTTTATTTTTAAAACCAATTAGTATACAATTTTTATAAACAAATGTGTGCAGTGAGAGAAAAATATTTTGGAAGTCATAGTGTCCCATCAAAGTTTTTCCCGCTTTAACCATTTTTCATTAGTAGGTATTGTTAGTACTGTCCTAACCGTAAAAATAAATCAATAATTAATGGTATCAATCGATTTGAGGCCTTTGTTTTCTTATCAACTTACAAACTAGTGGTTGTGTTAAAGTTGGAAGACGGTTTGAAAAAAAATATGGTATGTAAAATTCGTATAATTATAATATCACACATAGGTATACAGGTGCATAGGTACAATGTGTATTATACTATTATACTATTATATTATATTATATTAAAGTCTATAACCTGTATAGATTCTATAACGTGTTTTAAATTTACAAAATTTTAAGCATTTTATACTATAATATTAAAAATAAAACTAAGACGATTTTTCATACGACTCCGTGACACGTTTTGTTGCAATCGTTAAACGTTTTAAAATTATTTTCGTTGCCACGGCATCCGCTGTACTTAAACGGTTTACAACTCCTAAAATGTTTATCGTAATAATAACGCACGAAGTTTGCGTTGCACAGTCCTTCGTTTTTTTCCATTGCACAGATTTCTGAAAAACATTAAAATATATTACTCTTCTGAATAAAGACTGACATGAAAAAAAAAAGAACAAGTATACTGCTGATTAGTGTGCCACTGTTATAAGTGAAAATTCGGGAAGATAGGATACTTAAGGTTATTTAATTTATATTTGTTAAAACATTAATATTAACGATATAAAATATTGCTAATGAAGAACAATTCTAAATTATGTTCAATTTACATGTTTTGAAATGTAGTAATATTTACGATTTTCGTCAAAATTTGATAAAACACTTATTAAATAAAAACTGCTACATCGTTATGTAATGTTCTCATGTTTTTTTTTTTCTAATAAAGAACCTAGAATTAAATGTTTAAGCAAACCACCTTTCAACGAATTTTGTGTTTAACCAAATCATTTTATTCACAAACTATCTACATAATAAAAACCTAAACAACCTCGCTAATCTCCGAATCTAAAACTACGTAAAAAAACTCCCAAATATACAACACTTAAAAATAACTTAAAAACCACCAAAATATTTTTAGGTACCTATTAAGTACTAATTATGATATAATTTATTTTTAGTCCGTTCACACCACGGATTGACCATTGGTTTAGGGTGCTATTTAGTTGGTATCAATTACTGCAATGAACAACGAAAAAACGTTGTAAGCAAATAATAACAATTCCGATTGAAGTTCAAATATTTCAAATGTAAAATATAAGGTGATAGTGAACAATGGTGAACTAATTGGCCGGTAACAACCATTAACTTCATTTTTTCGTCCATCCAATGGATACAACCATAAAGGAACATCAGAAAATAACAGTCGTTCAATTTTTAAATTGTTGAGAAAAACTGTTGGAAACCTAGACAAATATTTTTAAATATGGTTTATGTTGTCAAAGATTTGTAGTGAATTCACTAATCAACAAGTTGTTTTACATGCAAGCATAATATCTTATGTTAGAAATAAAATATTCAAGAATATTAACTCGCAAAACGAATAACTATAATGTACAATAATAAATTATAATTACTATACGAAATAACTATTTATATGTTCACTAAATAATATTATTTTAAGCGATTGGTTTACTCAACAATAATTGAATAGACATATAATTATTAGGTCGGGTTACTCGGTACAACTAGAATTATTGTATTTACATAATCGTAGGGATAATAATTGTCATTAGGTATAGGTACTAATCAATATGCTACTTTTATTGTGAACATTTGTGTTTAGTGTAATCATATTTTTCTAAAAGCCCTATAAAAAAATGTAACATTTCACATTTAGATTTGGAACAACATCCAAACGGGCAAGCAGCCAACAGCCAACCTATTGCAGTATTTAATTTTAGGCATTATGGAAAACGGTGACAAATATAAAACTGAATGTTCAAAAAATAAATGTGCACCTATATATACAGAGTGTAAAACATCTTAAATATTATTTTAATTTTACGATTAAAGGTTCGTTTAGAAATTTATTTGGTACTTAATTAGATACTTGCTACCAATATTATTACCCTGAAATATTATTTTCGACGTTTTGGTAATAGACAGCTAATATATATTTGCCACTATATCGGTTTAACATTGATTAAATCCGATTAAATTTATTTAAAGTACGACTTTTATTAAACCTCTTGTTCAAATTTCAATCATTTCTGTTTGATCTGATAATTTTATCCACAGAGTACCTACCGAATTAAACTTACGTAAAAAACTCGCAAAATTTAAATGTCTTGAAATAGCCAAAAAATGGCTGAAATAGTTTTAAAATTTTATCATAACTAGAAAAAGCAATTTCAATTTTCCTATCTAAATTTCAAATCTATATAATTATTTTTAAGTGAATCACAACAAAAAATAAAATTAAAAATAATGTATTTCGTAAATTTTCCCGATTTTACCCAATTATTGTGAAAACCGTTTGGAAAATCGAAAAACTTACCTCCCTTGAGTACCACAAAAAAAGGTATTAAACTTTAAAATCGGAGGAAGATTTCTGGTAAAAAAATTGTATACAAATAAAAAAAATAAACATTGTATAATCAAATACAAAAACCGATATTCGGTTCGCTCAGAATCTAAAACCATTATAAAATAGGACATAAGAATATTAACTATCAATTTTTTTTAGACCTAATGTTTTATATACATATACATATATATATATGGATTTTTCAACTTTTTTCTTATTTATTGTAAAACAATTTCGTTAAATACAATAAAAGGTTATTACCTAATAACATAACCCATAAAAGGGCAAAAAAATATTTATAAAATATAATAAAACGCAAGAGAAAAATGGTTCGACGTGAATTTGTCTTAATAGATTCATACTATATGTGTTAGAAAACATATATATATATATATATATATATTTTATCACATATATATAAATGCACAGTTCTTGTATTGTACTTATGTATTTCACACTAAAATATTTACCTTTTGCCAGAGCCTCGTTAATTTCGCAAGTAGGCCTAGTCCCGTTACACTCACGAAATTCTTCCAACACGACTTTGTCGATACATTTCGTGCGATTTTCGCCAGACAAAAGCAGCAACCGAGACTTTACCGAAACACCTTTACCGCAAGTCACGTTGCACGGACTCCACATACTCCATTCGGACACCGGGCAGTTGCTATTGACGACAGACTGGAACACGATATGTCAAAAATACGTTTTAAATCATCAACGTCAATATTTTCATATAGGCATCACACAAAATATTACACAATAATTTACGAAATACTACATGAAATCTAAACTAGGTCTCAACAGTCGACACCACTTAATACCGGACATATTTTTTCTTTTCTATCTAAATGTCTGCATTATTATATTTCTTAATCAATCAAGACCATCTGTTGACCATTGTTGACCACTTACCATAGCATGGTCCCTTATGAATTCGCCTCTCCTTTTATATTAAATATTATAGTTGCGGGACTACTTAATAATAAAATAAAAATTATTCAAGGACATCTCCAAACCTTGACTATGGGAGAGGAGCGAAATGTTTCAATTTAATAATTAATAATTGCTAACGAAAAATGATTCTGAGCGGAGCTCGGTTAATAGTATTGCTTTTTCAATAATATATTATATCAATATATGCCGTATTACAGAAAATAAATATTATTTTGAAACAATTTGTATGGACCAGTAACTAGATTTGTTCTACATAATTCTGTGGGCAAGGTTTCTGGTAGAAAATTGTATAACAATATAAAAAAAAAACAATACAAATTTATATCTTTGTAAAACCAACAGTGAATACATTCTTTGCTACACTCAGAATCTAAAAAATTGTGTCAAATAATATATTGATTAGATCTATTATATCTACTTCTGGACCAATGACTATGCCAAATGCCAATTTATTTACGTTTCTCTTGGAGGGGGGGGGAATCACCCCTATCAGTGTGATAGGAGGGGAGTGTCCCCCCTTAGGGATGGCCCTGAAATTATTATATTTGTTTCCGTCGATCTCAACCACGGTATACTATTATTACTGTACCTACTTAATCTATTACATTAAGGATGTTATATATATACTCGTATATGGAACATTTTAAGTAAGATTTTATTATTGTTTTTTACCTGCTCGACTAGTTTTGTGCAAGCGGGTTGCATGCATTTCTTTTTCATGACAAGACCAACGTGACGACATTTTTTGTAACTGGTGTGATCCAAAAACTGTCTGGTTCGGAACATAAATCCAATTCCGCAAGACACCGAACATTCGGACATCGGCGTCCATTCCGTCGTGTTGCATTTAGCGTCGTCCGTCAACAGGCTGTCGTCTTCCAATTCTGTTTCACCGCTTTATAAAACAATTTCGCAAAAAATACCACATTATTTAAATATAAAGGTGTTGTAAAATGTTGTTTTTAAGTAGGTTTACAGAATTATTAGTTTTTATTATTATTATTTTTTTTTTAACCATAAGGAAATATTCGGTTCAAGATACACATTATTTCTGTAGAATATAAGTATAGTTGAAAATTTTAAATACGCTGTCAATGTGATAAATATTAACCGAATACAGGAATTGAGAAAGATGTTTTCGAATGATTTTCGAATGGGTTTTATCAACAAAAACGTACGTTATCTTATAATAGGAAATTCTTATTAATATAATCGTCATTCATTCATCATCGTTATATTATTATTATAAGTAATTATTTTACTATTAACACATTATAGTTAAAAACGTAGTTATACGTACAATACAATACGTTTTGTTGTTTCTCATATTTAATTTCTATGTCCAATAAAATAACACATTCCAAATTATAAAAACTCCTTTTTTTTCTTTTTTTTTCAACAACTGACCGACGATGTAGGTAAATATATAAATGTATGATTTTATAATCAAACCTATTTGTAGGTAACCGAGACGATCGAATTCACAGACAATCTAGGTAGGTACGCAAATGATTTAATTGAAAAAAGTGCTTTCGTTGTAAATCGAAGAAAAATTGCTGGTAGAAAAGTTGTTTACAGTTAAAAAAAAATAATAATAATAAATATCATTGTAAAACCATAAGAACCAAAATTTGCATAAAATTTATGTACAAAAAAAAATACTATAATAAGCTCAATTTTTTTTTTTGACAAAGTACGAATTATAATGAATCTCCTGTTAAATTTTCAAACATTTCTGTTCAAATCTAACAATTTTAACACAGAATACCTACCAAATAAAAATTCAAAACTCGTAAAATTAAAATGTCTATAAATAGCTCGAAAATAACTTAAATTTTTAAAAATTTTACCACGTCTAGAAAAGGCAAATATAAGTTTTTTGTTCGAATTTAAAGTTTCTAAGGATATTTTCAACTGAACTATAACAAATAACAAAATTGAAAAATAATAAAAGCATTAATTTCGTAAATTTCCAGTCTTTCTTATGTTTTATCTTGGGTTTTCCCAGATATTATGAAAACCGTTTGAAACATCAAAAAGCAACCTTCTAAAAGTACCGTCTGGACAACATTCCTTTTCAGAAATGGTGCCGCGAGTATATATCTTAACAAAATTTCTGGTAGAATTTTTGTACTCAGTATAAAAAAAAAATAAAAAGAAATAAACATTTTAGTAAAACCAATACATTGTTCGCTAAACTCGGAATTTAAAAATATCATTCTAAATAATAAGCAATTAAAATGTTGAGATACTTGACAATACGGTATACCTACGAAAATTATAATGCTATTTGAGCGCTATGGATTATAGCTTCTTTAAAATACAATGTTGAAAAAATTGGTAATATATGAATTTTTGTTCCTCCACTCTTTGATTTTGTATCGTGAAACAAAGCTGACAAGTTGGCCAATTTTTTTAAACTACCTAAATTAAATTAAGTTATCCTACGGAAAAAAACCTAGTTGAGTCACATATTTTTAGGGCAATAATATCTAATGAAAAGACACGTAGGAGTATCACAGTAAAATACATTATTTTCGTCGACATTTAAATGCAAGATAAGTTGATAGATATACTGTTTTTTAAACAAAAACGTTTTAAAAATTACTACTATTTTAACAAAATAACTATCTTAAGTTAAAATTATTTATTCAAAGAAATAAACAAGTTGTTTTCTAGCAATCTGTACTTATGTTTTTGATTAATTAGGTAGTTAACAGTTATCAAAAAGAGAAAATAATAACTTTAAATAATAATAACTCTTAATGTTTTCACTAGTTACTATTCAGCTTTATCGCAAAATACCAAAAGACATTATAAAAACTCAATATTATTTCATTATTACGGGCAAATGGGCACCGAAGACAAGCACATTTCCTTGGAGACCAGTTGCCTATCGCAACCGGATAGCTTTGCGGCAGTATCATTTAAATACTTTCGGGTTCTCGATCTAAGACCTTTGCCACACGGTACGTTGCACTCGCTCCATTCTGAATATTTCGATGTACCGCACTCAGCTGAAAAATGAGAATAATGCAAAATTCAAAATAAATAAAAGAAAAATACAAATTTTAAGACTATTTATTGTTTAATATTATTTTTCGGATCAAAATACGCTTACGCTTTAAAATGTCTTGCGAATTCTCAGACACAATGAGTTCGTCGATCAAGTCGGTTATGATTTTCTCGGAACACGATTTCGGTATGAGATTAATTCTGTTCAAATGTAGCCGGGCCAAAGGCGCTATCTCATTACCGTCTTCGCTGAAAAAAGGCGATCTCGGATCGTCCGGATACACCGGGGTGATACGGTAAATGCGTTCGTGCGGCAAAGTTTCTTGGTTATGAGACTAAAATAAGTATATTTGAATTCGTGTTAAATTTTATTACAACGCTCCTTGAATTATTCAGTAATTTTTTTTTTCAATTTTGTTTTATATAAGAATACCTATTGCTAAATTTTATTTGCATTTTTCATCTTTTTAATAATTAAATAAAAATTAAATACATAATTAAAACTTTTAAACTTTACATGTTCTGTATTATAAAATTTGTCACTCCACGGTAAACCCTATCCAAGTGTGTCAGCTACTAAAAACAAGTTTTAAGTTGATGAATTTGTAAAAATTCAATATTAGAGTGGGTTACGAAAAGCAAAACAAATTTGGCACTTGGTCAACACGACGAGCAATTTCTACCAGAATTAAAAATATTATTTTTTAGACACTGTTTGCTGTTTAGTCATTTGAAACATTTGTATACTTTATGACAAAATATATGTGCACTTTCAGTACATTTTGGAAAATTCAGTAAACATAAAATACGGGCAAGTACTTAATTAATCAAAAGGTCTTTTATGCTTTAGAAATGATTATTGTGTTTAATATTCGATGAAATCCGTTAAAAACATGAATAGTTCTACAATTATTTTAATAGTTAAAAATTGAATAAAATTATTCTGTTAAAATTTAGAAATTAACGTTTATAATCGAGTTTCGTGTACATAGCATGTTTACGTACTATACGGTTTGAATAAATTAACACATAGGTATGCAAATATATGTGAACCTTTGAGCTCTAATTACATTATAAAACCATAACCTGTTTATTTTAATTCATCCACTACCCAGTAATAAAACAACACAATAATATTAATAATATTATAATAATATTATCTTTCAAGAATATACAAGGAACTTATAAAAAGAAACCTGTAATTTTTATATCTACAACTAGCAAGATAAAAATGTGCCCGAAATATGTAATAGTACAAATAATACTTTTTTGAATATCAAAAAATACGACGAGGCGTTTTTTTTTAAAATTATTATGTCTCATATATGAGAATATTTTTTTTTTTTTTTTTTTTTTTAACTANGGAGATAATTGGCATGAGGGGGAAGTCGCCCAGTGGCGGCACCCTGTGGAAAGCGATTTAAGGAGAGAGTAGATCCCTACACCAGTTCCTTTTCAGGCGCCTGGTTGGGTTACCTGGAATTTGATTGGATGAAAGTTGGGTGATTATAGGATTAAAGTGAGTACTGAATGTTTTGTGCGTTTTTTTGTAGGTAATTTTGGCAAGGCTGTTTAAGGGATGTAAATGTCTTTATGAAGTGATTCATTGGTAATATACCAAGGGGCACCTGATATTAGACGTAGACAAATAGACTGGAATGCCTGGATTGTTCGAGTATTAGAGGGTTTGGCTGATCCCCAAAGTTGTATGCCATAGTACCACATGGGTCTTAGGAGAGCCATATATATTGTTCTTTTTGTTTAATATGAGATTATAGAAGAGAACTTTTAAAAGATAAAAAATACATAAAGTAAATAAATATATAGATAAGAAATGTATATATAAAAATAAAATAAATAAATGAATCAATGCGTCGCCTGGAGTATCATGATTAGTATATTATACGACTTGTTTCGAATTGAAAATTCATCATCAGGTATATCATAGTCAAAATGTAAAACACGACTCTCGTAATAATATAATAACGATAACGAACTCGATAAGATTACGAATAGCGGACGCCTGTTAAAGTTCGTTTTATTAATTTTCGTTTTACAATTTGATTGTGATATACCTAAAGATGAATTTTTAATTCGAAATCGATCGTATAATACACTAATCATGATACTCCAGGTGACGCATTGATTCATTGATTCATTTTATTTTTATATATTCATTTTTTATTTATATATTTATTTACGAGTAATAACTATTTTAATAATTTTGTTTTTACTTTATTATTTAATCATTTATAAAAAATTCATTATATTACCATATATGAACGTCCACTGTCTGTTCCAACGTCATAAACGTACAGATCCACGGTTTTGGTTTGAGACCATTGACAGTTTTTTTCACACAAATTATAACCATTGATCCCTACTATCCAATCGGGAGACGGTCCTAGAAAAAAAAAACCAATACGATTTACCATGAGACGTAATGTAGGTATTATTACTAATATTGCAAAGCTAAAAGCACATCAGTGTGTTTTCACTCAAACAATAACACGAAATATTTCAACCAAGTGTACATTGATCGAATGAGGTTCTTTTAGGACAGTCAGGGCTACTGAAATATTACTGTGAGTTTCAGAAATTGTGATCTTAGCGGTGCACGTAAGTGCAAAAACTTACATTTTATCAAATGGGAACTGCTGTTCTTGACACCAGATTTGAATGGTTCTATTTTCTTAAGCATTTTCGATTAGCTCTAAATGTATGTTTTAGTAACCCCTAATCATCCAAACTCTCCAGCCCATTTTAATTTAAGTCTATTCGACTGAAATGTTTTGCATTACCATTTGAGTGTAACATAACGCTTTACATCCAGAACTATGTAACCTGATTGTAATAATATTTTACCGAGCATAGTGGCCAACGATAAGTAATGATGTTTTCTGTCTACTCGGAATTTAGACGTTACGTTTGCGTTTATCCGCGGATGCCATAGACCGGCGGCTTTTATCAAAGTTCTCAAATGTTTCTTCTAACAAACCGAAAGAAATAAAACAAAGTAATACCAAGTAAATTAATATTATATATTTCCGTACCAATTAATAGATTTTGTTTTGTACAAATGAATATTGATATCATAATATAGGTACCTGTTGTCTGAGTTCAGATTCCACAATCGCTGTCGAACCCCATTCGGCCAGTTGCCTAAGACCGTCAGTTGCCCATTGACCTTCAGCCCAAAATGAATAGTTCTTATCATGAGTCGCTCCGACGATGTCGCTAAAGTGCGTGAGCCACAAAGACGTTGGGAAATCTTTCGGATGCGTTTTCGAAGACCAAAGCCCTTCGAACTTCATCTATATAATAATACGCCAGTTTTATGAAAGGAAAAACTTTATAATTTTATTTTGTTGCGCGATTTTTAGACTCGACATCAGATTTTTATATTTTTTGTATGTATTATAATAAAAAACTGTTTACCTCGTAAACCGCTTCGTCACAGGCGCAGCAATCCTCGGCCTCTATCAGTTGGTTTCGTTTTATATCCGTCTCGAAAGACATTTCGCACAATTGCTTTAGTAGCTCAATCTCCCGATGTTTATCATTGCCATTTTCATAGGTAATTAGTGCTCTAAAATAAAATTTATATTCACTAAATATTCATTATATACATGATATAAAATATTTTATTTTTTTAGTAGTGGTTTAAATATATAACTACCAAAACTGGGATAAGGGAATTGGTGTTCGAAAGATGTGGCGCACAAAGAGTAACATTCTTCCTTGGCCATCCGGTCAGTAAAGCCAGCTATAGAGTTCTAGACTAAAGATATTAGAACATCAATAACCGAAGATTTTGATCTAGTTTTGTGTTTTGTTGTCGTATAAGTCCAAGAAAGTATCTTGCGTATACGACAAAGTTAGTTCAAAAAGTAGATATTACGACAATGATCATAAATCAGATGATGTGATGATAACGGTTGACAGATAAGATCAAACGGGAAATAAGAGCAATTAGTGAATTAGTAATGTTGGTTGACACCTATGACAAGGTACCTATATAAAAATAACTCCACATTTTCCCATGCGTAATTAACATTAATTCAATTACTCGGTTTAACGATAAAAGTAGAAAATAAATACTATGCCTGTACTAAGAATTTTAATAAATAATAATAATCTTCTATAAATACTTCATAAACTAATTACAGTAATAAATAGTTTAAAACCGAGTTCGTATGCATTTGCATAAAATTATTTCTTGTCAATCATAATTTCATATTGTATGCTAAGTAGAAAACATATTTCATGACTACCTATGTAAGAAAAAATAAAACTATAATATAATTATTAATTATTATTAATAATAATAATAATACTGTGTTATTAGGGCATGACATTTTGATATAGATACTTTAACGGGCTTTTTTTTTTTAAGCACGTTTTTTCGATAGATAACACTGATAAGAAAATATATAATATTTTAGTAGATAAATTAATACTTTCGAAAAAATACTACCAACCAGATAGTTGTCAAAAGAAAAAAAGGTTTATACTGCAAATTAATGTGTCACTATTTTTGATAGGAAGCTGGAAAAGAGAATATAATTTGGAAAGTAATTTAATTTCTGTTTATACGCAAAGATAAATCATTACTAACGAAGTACAGTTCTGATTTAAGTACTAGTGTACATGTTTTAAAATGCCGTAATTTGTATGGTTTTCGTCAATAAAACACTCATAAAAAACCTACTACATAACGCTCAACTTTTGTTTTTACAATTTATAATAAATGTCGTGTTAGATTTTCAATTATTTCTGCTCGACGAAAACAATTTTTTCCACATAAAACTAAATAAATTCTAAAAATAAACTTTAAAATTATAAATAGTCTAAAAAAAATATTATAAGTTGTCCATGGAAATTTCAAGGCTCTACGATTATTATTATCCGACTATTAACAAAAAAACGACCACAAAATATACCAACTAAACAACATTTTCTTTAGAAATGATACTACTCTTGAATTTTGGTGGAAGATTTCTGATAGAAAAACTAAATCGTAAAAATAAAAGTAATAAAACTGCCGTAAATTTGCCCGTTTTTCCTATATGTTTTTTCCCGGTCTTTATTTTGTAAAAAAACAATTTTTTATTGTTTTCTATAAAATACAAATTTAAAAATAAACAGAACTACTGATATATGAGTATGTATACATATTTGATCATTTTTGATTTATAAAAAATAATTTTATAAAGGCAATTTTATTTAACATTTCTGTCCATTCAATATTTAGCTTTTTATTTTTTCAGCAATTTAAATATCATCATTCTATGTAACTTTAAATAAAATACATTTTGGTACTAACATAAGTATATTAAATATTAAATGGCTCTCTAACGTACCAATTAAATTTTATTCAGATTTTAATCAACTCTTTTTTTTTTTGTCGTTACAAAACTGTGTCCCCTAACCACAATAGATTCGTGAGGGGACATATTGAATAGATCCTCGACGGATGATGTAATTAAGTGAATGCAGAGCCTAACCGTGTGACTGACCAAAATGTCGACATTGCATAATTTATTAACTCAGACGGCTGCTATTAACTGCTGCCGAATATATTTAGATGTTATTTATTGCATTAAATAAACAACATAAAACAGATTTTATAGATGAACTTTCCCAGAAAATATTTTTGAAAAATAATACTAACTAAAATCTGTTTTTAAAGTTTACTCATTCCCCTCATAGGTAGGTAAATACCTAATTTAATTTTTTGGAATTACTATAAACATTTTATTAGTATTGCTTTGCCATAACTGAATACTGCCGACAATTTTGCAGACAATTATTATTATTTTTTTTTTTTAATGAATAATAATAATTATATAGAAAACACAAAAATGTTATAAACAAAATCGAACAAATATCATACTCAAAGAGCAACACTGGATCAAAAAGTGATTTACAGATCATAATAATATCACTTTAGTCATTAGAATAAAGTGCTTAAGTCAATTTTTGTAATTTGTTTCTGTTAATTTATTTGTTTTAAATGTCACACAATGGAAGAAAATAGACTTGTACCACGACAAAAATAAAATTATTATCATAATTTTGATAATATTGTTGTAAATTCTTATTTATTATTATCTGCCTATCATATATTTAACGATTATTTTCTAGTAATTAAATTTATACTAATATTATTAGAGCACAAACAGTGCTTATAAAAAAAATGATCATTACATTGATGTCATATAAAGTTTCTTCACAGTACACAAATTCACAATGAATATTTGTTATTCGTATCGTAGAATATTTTGTTATTAAATTGTTTTTATTTATTTTATATGATGAAAACGACTGGAAGAGGTATGTATTAAATAATTATCATGAGGAAGTTATTAACAGTGCTTAACTTAGGAACAAATAGTAGATGTACCTACTGTAACTAGATACTTTTAAAAAAGTAGAATCCTAGCACTTTAATATCCTTTATATTACCTCGGTGAGCTTCATCCCATACCCTCTTTTATGGTCCCCTAAGAAGCATTAAAATAAAACCATTAAACACGTATCATAACAAAACAGAATTTATATTACTCTGGTCTGATTAATTAGGTATAACTAGTTTTTTTTTTTTAAACTAACATACAAATAAACAAACAAATTATACACTTATTTTTGTATAAATTAATCATTTATCATTTAAGATTCTGAGTGTAGCCAAGAATTTATTGATTTTATAAAGTTGTTTATTATTATTATTTATTTTTTTTATTTGAACACTTTTTCTACCAGACAATTTACTCCGACGTAAACGATAAAGACTTTTTTCTGGAAGTAAATTTTTTTAGGGTAGTACTTTAGAGAGATCATTTTTCGATTTTCCCAGGATTTTTCTTAACAGATGGGAAAAAATGGAGGAAAAACAGAAAAATGTACGAAATATAGGTTTAAAAATATTTTGGCCTTTTTTCTTCCCATAAACAACTTTTTTGAAGGCAATTTTGCTCCGATTTGCAATTAAAACACTTTTTCTGAAATGAAATCTGACTGGGAAGGTACTTTAAGAAAGTCATTTTTCGATTTTCCCAAGAGTTTTCCCAGCAAATTTGAAAAACCAGGAAATCATGGAAAAATTGGGATAAACCTAGGAAAACGGGAAAATCAGATCAATTTTAAACAAATATTATTAAAGAAAATGTATAATGCTTATTTAATTATTTTACCATAATATGACATATATATTGTTGACAAAGCATCACTATCAACTTAACTACGCTCAGAATCATATTTTCGTTAGCAATGGTTTATCGTTTACAGGTATACATTGAACTCCCTTCGGTATCCTACCTTCTACACTTCCCACCTACAACAGTGTCTGCGCCCGTCCCCATTATCTTAGAACAGATTTTTAAACATCTTATTTAAAATATTCTATAAGTGAGAATATTGATCACTGTGTTAAATGCGATAGTAACATGTTATTCAATGATAATACCATAGAATAAACAAAAGGAATGGACAGACATTTTTACCTGGGTTCTGGGTTCTTATGAGAGGTGATAAAAATAAGTCCAACACATTGGATTTTGAAATGAATTCACCAGCGTCTTATCTCAAAATATTCTTATTCTTTCATGATTTATAGCAGGACCGCTTATTTAATAAAATCTAAGGCTTTTAGTTTCTTTTCGTCATAAAATATAAACACACCAGAATAAATTCAAAATTTATTGTAAATTGGATTCAATCCGTAAAATAATATAAATTAATGAATGAATATTTTCTGATTCAAAGAGGTTCATGTTCTGTATATATTTTATTGCAAAATGTTTGCCTCCAGAAACAAAGAAGTAATTTTCGTTCAATAGTTAGATGACTACATAAATCATACACACACTTTAATGCATAGAATACCTACAGGATTATCAGGTACTTTTTATAGATACTATGAAATTAATTAATATAATAATAAGAATGATACTGTGATTTTTGACCAAATATGTATAACAAAAAAATTTAAAAAATATACTACAATTTGTATTGATAGACGAAAAAAAACACCTGTGGAATGCTGCTTTCACAATAAGTTGCACGTGAAAAAATTGTACAGTATACAATGTTACCTATATTTTAGCATTGGCGTAACTAGGGGTCGCTATATGGAGTCTTAAGCACCCCCAAAAAACCCAATCAATTTTTTCATAAATATTTTATTCATATCATATTTCATATTTAATAAATATACCCAATACTGGTTTCCTACAAACTATGCACGTGTTAAAATAGTTATGATAAATTTATGTACACAAAAGGTGTAATTGACTTTTGTAAGAATCGTGTAAAAAGAATTGTGGGGGCTTCATCGTGAGTATTTTTTGTGTCCATAATAACAAAGTTGGTAGTTTGGTTGCCCCTATGACTATCTATAAACCTTGACACGCGAATACAAGATTATTTTGATTGTCTGAATTCATCTGTATAGCTACGAACCACATAACATTGAAAAAAAAAAATAAAAAAACTAAACTAATTTAATATTTAAAATAATCTTTAAAAAAATCTTTAATTCAATTTTTTTAATAGAAAAATATTAAATATTTATTAAGTTCTAAAATATGGTATGCTCAAAGTTGCTTATTCTATTTGTATAAGATTTCTTTTATTTTTATAGATAGGTACTATCTATATAGCTATTTATTCAAGACACTCAAACATTTCGAACAATTCAAACCGTGCTCTAAGAATTCTCGTTTATTCTTAAGTTAAACAAAAAATTATTATTTATTATTTATTAGTAGATATCACTTCAACTTAGTAAAAAAAACAATTATTTACATTAATATATTATTGTAGCCAATAATCAGGTTTTACTATAGTTTTGTACATTAGATATTTATCTTAACATACACTGTAAATTTACACTATTCGGAGAAAAATATTTTTACCATTAAAATATTATCGAATTTGTTTTTGTCACTGTAAAAGTCTATTTTCTCCCACTGTATGCATAAATGTATGTATTTTCAAAATATAACTAGCTTGTATTGACTACAAAGTTGACTTCTTCCCTGGGACGAATTCATATTAAAAATAGGATACAATGATATTATAATAATCGATTACCTTATATACACGCAACTGCTTCCGGTTTTCGGGGCAACCCATACAAAACGTAGCTTTTGCATTTTGACACCCGGATCGATTTGGACGATGGTGTTTATACATTCCGGATGGAACGTCATTCCGTCGTCTGGTGACAGAACCTGAATCGAACCAGAACGGTCCGGGGATCCGGATTCCGAGTCGCAATCTCCGGTGTTGCAATCTCGTTCCGCCGTCACTAGCGTCGAATGGAACCCAAAACTTTCACCCTCTATTGTCACTGAAACGATAATTCATAATACTAGAATCTTAACATCTGGTCGTTATAAGATATTAAAAAGATAATAACATATATTATAATAACGTGTGTAAAAAAAAAAAAAAAAATGTAAAAATTGACGATGGGTGGTATCAGTGGTGTAAGTTAATTGGCTGGTTCCCACTTACTAAATTGCTCTAAATCGCATCAAATTAACACCAGTTAAGCAGCTATATAAATATTTATTTTATCATGTCATTATGTTATTATTATTGTGAATAAAATATAGATTAGGTCTTCTTTAATGGACAACTTTTTTCAGTATTTATTTTAAATTCTGTGTGGAGCAAGAAGCTTATAGTTTAACAAATATGTGTACTTTATATTTTTTTTATGGACAGCTTTTCTACCAGAAAGCTTGCTCCAATTTTTTAGTGTAGCACCTTTTCTGAATGGAAATCGGACTGGGGATAAATGAGAAAAACCGGGAAAAAACAGGAAAATCGTAGGAAAAATGAGAAAATAGGTATAATATTAAAAAAATATTATTAAAGAAAATATATAATGCCTATGTAATTATTTTATCATAATATGGCATACATATTGTTAACAACGCAACACTATCAACTGAATTTCGCTCAGAATCGGTTTTCGTTAATAATGGTTTATCATTACTTACAGATATACATTAAATTCCCCCCTACTACCTTCCTAAATTCTCACCTACAACAGTGACTGCACCCACTTGCGAACTTGTCCGATTTTTTTTGTTTTATTCATATTTATGTAGTTTTTTACGCAGAAAACGGTAGTGCAGTCAAAATTTTGGGGTCGTGCTTATTTTCAGTTATGGAGTTTTGTCTAAAATAATTCCCAGATTTTTTTTTTTTTTTTGATGCCATCGATATTAAATCCATATATTTACTATGTCCTGTTCAGTAAAATAGATTATTTTAGATCATAGATTATTTTAATTTAAAGTTTATTAGAAATATTGTTTTAAACATACGTTTTCTTTTATGTTGAAAACGTGTATTTTAAAAGTTTTAAACAAAATCATTCTTTGTTTTATCTTTTAAACATATCAATACTGCTAATATATGATCTAAGATTTGAACATGGCAATATTATTCTGTTTTATAGTGTATATAACGGTTATGATAACTATATAGTATCTATTGTGGTAAGCTTAAAATAATGTATTATAATATGTTCATAATATATATTATATATGAAACCCAAACTTCAAAAACGCTATTGAAAATTGTAAACATATTTGCGGGACAGTGGAATTGGACAGCTGGAGTGGCCGCTTTTATTTTCTAAGACCATGTCTATTATTTATATTCGGAGTGTCGCAATAAACTGAAATACTGTCTGCTCAATCACGGTTTGGACAAAATATTTCTCGACTAAAATACGGTTCAGTTGACAAACATGATGGTTGTGGGATTGGCGCCTGATATTAGAGAAATAAATACCATAGCATCTTGTGGGAGATCGGGAACCCGACTGAGATACATCAGATCCGATCCAAAAAAGGTACGGATCAACGAATCCGGTGCTCACAATCCATAGATGACGCGCGACTCTCGCATCGTGAATCCACCGGGTCTCTTGAATAGCTATAGCTAATATAAGATACTCGGTTGTACCGTACTTAGGCACGGATTAAAAATCAGGTACCACTAAAATACGGTTTAGATGATATATGTATCGTCTAAAATACAGTTAGGATGAAATATTTTCGACTTTTTACGCGCTCCTATTTTTAGGCCACCGCCCACTTAAAATTATGTGATAGCAGCTATTGACCCGGAACTATCTAAGGTAGCGATTCTCAATCTATGATGGATGTATCACTAATGGTATGCGAAAAGTTCGTAGGTGGTACGCGAAAAAATTTGTTAACAAGTGAAAAAAAAAAGTTATTATTTATAATGTCCATGTAATCCATAAATAGTCAATATTTGTGAAATAAACGAGCAAGGTGATGTATTAGGCACAATTTCTAGTTCCATCACATAAAAATATCAGTGTTGCCACATAAGTACATCATAAAATTATTACACAATTAATTACAGGCATTGTCCACATACTGGCACCCCCCGTAGCCATTGCGACAATCGTATAGGAGCCACCCGGGTGGGGTCCACGTATTGCATAAAACGCGAGACGCGTAAATCTTTCTCATCAAATCTTTAATTCACTGGGTTCACCCAGTGGAAGCACTCTTTTTTTGCCCTTCCAAAATCCTTACTACCTACATCTTTCCAAACATATAAGGCAGTTACATAGGCGGGCTGCTGTATTTGGTTAATCCACATTTCTTTAAACCTGGTAGTTGTACTCATTGTCACATTATTTTCTATTAAACATTTAAACGTATCTCTTATTTTTTCTCCCATAACCTATCATAAACATACAAACAATAAATTACGCTTGACTATCTTGAGCATAGGCCTAACATATGAAGCCACTGGTCGTCACTCGGGATAAACGGTTGTCTGTACATTTTGCATTGTAGTAAATACTTTTAAGCAAAATGGTAATACAATAATACGTCGGCTAGCGATTCGTTACACTAAATGGATGCATCTCCCGCAAGTCGTCACTTATTAGCGACCCGACGTCTGAGTATACCCAAAATAAATGCCTATTGGCATAAATAGACTTGGCGTCAAAACGATTAGAAAACCTACCTGTATTTATTGTAACAATTCATCGAAACCTACGCATCTCTATACCTGCTCCTTACTTTTTGAGCAACGAACTTCAAGCAGTATACCGAAGTAAGTGATTATTTCTATATTCTCATAGTACAACAAGTAAAAAAATTAGGTAGACGCAAATAAATAAATAAAATAATCTCGTGCGGTAGATAGCTGCCAGTCAATATTAAACATAATACGTTTTTATATTAGTGTGCATATGTATATGTGGCGATGATGACCGTATAATAAACACCCACACATACACATAGGACGGTACACACACATTCATCGACTAACAAACCGCCGCGTATCCGTGTTATACATATTACGCAGTAACAATATCATTTTACACCATATACCAACATATCATAGGTATATATTATATTTTACTGTTCACCCCTAACTCCTCCATACCATATTATTCTACCTTCCTACTTTATTTTAATTTTTCTTCTACTACATACTTTTGTATATTATATGCTAATAATTATGTAGATTTAATAATAATACGTTCCAAATACGTGTAAATGACGTACCTACACATTTTTTTTTTTTTTTTAATAAGTAAAAAAAACTACTTAATCGTGGCAGGTGGTACGTGAACAATTTTCAAAATGTGTAAATGATAAGCGGATATAAAGAGGTTGATAACCGCTGATCTATGGTGCACTGGTCGTACAGTGATAAAATTTTGTTTGGAAAAAAATAGCTTCGTTCTTACACAAAAACCGAATTTATGTATTCCTCCCCCCCCAAGAAAAAAAACAAAAACTCCTTTGCTTTCTGATCACTTTGGAAAATCTTTGCTAACTTTAAAATTGCTATAGGATTTCATAACATCACAAACTTACCTATGTACATCGAATGCGGTATGTATTTGTCCGGGTTACCGAAAACCGTCATTTCGAAGCCGTCGTGAGCCGATTTCACTGAAGCCTTTGCCGTTTTCAAAGGTTTGAGATTGCCAACATCGTCACAAGCTCGACCCACACACACTAAGAGTGCGAAACATACGATCACAATGATTTTTAATGACATTTTAACACGTCCGAAATAATTTTGGAAGCTTAATTGAACTTTATTATTATTATAACCTACTTATTCGTCGACATTGCAGATCGAAACTAAATGCTTTTGTACGTGGTAATAATAATACACCAGTGTGATAAAATAATAGGTACCTACTAATAACTATAACAAATATGCCTACGAGCTATTGTTAATATCACATCGCTTATCGATTTGAACAACCGAGGTATTTTTTTTTTTTATAGTTTTCTAAAGTTTATCGCATAGGTCAGTAGATCCGTAGATTAGATACAATTAAACATAATACCTAATTCACAGAACAATAACATAATAATATACAGAGTGATTTTGTTTTTCATGAACCAGCTCGTGGTTACTACAATATTTTTCAAAATGTTACCCTTATTCTGAACACCATAAAAACACATTAATAATTAGCAACCTCCAATTGTCACACTAGATTCAAAAATACAATATTTTAATTTTGATAGATATGCATACTTAGTAATGTTACTAAATACATTGGTTTTACGATTTACCATTTATAAGTTATTGGAAATAGTTAAAATGTTTAACTGTATATCAATTATTTAAAATAAAAATTATTTTTTTTCGAATCTGTGTTTAAAAGAGGGGTTGCCCTTTTAAAATCATAAGTTAAATAGGAATACAAATTTAAAAATAAAGACAGAAATTCACTAGATCATGATAAAAAAAAAATCACCTTATATATTGTTATAGATATACGCTCACTTGTTGCAACATCACTTTTTATGCGTATAAAAATATGAAGTTATCACATCTGCAATAATAACAAAGTAATGGGGAATCCTGATTTTAAAAAATATCGGATTACAATCCAATATGATGACGTAATATCTACTATTAATAATTGTAGCACTGTTTGGACTGCATATCTGCAATGAAACGATAGATAAAAAATAAAAAACAAAGTAATACGTATGTATTAATTTCTAGGAGTGTGCGTAATTTCTATGAATATTCGTTTTTTTTTTTTAAGTAGGTATTTGTAATTTCGAAAAATAAAAGGCTATTATTCAAGACATTCACATGAAATCAAAGCATTTCCACTAACCGCGAGTGTCTTTCGAGAAAAAAACCTTATCTACGTAAAAGTGCAATACCTTCTTCGTTATACTCGGAATCTAAAAAAATTCTTTCGCTAGAGTCTGCTTAACTTCCGGTCTATTTCTATCATCTTTCTACACTCGTGTATCTAATTCAGTATTATCAGATTTTTATATTAATGTATCAATTAATAAAATGCCTTATTCTTTTGTTAATTTCGTGTTTTCAATGTTTTTTTACAAATATTATATTATGCTTACTACAATTTATGTGAGTAATATAAACTTCCTCGACTTTACAATAATATCCGAGTAAATAAAACTATTCCATTTTCGTTTAAAATTTTACATTACTATTCGTTATCTACATCAATTATTCGTGCGAGACGGTGTTTAAAAGAATTATTTTGAGTTAAAATTTTCGTTCCAGGTTGCGAAAAAATCAACTCTTGTTATAGTGTATTATATTACACATATTCAGTATAACTTCGTTATTCATACAAATTCGGAACAGTTATTATGCTTTTGTTTATTTAATTGGCAAAAATCTCATATCAATTGAATAATGTAAACTGTTCAATCGTAATAATAATGCAGTAACAATAATGGTCAAATTTGTCTAACTATTTAGTCAATCACCATCAATAATTATATTCATAAAATATTAAACAAATTTTGTCTATAAAATATTAAACTTTCACTTCTTTTTCTGCTTTTATCGTTCAAAAAATGTTTATTTTTCTACCCGGAACGGTAGGCATATCCTTAAAGTATTACTCATTATCAGTGTTTTACCTTCATCAAGTATTTATTTACGGAATTCATGGTTTCGGTCGTCTGTCAGACAATTTAATTTTCAAATTTTCTATTTTTAAATTTATTTTACGATTATTGTTACAACGCTGTGTGTATACCATTCAAATTGTATCCTTAGAAACTGACTAGTATAATTTTATCTATTTCTATAGAAAATAAATAAATACCTATTATACCTAGGTACCTAGGTGCCAAACTAAAATTTATTTTTGAATCAATTTTAGACTAGTATAATTTAATTATTCTTAAACTTAACTCATTATAGTTTAATTATAATTCAGTTTAATGAAAAATAAAATTATAGGTACATTATACAGAGTTTTACATTTTGACTGTAATATACCTAATGATGAGTTTTTAATTCGAAACCGATCGTATAATACACTTATCATAATACTCCAGGCGATACATTGATTCATTTATTTATTTATTTTATTTTTATACATACATTTTTATTTATATATTTGTTTACTATATTTATTTACTTTATGTATATTATTTGTTTCATCGTCATAAAACTTTTCTGCAATGTGATCTATATTTATTTCAGTTTAATTATAATTAAATTTATATTATGAACGTTAGCAGAGTATTCAGAATTTAAGTTTGAAATTTAAGAAATATATAAATAACAAAAAAATTATACTCTTCCTAACACGTTAAAACTTTAATAACCCTCAATTTGTTATGCGAAACCATTAAAAAGACCAAAGATTACTTGTATAATATTCAATAATTTTTTCTGATAATAGTTAATAAAATAAAACTAACAATAAGTTTAATCATAGACCAATGCAAAACTATTTTCAAAAAACGTTGGCAAATTTTAAGTTGACGTCAATTTCACCACCTTCATAATTTGATTTTTGTTTCACATTATCTTTCTTTCATTCGAATTTTTCCCAAAACTAGAAACTATTGTAGTCTGTAATATCCATTGTTCATATGATATTTTTTCCCCGCTAATTGTGTATATACTTTTGGCCATTCACTCGGTACAAAATTAGCTTAAACTTGGAAATTAAGTTTGTTGAATAGGCGGATTGGAATAATAATATCTAGGTTAAATTTCAATATAAATTTCAACATTTTGTTATGGGAAGAGGATGTTTCTTAGTTATAATAATTATAAAAGGCCTACAAATCCCCTTTCCCCAAATTAATTTAATGGGACGAAAGTGTGTACTTATACCTTTACAGTATACGTTTCAACATTCAACCCTACCAACCATTTTATCCTCAAATTTCACTTCTATTTTTTAAGTGGGTATTATAATGCAGAATTAATCATTAATTATTTAATAACATCATGATTAAAAGCAATTAATATTAGACCATACAAAAACACATACATCCCAATACATCATAATAATAAACCTTAATATATTATTCTCAAGCCATACTCTGTACCCCAATAACTATGTGCCATTTTACCATATTATGTCATATTTAAATAAATAAATAAAAACGACAATCTCACTTCCAAAACACTATAAAGACCCCACGCTAGCCGTCTCAAAACGCCCAGCCTTAACATAACCTCTAACTAATCATGTACATCTATAGATACCAGTGAAGTGCGATTGCCACTGTATTTAATTCAACTCCATCTTGTCTATTTCTTTCAAATTGTTTTAACTTAAACTCATTAAAAATCTAGTTACATCGCCAAAATAATACATTACGTGGATTCTTCATATTCTTGATCACGTAAGGATCTTACTCAGAGCACATATAACTAAACGTCATACAGGTAAGGAATATAACTCACACTGATTGATATCACCGCTAAGTTCTCCGTGATTGTTGTAAGGAATCAACCATTACAATACAACGATACATACGTTACTATAAGGTACTGAAAATAAAATCAGGACTTTCGCCGTTCAACTGATTTTTTGGTTCAATACAGTATTATAATTTATAGCATTTCATTATTAGGTATAGTTATTATTATAGTATTCGATTATTTATTGTCTTACAATTATGTAATATCTATTTCTATAATTATACAAATAAGAGGGGAAAAGTTCGACACTATTTACGATGACCTGCTCCCTACGAGTTTATTGTAGATTTATGTAAATTATATAGGTAGTTTTGGTGCGCGTTAGTAAAATCTGTGTTGATTTGTTTCATACAAAAATAAAAAACAATTAGATGTAGAGTACACACATTTAAAATTATATTCTTATTTACTGTGCAGAGAATTGAACCCTGACCGGGGTAACAATATGTTCTGTGCCTATGATCGGTCGACCAGTAAAACAGAATAACCGGGTAATCTATGTATATAATTATAATATTAATTCTATGTAGTGTACTAATTGTAAACGGTGAAAACGGATGTATAGCTGACCACTATACATAATTCATAACATTATACAAAAGATGATATAATTAAATAAAATTAATAATGCGCCGTATACGAGTAACCTTGGAAACGTGAACTCGCTTGAACATACGAATTTACAATATTTTATACAAATAACAATAATAAATACAATGCATCTAAAACCTATACGGATACGACCAAATTACAAGTAAGCCACGCGATACGAACAAATTCGCTAATTTTATAATATATATTATTTACATTAAAAAAAATGTGTATTGCTACACATTTTTATTTAACACTATAATACTAACACTTACCTATGTTCTGTGTAGATAACACACGAACAACACGGAGATTTTAAGAATAAATACAAGTAACTATACTACATACATACTTAACCGCGAAAAGACCACTTGAATGGCCGATGATGGCATAGAAAACTTCAAAGCAGAAAAGGGAAATAACAAAGCGAATAAACCAGATAAATCAGACAAACCGGAAAAATCGGACAAACCTGACAAATCGGAAAAACCAGAAAAATCAGACAAATCAAATAAAGAGCAAAAAAAACAACAAAAGCTTTCGGTGTTGGAAACGCATGGGTACACCGTTGGTCGAAGCGTCGGCAGTGGATCGTACGCTACAGTTAAGGTTATATTATAAAAATAATAATAATATTATGTAATAATAAGTACTGAATAATACCATAATAATATATACGAGGTCTGGATATTAAATAACGAGACTGCTTATGAAAAATGGTTTTATTTTAAAAATTATTCCACAACCAAATGTTCCCCTTCAATATACTCTCCTCCCCTCTTCACACACCGTTTCATTCGTTTCTTCCATTGCTCGANGACCATTCAGGAGTTCCGCCGATTTTTGTTTCACCTCTTCCATCGACTCAAACCGGATTCCTTTTAAGGCAGACTTTATCTTCGGAAACAAGTAAAAGTCGCAGGGTGCCAAGTCGGGTGAGTAAGACGCGTGTTCGAGTACTGGAGTGCCTTAAGCGGCCAAATAACGCTTCACAGACAGCGCGTTATGGGCAGGTGCATTATCCTGGTGCAAGATCCACGACTTGTTTTTCCACAATATCGACCGTTTCTTACGAACTCATTCGCATAATGTTACCAAAACTGTCAAATAGTAATGTTGGTTCACAGTTTGACCCTCTGGAACCCATTCAGTCATCACGATGCCGTTGATATCGAAGAAAACGATCAGCATGGTTTTGAATTTGGATTACGACTGAATTGGATTCCGGTGCACTCTCGACCTTCAGAAAATAATTTACGCCACTCAAAAACACGCGCCCGAGATAGAAAATCTTCACTATAGGCCTTTTTTAACAACTTATAGTACTCAGTTGGAGTTTTTTTTAGTTTAACGAGAAAATTTTACATTTATCCGTTGCTTATGTTTTTCGTCACACATCATTTTCGGCAAGAGAAAAAAACACGTTCGTTTCTAAACGCTACAGAAAAAATACTAATGCACCAACAAAAACCCAATTTTGTACTGGTATAATAGACACTTCTAGCTAACCGGCGCTGTATTCGGTTTTCCTCTAATCTTTTTGAGACGCTCTCTGCGCGCGCAGTCTCGTTATTTAATAGCCAAACCTCGTAGGTATAAGGTTATAAGAGAGTGTAATATTGTATACTTTAAGTAACACGGGTTCGAACTCACGAATCCTAGGATGAAAAATAGGTATGTATAACCATTCAACTACGACAAACATACTTGAAGAAGGACAATATTTAGTTATTCAATATAACATATAATATCCGCATAATATCAGAAATTTAAAAAGCTATAATTTCGAAACTTTATCAATCCATTCAATTTTGACTTCACTGTCGTTCTTAAATCGGCAGTAGTTCAAAAAAAAATTGGATTTGTTCCACATAATTTTTCACTCAACGATTTTGTCAAAATTTGATATTAAAATTCCGTTATAAAAAAAACTTCAAATTAAGAGACTTAACGAACCTCCTATTAAATTTTGAAGCATTTCTATTAAATCTAACAATTTTACCACGGAGTGCCCACCGAATAAAAATTACGTACAAAACTCGCAAAATTAAAATGTTTATAAATAACTCAATAATGGCTTAAATTTTTTGAAAATTTTACCCCCTCTAGAAAAAACAAATATAAATTTTCCGTCCAAATTTAAAGTCTCTTAGAATATTTTAATTGAATTATACCAAATGTTATTTGGTATATTTTTTTTTTATCCAATTTTTTCCCAGATATTAAAACCACTTAATAAATCAAAAATAACCTCCTAAAAGTACCATCTGTACAAAATTGTCGTTAAGAAATGGTGCAGTGCGTAAATATCTGAGCAAAATTTCCGGTAGAATTTGTTTACAAAGTATAAAAAAATAAACATCTTAGTAAAACTAATACATTTTCGATACACTCAAAATCTAAAAAAGAAGCTATCCTAGAATAATGAGGCCACTGTTGTAGGTAGGAAGTTGGGAAGTAGGATATAGACCGGAATTTAATGTATATCCATACACAACGATTATTCCAATGATTATTCCCATTTATTGAGAAAACCCCTGGGAAAATCAAAATTTACCCCCATAAATTACCTGCTCAGTCCGATTTTCTTCAAAAAATGTGATTTCATTGTAAATCGGAGCAAAATTGCTGGTAAAAAATTGTCCACAGAAAAAAAAAATAATAAACATCATTATAAAACCATTCGCTCCACTCGGAATCTAAAGAGAAACACACATAATTCAAACGATGGGTAGGCCACTGTTATAGGTTAAAAATTGGGAAGGTGTGATATAGAGAGAAATTAAATGTATATCTGTACGCAACGATCAATATTTGATAACAAAAAACGATTCTGAGCACAGTTTATTTATGTTATATTATTATTATTAATTATATATGTTTTTAAAGGCTATAATATTTCCGATCTTCGACAAAGTACGACTTATAATGAACCTTCTATTTAATTTGTAAAGCATTTCTGTTTGGTTTCACAATTTTTTCCTCTGAGTACCTACCAAATAAAAATTAGGTAATAAATTCAAAGCTCAAAATTGGATTAAATGTTTTAAAAATGTTACCATGTCTATAAAAGGTCAAATTCCAAGTCAAAAAAATGAAGGTTAATAGTATTTTACCTGGATTAGTAAGATAGTTTACTATAAAATTTTCATGTTATTGAAACGAATGATATTAAGACAGAAAATAAAGTCAAAATAGTCAAAATAATTTTCTTATCGAATTATAAAAACCTGTATAGTGTACATAATAATAATTTGCTCACAATAAGACAGATAAATTGAATTATATTAATCAATAACATGTCACAGATAGCTTATTCCGAACGCCACAAAAGCAATGTAGCGATAAAGATCGTGTCGAAACTTCAAGAAGCGTCGGACTATTTGGAAAAATTCTTACCCCGCGAAATCGAAGTAGTCAAAGGTCTGAAACACGAAAATCTGATTAAATATTATCAAGCGATCGAGACTACGCACCGGTAACCTTCATTATAATATATATATTATATTTATTATAAACGACTTCTCACAATAATAATAATCATTGTCAATATCATTATCAATGGCGTGAATTTTAATGCGTCTGTTTTCACGTTACATTTAGCGTTTACATAATTATGGAATACGCAGAGAACGGGAGTCTGTTAGACATCATCAAGAGAGATAACCACATCGAAGAAGAACGGTGTCGAAGATGGTTTTTAGAGCTTGTCAGTGCCGTCGAATACTGTCACCAAAACGGAGTCGTTCACAGGTGCTTATATTATATGATACAGATTACAGAGTAATTTGTTATTTGTTTTTTCTCCCTAGTCCCACGATTATCTATAAAATTGATTTTTCTACAGTCATCATATATTATAAAGTGATTATCATCAATGATAATACTAAAAAGTATAACGAACTTTGTAAATAAGATAATAATTTATCATCGTATTTACAATATTATCGAATTGTTACCCTCATTCCATACGCCATTAACACAACTTTCGATTTTTAAATATAAACGCTTTCATATTTTCAAACCAGACTCGAAAAGAGACTATTTTTTCTAAAAAATTGGATGTACCTACGTTATAGTATAACATGTAACGCTACTATATAGTACGTAATTACTGTTTAACCATTTGAAGAGTTTATCATTTAAAAATAGTTTTTGAACTTATTAACGTGTAGGAATAAGGGTGATGTTTTGGAAATATTGTAAATACAATCATTAAACGTTTCTATAGTGATTATTGAATAGAAAAAAAAAACCAAAATCAATTTATTAAAAAACTCCGTAGATCATGAGTCTTTAATAGATCGTGATGAAAAAATCACTTTTTGTACCCTTAAAGTTCCCTCCCCCAATACACGTATTAATTATATTTAACGTAAACCAGCCCTCGATGCCTATATTATAACAAATGCCGTTAAGCGTACTTTTATGAGTATTTTAATTTTTAACATGATTAGTAGGCGCAACTATAAATTACTTCAATCACACAAACTCTCACAGGATCATTAGAGTCACAAAATGTTTTAAACAAACGTTTTTAATATAACTTTTATAATCATGTTATTATTAAGAATCATATTATTACATTTTATTTTTATTTACTGTATAGTTTACAAAGTGCAGTTAGTGTATATGAATAAGTATAAGAGTTACCTCAAATCCTTATACTATAGTATCAGTAATGAAGTTAAAACTTCAAACTATAAACTATATAAACTAAAACATGTAGCTAACGTTATTATCTGTAGACAATTTATTGACATGTGTAACTGTTTTTAATTTCGGAAAAGTAAGTATCTAATTAAAAAACCAACCATGTTTAAAAAATAAAAATGACCAGCCGGAATTTATACGTATTTATTAATTAAAATTTCTGCATAATCAATGATATAATATACTAAATTAAATTAAAATTTTAAAATGATTTAAATAATAATAAAAAAAAGTTTTTGACATGCATAAAACATAATTTTTAAATTATTTATTTTATTATTATTTTATTTTATTTATTTTCAAATTACACAACAGATTACAATATTGTATTAAAAACATAATTTTAGATTCCGAGTGTATCAAAAATGTATTGGTTTTACAATGATGTTTATTTGTTTATATATATATATACTGTGACAAAAATCTTGCTTCGACATGTAAGTGTGGAACCATTTCTGATAGAAAATATTGTCTAGATCAGAACCGTGCCCCCCTCCCCCGCTTGTCATTATTTGCAGCCAACAATCACATTTGAAATATAGCATATCTTTTCTATTTCAATAAAATTTTAACGGCCATAAGCCATCGAAAGAGTTGGCAAGAATACGATAAGATAAATTAAATTACCTACTCTTTTTAATAGTACTTACACTTGTGAGCATATATTATCACGAATTAAAATTGTCAAATCGAAAACTAGAGCTCGGTTAACTGACATACACTTAGAAATTTCGCTGATAATCGTATCGTCGCAGATCCAACCAAATATAAAAAAATTAGTTAGTAAAAATGAATGTCAATTATCAGTTATCACAATAAATATAAAATAAATAATTTGTAATTCAAAATTGAAATTTGTTATTCATATATTATGTTTTAATAATAATAATAAAATTGAAATTTTGTGTAAAATACACTTGTTTACTTCAAATGCGGCCCACAAGACTTGTAGAAAAAAATATGTGGCCCACTACATAAAAATGTTAAAGACCCCTGGTATAGATAGTACTTGAAACAGGTTAATTTTTTTATTTTCCAAGCGGTTTTCATAATATCTGAGATAATAAAATGTAACATAAATTTTGTTTTTAGTCGTAAGTAAAAAATATTCGTAAAGATTAAAAATATTTGAACAAAAACTCATATTTGCCTTTCCTAGACATGATGAAATTTTCAAACTATTCTAGCAATTTTTGAGCTATCTAGAGACATTTTAATTTTGAGAGTTTTGTACTTAATTTTTATTCAGTAGATACTCTGTAGTAAAATTGTTAGACTAAACAGAAATGCTTGAAAATTTAACAGGAGATTCATTATAATTCGTACTTTGTCAAAAAAAAATTGAGCTTATTATAGTATTTTTTTTTGTACATAAATTTTAATATCAAACTTTGACAACAATTGTTTAAATGAAAAATTATGAGAAACAAATTTATTGACTGGTCTATGCAAATTTTGGTAATAAATTTTGCAAATTTTACCATAATATGACATATATATATTGTTGAGGAAGCAAAACTATCAACTGAATTCCGCTCAGAATCCCTTTTTCGTTAGCAATGGTTTACTGATAATTACAGATACAAATGAATTTCCCCTCTACATTTTACCTACCCAGGACAGCCTTAATTTTATTTTGAATATAATACTTTATTGCCGATTTAAAAACGATGGTGAATTCAGAATTGAATGGATTGACTTTTTGTGAATTATAGCTTTTTGAAGTTCTGATATTATGCATGTTATATTAAATAACTCAATATTATTAATTTTATAGTACGTCTTTTGTAGTTAAGTGGTGGTAGGTACCTTTTGTCATCACAGAAATCACAAATTCATACCCCCGAGTTCCGAAAACGTTTTTTAGCTAAACCACGTTGCCGGATATGTATCTGCAGATAAAAAAACAAATGCATTTTGGATATACCTGAGGACACAAGCCGTTGCTCGCTCAGACTATTTTAATTAATAAATACTCCTTAATTTATTGTGGAAACTTTTGTACCAGAAATATTATCTACATGGTACTTTAGGGAGGTCATTTTTTAATTTTCCAAGCGATTTTTATAATAGTCTGTTAACACCGGAATAAAATGTCGTAAAAATGGTGACAATTTACGAAAATAATTTTTTTATAATTCAGTTAAAAATTTTCGTACTGACTTTTAAAGATTAATTAAAAATATGAAATTGTTAAACTAATCATTAAATTACCCTCTATATCCTACCTTTATCCCAACTTTTCATCTACAACAATTAACCACACATCATACGAGGTATGTCCGCTTTTTTTTTTTTTTTTGTAATAATCATTAATACACAATATTTATAAAGTTTCATTATTAAAATCCGCTAACGTGTTTATCAAATATAATATTGTTAAATGAATTGCTTAAAATTAACATAAAAAAAATTAAAAATTAAATAAAAATCTTTTATGCGTATAAATGTTAAATGTTTTTTAATTATACAATGCATATGCGTTTAATTAAAAAGTCGTAAATAAAATGTTTATTTTGTCAAATAACCTTTGCGGTATTTTTATTTCATTAGAGACATCAAATGCGAAAACCTACTGATGGACACCAATTACAGCATCAAATTGTCAGATTTTGGTTTCGCCCGGAATAACATGCTCAAGAAAAACGGTCAGATGAAGACGAGCACTACGTTCTGCGGCAGTTACGCATACGCATCCCCGGAAATTCTCAAAGGCATACCGTACCAACCGAACGCGTCCGACATTTGGTCCATAGGTGTAGTCCTGTTCGGGATGCTATACGGCACATTGCCGTTTGATGACACTACTTATCAAAGATTACTCAAAGTGAGCACTGCACTCGATTGGATTGTCGTCGTTATTATTTGTAGTAGTATTTTAATTTGCATGCATGATATACGATGGTATTTAATATTTAACAGTGTGGGTGGGTTTTAAGACACTGCTTAACTAAACTTTATAATATACTGTTGATACATTATATTCTAATACCTACTATTTCATTGCTTTCAACATCTCCTGTGATTTACATTTATTCCAAGCAATTGTCTATCAACCTATGACATCTCGAAATTTCAGTCATAATATTATAAACTTATAATAAAATAAATTAAAACTACAAAAGACATTTTAGGATAATGGAAATGGGTGCAGCCACTGTTATAGATGATTTCATGTACACCTGTAAGCTACGATAAACCGCTGATTACAAAAAATGATTCTGTGTGGAGTTCCGTTGATAGTGATGCATTGTCAACAATATTATATAAGCCATTTTATGGTAAAATAATTAAATAGGCTTTATATATTTTCTTTAATAATATTTATTTAATGTTGTATCGATTTTCCCAGTTTTTCCATATTTAATCCCGGTTTTTTACATTTGCTGGAAAAATGCTCAAAAATTACCACTCTAAAATACCTTCCTTAGTGAAATTTCCATTTAGAAACATTGCTATTATTAAAAGTTGAAGCAAAATTTCTGGTAGAAAAGTTGTACACAGAAAAAATATTTTATACAAATATATTTCGTACATTTTCCCGTTTTTTTTTTCCGTTTTTTGCATTTGATGAGAAAATTCCGGAGAAAATCGAAAAATGAACTCCTTAAAGTACACCTCCCCACACCGATTTCCTTTCAGAAAAGGTGCTACACTTAAAAATCTGAGCAAGTCTTCTGGTATAAAAGTTGCGCACAGATAAAAAAAAAAATAATAATAATAAACATTTTTGTAAATCAATATGCTTCTTCGCTCCACTCAGAACCTAAAACTAAGATATTAGCAAGCTTACCGCCCCCATTAATTTAGAATACTAAGATAAACCGTAATAATATGAGACAGAGTGTACAAAGATTAGTTTAGTAGTAACTTGTAGTTTTATTTTATTATTTTATGTTTTCACTAGCAAGTGCAAAAAGATGTGGTGTTTCCCAAAGATGACAAGGTCTCTGAAAGCTCAAAGAAATTGATAACAAGGTTACTGGCACCGTTAAATGTTCGCTTGAAAATTTCTGATATCAAAAAAGATCCGTGGTGTCAGGTTCAGGAGGCGTCGGCTAATGATAATAAAAAAGATGTAGCTGGGAAAAAGCCCCAAGACAAGTAAGCAAACAATTACAATTAATTAACGCGAAAAAGTTAAATAGCAGCAAGAAAAATTTTTAATACATTTTTTTCGGTATTTCGTAACCTAGTTTTTCGACTACCATTGTTTTAAGTGTCATAATATATTTTATTGTTTATATACAGAAACATAAAGGAACCGAAAGAGCAAAAAAAATAAGGAGCCAAAAGAAGAAAATATTACAAACCAGTGATAAAATAAATGAACACCATCTACAAGCAAAACTATGTATAAAAAAATACATATACCATGTAATTTTATTGGCAGGTTTTAAATAAAAAATTTATAATATTTAGCTTCAAACGGATTGAAAGATTTGATAAAAAATATGATAAAATATTCGATTTTGTTATGGAAGTATAATTGGACATAATAATATCCACTATACCCAAGTGATATTTAATATTCCATAATAATCGGTCCTATAAGTTAATAAATGGTCATAAATTAGATTGTTAATTATTTATATACATGGGCGCCCGGAAGGAGGCAACCTTGCCTATATAGGTGGGGCATATACTCCCCAAAATTTTAAAATTTCAAATATAATATAATTTTACAAATTGGATTGTCGTCGTTATTATTTTTAGAAGTACTTTAATTTACATAGATGATGCAAAGACCCGAGAGGGTCTCGTCTTCATCATCTTCGAACCCGAATAGGATACTGGTTGTATATTTTTAGATTCCGAGCGTAGCGAGGGAGCTATTGGTTTAACAATACTGTTTATTTCTTTCTTTATTTTTTTTTCTTCTAGTCTGTGGACACGTTTTTTCCTAATAAACTTGCTTAAATTTTTATATTTAGCAACTTTTTTGAAAGCTCAAGTTGTCTAGATTGCAATTTTCTTGATTTTCGGTGTTATTTTTTAAATAATAGCACTTAAGTGGAAAAAAACAGGAAAACGTACAATTTCACAATTTCATTATTTTATAAAAACACGGACGACGTTTTCTACCAGAAAAAATGATTTAATCAAAAAATCACAAGGTACCTTTTTGTTGCCTTTTTTGATTCACTTTCTTATGGTATTTATTGCTAAAACTTTTAAGTCACTTTTGAGCTTATAAGAATTTTAATTTTTGGAGGTTTTTTGCTGTAATTCGGTTATAAATACACGTAGATACACTTTTTCTTTCTTTAGTTTTAAGTAGTTGTAAGTGACTCGCCTTGTGGCAGTCGAAGAATTCCTCAAGTGTTTCTAGATAGTACAATAAGTTCTCTTCCTATTCTTGATCTCCGACTGTCGAACCACGTCAAGTAGTGTCGTTGTGTTGTCATTGTTGTTGCTGCTAGTATCGTCCTCAAATGCCTCGGTCGCCCATTGTGTACGTGAAGTGGTTGAATGTGTTAAGTTGCCTACCTACTGACGTCTAGTACGGCGCAATATGTTTAAATTGCCTACCCTCAAGGGGAAAGGTACAGGTGATCGGTCCTTTTAAATCGATCTGGTCCTTCGAACGTCTATCATTTCTTGCCTTAACAATGGGTCTAAGATGCATTATCTACCATAACAAAATTAGTGAAAATTTAACTTTCATGGTTAATATATATTTGCATTATTATAGTATTTTTGTTCTTAACTCTTTCAGATCTTGTGTCCCGGGAGTAGGATATTCTTTTAAGTGTTATTTATTACCATTTCATATTGGTTTATGTTATTAAAAGTGCATGTCATATTATCCATAGATTATACGTATTGATAATTCTTATGCGATTAAAAATAATTTATTATTATTTGCGTGTATTTTTGAGATTATTGATTTGGGTATGTTATTTGATCGTGAATTACCATGCTCAATTGGATAAAATGTGTTGTAAAGCTTTGAAAACTTTATAAAAGTTGTGTAAAAAGAATTTGTAATGAATTTAAATTAGTGACTCCTATTAAGTCTTTATATTGTGCCTTCGTCAGGTCATTTTTGGAGCATGGAACCATTGTATGGAATCCTGATACCTCTTGCGGTATAAATTAAATTTAGCATGTCCAATGTAAATTTCCTAACTTTATTAAGAATAAATTAAAAATCAATCATCTACCATATGACTCGTTTTTAGTTTTGCACCGGCTTGGCCTAAACACGTTAGTTGATAGAAGACTTGAGGTTAATTTATCTTTTCTGCGGTATTTTATTGTTGGTGTTATTGATTCTCCCGAATTATTAAAACAAATCAACTTTAAAATTCAAACCTACCATGTCCGTCACATGTATTTATTTTTTATATCTATATGCAACACCAATTATTCGAAAAATCAACCATTAAATAGAATGATAATGTAGCAAATAAGAATCTATCAACTCAATAGACTTAATGTTCTTGTAAGTATTATATACTAATGTTTTGTTTGTATTAAAACTTGTAATTGGATAAATCCCATATTGAAATACATAAATTATATAATTTTCAAAAATCATTAAATTAACGACGTAACTCTTATTATGTTTAAGTTTTACTATAAAACATTTTTGAAAAATTTAATAAGACATTTTTGATTGTTTCTGACACGTAAAACAATAAAAATATGGTTTTGAAAATCTGAAATTTTTTCCTCCATGATAGAGTTATCAACAGGTACGAATCGTCAATTCTTCCCAAAATTAACACTAGTCATCGAGATAGATAAATAATACGAGATAGTTTTGATTATCTATGATGATCGATGATACTAGTAGTTATTTTGACTCGATAAACGTCTGATATCCTCTACTGGAAATATACTAATAACTTAGTAAAAAAAATTATTTTGTCTTATGAAACAAACCTGTTATGAAATATTGATAAACGAAAAAAATTAATTCCCAGTCCAAAGGGGTTAAATGTGCATAATAATCTATTTTATATATCTTATAGATTTTCAACTTTAAAAAAAAAAAAATGTATGGAAATTTGTTTGCGAACAAAATATTTAGTTTTATATCGCATTGTACTTTCGAAAAGTATGTGCTTTACCGTAATAAGTGTTCCACCTTACGCAAGTAAGATATGAAGGGATCAGCCTTGACCTTGAGATAGCCGTTAATCATGTGACCTATACGGTTCTTTTGTTTTATATTAAGTATAAATAATATTAAATTCGATATGTTATTAAATTCATCAGACTGATCAGCCGCTGAATTTAGATGTTCCTTATTATGGCTAATCCGCTGGAGAGAAGGAAGTCGATCGGATTCCCTTATTAGCGATCCACTATTTTTTAGCTAGTTGATTATAAAACCCACGGGCCACGATTAAAGATATACCTAAACGGTATATAAGGTAGACAAGGCAGCTTATACCGTTCTCACTCATACAAGGGGTTTTATCATTAATTAATGATTATATTTCACAATGATAACAATTCAATTCACATATTAATATTTGAATTTTGTTTACCAAAACGATTTAAAGTATTTCAAGACAATGTTGATTTGTATTTGAATTTTGTGTATCAAAACAATTTCAAGTAGGTATTTCAATAGAATATGATATTATTATTATCGTATATTTCACGAAATTAGAAAGATTAAAGATGATATAAAGGAAAATCGTACTACATTAACGAAACTTACACATTTCAGACATGAATAAATTCAATTGATTACCTACTATTTCTATACCAAATATTCATAAACCAGAGTTGTGTTTTATATATATATATATACATAATTTTTTTTCTAATAGCGTATTATGTAGGTATAATTATTAATTATAATGTATTTTGAATGTTTTTGTCAAAATATTAATAAGTCATAATAAAAAAAAAATTATATATGATAAAGTACTAATTTAGTTTAACTAACTAGCTTAATTCATACTAAATAAAAGTAAAATAACTTATGAACTATGGATTATTTTTGATCGAGTTTACAACTTTATTGATAAAACCTCTTGTAACCTTAAATTATAAAAATATGTGTTCTCTTGTGATCACAAAATTATATGACCATTTCGTAACCAGTGTGGCCAAACGAATTTTATCTTTTTGTAACATTTTCCAATTTTAAGGGAAAAGTCATTGGTTAGTGATTATTCTCAACGAATTTGTAATTACTTTATAAATAATAGTAATTATGATTACAAGTATTAATAAACATACTCAATCGTATTAACGAAAAAAAATGTTCCTAAATTCAATCCGCTGAACGATCCGTTACATTTGTAGATAAATTTAGGAACATATAATGCACACATTATAATTATGTTGTACAAGTGGTTTTATAACACTGTACTATAGACAAGCTACATCACTGCACTGTGGCGATATTTTGTATGGGATGCCGGATGGGCCTATTAAAATCGCCTCGCTGTAGAAATCTGTGACTGTTGAAGTTAACACCGAGTTTGCTTATGTTGTATTGTTGTCGTGTGGTGTGCAAACGGTTAACGCATTCTAACCTAAATTATTGTTGTAACATTTTTTCTGACCTGTCGTTCACCAAAAACCGCGTTTATTTTTCTCGTTCGTTCTTTCGCAATAGTTAGCGTCTTGCGACTTTTGTAATAATTTATTTGTGTTATTTTCCAGTCCGGATTAGAACAAAGAATTGAGATTATTACAACGCTCCTGCGGCCAAAAGTAGGTATGTATTTAGCAATAATTTATTGTTTATTTTTTCCGTTATACCCGTGTTTTCATACGGCAACCGGACTTGTTGAAATTATGTTTATCCGTTGACTTTGTCACATTTCATCGTACAGGTGCGAGCGTATTGAATTAACAAAATATACTATTTATTAGTATGTGACAAAGTAAAAGTTGTGAATTAATTTTTATTTAAAAAAAAAAAAAATCGATAGATCAATTTAAAAATACTATCTAGTTTTTTTATTAAACTAATTAGCTTCAATGGCAACGGTTAGGTACCTATTGTCCACATGAGCATTTTAAATACCTATCAATGTAAATTTCAACATATATTTATGTATAGATGTATGTTGCAAGGAAATCTCAAAAATGCCCGAGTTAAACGGAAGTATCCATGATACTTGGGCGAATTTCATATTTTAACTTTTGCCTGGGGAAATCTATAATGACCATAATTAATAAGTTTGAATAAACAACATATATTTTACATAGACATTATACTGACAAAACGTAATAACTTCGTATAGCATACA